CAAGCCAAGGGCCCCCACAAAGCGATAGCGCTTACAGATGTATTCACAGACAAAGTATAAAATTGTACAAAATTGAAGTACCCCCACGTTACCCCAAACGGCTACAGTTACTTCTCCGAGGTCTGGCTCCGAGAATCGTACATGCTGAGTTACCATGCGCAAGCACTGGTTTGAGATTGAGCTTCGCGGCAGTCGCGTAAGAGTTAATCCCGATGGCAAAGTCGTTGGGTCGCTAGCGGTAGTTTAGTAACATTGATATAGAAAGTGGATTAGCGCGAGACATCGCGCGTTAGAATGGTTGGGCAAGAGTGTCGGCCGAGGTGGATTTTCCACATGCCCAATTGAGAAAAAGACCGAACAACGGCCGTGGAGAAACCGCGCGGCAAGGACACTTTTGGGGGTTGTGCCTAGCTTTTCGGGCTCCGGGGGGTCAGGTTAACCGTGGAAACGGGGAACACGGAGATGGCATGATCCTATAATGTAGAGTATGCATCGTGCGTAGTGTATAGTGCTGAGTGCTGAAGACACTCCAGGGGCCCGAGGGTCCAGCGGGGCGGTGTGTTCGTACCACGCTTGAGGACTGCGGAAGACGCTAATTGAGCTTCTGCCGCCTTTCTAGCGCCGAAGCCAAGACCCGTTGCCTCCCGATAATGAGAATGGTCGCCACTGTATTTGCCGATCGGCCTGCCCAGGGGTGGCTGACGTTTGGCCTAGGGGGCAATGTACATCTACAGTAATTGAGGGAGGCGATCCAGTCGATACCTGGCCATGCCGAACCCCGAGATCACTAAAGTTATGCCCCTTGCAGACGGCAGATGGAGCTCCGATCTATGGAAATGCATCGGAAGCGATCTCATGATTCAGGACACTCTCCCTCAATTCTCGCCAACACAGTACAGTAGGGAGTGGAGACCCAAGGACCTCTTCTTCAGGATAACCATGGGATACCGCGCTGTAACATGAGTGGCCCGCTCCACTGTGTTTGTAGGATATCGGGTAACCATAATGAATATCATCTCCATCTGATGGAGCGACCCAGTTCTATTCCGCTATCTGTAGCTATTAACGATTAGCCATAGCTCGGATGCAAGTTACCCAGTATTCTAGTATCCTATGTAGAAGGTCAATGTTAGATCAGAAATACTTCATCCAGTTAGCTCATTAGTCATGGGAATACGGCGAGTGTTTCAGCCCCGTCTCGTATTTACCGATCATGACGTCCCACTCTGCATCCGGTGCTTGCAAGCGGTGTGTCGTGGCATCATCCGATCCCCCTTCATCGACGGATTCCTCGTACCATCTAATCTACCCGGATGTCCTTAACCCCTCCTTAACTTCCTGACTATCTATACTACATATTGCGTGCCTTCATTGTAGAGCGGGGCCCCATCTGCGCCCCATCACGTGCTGCGTAATACCGTAACCACGCCAGTCCCAAAGCGGAAGGGTTGCCATCGGTCCATAGTCCCGCTTCCCTCGACATCCTCCTCTTCTCGAGAAAAGTGATCCTTGATCTTGAAGCATCACTTGTCTCTGCCCATCCGTTTGAACACGCTCTCTATATACCCCATAAGCACAGGGTGTGTTGTCGCCTGGTAGAACGAAAGGTCCGCAAGGCCTTAGAGTGAGCGGGACTATTCAAGGGTGGACTCCCAAGAGCCCGCCAAAACCGCCATCCACCCAAAAGTCCACACCCATCGAGGGGCACTTGAACAAGACTCCCAGTTCACATTCCTATCCTCTTCACCTTCGCTTACTCGACGTTCGCGCTTCAACGCGGGACCTTCCCGATACATCGTCACCACCAACCCCTCGGCTTAAGCGTATCTTCGCGCAGACCGGGGAAACTTTCGGATTTCTCCAAAACGATTCCTTCGACGACAAGGGTCTTTTATTTGCCCTTTTCCCTAGATCCTGATCCCCTACCCGTCGAATACCCTAGCCACCATGACGGGCGCCGCACCCATTGACATCAGACAGACCTCGGTCTCACCGCCGGGGCAGCAGGCGTCGAATCTCACATCCGCGCTGCAGAGAGCCGCCACCGGCGAGCGCACAGGCAGTATATCGCATCATGCCAGTGGTGGTCTCGGCATGTTCAAGGCACCGCCACCTCGCAAGGACTCGATCGGTGCCGCCACGGCACAGTGGGGAAACGGAACGAAGCCCATCTCCATGTCCGGCTCGGCACGCGACAAAGGTCGCCGCGAGTCGCTGGCCGGAAGTTTGGTCGGCGGCATGAGCTGGGGTGGTGTGTCGGTTGGAAGCTGGATTCGCGATGAGTGAGTAGTTTTCCCCCCATGAGGGCGCCCGGGAACTCCTGTGCGCTGGCCTGGTCGCACCGCAGCGAAGACTGACCTGGAAAATTTTCCCAGCATCATCATGACTGGCACGTCGCCCTTTACCTTCCAGTCGCCTTCTTTCCACTCCTCATCATATTTGCCGAAGCTAGAGGCCAACTTCATGCGGGACTTTTCCTGCTGCGGTGTGACGTTACCGACGCTCCATGACCTATTACAGCACTACGAAGAAGCCCATGCGACCAAGTCGCCCAACCAGGGCCATCGCCCAAGCCAGGGTGAGAATCGAGCTGCCTTGGCTGCTGCCGCGATCGCACAGCAACAGAGCCAGCAACATGGCAACCAAGGCCGTGGCCTGCAGCCCGATCGAACCCTGGACATGCAGCGCAAGATGGGCCAGAACCCACTCACATCCCAGCACATCGATCTAGACACTATTGATGATATGGAGTTGGACGACCCCATGGGAGACGATGACGGCACTACGTCCCAGCTATTCTCGCCCCAGTTACGCGAAGGTGGCCAGGGTGGATTTGGCAACTCCAACCAGGGTCCGCAATTAAATTTGGGCATGCTTCCAAACCACCAGGGCTTCAATACACCCTCTCAACCTGGCACTCCCGTCGGGTCTGCTCGTCCGCTCTCTTTGCAGAACAACCCCACCGTTTCCTCCGTGAACACCCCGACTTTAATGGCAAATCCGCTTCAAAACTCCCAGTTCCGAAATACTCCCGATTCCTCGGGGCCTGGCACACCCGCCGAGATCGACGAGAGTGTGGTAGGCGGATTTGGCGACCTTACTATGCAGAATAACATGGGACAGAACCAGGGCCAGTATGGGCGCTATACTGGCAATAACGATATGGTCGATCTTTGCATTGACGAGCCGGCCAAGCGACTGTTCAGTCCTAGCGGAGGCATGGGCACTCCCAACGCACACTTCAAACTGAGCGGGGCTCAGTACGGACCGAATAGCGATATTGCACGGCGGATTCGGGAACAGCAGCTGCTCGCTGGGGTTCCCGATACTACATCCATTCTCCCCAACGAGGAACCGAAGCCATTCAGGTGTCCCGTCATCGGTTGTGAGAAGGCCTATAAGAACCAAAACGGGCTTAAATATCACAAGGCTGTGAGTCTACTATCCTCCTGACAATTACTGTGTCAACATCTAACACCTGATTCCTCTTCTAGCACGGCCACAATAATCAACAACTTCACGACAACGCCGACGGCACCTTCTCAATCGTCAACCCCGAAACATCAACACCATACCCCGGTACTCTCGGCATGGAGAAAGAGAAGCCCTATCGCTGCGAAGTCTGCGGTAAACGCTATAAGAACCTGAACGGACTCAAATACCACAAATCGCACTCGCCCCCCTGCAATCCCGATTTCCAGATCACCGCAGGGCGCAACATGAACCTCGGCGGCGGAGTCATGCAGGGACAGAACATCAACGTTGCTGGAGCAGGACTCCCCGGAATCGGCGAGGAAGGTCTTCTGTGAACACTGTCCATACAATAATGCCCAGCTTGATGCGATCTCGGCCTTGAGTCCCCCGCACACGATGTCATGAAACCAGTCTGGCTTTGGAGTTTTTTTGCTTGATCTTTTGGGGGGTCCTTTATTTGCTCTGGCTCTCTAACTGGCATTTCCTTGTCTTCGTTTTTTTTTTTGTTTTTGCTCGATATCCCTGCCTTTGCCCTGTCCGAACTTGGACTGGTAATAGAGCTTCCACTGAGTGATCAAGAATTCGGCAAGATCTGTCTAGAAGACGTCTTTTTGTTATCGTGTTTCCCCCCCCCTTGGCTTCGAATAAGCTGGGATTCAAGCAGGGAGAAACGCGGGAATGTGTTTATATTTATTGTGCCACTTGTCCCTCGCCTTCACTTTTTGCATGTTGTCTGCGTTCTGCACGGGTTGGCTTTTTTCCTTTTTTTTTTTTTTTTTTGCTTTATTTGTGATCTGGGATTCCAATCTATGCTTCGGGTCTCTTTCTCAATGAGGAAAATGACTTCTGCGAGTTCCGCCTCGACCGCACGCGAATGGGATATGGATGAATGGTTGAGCTGTGCTTTCTTCCCTGTGGCTCTTCGGAATCGGACAGGTGGAACTGAAAACTACAAAAGTGCGATTCTTCGGCGTCGGATATTGTAGATATGGTTTTATACACTTTGGCTTCTTTTGTCTATTTTTTTTTGATCGCTTTATCATCCAACTTTGAATCACTTCTTCATCTACATCATCAACCATACATGTACATTGTGGTTTTGTAGATTAAGTGGTAACTAAGAATAGTTGATTCATATGTTTGTGTTTGGTGAGCTTAGCTGCATTGCCATTCATTCTAGTACAAAACACAGGGCATGGGGAAATCAGAAAGTCAAGCCCATCCTGGGGTAAGCGCCATGAGCTAAAGCTCGGGTTAGAAAGCAAAAACTGGATGAAACCCTACACAGGTCGTGTTCGGTCCCTGGGCGAGGGTAAGTAGAGCAGACGTAAAAGTATCAGGTGAGGGAGAATCATGAGATGAAATTTAGCTTGCGGGGAAGCATTTCAGGAGGGTAGATAAGAGGTCGGATTTTCGTTGGTGTCGTAGACACAAGATAGGATCTTGAGAAAGGAAAAAAGGTATTACAAACCAGACGCGAAGATTCATGGAGATTAGGCAGTAAATATGAGATCGATGGTAGGTGATTACCATTCGAACTCGCCTTGGCCCTTGTGGAAAACGTATCTAGTCGTGTTAATGGATGTCTGATGCATTCACGGCAACAAAACTTACTCTCTGCCACCAGTGGTCAGAATGCCGTCCTTCAAAGTGCACTTCCACTTGTTCTTGACACGCTGAACCTTGTCGTATGTGCACAGCATGACCTGACCTTCTGATTCGTCGGCATCGTGATCATCAGCAATAAGGTCATCAGGATCATCGAGATCAGAATTGATGGCATCTTCGTCCTCCTCTTCTTGGGGAAGGTCCTCGGCACCGTCGTATTGACCAGGCACTCTGGGTGCAGCAGCGGATGATTGCAATGCAGTTGCTTCTTTGAGACATGCGACCGCATGCCGCGATGCCGGCGTCGAGATTTTCTGCTCACTCAAGGGACGGAGAAGACCGCCACCTTCCATACCGAGCATCTGTTGATTGAGGTGCTCGCGAAGCATGCGATCACCTTGGCCGTTCTGAGCTGCCTCTCTCCGACGAGCGACCTCGGCCTTCCAGTCAGCCAGCGAATCGCCAGCACCGTCGGTTTGACTGTGTCCCATAGAGGGATAACCGGGTTCTTGTTTGATATGGGGCATTTGGCCGTTGGCATGCATCTGGGGGTACTGCTGCTGTGCGTGAGGGTGGGCCTGGAGCTGGCTCACGGAGTTGGAAGCTGCAGCACCAAATTTGGACTGGATATGGCTTGCAGCGCGATCACGAGCTGACTGAGAGTTGGGTGCCTGTCCAGACATCTGGTGAGGTACCTGATGCATGGGAGGCATGCCCATCGGCATATTTGACCCAGGCTCGGTCTTGATCCGAGGGGCGCCCATCGGCGCTACTTGGGCGGGGAGAGATTGAGGAGCATGCTGCATAGAGACGGGGACATGTTGTTGAACATGTTGCTGAACATGTTGCTGAGGGGGAGCTCGAGGAGCATTAGACGGGACGGTAGCTTGTGGAGGAAGAGCGGGGGCTTGGATTGGTTGGGGGGCAGGATCCCAGGGGAAAGAAGCAACGTTCACGGATGAAAGCTTTTTCTGCCAGGTCTATACATAAATTGTTAGCATGGATGTTATAGAGTGTGACATGGGGTGGACGGTTATGGCTTGGCGGCCTAAACCAAAGCGGGTAGCGGCGGTCGCATATAAAGGGAGCCTCAAAAGCCGGTGTTCCCCCATAAGCACCGCCTCCCGCAGCACCGCGGTTTCCCCCGCTTTTGGCCGAACGTGAAGCACCACGCCATATCCCTCCAAATACACCAGGATACTCTCAAAAAGGGTAAACTCACGTCTTTTAGATCATTCAACGTCTTTTGATCAACACCACTCTCTTCGAAATCGACCACGGAAGCGTCACAGACTTCCTGGATGACCTTCTCGAATACGGTGCCCTAGATAGCAACTGATGTCAGCGATGGTCACTTCATCGACATCGTATTTTGGCGGAGGGACAATTCAGAGATTCGAAGGGAGAGAAAGTGACGAAGATGGTCGCGAGACCATGTAGGGTAGGTTGTCGCGAGATTGCACTCACCACTTGCTGGTTGGACATGGTTACGGGCAGCGGAAACGAAGGACGGAGCGTGATAACAGAAAGAGGCGATCGAAGGAAAGAGAGCTGCTTGGGGTCGGTGAGAGTCTCGAGTACTCAAGTAGAGTCTGTAGCCTTCCGTCGCAACGGTGAGGCTGTAGGCACGCGGGTAAATGGCACTGGGAGATTCGGTTCGCTTTTCAAAGTGATTGCCAATCTATCGCACTCCAGTCACGGGGATCCACACGTAGCAACCCGAGCAAGAAGTGAGAAGCCGAGAACCAAGGGTTGAAAGGGGATGGAGAGATCTGCCGATGATGTTGGGGGAGTGAAAGTCGATCTTCCGCGGTGGAAATGTCTCCGGGTGAGGTTAGGGTCACGTGCTCTTCGGTCGGTCGGTCTCGACCTGGAGTTCCTTGCCTCCACGGCTCTTTGGTTATAACCAAAATTTGACAATGATTGAAACTTATCTTCGATTAATAGCCTGGATTACTGAATAGAGTAAGTGACAACATCATGGCACAGTGAGGGTCTGTTGTCGACGGACACAGATCAGGTCTATCATGACTTGAGAGGTGGAACTAGATAGAATACCCGAGTGGGCCCTGAATATACACCTACTCACGATGATAAAAAGTACTTCGTCGAACAAGTAAAACTGATAGTGATGATGAAAATGAGGGTGTGAAGACCATAATCTAGAGAGAGAGAGAGAGAGACTGCAGACATCTGGATATGTTCCAAGGTCCAACGATGAGGCAGTTGTTGGATGCTACATAGGTAGGGTATAGCCAACCGCCGTTTAACTCTAGGAACTTTGGCTTCATGGGGAAAAAGAAAGAGGTGTGAAAGATAGACGGTAAGACTGGCATTTTGTACAACTCCAACAGACGGAAAGAAAAATATGAACCAAGAAAACACCAATTAGCCCAAGTATGAACCCATTACTCCAGAAATGATCATATGCCCCCAGCCCATCAATGCTCGCGAGATGACACCATGAAACCGGGTATAGAACGAGAAATTAAACAAAAAGGTCGTTTAACGGATAGTCATCGACTTGGTCAGCTGGGCTTTGCTGCCAACACTTCCCTCACGAGAAGCGGAGGCACTGCTGCCAGCCTTGCGCTCGAAGACCTTCCAGAACTTCAAGCTCTCATCAGCCGCAGTAGTGGCCAGCATCTGGCCATCAGGACTGAGACTGCTGTGAAGGACTCGGGTCTCGTGGGCGGGGATCTCGACGTTGCGAACCAGAGTAGGGTAGCTCCAGATGCTAAGCGAGTTGTCGGGGAAGCCACTGGAACTAACGATCTCGCGGTAGTGGTTGCTCCACCGAAGGCTGGTTACCTGAGAGCCGGTGTCGATACTGTTGGTACGGGCACCGGTTGTTGTGTTCCAGAAGTGAATGTGACGATCGTAAGAACCACCACCTGTGGCGAGGAGATTCAACTGCCAGGGGCACCAACTGAGAGCCTTGACTGCGGCACGGTGGTTGGTCTTGGTGAACTTGGGAGCGCTAAGGGAACGGGCATCCCAGATGTTGACTAGGTTATCGTTGCCACCAGTAGCGAGCTGCGCGCCATCAGAGCGCCACTCCAGACCACAGACCTCGGAGGTGTGAGAGACGAGCTCGGCCACTTTGTGCTGAGCAATGCGGACATCGTGGTTGTAAACGAGACCACTACGGGCACCAGTCGAGAGAGTGTGTTTGGACCAGCCCATCACACCCACACGGGAATCGTGACCGAACATACTGCGGAGCTTGGTTCCTTCCTCAACATCCCAGATTTGAACCTCACCAGTTCCAAGACCAACACCAACGTAAGCACCATCTCCACTCCACTTGACACTGCTAATGTAGGTATCGGGAGAGGTCTCCAAAAGGCAGTTGACGGTGCCAGACTCAGCAGACCAGACGTAGACATTGCGCTCGAGACCGATAGCGACCTGGTTGCCAGAGCTCCAGTCCAACAAGTTGAGATAGTAATCATCCAAAAGACCTGGGGCATCCAACACACGCTCGGGAGCAGTTTGAACACGGCGACGGAACTGGGCGTTTGTAGACTTGGAAGAACGAAGAGGACGGTTGTATTGAGCACGAAGGTCAATGGGCTTCGATGACTCCGGGGGCGGGGGCTTGAAGGCCAAGATACGAGTGTTCAGGTTGACCCCACAGGCGTTGGCCAGGGAGGACTCGTAAGCAACCGCATCGGGTGCCGGCCGAGAGTACTTTGAAGATTCGTCGTCATCCAAACCAAGGTTCTCCAAAGCAGCAGTCAGGTCCTCCTCGGATCCACGGCCGTTGATGTCGAAAGCACTGGCAGCTGAAGCCAGGACACTCGATCCTGATCCCTCGCTGCCACCGGTCTTCGGCCGTTGCTCCTCAGGCTTCGCAGCTCCCGTTGTCACAATACCCTCGCTAGCAGCGCGATTAGGAATGAAACGATCTCCGGCATTGTGTTGAATGCGCATCGTGGTCTTTCCCGCCGGACGGGTACGACTGGGAACATCTCGGCGAGCTCGCGACTTCGCGGGAGAGTCGGGACCAGTACCAGTCAGAGACCAGTCAGAGACGCCCAACTCGAGGTGCTTTGGTGAACGGCGAATGCGAGCAATGTTGGACTTGGGGGATTCGCGGTAGCCTCGAGACGATACCTTGGCGGTAGATGATGCCTTGGCGGTGGAAGACGATTTGGCAGTGCTTGTGCTTGTACTTGACTTGGCGAAGTGTGAGGAGAGGTTACCGCCATAGACGGACTTGGACTGGCTGCGGCCGGCTTCAGCAGGGCGAGGAGGAGTGAAGGGAGAGTCGTTCAAAGCTTGGGGGGTAGCAGCACCGGACTTGCCCCGAGGAGACGGGGTCAAAGGCATGCGACCTCCAGCTGTTCTAGCGGAGAAGAGCCCATGGTGGCTCTTCTTGGGAGTAGTCACTGTAGCAGTAGACATTTCTGTTTAGGAATAAACAGTGGACGATGGAGCCAGCCACCGAGTGAAGACAATGAGATATAGCGATCCAAAGTATGCAAGATATTATGCAGGCAAAGGATGAAATGGGTGAAGAGGAAAAGGGAGAGTAGAGCAGGAATAAATAATGGAGTACAAGTATGAAGCTTCTCCCCCGGGCAACGGTTACCTCAGGTACGGCTGCACTAGTCCCCATTGGGTATAGTGGATAATGCACATGACATGCCGGTGCCTTCCATTTCAGGCGTCGATAAGCCTCAGGCGACGTTCTTGGTGGGGTTGAGACAAAGAAATTCAATATCGGAGTAAGGTCGCGATGAGAATGCGATAGGCCTCACATCATTCTTTGTGTGCTGGAGGTACATATTCACGGTTGCCCGATGGCCAGACAAGCCACTTCTCCCCACCGTCAATCCCCCCACCAGGACCCACCTACTCAACTTCCGTCATCTCGGGATCGCCTTTTCAATTCGACCCCTGGGAGCCTTTGTTCTCGTCGATTCAGATGCAAGAGGACGCCTACTTGATGCCGGCAAGCCCCGCCGGTGGCCTTCAGCCCAGTGCGGACTATCGGCCCAGCGTCCAAAAGGCCGTGGGCCACGTCCCCGCATGTCTAGTCAATGCCTCGGTGACGTACTGCAGCAATGGTCGTATCTATGCCTTCGGAGGCTTTGATCAAGATACCGATGAAGGTTCGGCTGCTCCAATCCCCCCTCATTTCCTTCTCGTCTAAAACCATTGATGCTCACGTATTACCCTGGCAGTCTACAACCACGTGCTTCGTTTGGACTTGAATACACTTCGATGGGACCTGGTTGACAACTACGGCGACATCCCCGGGGTTCGCATGGGTAAGTATCTCCCACCGTATTTGATATTTCTCTTCTGACGTTTGAATCTTCTAGGTCACACTGCGACTCTATATCAAGACAACAAATTGATCGTCTTCGGCGGCGAGAATGAACACCGCGAGTACCTTTCGGACGTTGTTATCCTAGATCTCTCAACATTCACTTGGACCCTGCCCGAAATCCAGGGCCCAATACCACGAGGACGGGCACGACATGCTGCTGTGATTCACGATGACAAGCTGTTCATCGATGGTGGGATAGCTGAAGAGAACAATCTCGTACTGGACGACCTGACCTATCTGGATCTACAGACCTGGACGTGGTCGCGAACATGGAGCTTTGCCCAGCGGTTTGATCACACGGCATGGGTTTGGGGCAGCCGCTTATGGATCTCTGGTGGACTAGGGCCTAATATGGAACGCACGACGGACATCTGGTGGCTTGACCTCAAAGGATCCCCCTCCCTCGCCGGACTCACCTCCTCCCAAGGTACCGTGGACTCCCCAGATATGCCGATGCCAGTGGCTCATTACCCAGACTCCATTTCTAGTGCATCATCCCAGCAGATGTCTCCCCGATCCGGAATATATGCCGCCAACTCCGCCAGTGTGCAGGTCCGCAACTTGCGCCGTCAAAAACCACTCGCCCCTGGTGCGATCTCGTGCCACCGTTTCCACTCTGGTCCGCATGTCCCTGGGCTCTTCTCCGCCACCCATTTCCAGTCCTTTGCATCGGGGGTACTTCTCGATTTGATCACACCGTCGGATAGGGTGCGATCACATGAATGCAACCTTTCCGCCCTGGAACTGAATTCGCTGCGCTGGCAGCGACTAGCCGATGGCCAAGAACTCTTCCGACCAGGCTACCGATGGCATTACTGCACCGTCAACGACACGGGGACGAAAGCGTGGCTATTAGGCTGTAGTCTCGACCTGACAAACACGAATGGGGCCAGTGAAGAGAATCACATGAGCGAAATCCTATCGATTGATTTGGAGAAATACGGTCTGCTTGGCAACGAGCTGTCCACCGAAGCTCCCGAGCCCGATTCTTCATGGGGAGGGGACTCATCTGGACCCCAAGTCTCTGGGCTGGGGACTGATCTCGCCTGTGCTTTTGACCAGACCCCAGAAGCAGGAAGCGGCGCTGATTTCGTCATTACCGCCATTCGTGACGATCATGACTTTATGGAATCTGAAGACATAGACTCTACGCCGTCCGCCTCGCCATCCGACTCTAAACCGACTTTTGTGGAGCCAAGCCCGTACACCTCCGCGCCCATCCATGTCCATAAGATCATTTTGCAACTACGGTGGCCACATTTCAAACGCCTGTACTCTGCACAAATGGCAGAATATCATACGAAGCGCATGCACATTCCCGAACCGTATTCGGTCGTGCGTGCGTTTTTGTACTACCTCTACACGGATAGCATTGCCGGCCACCCCGAGTACTGCTCGAGTGTGATAGATGTGGCGGGGATGCTGGTTATGGCGAATCTCTACGATATGCCAAAGCTCCGCTTACTGTGTGTGAATCGACTGAGTCGCGAACTCGACGTCGATAACGCCGCCATTGTGTGGGAGCGCGCGGGTCGAACCAATGAGCACTGGCTGATGCGCCGAGCCGCAAAGTTCTGCCTGACGCATTGGGGCCGCGTGGTGCGAACCGAGGGTTTCAAGTCCCTTAGCCACCAGAGCTTGATAGAACTGTGTGAGGTGGTGGATACAGAAGGTCGTATCATCGCAGGGCCAGAGCTGGAAATGGTGGGTGCATTCGACAGCGCATCGATGGCCGAATCTAAGGACTCTCGCCGATCTACCGCCGACGAATCTGAGCTGGAAGTAGATGAAGAAGGAATGGAACTGTCATGACGAATCCGACACGCATAGTCTTCCGGAGTTTTTTGGACTTGGCGGGTGGCAGCCGTCTTTGAGCTTTGCATCTTTTTCTGACTTCCAATCCATGCATCTTATCAGAAGGCTAGGAGTATCCTGGTTAGGGCATTCTGAATTTATATCTGACAGCTATGTTCCATTAAAGACCATGCCCAGTAACCTAGTAACCTAGTAAATGCACAGTCAATAGACGGTGACCGGACCGTGCAGCCGCTCCACACGGACCAATGTAACGCGCGCTCGCGTGGCTCCACCGACAACGGTTTGGGCGCGGAACTTGCTCCGGATTGCGGAGATCCTTCCTGTCACAATAGGGAAGCTCCCCTGGCTTGGCCCTTCCGGTTCCAGATCATCGTCAAGAACATATTTATAACATGGCTGGTCTCGCCATGGATTCGATCCGGTACTTGGAGATTCGCCAACTTCGCCATGGGATCCGTTGCACCGTCTACTCTTCCCGCCGATTTCCTCTGGGGTTTCGCCACGGCCGCGTATCAAATTGAGGGTGCGGTCAATGACGATGGTCGAGGCCCTTCTATCTGGGATACGTTTTGCAAAATCCCGGGGAAAATTGCTGGTGGTGGGTCGGGTGAAATAGCCTGTGACTCGTATCATCGCACTCATGAGGATATCGCCCTGTTAAAAGAATGTGGTGCTCAGGCATATCGGTTTTCACTGTCTTGGTTTGTTTGCCATTTTCCTAATTGAGGATGTTTCTAATCATTGTGAGCATAGGTCTCGCATCATACCCCTCGGTGGTCGCAATGACCCCGTTAATGAGAAGGGATTGCAGCATTATATCAAATTCGTGGACGATTTGCTCGAGGCGGGAATCGTACCTATGCTTACACTGTTCCATTGGGATCTTCCAGAGGAGCTGCAGAAGCGCTATGGGGGCTTTTTAAATAAAGAGGAGTTTGTGGCTGATTTTGCCCACTACGCGAGGCTGGTGTACAATGCTTTCGGCTCCAAGATCAAGCACTGGATTACCTTCAACGAACCCTGGTGCAGCAGCGTTCTCGGGTTTAACAATGGGTCCTTTGCCCCAGGCCACACGAGTGACCGTATCAAGAGCCCCGTCGGAGACAGCTCAACCGAGCCCTGGGTGGTGGGACACAGTATCCTCGTGGCACATGGAGCCGCGGTCAAGATCTACCGAGACGAATTCAAGGCACAAGACGGTGGTGAGATCGGCATCACGCTGAATGGTAAGTATTCACTTTTCCCTCACTCCATTCAATCCTGACATGAAAACAGGCGATTGGGCTGAGCCCTGGGACGCCGAAAATCCCGCGGATGTCGAAGCCTGTGATCGCAAGATCGAATTCGCTATTTCATGGTTCGCCGACCCAATCTACCACGGCAAATACCCCGACAGCATGATCAAGCAGCTAGGCAACAGACTACCAACGTGGTCACCAGAGGACATCGCCCTAGTCCATGGCAGCAACGATTTCTACGGAATGAACCACTACTGCGCGAACTACATCCGCGCCAAGACAGGGGAGCCTGAACTCGATGACATCGCAGGGAACCTGGAGCTCCTGCTTGAAGACAAAGATGGTCACAGTATCGGACCTATCACGCAGTCTCCGTGGTTGCGGCCATGTGCGCTTGGATTCCGCAAGTTGCTTAAATGGCTTAGCGAGCGATATGGATATCCGACGATCTATGTTACGGAGAACGGGACGAGTGTGCTGGGCGAGAACGATATGCCCTTGAATCAGTTGCTGGATGATGAGTTCCGGGTTCAGTATTTCCGGGATTATATCGGTGCTATGGCTGATGCTTATACATTGGATGGAGTTAACGTGAAGGCTTACATGGCCTGGAGCCTTATGGAGTAGGGTTTTCCTTGTTCCTATTTTCATAAAAGTCGTGCTAACTGGATATTCAGCAATTTTGAGTGGGCTGAAGGCTATGAGACCCGCTTCGGTGTGACTTTTGTCGACTATGAGCATGACCAGAAGAGGGTCCCCAAGAAGAGTGCTAAGAGTATTGGTCAGATCTTTGACCGGTTGATTGAGAAAGTCTGAGAGTATGCTCTGCTATTTTAGGTTATTGGCTTGCAGATAGAAATGGTTCTTTTCTGTTCAACTCTAAGTTTGCTGAAAGCCAATCGCGTAGATCAAGGCGTGTGTGGCTGTGTGGCTCTAAAGTGCATATCGGAAGTGCTTGGACTCCATATCCGTCATATCTTTGAATCCATCCACGATAGCCTGCGATGTAACATCCTCCGAGGCGTCTACGGATTCAGCGGCCGCGGCATCCCGACGTGCATTCTCCCATCGCATTCCCAGATATGCCACGGCAGATAACACAATGATCCCCGCATAACAGACGAGCAGCCCTGTGAGCGCAGAATAATAGCGCGGGGCCTCGCGAGAAAAGAAGATATTTGCGCCAGCGACATTTCCAGCTGCATAAAGCGTGAACCACATACCATTGGCAACGGCCCGCTTGGTATGACCAGCAACATTTGTAGACAGAAGGTTCCAGCAGACGATCACTGGCGCACCGATAATGTACTGAAGCCACGTACATCCGACAAGTGTCCAGCGATGATCAAGATCAGTAAATCGAATACCCAATAGCCCAGCGAGAGGAATCAGGCTGATGACAGCGAGAACAATGCACCTCGAGTTCGGCACATAGGTCGCGACCAGACCGCAGATAGGTACTATGACAGCTTCAAAAGCCCCAGTCGGCAGCTGAAGTAAGGTGGCATTGATACCGCTAAATCCAAAGCCTTTGATCAATGCGGAAGAAAAGTTCGACACTCCACCGTTGATAACTCCACAGGCGATGCCGATACCAGCATAGCAAAGAACCTTGAGATCGTATAGATTCTCAAACGCCTGTCCGAGCTTGATCTCCCGAGTCTTGACTCCGATCATGTTCTCCGCCACCCGTCTCACAGCCACGACCCGTTGACGATGCGTGAGGAAGCGTGCAGAGGCTGGTGAGTCGGGCATGACGGCGAGGAAGACGCATCCAGTGACAAAGTTGAGCAACCCGATGGTCAAGAAGATGAGCTTCCAGCTGTGAAGTACCGTGCTATGGGCGTGGCCCAGGCCAAATCCGAGAAGTGCCCCGACCATTGTCGCCATCCCGTTGGCGCTCAGCCAGATGGCCATCCGCAGTGGCTGCTCACCCCGTTTGTAGAACATGGAAGTGATGATCATCACTTTGAACAGTCAGGTAATTGTCCGGAATGACATAGACGAATACTTACTGCAGGGACTGACTCCAGCCTCTGCCATTCCAAGCAGAAATCGAAGTATCAGGATTCCGGCGTAGTTCTTGGCCCCAACATGGGCAATTACAATTACGCTCCATACCAGAAGCATCCCACCCATGTACTTGGCCACGGGCAGTTTCTGGATCATGAGGTTGGAAGGGATGGCCCAGAATAGGTATCCAAAATTATAGATGGCTGCAACCCAGGAGTATCGCTGACCTTCGAGTCCGAGGTCGGCATTAAGGGAGTATGCAGATGCATAGTTGAGCGACAACTTGTCTTACAAGGGTTAGCGGCCATGCCTCGTAAGCCGGAGATGAGGTATTCAATACCCAGAAACTGAATCACGTATGTCACATAGAGCTGAAAGCGGTTAGGATGAGGTACCGAGTCGAGTGGACGAACTCACAATTGGCATAATTCTCCAGTCCAGAATACGCAGGACCTGAGCGCCCTCCAGCGCCAGTTCCTCAGCGGATAACTGTTCAGCCTCCACATATAGATCAGCTCCGATATCGTGAACTTCACCGAGTGCAACATCCTTCTCCACTGTGGGCTGATCCACTTTGGCTTCCTTGGACCCCATCGCGTTTTGATTCGAGGTGCTATAGGATCAAGTATGAACGCAATCACAATTGAATACCCTCTGCAGCAGACCCCTCATCCCTTATACCCCAACATTGAACTCCCTGTTATCACTGCCAAGCTGATAATGCAGGATCGCTTCACCTGGTTATCCCTGGGCAGTGATAGGGTCTAGGGTCCTCCCGAGAAGATAAGCTAAGGAGGCCTCTACCCTTGATTCTCCAGCTCTCGACATCTTTCCGGGCATCTTTCTGGAGGTCTATTGAGACCTTTCCGGGTTCCTTTTCCAAGATTGCCCCCCCCCCGATAGCTTTGAATACCCAGGTGGGATCAACCACGCCTATCGAGAACCATTTGTATTATATTCTTGGTCCGGCTGTGGAGGTTGATCGGAGATGCGTCCGCTGAATGTGGGGAACTCAACCCCAGCGGACCAAAGTCCGCCACCTCCGCAGTGCCACATCTGGAACGAAACTCTATCGAGCTGCCCTTTTAGTCCAGATATCAACCAAGTCTCGGATCGGACTTTGGTCCGCTCAATCGCACTGAAATAGACCCAGAGCGCCAGATTCGACCCCGGCACCCAACAATGGCCGAATCATTCAACCTGCTCGATGCGAGCATCTCCGATCTTAAAGATGCACTCTCATCCGGCAGACTCACAAGCGTGGACCTGGTATCGCGGTATATACGAAGAATAAACATCTACGACGCCAATGGTCTTAAATTAAGCGCGATCCCAATTCTCAATCCATTCGTCTTCGATGAGGCTGCTGCATCTGATGCTCGCCGTGCAAATGGCTTCCCTCCACGACCACTGGAGGGGATTCCCTACCTGGTAAAAGACAACATCAAAGTAAAAGGCATGTCTGTGGCGAATGGCTCGCCGGCCTTTGAAAACCTGGTTGCCAACGAAGATGCAGCCTGTGTGCAGCTGCTCAGGAATGCAGGCGCCGTGCTACTCGGCCGCACGAACATGCCTGCCATGGCGTATGGCGGAATGCAGCGCGGTGTCTGGGGTCGTGCTGAAAGTCCCTATAACGGTGATTACCTCGCGGCGGCATATGCCTCCGGTTCTTCGAATGGGTCCGCTGTTGCCACTGCTGCGAATCTGTGTGCTTTTTCTCTTGGGACGGAGACGGTCTCGTCTGGGCGCTCGCCTGCTTCAAATAATGCTGTCGTTGCATACACGCCGTCCAAGGGTCTTCTGCCGCTTCGTGGAGTCTTCCCTCTTTATCCGACTTGTGACGTCTTGGTACCTCATACTAGGACTGTTGCCGATCTATTCCATGTCCTCGATGTCTTGGCTGTTTCTGACCCGACTCCAAGGGGGGATTTCTACAACGAGCAGAAAGTCGTTTCTATTCCTTCAATTGCTGATGTTCGACCCGAGTCGTTCTCAGCATTGCAGGAGACTTCTTCCTTGAGGGGCAAACGCATTGGTGTTCCCTCGATGTATATTGGAGGCGACGATTCCTCTATTCAACCGATTAGCAAAGTGCAAACGCGGGAATCGATCATCAAATTGTGGCAGGAAGCCCGAAAAACATTAGAAGCATGCGGTGCCGAAGTGATCGAAACCGACTTCCCCCTGGTGACAGAATACGAAGCCAACGCTGCTTCAGGACAGCTCGTCACCGTCGCAAATCTCCTAGATGGCTGGGCCGGTAATGAACGATGCGAAGTTGTGTCCCACGCTTGGGATGATTTCCTCGTCGCAAACGGCCAGAAGGGCCTCAACTCTTTGACGCTCGTCGATCCAAACACGATCTTCCCACTCGCTCCTGGCTCATTACTCGGCACACCAGAGGTCGCGAATAAGCCGCGATGGCGCGAAATCGTCCAATACCCGCACACGAAGCCCTCCTCCATTTTCGAAATACCAGGTATGAAGCAGGCGATACAAGCACTAGAAGATGCTCGAACAGAGACATTCGAGAAATGGATGGATAAGCTGGGCCTAGACGCAGTCGTCTTTCCGTCCACTGCAGATGTTGGTGCCGCGAATGCAGACGTCGACAAAGACGCGTCACTATTTGCCTGGAGCAACGGCGTCAAATACTCTAATGGAAATCGACCCATTCGCCACCTTGGTGTGCCTACCATTTCGGTTCCAATGGGTGTTATGGAGGATACCGAGATGCCAGTTAATCTCACGTTCGCCGGGAAGGCGTATGAGGATAATTGTCTCCTGAAGTATGGATATGCCTATGAGATGGCATCAAAGTGCCGCGTCCTGCCACCTCTTGTGCCAGCTCTTGATTCGGATTGTATCTTGGATAGGAAGAGCTTGTCTCCCCATGGCCTGGAGCTTGTGGTAGAGACACAGGTTAAGAAGGTTCGTGGTTCGGATGTAGTTGTTGAGGTTGAGGGGTCTTCGAAGGGCGCTGTGTTGAAAAGTGTCGTATGTTATGTCAACGGGCAACCGTGTGATACTGCTCTGAATAATAGGAAGTGGTCAGCCAAGTCTTCATACCCGGTGTCTGATCGAGATGGGAAGTGGGAGAAATGGGCAAGTCCTACGCTGAAGCAGACTATTGTTGTGGTGACGGGGTACGCGGAAGGCGGCTCTGCGGCCGGGAAGCTCATTATTCTGTGAAATCGAGTCTAGGTTTAGTGTTTAACTTATCCTTCGATGTAAAAAAAAAAAAAAATACGATTTTACTTGTCATACGACATCACCTACTTCATAGGAACAATTAAATCATAAACATGTGCTCATTAACGAAATCACGTAACGCTGCGAGTAACTCTGAAATGCGAACGGGAAAATGTGATCAAAATGCGATGAAATGCTTCGAGCAATCAAGGAGCAAATGAACAATGAAGCCTCGTGGTACTATGAGCGTCAGAAATTGGAGCCTTCGGAGGCAAGTCGATAACAGGTCATTTACCTTGAAAATGAAAGCAAAAAACGTCCGTAGGTCGTAGGTCGTAAGATATAAGTCGACGATGCCTTTGCAGCTCTCCTCATTCAAGGTAGGTGCCCTTACCCTATGCTGTGTACCAATTGCAGATACACCGGTAAAGACGCATTAGCCCGTCCTTCTGAGGCCCCTCCTCCATCTTCTCAATGTCCATCAGTACGTAGGGACTGTAGAAGATGAACTTGCACATATCCAGCATGGTTCGAAACTCATCGCCCTTGGGTGTCTCCGGCCAATCTTTGGACTGGAGGTAGTCCTCGAAGGTGCACATCAGCCAGATCACGTCTAGACGGCTCTTCTCGTCCAAGCGCCATCTTTGCACGCAGCAGGCGCGGTGTGCGTAGTGAAGACCTTGAAGGCGGTTGATCGCCTTCAAGATCTGGCGATCTGTGTCGGTGAATGTGAGGTTATTGACTTCACGGATTATTGTCATGTATTTGCAGGTGGGCACATGGTAGATGACGTTGTCTGTGTCTGAGGGTCGTTCAACGATGACAATTCCCTCCGAAGAACGTTCGATTGGGCAATCGGTGGCGCCGGGGCTGCTGGAGTCACTTCGAGGCCGGCCGGTGGTGTTCAAGAGCAGTGGGATTTCACTTTCGCAAGCTGCCATAGCCGCGAGAGAGTGCTAAGAAGAGGTTGGAAAGGAAGAGAAAAGGGCGAGATAAGGAGGTCGGATGGAAGAAGAAGAAGAAGAGTGAAGTGAGACGAAGTTGAAATCTCAGGTGCCAGTGAATATTCGAATAGAAACAACAGAATGCGCACATTTATTATCATAAAAATTACATGCCCGTAACAAAAGTGTCCAAGGTTGCCTCGTATCGCACAAACCCTCCATACATCATATCCTCTATCATCCCCAGAATAGCACGGTGTAAATACTTTTTCTTCAAGTGTTCCAGGTAGGATTCGGCTTCTTCTACAGATGGAAGTCTCTCCAGCGTCGACGTGTCGGCATCCCACATGATTTTCTGATGCAAGAACTGGAACATCTTATAATACGGCACAGCGTCGTCCCAGCGATCTGCGAAACAAGACAGGTTCTTTGTGCATGCCTCAATAGCTTCTGCATATTCGTGTGCTTGGTGTCGTTGCTGGAAGGTATCCATGGATTGGGTTGCCCAAATAAGATATAACAGCATGATTCCGGCGCGGAATTGGAATACAAGCTACAATGGTTAGCCGAAGCTCTTTAAAGACGTCTAAAATCCCCTTTCGAGAGGCCTCTAGGAGGAGATCTAGAAGGAATACCAGGAAAATACTCACAGCAGACCAAGTAAAACACAACACATGCCCTTCCTCCTGGAAATCCCGATACTTCATACAGACCTCAGCAACCGCGGAGAAGATATCCTCAATGCCCTCGTGATCCAGGAAATTCCGCTTCTCTTCCATCAATATGAGAATACTGTAATCATACAGCTTCGTCATCCAGTTCGGGTTGAAGTAGCCACATGAGACATCTGCAGTTCCGTAGCGCGGGATGTCTTGTCTCCATATATCTAGAGCGGACTTCAACGAGGAGTTGAACCCATTCTTCTCCTCAGAGAATTGCCAGCGCGATCGCTCCAGTGATCTTCTAATATTTGATTGGATCTTTCGTAGTCGGAAGAGATGACCCAGAGCAGGATTTGTATTGACGGGGGGTTGGATGGTATCGCCCAGGATACACAACTGCGAGTGTTAGTCTTTTTAACACACTTGTGGAGGGAAGAAGTATTTGTATATGGTCACTTACATCATCATCCACAGCACGATATGCAGCAGACATTGGCCGATCCCAACCAGAAGCAATAACTTCGTTCAGCATGTAACATGTTATAAACATGTTCTCCGTCCAAAATTCCCCCGCAACAGCAGACTCATCATCTTGAATGGTGCGCGCATATTTGCGAATCTCCGTCATCGCCGCTGTACAGAATGGCAATATTGAAGAAACGCCCGTGGCAATCTCCTCCGACGAAGGAGAATGCAGCGCATAGACAATCAAAAGAAGCGATGCCTGGACCTGCAACACCATAGATGAATGTCCAACCACATTTGGATAATAATTCAAGGCAGAAGCATATAAATCTTTCGATCGTGTCAGATGCGCATGATTTCGATGCATCGAGCTGCATAGTGATGCGCCAATAGCGTAGACCATCCGCAGAAAGAAACACTTCCATTCTTGTCCTTCGAAAGAGTCCTCACAATGCCATTTTTTCCAAGCAGACTCGTTAAGGAAAGGCCATTCGCGGTGTGATATGGAAAAGTAAATATTGGTATAGAGTTCAGTAAGCCATAAAGAGTCGTCGCTTATGAGCGGGTAAACGGGACTCTTGTCAAATCTTAAAAAGTCAAGGTTTTCGTTGAATTGGGAGAAAATGTCTGTAAAGGGTGTTCGAGAGGGTGATCGTGATATTCGAATTTGTTGTGTTTCAGGGAATAACACCAGGGCGTTCTCCTCTGCTAAGTCCATCCAATGCGACTTGTCTTTGGTATCCGGTATCCAGAGGGCCTTGGAGGGTGTATCGACACTTTCCTCTAGCGGTAGATCAGTCTGGACACTTGCATCGCACATCACCAGATGGTCGGATCGAGGAGAATCTTCCAGATCGGCGACTCTTCTCTCCAATTCTTTCAAGTACGCGAACGGGATCGTCACGCTATCGCCGGTTCTGCGCGATCTCGCCGGCAGACACTCGGCGCCTTTCCGGCGACATTCACCGCAGGTAGGTTTCGCATGGTCGCATTTGCGCTTTAAGCGGAAACAACGGGCGCAGGCAATTTCTCTTTGCTTAGGTCGAGACATGGAAGAAGGAAAGAGTGCGGGGTGCGGAGATAACTAAGTTTAATATTGATAAGAAGATCTCGGTCTCGGTCTCTTCGCCGACCCTGATAGCAACATCAAATCAAATGCCACTATCATGGTTATCATGGCTATCATGGTCATCCTCATCCTCTCTGAGATATCTGGGATATCTCAGATCTTTGGGAGTCTCGAACTTTCCCACTGCCGACATCACTTCCGAACCCACTTCCCCATAACCGCATCGAACCCGATAGTCTTGTGCTCGACGTTGAGTGTCTTAAGCATGAACTCCATCGTAAATTCCTAGGACTAGTTAGCCCTAGCTCAACACCAAAGAACATTGTCCGCACCTCATCAGTGTCATCGTCCTGCGTAGCCGCGCCATTCCTATCCAAGAGATGACCCGGAGTGTCAGGGTGTGTGTCCATGTCTTCGTCATACTTAAAACCCTGGCCTTGAGCCTGATTTTCATCCCATCGCGAGGCATCTTGCTTAGAGCGTTGTCTCCAGACTTTCATTCCACCTATGCGAGCGACACGCTCTTTGGCGTCGGTGAAGACTTCCTCGGCTGCTTCCTGGCTGATCAGACGCCACTTGTTGATCGACGTCTCCAGATCGGCATCGGTACCTGATGATTCGATTCGTAAAGCTTGACGTGCAGTCTCAATTATCTTTTCCTGCGTGATGCGCTGCGAGAACAGAGTGCGATACTTCTTCTGTAGTTCCAACAGCTCCGAGTCCGGGTAGACGGATCGGGTGGTCACGACAAGTCGATCCTGAAACGGAAGGCCCCGGGCGGTCGTTGGTGGCTCTGGGCCTGCATTGAATGAGGTCGAGTCTTGAGCTGGCTCGGGTTCATACTGAGGGGTCCAAGTCGTGTCGGGAGGTGAGAGCAGGACAGAGGGGGCACCTCGAGTGCGCAATGGGGACTTAAATGGCTTCGAAAGAGGGGCTGCAGCGCCAAAGCGACGACGACGCTTATAATCAGGCTGGTCTTCAGGTTCAAGATCCGACATTGTGGGTCAGATACGAAGGATGGAAGGGGAAGAAGAATGATGTTGAGAGAGATTGTTTATTTACACCAAAAATCGCGTACAATACAAGATACATTCAGTGGCCAACACCGCCTGCTACCCACTGCCCAAATTCAGGGTCACCGGGCTGCGGGAAAAAGCCGCGGTCGTTGCCATTATTCGCATTTGCATTCCCTCCATTTGCATTTCCGGCATTCGCAGCGTTTGCATTTTGCCGGTTGCGCTGCTGTTGTTGGCGGATGTAAACCAGCACGAGAAGAGTCGCTGCCAGGCCGACAATGAGAAGACCTTCGAGCATTCCCTCGTCAATGTCAAACTCCAAGTCATCATAATAGCCGTCGTCGTGGTGCTCGGAGTCGAGGCTTCGACCCATGAAATCATCGCCATTTTCTTGAGATTCGTAGAGGCCCTCCCAATACTCGGCCTCGTCGTTTCTGACAAAGGCGGCAATCCATTCGCGGAGAGTGAGGTTAGGTTTCGCATCTAATGTCAAATTAGAATGTAGGTCAAATAGTATATAGGTGTTTGACTAACCTTCGTCATCACGGATGGGATTGATGTTCCCGTTGGTGATGCGGTTCCAGTATCCTCGAGCCCGCAGCTTCAACAAGCTAAGCTTCACAGGGAGATACGCCTCCTTGTTGGTATCCAGAGCCAGGTCATAGTATCGCTTGGCCATATGGAAATCCTGCTGGACGGCAATACCATTCTCATGCATCCAACCCAGGTTCCAGTAAGCTTGTGCACTACGGTGTGCCTCGGCGGCATTGTGGTAGCAAGCTGAGGCCTTATCGACATCAGAGACCGTTCCCATGCCAGCCAGGTAGTAATCGCCCATCTTGATTAACGAGTCGATATTGGTTTGCTTGGCAGACCTTGTCCAGTAAATCAGTGCCAGCCTCGTGTTACGGAGCAAGGCGGAGCGAGTCTTCTGGACCCATGGCAGGATGGTGTCGAACGAGAACAGAGAACGCTGCTCGTCAAGAAGGAAGGCCACATTGGCTTGCGCAGTTTCGTAGCCCTGCTCTGCGGCCATCATAGCTGGGATGAGGGCGCTTTCCTTGTGTCCAGCCTCGTAAGCCGCATTTGCCTCTGCAAAGGCCGAGTGAAGTATCTCAGCCTTCTCGGCGACCAGCTTGTAATAGGCTGTGGCAACACCACAATGTTGTTGACGACCAACCCCATAGTTTGTCATCTCTGCGAGATAATAGTACGCCTCCATCCAGCCCCAGCGCGCGGCAAGTTCGAAGTAGCGAGTTGCAGCGGCAACATCTCCCTGGTCCAAGAAGAGGGCGCCGAGTCTTGTTTCTGCTGCCGGAATGTCCTGGTCGGCTGCTGCCTTAAAGTAGGAAGATGCTTGAAAGGCATCCTGGGGCACTCCGTACCCATAGAGGTACATCAACCCTATCTCGTGCTGGCAGAGTGCATCGCCATTAGCCAAGCCTCGCCTGAACCAAATCATAGCCTTTTCAGGAGACTGCTTCACTCCCTCCCCACGAAGCCACATCAGGCCAATGTGTCCTGCCGCTTTGGCAGCCAGCTTGTCGAGTCCCACGGGCGGGTTCTGTTTGACTGACCCATCCTCGCTCCAATATTTCTTAGCCACGACCTTGAAGTATTTCATAGCCTTGGAGAAGTTCCGGGGAAGACCACGAGCTCCCTCGTAGTGCATCTTGGCCAGAGTGTATGTGTGGCTCATCTCGCCCTTCCGAGACATGAGGTCCAGGAACTCCAGAACGTCCTCGACACTGGCCTCGGCGGCATGCGACTTGTCCGGTGCATTCATCCCAGAGCTTGATACACTAGCTCCTTCACCATAGACACCGCCCTCCTCATCGGCCCAGCGATAAGACTCCCGAATCATCGCATGGCCACCTGGCGGACCACTCCGGTAGAAGTCAATTGCCTTATCGGCCACCTTCTTATAGTAATAGAGCGCATTGTCACAGCTCTTAGGTGACCCAATGCCCGTGTGGTAGCGGTATGCCAGCGTCATCTCCGACCGTATGTTTCCTCCCTCGGCCGCGAATTCGTGGTACATCAACGCCTTAGCCTGGTCGCGTTCGACCGCTTCTCCAATGCCCGTCGCGTACATGAACCCAACCATAGACTGGGCTGTGCTGTTGCCTGTCAACCATGCTAGATCGTTGTACCACAGGAAAGCCTCGCTGAAGTTACGCGGGTAGGAGAAGTTGCCGTAGAAGTTCATCTCCGCGAGGAGGAACATCGCGTCCGTGTCCTGGTCTTCATCCACTGCTGCTTTTAACTCCTCCACAGCTCGGAGAACGGTTGGGCTGGTCTTGCGACCGCTCTTATCGGTGACGGGTCCATTCAGGAAGAGTAACCGAAACGCTTCACGGCCATAGTGCCAGGTGTAGCCGAGTATCCCTGAAGGCTTATTGGCGTGGAATGAGATAGGTTCAATGGCTCGAAGGGTGCTCCAGATATCTTGAACCCGTTCTATAATGAAATCAATGCTTTATCAGTATCATTCGTCGCGTGGGCCCCTGATACAACTCGGGCGGTATACTCACGGCTTACGGGCTGGCGCTCTGGTTGTTCTGTCGCGAATAGGAACTCTTGGTAGTCCGTACTGTCTGCTGCGGCATTTGAGGTAGAGGCTTCTCCGAGAGGTTGTTGATTGGACCCAGCTGCGCATGTCTGTAATAGCACTGTGAAGCTGTCAGCATCTGGCAACCCCGGGATCGGGGAGGGGTCGTACGCAGGGCCGTTACGAAGCAGGAGAACATGGTCCTCATGATGCGTGCGGTAGAGAGTTGGATAGTAAGTGTCGCATTGCGACTCCTGGTTCAACGGGAATCAGGAAGGTAGACACGCGAACAATGCGAGGGTCGGTGATGTAGTTCCAACGGGCCACTTGGCTTGACGGAGCTTCATTTTGCCGATGGCGAATCACCGCTCCACAAAAACTCTGGTATTTCTATAACATCCACATCTTTCTACTTTCTACTTTTACGTTGACTGAGGTTTTTACTTTGGTCCTGGGATCAAGAACTAAAGAATGTCATTAAAATTCTTTTATTGAACTCCCTGGGATATTCTGTGTACAGAACGGGAGAAAAGCAGACAAAATACAAAACCCCCAGTGCGCTCTTCATGCAAAAGAGAAAAGAAATGGCAAAGCAAAACATGGCACATTCTCCGAGAGAGGAGCACTGTTTAGCCTTAGGCATGCCTCAAGGACCAAGTCCATGGCTTCCAAAGGCACCACAATGCCTCAGCATTCCCAGAGATTCACCCATGTCACTAGCCGAGGGGGAAAACAAAGTCATTCACAATCTCGAAAACGGAGTGAAAACTAGAACTGGGGGCATCTTGAGCAGGAAATGCTCGCGAGCAGTGCTAAAAAACAGATACAATTGAACGGAGAAAGGCACCCCAGATCATGAAACAAAGAGAGATGTTGCCCAAGTCAAGTATGAAAATCTTTTGCTTTATCGGTTTTTTGGTGATGGTACATGACCGAGCTTCACTGGCGGGGAGACCTGTTTGTTTTTTGTCAGTTACAGCAACTGAGAAGAACGGTATATTGGAGGACTCACGTTGGGCTGTAAGCCGGAGAAGTCGGGCTGTAGCCGGGTGACGTCGGGGAACCAGAGAAGTTGGGAGAGGTCGGGGAGTAAGACTGGGGACTAGTAGGAGACCACCCAGGCGAAGTTGGAGTGTACTTGGGTGAAGTGGGCGATGTAGGGGACAAGTGCCGGCCGCCACCAAGAGCTGGGCTCGTGGGACTGTAGCTGGGCGACGTCGGGCTGAAAGCCGGGGAAGCGGGGCTGAAGCTTGGGGACGTCGGGCTGTAGTTTGGCGAAGTCGGCGAAAAGCCGGGCGAAGTGGGAGAGTAAGATGGAGACGTGGGTGAGGCTCCATATGCAGGCGACGTGGGCGAGTATGCCGGAGACGTCGGGTTGAAGCTCGGGCTTGAAGGCGAGAAACCAGGAGAAGTCACGAAGCCCGGACTGGTCAAACCGATACCAGGGGACGTAGGCGAGTAACTCGAAGTTGGCGAGTAGCCAGGAGACGTCGGGCTGGTGTTGAAGGGGCTGGTTGGGGAGTAAGCGCCGGGGCTGCGCGCGCCCGGGCTGAATCCACCATAGCCATCCGGGTTTGGACGATAGTGGCTGAAGCCTCCGGGAGTCTCTGCGCCGGGCTGGCGGATAGGAGAAAAGCTTGCGTCCGGATCTCCAGTAACCATGGAAGGCGAGCTGGCCATGGGCGAACCAGTATCGTACTCGGTAGAAGCACCGGTGGGACCCATACCCTTGTCGTCGATCATAGGGCCGCGAGGGTTGGAGACAACAGTGTTGAGCAAGGACTGATCCAGATAGACATCAAACTCTCCCGTTCCAGCGGGGGCCATCTGTCCCAGAATCAAGTTCTCGGAAACACCACGACAGTCATCCAACTCTCCGAAAGCGGCTGCCTCAAGTAGAATTTCCACGGTCTCTTCGAATGAACAACGCATAAGCGCACCGTTATCGGCACGGTTGATACCGTGACGGGTGACAGGAGTCAAGTAACCACGAACGGTCATGACATCGACAAGGAGAGCCAAGTGACGGTGGTTGACGTAGGAACCGTCGAAAGCCAGCACCTGAGTCAACTCACGGAGCACAGCAGTACGGGCAGCCTCAATACCGAAGACCTCGAAAATCTCGATGAACTGATTGGAGTAGGTTCGAGTAGCATCAACACCAGGAATTGCAAGGACCGGTGCCAGGGAAGAGCCGCTGGTTTCAAGAACCCACTCCTTGCAAAGAGGATCTGACTTGCTGGTGAAAAGAGTACCGTCCTCGAGGACACGGACCTTGCTCTTCTCGTTGATGAAAGCACGTTCAACGCCAGGGACTCCACGAAGAGTCAGAGTATCGAGCAAGTGCTGCTCCAGCTTTTTCAGGGTCACGTCGTACTCGACATCATCATCGTCATCATCCTTGTGATCCTGGATCTGACGAATACGGATGACCTGCTCGTCGGCGTTGTTATCACTGAAAATGACAGCGATATCCCGAGGGTAGGCCTGCTTGATCTTCGAGGCAACATCCTGCACAGTAAGACCCTTATCCAGCAGCTGGGGTCGACTGAGGATAATACGGAGCAGCCACTTGGACTGGTGAGCAATGTCCTCGCCGGCTTCTTCGGGAATGATGAAGTAGGACTCGACCATATCCCGATCGTTCTCGATCACAGTAGACTGGATTTCAGGGTCATAGTAGATCTCAGTGGCCTCAGTAACAGAGCGCAAGCTGGTGTGCTCGACGACACTGCGCAACAACTTGGCACCCTCCTTTACACCTGTCATGTGGCTTTCCTGGTAAACAGTCATAGACGGGGTCTTGATGTTGGTGGCAACGTTAAGAATTTCCTTGAGACGAGGAACACCAAGAGTAACGTTCTTAGACGACACACCAGCAAAGTGGAAAGTGTTCAAAGTCATCTGCGTGGCGGGCTCACCAATGGACTGTGCTGCAAGAACGCCAACCATCTCGCCAGGGTTGGCTTGAGCACGTGCGAAACGCATCTCAATGGCGCCCAGAACATGCTGGAACGCAAGCTTGTTCAGAGAGTAGTCTGTAACCAGACGGCGGAAAGCAAGACGGCTACGCAACTGAGCCTTAAACAGCAGAGTTGCGTTCGTCTGGGCCTCGCGCGAAATTGGATCATCACCACGGACAACCACCAGGCGTTCGAGGAGGTCCTGGACTTGAGGAATGACCTCGGTAGGGTGGAGATCACTGATAGTGCCCTCACGAATCCTGAAAGTGGTTCGAGCCATTTCCAAAATACGCTGAATATTAATGGGAAGCTGCATCATTTCCTCGTCCTCCTTGGCCACAGTGCGCAGGAAGTCGCGGTCCTTGACAATCGCTTCCCACTCCTCGTCGAAGTATCTCTGGACTTCCGAGTCACCTGCGATCTCGTTGGCTTGCTCCAACAACTCAGGGCCGATGGTACGCTCGGGATCCATGACATCTACTCGGAAGCGTTCCCGGAGCTTCTCATCGGAGCATCGAATGATATCAACACGCTGGTTCTCAATGTGGGCACCATCAAGACCATCTTCTCCGTAAATGAACTGAATAACGTCACCAAGAGAGTTACGGACAGTACCATCATACTTGACCATGACTTCTTCTAGAGCCTTGACCAGCTTACGCTGGATGTAACCAGTTTCGGCAGTTTTGACGGCGGTATCAATCAGACCCTCACGACCAGCCATGGCGTGGAAGAAGAATTCAGTCGGAGTCAGACCACGGAGGTAAGAGTTCTCGACGAAACCGCGGGACTCGGGAGAATAATCATCCTTGGTAAAGTGCGGCAAAGTGCGGTACTTGAAACCAAATGGAATACGCTTTCCTTCCACGGACTGTTGTCCCACAACTGCAGTCATCTGGGAAATGTTGATGGTGGAACCCTTGGAACCAGAACGCGCCATCTGAATAGCATTGTTCAAATCCTTCAGAGACTTCTCGGTGGCAGCACCAGCCTCGTCACGAGCGTTGTTGAGGGCACGTGAAACCTTACTCTCAAAGGTTTCACGGACATTCATACCAGGCAAAGCCTCAAGGGTATTGTCAGTAGCGCTAGCAGTGATCTCTTCGACCTCCCGCTTGCGCTCACGGACAGCCTCCTCGATCTTGTCAATAGTGTTCCGATCAGGAATCGTATCACCGATACCGATACTGAAACCATTGTGCAGAAGCCAGTAGTTGACGATTCTCTGGGCACCATTAAAGAAGTTCACAGCAGTGTCCGGTCCATACTCGTTGAAAATGGTGTGAATGACACCGCCGCCGCTAGCGCCGACGGTCTTCTTGGAGAGCATGCCGTACAAGAGCTGACCACCATGAATGAGCAGGCCGCCATCATTAAGAGGACTAAACTTCTCAGATAGTGGCGAGCTGTCCTTGTCGATACGCAGAAGGTTGAGTCCAGTAGGGAACGCCATACTAATCATCTGCTTTCCGGTCCAACGCGGGCGAGGTTTCAGAATGGCGGGAGGGGGGATGGCACCATCCCAGTCTGGGACCCAGAGCATGATGTTCATGACCTGATCCTTGGAGAGGAAGACATCACGACGGCAAACCTTGTAGATACCGCAGAGAGTATCCTGGACGATACCCATAAGGGGACCGTTACGCTGAGGAGAGACGATATTCTTTGGAACGAGAGCAAGCTCAGAAAGCTCTGCGCGGGCCTCCTCACTCTGCGGGACGTGCAAGTTCATCTCGTCACCATCGAAATCGGCGTTATAAGGAGATGTGACTGAAAGATTCATTCGGAAAGTCGAGAAAGGCATGACGCGAACACGGTGACCCATCATGGACTCCTTGTGGAGGGAAGGCTGACGGTTGAACAGAATGACATCGCCGTTGTCAATGTGACGCTCGACCTTCCAGCCGTAGAGCAGCTGTTGCGCACCAGCACGCTTGGCATGGCGAAGATCAATTCGCTCGCCGTTGTCACGCACGATGTATCGGGCACCAGGGTGCACATTAGGGCCGTTAGAAACTAGGTACTGCAATTTCTCAATGTTGTACGGAGTCACGACCTCCGGGTAGGTCAGAATCTTTGCGGTCGAGTAGGGAACTCCAACCTCCTCAAGGGACAGGTTGGGATCACCAGTAATGACGGTACGTGCCGAGAAATCGACTCGCTTACCCATCAAGTTCTGTCGCAGACGACCTTCCTTACCCTTAAGACGGCTTCGAAGAGCCTTCACTGGTCGATTTCCCTTCTGCATAGCTTTTGGTTGACCAGCAATGTCGTTATCCATGTAGGTGGCGATGTGGTACTGCAACAAGGACTCAAATTCACGAATGACGTGCTCGGGGGCACCCTCCACTTCGCAGCGCTGAACGTTCTGGTTCGCACGCACAATTTCAGCAAGTTTATAGGTCAAGTCATCCTCACCACGAGAGCCGCTCGTGGCTCCCATCATAACACTGGGGCGGACGGTGGGTGGCGGGACAGGAAGAACGGTGAGGAGCATCCATTCGGGACGAGCGTAGTCGTTGCTCAGACCCATGATGCGGACGTCTTCGTGGGAGATGTTTCGGAAGATGTTGAGAGCCATCAAGGGGGTGATAGTCTTCTTCTCGGGCTGTGCCATCTCGTCCTCCATCATAGCCTTGCTGGGCTTCCACGTGCCTACGAGAGTGATACCGTCCTTCCGAACCGTGGGCTGAGCATTACCGCAGCCACCGTGGAAGTTGGCCTTCTGGGACTCCTTTGCGAACTCATCATCGTCGGGTGATGGGTCGGCCTCACAGACCAGCACGTCCTTGGAAAGTCTCCAGATATGATCGAAGCGTCGTTTCGGGTCTCGCATACGAAGAGCTTCCAAAAATTTCGAATCAGACTGGTATTAGAGTCAGCAAAACATTGCCATGTTAGATTTGCCATCCCTTCTGGGATGACTAACCGTGTTGGCTTTGATCTTTCCACAGTTGTGGCAGACCGTCTCCAAAACTTTCTTGATCTTTGTTAAGAAACCTAGAAAGGACTAAAGTCAGTACATATGGTCTCCTGCAAGAACTGAGAGCCTTTGTCCACATACCAATGTGAAACACAGGTGAAGCGAGTTCGATATGACCGAAGTGACCAGGGCACTCCTTGGGTCCCTCTTCACAAGTCTCGCAGTTGTACTGGCGGTCGATGGTACCGAGGCGCGGATCGTTGATACCGTTAGCACGAGGGCGCTGGCGTTGTTCATCCTGTAGCGTCAAAAGGTTAGAAGTCAGGCGCATCGCAAATTTTGCGGTTTGGGAAGAGGAAGGGAGATCAGTAGGCGCGTACCATAGTCTCAGGGTATAGAATGTTGACCACACTCATGCGTTTGATTTCCTCGGGAGAGAAAAGACCAAACTGAATCTCCTTGATGGTGCGCAAAGGCGCCTTGGAGAAGGGGAAGAAAACGTTCGACATCGTGGTGGTTGTTGTTGCGAAAGCACGTCGGGATTCGGATTTTGACGGGTCGGGAAGAGGAAGCGCGGACCTAACAATAACGAAAGAAGTGATGTCGTTAAAGCGCAAAAACTGAAGGGACTGGCGGACTCGACGACTCAAAGTCAAATTCGAACGAGGCGACGATGAAACGAAGGTGATGTGGAAGCAGCTGGCCGGCTGAGGCCTTTGGCAGCCCTTGCCACGAGGGCGCCGGCGACCTAGAGTCCCCGAACGTCACGAAGCCACGGAAAAGGGAGCGAAAAGAGGCGCGCAGGGGATTTTCGCGTGAGAGAAATCTCCTGAAGAAATACCGCGATGCGGGACGCGATATTCTTAGATGGGGAGGGGATGGGGAGGGCGTGTCGGGGAGGTTGAAAGGGAGATGGTGAAGGTTGCCTCACCCGTTGATGGGGCTCGAGTTTTCCCTGCCTGCACTTAGCGCGCCAGACCTGTCTAAAGGGCATCTTTAGGGGAGGCGGTATCTCTTGGCAGAACTGACAATTGCGTTGGTCGCCTCCGTGTTCAGGCCGAATTCAGGCATCAGCGGGGACCGCTTTAGTGCCGTTGCTGACCGCCTTGGATTTCTCTCCGTCCGGGATTCGCGCACGCGATGCTGTATACAAGGTGTCAATCGCAATAAGTGGTTGGCGGCTTAGTCGAGCCTGATATTACCTGCACAGACTCCAGTCTGTACTGGATGCTTGGTGCCGACATCCTGGTGGTGCTCCCATGCTGGGAACTTGATCATTGACTTCGGCAACCCTGTGTGTCGCCGCAATGAATCTGTCCCTCATTGACCCGTTCGTCCTGGCCCAGGACTACCCGGACACGTTGACGGAGACGCTCAGTACGTATTTCATATATTCTACAGCATTCAGCTGCTAACAAAGATCAGAATCCGGCCATGCGACATGTCTACGGTTCAATCACACGGGCGAATATCTAGCATCCGGACGGGTTCGTGTTCGGCAACTACGGTTGAATAAAAAATTAAGGGCTAACATTGTTCTGCAGGTGGATGGTACTGTGGTGATTTTTGACATTGAAACGAACGGTGTGGCGCGCAAGCTGCAGGGTCATACACGCCAGATCCAATCAATTAGGTATTATCTATGGCGTCTTCACGAAAGGCGGTGCTAACCCCCTCAATAGCTGGTCTAGAGATGGACGGTATCTCCTCACCTCATCCCAGGATTGGAAGTGCATATTGTGGGACCTACAAGACGGCTCGCGTATACGGACGGTCAGATTCGAGGCGCCTGTCTACATCGCCGAGCTTCACCCATTCAACCAGTACGGTCTCCCTCTTCCATGCTGTGCGACTCCACAGAACCTAACTCCTCCCGTTCCAGTCTCCTCTTTGTGGCATCCCTCTTCGAAGACCAACCCGTCCTGGTCGATGTTTCCGGTGACAAACCTAAAAAGCGCATTCTCCCCTCTGCACCCCTGCGTCCTCAATCCACAAATGGCGAAGAAGTCGACCCAGCCGCCGCCGCAAAACAAGCAGCACAAGACGCAAAACACTCAACATGCGTCACGGTCTTCACATCATTTGGAAACCACATCATCGGAGGAACATCAAAAGGATGGATCAACATCATCGAAACAGAAACGTGCAAGACAATCCACTCCATGCGTCTCTGCAACGGCGTGGTAATCCTCCTCCGTCTCGCCAGCAACGGCCGAGACCTCCTAGTCAACAGCTCAGACCGCGTAATCCGCACTGTCATAATGCCCGACCTATCTCAACTAGGTATCGGCCTCGAACCATCAAGCATAAAACTCCACGTCGAACACAAATTCCAAGACGTCGTCAATCGCCTCAGCTGGAACCACGTTACATTCTCATCAACCGGTGAATTCGTCACCGCCACAACATTCATGAACCCAGATATCTACGTCTGGGAACGCAGCCACGGATCTCTAGTCAAGATCCTCGAGGGTCCACGTGAGGAACTCGGTGTCGTCGAGTGGCATCCCCTCCGACCAATGGTCGTCGCCTGTGGTTTAGAGTCCGGCTGTATCTACACATGGTCAACAGTCAGTCCACAGAAATGGTCCGCCCTAGCACCTGACTTCGGCGAGGTCGAAGAGAACGTGGAGTACATCGAGCGCGAAGACGAATTTGACGTCCACCCAGCCGAACAGGTTCACCAGCGTCGTCTTGATCTAGAAGACGAAGAGCCAGACGCTGTGACACTCGACCCGGTCAAGATTGACCTCGACGCGGAGACAGGCAACGTTTTCGGTGTTCCTGTCCTCATGGATATCTCCGACAGCGAGAGCGAAGAGGAAATCATTGCCGTTGGCCCTGGTACCATGCGTCGACGCACGCCCGGTGGAGGGAATACAGGTGATAAAGACAGCCAGGCTGGTGCCAATGGTACATCCCGTGGTGCAGCGCGAAACCGACGGCGGTGAAAGGCCTCTATGGTTATATTTTCCTTTTGTCTGGTCTTGGGACCACACGAAAATCCATTTGCATCGACAGGGCGTTTGTGGGCAGGGTATTTGGCGTTGGGTGGATTCAGGCTTTGCTTAGTCTTTGGTACAGTGATGCACTCACCCACTTCACACATTTGCAGTAGAGACAGAGCTAGTCGAATACTAAAAGTCTGGTATGACATTCTTCATTCTGGTCGACACATCGTCTTAAGGAGTCCTGGAGGGTGCCCATCTGAAAAATACCAATCACTTCTTATCATGCTACGGGATCACAATGTGGAGATCAAGATAGATCAAGGACATGGTATCTTGGGTAGGTAAAAAGATATAGATGAGTTGCCTGGCGAGCAAATCGACCACAGAAGCCAAGGCGCAAAACCTGGGTATATCACAAGCCGAAATATAACAAAATCGGCTCAAACGCCACATGAAATGCTAAAAGAACGCAGAAGTAAAAGGAAAGGAAAGTCCCTAACCAAGACACATCGAGTGAGACCATGGTCCATTCATGATATGTAATCGTCCATTGGGCCGGTCTGTGGATGTCGGATCAAGGCTGGGTTCTATTCGAAAAGAAGTTTTTTTTTTGGTTGCATGGTGCAACAGCGTAGTCGTATAGTCATCTTTTGGAGGCCGCGTAAGAATCATGAGAGTTCGGGGGGGCGTTCGAGAGGACTCTGTATGTGAATTCTTTTGTATTGATGACTTGCATCGTTGAACTCTCTCGCCAGATCATAGTGAAGAGCCGTGACGAAAGGTATAATCAAGTGATCCATGTCTTGTGGACAGACACAGACTAGTCGGCAAGCGGCTTGCGCGCCTGATAGATATGCAGGATATTGTAACAATGAAGATCCTTATTGAAAGCCTCCGCCTTGACATCCTGTGCAAGGCGCTGGATCTTGTCAAGAGGCCAATCGTAGACGCGGCTGAAAGGAGCCAGGCTAAGGGATTCGACACTCTCCGAGATGGCAAGGTTGTACCAACGAGCAACCTTCTTCTCATGCTCGTCATCATGCCAGGGGTTCATAGGCAGACCCACCATCTGGTGATCAATCTCCGTGAAGCCAGCTTCCTGTAAATTGCGAATTGTATCACGTGAGCTATGCGCCAAAGGTCGCTGCCTATCCTCCGTCGCGCGCTTCAACGCAGAATACCAGTGCCGAAGGGCGAGACCACCCAAGGACCTATCATCACAGCGCGGTTCGAAGTCGATTTCCACCTGCTCGAACCAGGCGCCCGGGCGGAGATGAGCGAAGACCCGCTTATAGAGACTCGGCCAGCTCATGACGCTACCGCTGCCCATCTGCATATGGATCAGATCCCAGGAGTCCTCGCCCATGGCCCAGGGACTTTCGAAATCGAAGGGAGCGTAGAAGTCGCAATTCTTCGGGCGATTTTGCGGTTGGATAGGCGCGAGGTCGATGCCGACCACGAAGGAATCGGGGTACTTGTTGGCGACTTCAATGCTCCAGATTCCGGTGCCACAGCCAAGGTCCATAATGCGCGAGTTGCTTGGATGTGGTGCGTAGATTAAGCCGTCTTGGGCGCGGGCGGTCGTGAGGAGCTTGTGGAAGATGTCGAGGCGGTCTTGCTCTTCGTCGTCGCATGGAAGCATGTAGATGCCCTTGCGATAGCCATGGTACATCCGACCGTTTTCTGAATATGCTGGGTACCTTTCGGGTATCCTGCGATTGCGTGAGGTCAGTCATTGGGCTCTCACCGAAGTCATTTGGGCATGCAACCATGTCCCAAGCTGGAGAAACTTACTTGCGATTGGAGATGATTACGGGAGGTGATGAACGGGAGGCATGAGAGAGCTGCGAAGAATGAGACGCGACCGAGCCGTTACTGGTGAAGCGACCCATGGGACCCCTATGGTCCCTCTCAGCGGGATCTCGGTCTGTGATGGCATAGATATCCATGGCGGTAGATGTCTGCCTTGAGCGAGCCCGCTCGCTCATTGGCACGGACTGAGCATGACTGTAGTACCTCGAGTGTACGGCATCGCTGGCGCCCGTCGACTCCGACTTGTACCTCTTTGGAGGTGGTGGGGACACCATCGGCGGCAGCCGTCGGCGAAACCCATGTTCATGTTCGTCCGAAGGCATTCGCGGGTATTGAATCGAGCGCGCTATAATGATGTTTAGGTTGAGCTCGCGACTCGTAAGTCGTGGAGAGCGACGAGGGAGGACGTTCGATCAATGATCGCACGTGAATGACAGCATCGAAAGAAGCAGCCGAGAGGAAACAAGAAACAAGAAGCTAGAAGCCAGCTGAAATGCAGCAGCACGCAAGGGTGACCGAAATAAATACTCCGAACCGAGCGACGGTCCGTTGAGCTATACGCGAGGATGGGGGGAAGCCCAGAACCAAGGAAGAGTGGGCTTTAAGGTTGTGTAGCCGCTGGGCTGGGCTGGTTTGGTGGGGACGGTGAAGCGAAAGATCAAAGTGCAGAGAGATCAAGGGAAAATCAGAAATACTGGGTACTGGGAACTAGGAAAATAACCGACAGAAGTACAGAAGTACAGGGGGGCAACTTTCTATACCATGCATTCACATCCACGGTGGGTATCATCCCTCAAATAGCAAATACCTAGACTAACTACAAACGCCCGGGTAATAATAAAAAGGAAATGAAATCACCCACAGAACCCAGATCACTCAAAGAACCCAAAGAACCCAAATCACCCAAGCCTCTCCAGACCCTCGGGTTCGACCGTGCATCCGTGTTGCAGGTCTAACTGGGTCCAGGATCCTCTTTGAATCCGGGTCACTCGAGACTCCTTCCCCTCTTGTCCTCGGGCGATCAAGTCCCCCACTGACGGTCCGCGCATCCCGTCTGGGCCTGGGTCCAAGCCATACAGCAGTCATGGTTCACCCTCTATATATTCTCGAGCCATCAACATGACATGACCCGAAATTCGTCATGTCTACATGCCCAAAAGTCTATCGGCGCGCACCCGAGCACCCGAGCTGATCCTCCCTGTACCTCTACCCCCTCCCCAGACTACCGGGTCGGCCGATGCAACGCTATGGATTGGCCCCCAGTGTCCTAATTCAGTGTTTTGTCATTTCATCCACTGCCTCGGGACCCTCCTGACTCGGTCCTCCCAAGCCCCCCATCACGTTAATGACGGACCATCATCTCATCTATCACTTCTCTACCTGACACCGGCCAATGCTCCTCTTTAGCGCAAGCTTAGCGTCTCAGCACGCCCCAGGGGATTGTCGCCTGCAAAAAATTCGTAATGGTCCCAGCCGAAAGGAAAGGAATCCTGTGGCTGGGAAGCCCCGTCCAACACATCGAATCCACCAACAATGCCCCAAACCAGAATCGTCCACGATTCCTGATGTGCGGTCTCCGCGCCAGGCTTGTGGGTCGTCTCCCGCTCAGGATATCCCCGGGAGACTGGGTTGCTTTTCGCTTACTCTGTACTCTCCTTGCAGACGGAGATTTGCAAATCACGGACCCCACTTCGCTTATTGCGTAAGTGTTTGCCTGATGACCTATCACGGTGTCGATCAGATCCAATGCCTTGGATCGCTACTGGTCATTTCTAGATGTCTGCATAATTTATTCCATTCGGGTTTTGTCTAGGAATAGATTTGTTTGGAGAGCAGGCGTATTCTCATATGAAACCACGCGGCTGTCAAAATTATACCCCGGAGGTATTCCCAAACAGAGACCTCCAGTGCATAATATACTGAATGGCAACCCCCGTAACAGCCGATCAAAGCTGAAATGCCTCAAGACTAATACACACAGGTACAGGTAAAGAAGCCCAGGTGTCCTGGGACAGATAGAGCTCAATCGTAGTCGGTGTACCTGTACCAACCGCAATGTATACAATGCGGTGACGGGAAGCCCCACGTACCAGGATTTTTTTTCTCTTAGCTCCCGACCTCCGTATAGAGAACCACGCCGAAATCTCCAATTAGCTGTATGTTACGTCGATCAACACCGTACATCGGACCTCACATCTTGCCTCGAAACAAACATTAGGGTTCCACTCAAGGGCTGATCAACTGCGCCTCTCGGCCATAGGCGACACATCAGCCGCATCCTCATCCAGCGTACAAGATACGGCGTACGGCGTACGGTACTGGTCTATATCGCAAGGCCACCTTGAAAAATGCACACACTCCAAGCCGTCGCCTCCTCCTCACTGGGCTTACCGGGTGATAATTACATTTACAGCATCGCGGCTTCAGCGGGATGCTTTGCTGCTATCTCGTCGGATGATTCACTGCGCGTTTTCGACGCCGCTAATCTTGACCGCGTGTCTGTGATCTCAAACAAGACTCACGATGGCGTCTCTTCGCTGCGCAGCTACACCGCTGGTGATTCCCAGCTGCTGGTCACCGGAGGCCGGGAGGGTAAGGTGAAGGTGTGGGATGTTCGGGCCGGGAACGCGGTGGTCGAGATGGAAACGGGTGAGTCGGTCTTGCTTTCTATTGTGTCTTCGGGTTTCTGCCCCCCCCCCCCTGCTGGGTTTAGAACTGTATCTGTACACCCCCGCGGATCTGCTGGAGGGTGGGCAATCGGGCAGGTCTTTGGGTGTCGGAGTATTTCTACGTCATGGGTGCATGGAAGGGCCTGATTGGGGGCGAGATGTTTCTTTTGGGAGTCCATGTGGGCTAATTTGTCGCATGTATAGCGAGAAATGCTCCTGTGCTTTCTGTGGCTTGTAATCCGGAGACGAATACCGTTGTCGCGGGTACGGAACTGGTGTCTTCCCAGGCGGTTGTTGCATTTTGGTAAGTTCTCTCCAGGCTTCACTTGACCAGCTTTTGCAAGATTGTTCTGCCCATGATTTGCCTTCCAGTTTTCCAGATTTATGGAATATCTGGGTTCATAGTTCGCGTTACTAACTCAAACAGGGACATCAGATCACCCCAAGCACCCCGTCTCCAATATGTGGAGAGTCACAATGACGATATCACAGAGGTAAGCGTGTACCTACCAACAATCAGTCCACTCGCCCCAATCAGTCTTTGGACAAGCGCTAATTAGACGGCATCCTACGTGTCGTACAGCTCCAATATCACCCGACCCGCAGCAACATCTTACTATCCGGCAGCACAGATGGGCTAGTCAACATCTACGACACAACAGTAACAGACGAAGACGAGGCACTCGTACAAGTCATCAACCACGGCTCAGTCCACCACGCCGGCTTCCTATCCGAGCGCACTATCTTTGCGTTAAGCCACGACGAGCATTTCTCCGTCCACCCAGCCACAGACCCGGATGATGCTGCGGAGGAGCCCGAGCCCGTGCATTTCGATGATGTCCGCGAGTCGCTGGGCTGCGAATACGTTGCTCAGCTCTGTATCGGTAGTCAGGGGCCGTATATCGCGGCCGGTAACAAGATGTATGTGTAGCTGAGAATGTGGGGGAGGGGCTTCCCCAGCCCGTCTCTTGAGTCTGCTGCTAACCTTCTGCGTAGTGATCAGCGTTTGGATCTGGTTCCGCTTGTGTCTAGCCCGTCGTGGCAGTTTGACCCGGATAATCTCTGGCGTCTCCCTGGGGCCCATGGCGAGGAGGTTGTGCGCTCTGTCTACTTGGATGAACAGGTTTGTCTTGACTAACTATCATTGTCTGGCCTTGTACCTTGGCTAATATAGTGATTCTCAGAGTCAATCGGTCTTCACATGCGGTGAGGACGGATTCGTGCGGGCATGGAAACCCGCTGATGGCGACGATTCCCAAGGTCAGGCCGGATCTGCGAAGACTTCACGGAAGGATAAGAAGCAGAAGGATCGGTTCAAGCCGTACTAGGGCGGATGAATGCAGCTTCGGCAACTATGTTCTGCTGTGTAGCATTGGGAGTTGGCGGTGGGCAAAAATAGACAGGAATAGGAACTTCCAAGGCTTTCTAATAATGGTGAACAACTTTCAAATAGATTTAAACATTACCCATTGCTCAAAATTCTTTTGGATCTTATTTTATCATGTTTCTATCGGGTTTGAAAGTGTGGTGGTTTTTAAAACTATGGGTATTTATTTCATGCCCTCAATATATACTTACGTTCTAACCGTAGGAGCACTGGAGTCTTATAATCAAGAATTGGCTCAATAGTGTGTTTAGCTACCAAAAGGGTGCAGATGGCTCAAGCAATATTCAATTAAGAGTAGAACTGGAGCGAGAAATCTCTGGATAGCCAAGAGGCACATGAACAAGGTGCGCTTCATGTCTGAAGAGAGTTACTAAAATAGGTTAGCGTGTCATCGGAGCTCCTGCGCTCTCTTTTCGGCTTCACCAGATCCTCCATTACGCTCTACCACCCCAATCGCGACAGTCCACGCTCGTCGCGCTTCCTATACTGGGAACCTAAGAAGTGAACCCGCGCCAGTACTGCTGGCAGATGCCCTTCGGCCCATTCTCTAGTCGATCGCATTGAACCGTCGCCGACCGACCAATCTCTCACTTTCACCCACCGCACCCCTCTGTGCAGCCTCTGGACCCTCTCATTCATAATGGCCTCTCCAAGCCAAACTCAAGGCTCTGCGCCAGCCACCCAACCTCTCACTCCACCCGCAGAGTCATCTTCAGCAGCCAACGGCGTCACCGCACCGGCCGCATCCCAGACACCCGCCATGCCATCCACAGCCCCTACCACATCAACCTCACAACCACCGCCCATCCCAGGAACATCCCTCCAAGACAGCGGCAAATCGCGACGCCCGCGCGATGTCCGTCTCGTACATATGCTCCTCGCCTCACTCGGTGTAACAGCCTACCAAGACCGCGTGCCTCTTCAACTCCTCGACTTCGCCTACCGCTACACCTCCAATATCCTCCAAGACGCAGTGCATCTTGCAACAGAAGGATATGCCAGCGCTGTTGAGGGCACAACGGGAGGAAAAGGCTCGTCATCCGCGGAAGTCAACAGTGTCTCATTGCCTGCGCTGCGGCTGAGCATTGCGTCGCGACTGCATTACCAGTTCCAGACTGGGCTGCCAAAGGAGTTTTTGATGGATGTTGCATCGGAGAGGAACCGGATTGCTCTTCCTGGTGTTTCTAGGGGATTCGATGCTGCTGCTGCACCTAATGGGGCGGCTCCGGGGTCTGCGAATCAGAGCGTCATGATGGCGGGCATGCGGTTGCCGCCTGAGAGATTCTGTCTTACGGGAACTGGGTGGAATTTGAAGGATGAGTGGGATAGTGAGGGCGAGGAGGAGGAAGACTTGCCTGATGCGGCTCAGCAGCAGGCCATGGAGGGTGCTGGGGCTGAGGAGGACAATGAAGGGGATGAGGATGAGGATGGCAAGATGGAGGATATCTTCGGTGAAGATACGGCTATGGGGGGAACGGGCGAGGGAGACGAGGACCAGAAGATGAATGATGCTTAGAGCCGAGCTGGCTCGTCTTTTCTTTGCCTTTTTGTGGTTCAATACTTGGGCTGGACGGTGTTACTGGTGCCTGGTGTTATCCCATTTCCAATCATCTTCAAGGGTCGCTTCTGCGATCCAGAGAGGATGTTTGGCTTTTTTTTCATGCCGAGGAATTCTAAGGCTCGAGATATACACGGACTGACGGGTCACAAGGTGTCAGTCAGTTCCAGAAAATAAAATGGAGATGACAGACGATCTGGTTAATTGAAACCAAAGATGCTTTCAAGTTCTTATATACTGTACATAATCGAGGGTCATCCCGTCGTCCCAATTCGGGATGACCATGCAATAAATGCCCTGAATAACGCCTGATTTCCCATTGTACGCCGTGAGGAGAGAAGACATGTGAGCTCCGCGTCTAGTCATGACCAGACAGGAATTGTGGCCTGGGTTCGGGCCGGAAAGAAAGATGCCCAGAGTAGGACGCTCATCGAGCCATAAGATGCCGAGCATAGCAATCTTTCATCTCAACCCTCCAAGCCGAGTCCACCGACTCAAATATGACCCCAGACGTCAATTCAAAAAAAAAAAAAGATATACACCCGCGTGAAAGCGGTGGTCAAGAAAAGAAGAAGAGAGGGGGATATCAAAGGTGGAGTCAATCACCTCCCCTGAGCCTGCTGACGTTGTCGCTCCTCATCTGCCCTCATCATGCGAATGACCTCCTCGCGGCGCTTCTCAACCTGAGCCAGATCTTCCTCCTTCACGCGTCTCCGCTCCTCGTATGTTGCGAACCACTCCTCACGTGCCCGGTCTTCTTCCTCGGGGTTGTTTGCGTGAGCGAGCATGCATGAGTTCATGGCCAGGCGTTGTTGCCGGCATACCCAGGTAGCGGTGACAGTTCGGTTGACGGCGCATTCGGCGAAGGCTGGATGGGGTTGGGTTAGTCAACGTCTTTCGTGGTTGATTTGGAGTGTCGGTGGGATGATGAATGTTCGTGAGGGGATGGAGCTGTGACACAGGTTTAAGAGAGATTGAACGTACCCTTGATTTCAGGAGCGCAGTGGCTTCGTACGCGCTTATAGTAGAGCTTCTTGACTTCTTGTTCTTGGGCCGCTGATAGCGGCATCGGGTTGCGGAGATTGTATTTGCGAGGAGTCGACGGTGTTGATGAGGTATCGGGGGATGCAGATGATGTAGCCATTGTGACTGAGGAGCTCGATCTAGTGGATCGAGGTTGAGACAGGTGTAGGTCGGAAGTGAATGGGACGTTGGTGGTCGGGGGTGGGTTCGGTAGATCGGTTTCAATGGGTAGGTGATGAACGAATTGATCACCGTGGTAGAGCGACAGGAACCGAGTGGAGCTAAAACTTCACTTTGAAGCAGATTTCCGCCCGATATATCGAGAAGCTTGGAAGGTGGGAGTCGAGATGTGTTGATGCGGAGCGCGAGGAACCGAGTGACGGGCGGAGAGCCAAAGGCGGAAGCAGAAAAAAAAAACTTCCGTACAACCTCCAACTCTCATACCACTCTTCTTACTTGAACTTTCGACTCTTTTTTTTCGCAGTCTGGGATACTGTGCCTTTTGATTTCAATTATTTGATTTTACTTTTATCTACACTGCAAATACAACAGTCACACAGTCACACAGCCACACAGCATGTCTTCTATGCGCAACGCCGTCCAGCGGCGCAACCACAAGGAGCGTGGTCAGCTCGGAGGACGTGAGAAATGGGGTATTCTCGAGAAGCACAAGGTTGGTTACTCCTTCTGTCTCTGTTGGAATTCGCGACAAGCAGCGCAGAACCAGAAAAAACCTAACCTTCGCAACAGGATTACTCGCTTCGCGCAAAAGACTACAACGCCAAGAAGTCAAAGCTCAAGCGCCTCGAAGAGAAGGCGCGCGACCGTAACCCCGATGAATTCCACTTCGGTATGATGGGAGACAAGGACCGGACACAGGGACGTCATGGAAGAGGCACCATCGGACGAGACTCTGCTGCGGCTCGCGGGTTGAGCCACGATGCTATCAAGCTTCTCAAGACACAAGACAAAGGCTACCTGCGAACAGCTGGTGAGCGCATACGTCGGGAAATCGAGCGCCTGGAGCGCGAGCAAGAATTGCAGACCGAAATGAATGAATCCCTTGGCGTGAAGACCCAACAGAAGAACGAGGACGAAGATGAGTTTGATGGCTTCGACTCCGATCTTGACGATTTCGATTTCAGCGCCCCGCCAAAGCCTAAATCAAGCAAGGTGGTGTTCGCCGACGACCCAAGCGAACAACGGGCTTTGAAGAAGAAGCGTATTCAAAATGATGACTCTGTGGACGAAGATGAAGACGAAAAGCCTTCCGACACTAAAAAGACCGCCAAGCAAATTGCAGCGGAGCGCCAAAAACTGCAGGAGATTCGTCGGGCTCGCAAGCTCCGAAAGCGGGCCGTTGAGGCCCGAGAGAACAAGCTGAAGGCGCTGCGCAAGCAGTTCTCCGAGATCGAGGCGGCTGAGCGGGAGGTCGATTACCAGCGGTCGAAGATGGATAACTCCGTCGGAGGCACGAACAAGAATGGCATCAAGTGGAAGATTCGTGAGCGCAAGCGCTGAGTGGATCGGAAATCGCCCCGTTACGAGTTGATGACGGCAAAAATCATACATCTCTTTTCATGTACATAGATACCAGCATATCGCCTCTGCATAGCGGATTTCACGCCGCCTTACGTGAGCACAGAGTCGGGCTTACTGAATGAACTCAGTCGGGCTCAGGCTCGGTGACCTCGCTCTGAGCCTTCCAGTGACAGATCACCGATGCCTATTGAGCACTGGGCCAGCACCCAGACTGCTACTTCATACCGGCGCGGAAGCCAAGAACAGTTGGCACTCGCTGCCGAGTGATCGAACAGCAGACGCTATTTGAGACAGATAATTTGAATCACTAAACATACGTCTGGATCCACGTGCTCTTTTCCCTTTATATATTCTCAACATGGATCAGGTCTTATGATTCTACCTCGTTGCTTAGATTCAAACACATAGACTCAAATCATACAAGTGCGCCTATACAATTTAAAAGGTATCTACGAATTTAAATCTCCATTGGCAATGATCGTGGATCTATTGAAAGAAAATAAGAATACGGAGAACAGATCGACAACCGAAGTATAACAGTTCCGCATTGGATGGTTCCCCCCCCCCTCGCCATTCACAAGTCCGCAATTGTTAATTTGACCACCCTAGTGGCATAGGAAAGTAGGGTCCAAGTTCAAAAATACCTCGTCATTCTCATTTCGTGTTCCCATCTCGTGTTCCCTTGCCTCATATAGTAAAGCACTCCGACATAGGAGTAATCCCCGCTCGCTGATAGGAGCCCACTCGATCTGATTATAAATTGACCGCTGACTCAGGCTATCTTTTATCGGTGACTGCAAAATGTTGCCACCCCTCACTGAACCACATTTTCTCTCCCTTCCACAGAGGTTACCCTCCATACACTCACAATGGCTCCCTCCTTCGTGACCATTGATACTAGCGACGACCTCGACATGGCTCCCGCTCCCCCCAAGCCCGTCGACGTTCCACGTACTCTCCTCCTCGCTCCCCCCTCCATCGCCACTCACGAGGAGAAATTACGAGCTGTCTTCACCACCTTCGACCGTCAATCCACAGACCTTCAGATGCTCGACCGCCTCTCCGCAGGCTTTGTCTCCCTCCCCGCAAACACATATGACACTGTGCTAGTCCTCACCGACTCAGACGGCTCACGGCGCACCGAGGCCCTCGCCCTCCTCACCCGCGATGTATACACCGCCCTTGTGCCGTCCATGAAGCCAGGCGCAAAACTTGAAACACAAGATAAAGCACTCGACATGTCCGAGGCAATGGAAGCCGTCCTGGCCGGTCTCGTACAGACAGCCTCTGGCTTCGAGAAACCCAATTACGAACAAGCCTCCGTCGCCATACCCCTCAAGTTCGGCAAGAAAAATAAGACCGCCCCGCCTGCTATACCCGCAATGGGATTCTCAGACGACTTTAACATGAACAACCACGACCGGGATGATAATGACGAGTTTATTAATGAGGACTCTCTTCTTGACGAGGACGATTTTTCGAGACCCATTATGCCGCGTATGTCTCTTTAACCCTATACTCTGATCCATCTATACCCATTCTAACTTTCACAGCTCCAGAGTGTCAACCGAAGACCGGCCGCCGGCGACGAGCCTGCAAGGACTGTACATGTGGTCTCGCGGACCGCCTAGAGGCAGAGGATAAGGAGCGTCGCGCAAATGCAGATAAGAGCCTGAACGTGATGAAGCTAGGCACAGACGACCTTGCTGAGGTAGACTTCACAGTCGAGGGCAAGACAGGCTCGTGTGGTAGCTGTGCGCTTGGAGATGCCTTCCGATGTGACGGGTGCCCTTATATGGGTCTTCCTGCATTTAAGCCCGGACAAGAGGTGCAGATCCTGAACGATATCGCGCAGTTGTAAAAGAATTTATTATGGTTAGGGGTTGGCGTGGTTCGGATCATCGGATGTTCGAGCTCGAGGCCATGCTTCGGGGCGTTTGGTTGATGTTTTTTTTTCTCGGTTTATTAAAGATACCTCGCGGGACTTGGTTCCTGCGATAATCCTACTTACTACCCTGGGCTTGGACTCATACTTTTGTTCTTTTTCGTTTAGCCGCTGTAGAGAATTCTGCTCGTGCACTAAACTATGTGGATACCTGACATCATTGGGCATCGCCCTTAGGCGTTAACGCCAAATATGTATAGGTGGGCCTATGTACGAGGGGTAATTGAAGATGCCGATCATTTTATTGCCGCTATTTTGGTTTCATTGCACATTGCATCATGATAAGAATGGAAACAGAAGTAAAGCAAGGCGCTCAAAATCTACGAGCGGTCCTTTTGCATGTGAGCGACGCGAATGCTGACAGCCCGCTTGTGGGCATCTAGACCCTCGACAGCAGCGAGAGTCTCGACTGTCTTTGCGAGACTCAGGAGACCGTCGGCCGTCAGGTTGGAGCTGGTGATGTGCTTCAGGAAGGAGCCTAGGTTGACGCCGGAGTATTGCTTGGCGTAGCCGTAGGTGGCTAAAGGAAGGTGTTAGATTATGAGACGAGAGGTATATGGAGTGAAAAACTTACGCAAAGAGTGGTTGACACCGGCAGAGTAGTCACCAACACTCTCGGGGGTCCAAGGACCGATGAACACGCTACCGGCGTTCTGGACCTTCTCGACGATGGCCTCGGGGTTCTTGACCTGCAGGATCAAGTGCTCGGGAGCGTAATCGTTGCTGAGAACCATGGCCTCGTTGATGTCCTTGACGACGAGGGTGAAGGAGTGTGCAAGAGAGCCGCGAACAATGTCCATGCGAGGAAGGGCCTTGGCCTGGGCATCGACCTCGTCCTCGATGGCACGCAGCTCCTGCTCGTTCAGATCGACGGCGATCAGGATGACCTGGGAGTCGACGCCGTGCTCGGCCTGACTCAACAGGTCAGAGGCAACAAAGGCGGGGTTGGCGGTCTTGTCAGCGATGACAAGAACCTCACTGGGGCCAGCGGGCATATCGATGCTAACACCGGCGGAAGTATCATTGGACACGAACATCTTCGCTGCGGTCACGAACTGGTTACCAGGGCCAAGAATTTTATCGACCTTGGTGATGCTCTCAGTACCATAAGCCATGGCAGCCACAGCCTGAGCACCACCAGCGAGAACAATGCTCTCAGCGCCGACCTTGTGGGCGACGTAGACAATCTCAGGCGAGATGCTGCCGTCGGAGCGAGGGGGAGAGGCCAGGACGATCTTCTGGCAGCCGGCCACCATGGCGGGAACACCCAACATCATAGCAGTGGAAGGCAACACGGCGGTACCACCGGGAATGTATAGACCAACACGTTCAATTGGACGAGAGAAGCGGGAGCAGACGACACCGGGCATGGTCTCCATCGTCAAGGCATCATTGCTGCCCTTCTGAGCAGAGTGGAATCTGTCAATGTTGCCAATACTAACATCAATGGCCTCCTGAACGTCGGGTGTCAACTTCATGAGCTCAGCGGGGAAGGGAGCCTTGATGACGGGAGAGGTCAATGAAGTAGCCTTTTCGAACTTGTGAGTGTACTTGAGCACGGCGGCATCTCCACCTTCACGAACATCCTGAATGATAGGCTTCACCAGAGCAACAATGGCGTCGTTGGACTTCTGAGAAGGACGCTTAAGGAATTCCCCGACCTCGTTGGCAGGGGTCGAGGCAGTAATGACACGCTGCATTTCAATGCGCGTGGTGCGGTCCTCTGCTGCTGGCTGCGCAGGCGCAGGAGCGGGAGCGGGAGCAGCGAGCTTGGACTCAGAGGAAGTCAGACCAGCCTTCTCAGCCCAAGGGCCCTTGGCGTCGCCCTTTCTCCTCTTGACCTTGAGACTCTTAAGGTCGAGGTTGCGCTCAATGTCTTCCAAGGACACACCGGCAGCAGTGCACCTGGCGAGAGCGAAGTAGAACAGATCCGCGGCCTCGAAAGCAATTTCCTCCTTGGTCTTTGCCTCGCACAGCTCCTCGGCCTCCTCCATGACCTTGGCAGCGACGAGCTTAGGCTCGTTAAACAGGCGTGCGGTATAAGATCCGGCGGGGGCATCAGCTTTGCGTTCGTGAAGGGTCTTCTGAAGACGAGAAAGTCCGGTAGAGGCACCGAAGCAGGACTCAGTACCGAGATGGCAGAAGCCTAGGTATGAGTCAGTACAATTAGCTAGAAATGGAGAAAAGGGGTTTATCATCTTACCTCGTCCGGTCTGCTTGACGACAAAGACCAGGCAGTCAGCATCACAGTCGTAGCCAATGCGAATCAATTCCTGGGTATCCCCGCTGGACTGGCCCTTGTACCACAGCCCGCGCTTGCGGCTCTGGTAGACACCGGTGCCAGTACGGATGGCTTCTGCAATGCTCTCGTCGCTGCTCCACACAAAGCCCAGGCAGGCTCCACGCTCATCGGTAACTGATGTCGCGTAAAGGCCGTTGGACTGGTCAGTGACTGCGCGCGAAGCAATTAGCTTGGCAGCAGAGATCTGACCCGACGCCTCCCGCTCGACGGTCAACGCCTGAGAAGGAATGATAGTAATTGCATTTTTCTCGATAGCCGATTTGACTGACTCCTCCGAGACGGCCTGGTTACCGAATGTAGTGTAAAGGCGAGGAGAATCGGAGCTAATGTTCAACTTGGTGGCCGCGGCGGAGATCGAGGCGGGAGCAGTACAGACGCTGGCATCGTTGCGCTCAGAGGCATTGGCAGCGATCCATTGCTGGAGAGTGTCCAACTCGGCATCTGACAGGGCATTGACGAGTAGACGTGATGAGGGAACCGATTGTTCCTGGGAGAGTGCGGTCAATTGGTCGAGGGTAATGAGGATCTTCGCGGCACCGGCGTTGAGGACATCGACAAGGTCGCCGGCGGAGGAGATGGCAGTCGCGTCAACAAAGACATCGAGGTGGCGGAAGTTCTGGCGCAGGAATTGCTCAGCCTCAGCGAGACTCAAGACCTTCACCAGCACTCGCCCGAAGTAGGCGATCTGCTTGATTGAGAGCCCGGAGGTGGGGTCAGAGGGGTACGAGATAAGGAATGGCGTCGCCATGGCGTATATATGTGGAAATGAACACAAAGGGAGGGAGAATAAAGGGATATGAAAACCCCCAAGCAATTTGGGGTACAAATGCGAAGTGTGGAAAGGTGGAAAAGTGAAAGGCCGATGACTCTTGTTACCTTTTTTTCCGGCGTCCCGCTAAAGTTATCTGGGGCCGCTGATTCATCTCCGCTCTCGGCCTCGCCATCTGCTGTCCTTCGTTTTACTGCTCTACAATTCATATCGGAATGGGTGCCGAAAGTCTTATATTTTCAATTTTAATCTAGGGTTGAGCAAGGGTATCCATGATACCTTCATTCTAATTTGCCTTACTATCCTTCACAGCTCATACACAATCTTGTAGGCAGAAATGACGCCATCGCGGTATTCCTGGAAACCCTCAGGCACTAAATCTAACCCGTGAAGTACCTTAGACTTATTCGGCTGGATTTTACCCTGCTCCAGCCACAGGGGCAATTTTTCAAATAGCTCACTAGAAAGTCTGTGATCTTCCTTGTGGGCCTGGTTTTCATTAGCCTGAATCTCTCTATAAAGAGTCATCGAGGTGACTTACCGGCCAGTAGAAATGAGCATATCGATGATCCTTGAGGAAAGCAGTCCACACAAGTACATCTGTAACATTTGTGTTGGAGGTGACTTGCTCTGTGTTTGCCTTGCCAGGTCGAACAGTGCAAAGATGTCCCTGGCGATCGCCCAAGGCCCGAGAGGAAATGGATGAAGATGAAGTGTTGCCGATTGTATCGAAAATATGTTTGAGGCCCGGTGCAGCCTCTTGAATCTTTTCGATTACCTTTGCGTCGTTGTAGTCGAAGACATGCTTGGCGCCACAAGAGCGAACGAGGTCGGCGTTGTGAGGACTGCAGGTCGTGACCACGTCGAAGCCGCAGAGAGAAGCCAGCTGAATAGTGTAAAGACCAACACTTGCTATTACTTATTAGTCAATTTGCTATATAGCATATAAGAGGGGTGTATTGACTTACAGCTGCCTCCCCACACGAGCACACTAGTGCCCGCTGCCTTGGAGCGGTCGAGGTTCAAACAGTCCTTGGAAAATAACGCAAGCCATGCCGTAGCGGCTGCCAATGGAACAGTACTGGCCTGCTCCCGAATGATACCTTTGGGCACTTTGAAAGAGATGTTCTGGTCGGCAATGGTGTACTCGCTATAGCCACCGAGGCTAGGAATCTCACCTGAAATATTGTCAGATAATGCACGGCTCACACAACATATGTATGCCCAGCGCCTACCTCCCCAAATGAGTCTTGCTATAATATCGCCCTTTGCGAGGCGAGTGACTCCTTCGCCAAGCTTGGTCACCTCACCGACAAAATCGCATCCCAGAACGGCCCACATTGCCAAAGGCATTTTTATCGAAGCTTTGGACTTTCGAATACTTAGCTCTCCGTCTACATGATCTATGATGGAGACTTGCCGTCCGTGGGATTCTGAGCCACATGCGATACCTTGACCTGGACTTGTCCTTTGCCGGGAATAGGCAAAGGAAGCCGTTCCTGGACCAATTGAGGCTCGCCCGAACGCGTGCGGACGATGAGAGTGTTAGATGTTGCTGCCATACTGCCAGTACTTGTTGGGTTGAGATTTGACTCTCCTGAAGGTCATCTTCGAGAGAGTTGATGCAATGCAGTAACTTATAGATACTATCGTCCGGAGAGAAAGCTGACAAATGAGCCCCGCCTCCAACCCTGGAAGTGGCAGGCGCTCCAGCGCTTGCGCTTGCAGATGCCGGGCTTGATGCTTCAGTTGGCATGAAAACCTGCGCTCCCTGGAGAGAGCCCTCTTTAAAGGCATCAAACGAGCTGCGCATGTTTTAGCCTTGCATCCAAGTCAGACCCGACAATGACGAAGTTGTCTCGGGCTCGTCAAATCCAGAGTCTAAGCTATGGTATTTCCCCTAGGCTTAACTTCAATTTATTATCACACTCGATCGCCTTGTTTGTAGAAGGGCTGCATACTATCATTCGCTCCAGATCTCCAAGAAGCTCTAGAATCTTGATCACGGTCCCACTGATCTCCAGGGCCAACTTCTCCCCCGTCTTACTTATTGAGAGCACAACCCGATCCGATCGGGTTGTGCCTTACATAGAAGGGGGTCGCGAATCACGCATGGGAATCCACGTGCTGAGCATCGCAGGTCGTTCAATGGCCCTCGCTCAAAAGGACCAGAAAATCAAAGGAATGTTCAGGCCGGGCCAACTAGCGCTGGACCCTTTGCTGCATCAATAAGGAATGCCCCGGATATACAAGCCAATACTTCCAGGAATATTCCGGGACGTGGACCCTGCAAGATTGAAATAGTGTATTGATCACAGCCAGATGCTCAAGGATATCCCGAAAAGGATTGGTCTAGCGTTAGCGCGTGCTCGAACGAGCACGGATCAGCCTCTCCACGCTCCTTGCCTGCTACCATAGGCTGGAAAGGCACAAAGCTTCGGACAGAAAGCCATGAGGGGTATTTCCTTGGCCTTGTCAGTGCGAGTGCATGTTTCTGCTTCCTGCGCCACTAATGGAATAGTGCGTCGGGGCCCTGACTCGTGCGTCGTTTGTGTCGGTCACTCGGGATGAAGATCCCGGGGAAACTCGAAGTCAAAATCACTATAGCATCGTGGTTTCCTGGGAACATGCTTTGCAATATGCGTCGAGGAAGTCAAGCTCAACTTCGGGAGAATACAGCGAGGCGCGAAGGCTTCAACAACATGGCATGTTCCATCGGAAAGGCCGGGTTCAGGAGTGCATACCTCCGAACCAAGAGGATCTCAGCACAACAGTGGGGCGTCCTTGCAGATCCCCCCGTCAAGACCCCTGGAAAATGACGATGGACCTTGCAGAGAATGGGATCGGAGTCCAGGTGCGCAGGTCCTCCTGCCCCCCTTGGTCCCAGAGACCAGTGGCCAGTGACCAGAATGCAGGTAAACAAGATCGCGTGTGACGGCATCCCCTTTGGTTACCACCTGGTCCACCCTCCCTCTCCACCATTCTTAATTATTGATCCACCTTTATAAGTCGCTTTGACCCAAGCTACAACTGGGTGGTCTCTCTTTCGCGACTCTGCTTACTCTCCTTTTGTAATCCCTGCTTCCCCCGCTCTTGTTAATTATCCCTATATTCGCCAATACCTCTCGGGGCCGTCTTTGCACAAACGATGCGCGCCACTTCTCTTTTGCTAGCGGCAGTGGGCCTGGCAGGTTCAACTGTTGCTCATCCGTTTGGCGAGACCGAGGCCGTCCTCGGTCCACAATTGCAGAGCCAGGAGAAGGCCGATGCCGTGAAGGAGGCCTTCCAGCATGCATGGGATGGGTACATGAAATATGCATTTCCTCATGACGAGCTGCATCCTGTGAGCAATGGATACGGTGATTCCAGGTGAGCACTTTTTACGATAGACTACATTTGGGAGCATTCAAAACCGACAGTCAACTATAGAAACGGATGGGGTGCCTCGGCGGTAGATGCGCTTTCGACCGCAATTGTCATGGGCAATGCGGATGCTGTCAACACCATTCTAGACCATATCTCGAAGATTGACTACACTCGGACCCCCGACGGAGTCAGCTTGTTCGAGACTACCATTCGCTATCTTGCCGGCATGCTGTCTGGCTACGACCTGCTCACGGGCCCGGCCTCGGATCTAGTCAGCAACACTGAGAATGTGGACAACCTTCTCACCCAGGCCAAGAACCTAGCAGATGTGCTTAAATTTGCCTTCTCAACCGACTCCGGTGTCCCATACAACAATATCAATATCACATCCAAGGCAAGTGACGGTGCGACCACCAACGGCCTGGCCGTGACAGGAACTCTAGTTCTCGAATGGACGCGTCTCTCGGATCTATTGGGCGATGACGTGTACGCTGAGCTCAGCCAGAAGGCAGAGTCGTACCTGTTGGCACCCCAGCCCTCAAGCGGAGAGCCCTTCCCCGGCCTCGTGGGCAGCAACGTCTACATCAGTAACGGCGAATTTGCCGACGGCGCCGTCTCGTGGAACGGCGGTGACGATTCGTTCTACGAGTACCTGATCAAGATGTACGTGTACGACCCCAAGCGATTCGAGACGTACAAGGACCGATGGGTCCTTGCAGCAGAGTCGACCATCAAACACCTCACGTCGCACCCGAAGCCTCGTCCCGAGCTGACGTTCCTTTCTTCGTACAACAACGGCAACTATGATCTCAGCTCCCAGCATCTGACCTGCTTCGATGGCGGGAGCTTCTTGCTTGGCGGCTCCGTGCTGGGTCGCCAGGATTTCATTGACTTCGGCCTCGATCTTGTTCACGGCTGCGAGGCTACTTACAACCAGACTTTGACTGGTATTGGCCCTGACTCCTGGGGCTGGGACCCCAAGAAGGTTCCGTCTGATCAAAAGGACTTCTACGAGCGCGCAGGCTTCTATATTAACAGCGGCTACTATGTCCTGCGCCCCGAGGTGATTGAGAGCTTCTACTATGCGTACCGCATCACCGGAAGAGCAGTGGTAAGTGTGAAATTCCCCTTCGTTACGTCTCAAGAAAACTAACAAGGATAGTACCGTGACTGGGTGTGGAACGCTTTCGTAGCCATCAACGCCACCTGCCGTACAGACTCCGGCTTCGCAGCCGTGACAAACGTCAACGCAAAGAATGGCGGCTCCAAGGACGATAACCAAGAGAGCTTCCTCTTCGCCGAGGTCATGAAGTACTCATATCTCACGCATGCAGATGGTATGTCCACTTCCAGCCGAATTCCTAAACATTGGTACTAACTATTTGCAGATGCCGAGTGGCAGGTTCAGCCAGGCGACGGTAATACCTTTGTGTTCAACACAGAGGCCCACCCCATGCGCGTGAAGCACACCTGAGATCTGGTTCGTTTCTTCTTCTATTCTTCAGTAGATAATCATCTATCACGAGGTTTAAATAGCTTCGAGTATCTTTATAGTGATTAAACGTGCTTCGGTCTCAAAGCGCAGAGTAATTTTGTAGATCGAAATATGTAATTTAGGCATGTCCAGACCACGAGTGAGTGGATGGAAACATTACTATGGTACGAGCCACATTTCACGTACCCCAGTGCGTTGAATATTATCGGCCACGGATGTTCAAGTAGGTAATTGTGATGCAGTAAGAGGAGGGACAAAATTAACCCGCAAACATAGCTCAGGCTAGTAGAAGATCATGCGCCAGTCAGATTCTCTTCCAGTCCCACTCTTGATAGCTAGTTGTGATATTTCAACGATCCAGAACAGCCAATAGACCCACAATACCACCAACGAGAGGCAGCAAGCCCCTCAGTCCAGTCAAGGTTGCCCAGTGGGCGAGAAGTTGCTTCGAGGTGTTGTGCTCCGGCTTCTGCACAGAGGCATTTGGTGACATTTCTGCCTCGGCTACTTTTGCCAGAATAGAATGGTTGGTTGGGAGCATGAAGAGGAGCGTGAAAGGAACAATCCCAGTGACCAAGGACGCGGCTGCGCCAAAAAGAAACATCGAAACTCGATCGCCAGGGGTTCTACTGGCACACCAAGCGAGGTATGCAAAGGCGCTTGAAGAAACAACTGCTAATTTCGGGTTCTGAGAATGACCGCATTTATACAGGCGGTGCCATATTTGAAGTATCGTGCCAGTAGACAGCCCGTCTTCAGACTGAGCTAGGAGGATAGGCACGGTGACCAATCCGGAGGCACTCATTTTTCCTGTAAGATGAGTTAGCTCATTGTGTCTGGCTCAGACATCATAGGTAGAATAAGAAAAAGCCATATTCGGAAGGTTCAAGCATAATCAAGAAGGAATACGGGAACTGTCAGGGCTACTTGCCTGAGAGCCATAACGCCCCGGTTATCGCCACGACCTCGACCGTGTGCTGAGCCGATACCATTTCGTTTTCACTGGGTTGCGTCCTTTGGAATCAGACCTTTAGAATCAGACCTTTGGAATCAGACGGCAGAAGATATAGCGTATTTAACTATGGAAGAGGGGTAGGCGCCGAAGATGCAATTCAATCACATCTAGAACAAAAAGCAAATATTTAGGAGCGAACAAGTCACAAAGTTGGCAATCTAGCTCCATGTGGGCTGATAACTCTGCAACTGCAGCGTACGATGCACCAAGTAAGGGGCCTCGGTGTTTGCAAGGCCGCTTTTCCATTTCGTGTTTATTGAGATATTGCATCGGCCTCGGTCATGGTATGCGATGTTTTTGAATTCTCAGTTTTAGATATCACCACCGCATCTTGATACCCTTTGGCCTCTGAAAGGGCTACGTTACAATTTTCGTCAATTCTCGTGTAAGTACCTACAGTCCCAAACCCTGTTATTGACTTAGCTCGAACCTGCATCAATTCGCCAACGCTGTCCCCTTTGCAAATGACAGTAGTATTCGAAACCAGAATTACCTCCACACACTTAGACCTTAGTTCCCGAACCCTAACTTTAAACACGTTAATCCAGAAATGGTGTTCCCGGGGAACCCCCGGTTCCTAGAATAAAAGGTGTATTTTACATGACACAGGTGGGACCTTGCTCTGGGTATTCTACACGAACGAGACTGTCATACATATAGTACCACTCTATTACTATCCTCTCCCCCGTGATTATCTTCTTTTCCTTGTGCATTACTCTTGAGCGCCATCCTACAGTCCTGATGAAGCCAAGAGGTGAAACCATGTGTGCAAATTGGGCCCAATGTGACTCGAGGGGATCAATGGGAAGGAAGTGGCTCCGGTACTAACATATAGATAGCATCTAAACGTATGGCAATGCAATGATGAAAAGAGAAGAGCAGAGTGAATAGGTATTGTAACAAATAATTTGCAGACGGTTTATCCCCGGGAGAATCTTCGTTTCCCACAAAACAAGCCAATCAAACGCCATTAATGTAATGTGAAAGCAGACAAGCCACAAGCTGTATACAAGGCAGACTTCCACTCCGAGTCTGCATGCAGATAGTGTTGAATAGGGTATCTAATCGCCAAGATGGCAATGCCAATGCTGATTCCAGCTCCAAAAGAAGCTTGTAAAAGGGTATAGTAATGTGTGTTGCAACTGGCATCTGGCCCATGGCGGGATTAATCAATAAAGTGCTATGTTCAGTCCCGGGGTGACTTGGGGCGAATAGGGAGAGACGTTGAGTCTGCTACCTGAGCCAAGGGATCCGCGCCGGGAGTGGCATCTTCCTCGCCGGTTGTTTCCACGTTCTCGAGATCCTGGTCGCCCTCGACGGATTCCACGATTGATCCCGCTGGATTGGAAAAGGCTTCGGAGGCCTGTGAGATGTAGCTTGCGGCCATGTCGGTGCCTTCTTCTCCTTCTTGAAGGTATTCACTGCCTTCGCCATCGCTAAGCTCGTCCTCGTAGTCTTCCTCGTCTGCGTCTTCATCTTCTTCAAGCACCTCGTCTTCGGCGGGCTCTTCCTCCTCGTCATCCTCATCTTCGCTATCGGTCGAAGAGAAGTCATCGAGCTCTTGCGGCGCATCTCGCCAATATGTGAAGTCTGTATATTCTTCGCCTCCGGACTGGACCAAAAGGCTGGTCGGTGGGAAGAAGTGATCAAGTAATTCTTGCATGGTCACATAACTGCTCTTGTACTTGTTGAGGCTGAGCAGGTCAAGAGAGACTTCGGCGTTCGAGTTGATTGTAAAGATCCGCGTGGACGGAATGTTGACGGACCGATAACTCAAAGCATCCGTCAATCGATTTCCGAAGCCAGCGCAGAAAGGATTCTCTTTTCCAGAGAACAAGTTAAGAATATCGCGCAAACAAGCCATCTTGAAGACTTCCGGCTTTCTCAAATAGATCTCGCGTCTCAATGCTGCCATCGTACGATCTGGGCTGCAGATCACGGGTCCCCTGGGGAGCCGGTATCCGTCCTGGTTAACGCCGTAGAGGTACGCTCGTGTAATATCTGCCTGCCCAACGGATCGACTGGTAAGGTACATGATGTTATAACCATTGTTAACGATGTCAGTGTACAGTTTGGCGACACCTGCGTGGGTCCAGTCTCGTCCAATCATGTTCAGAACGTGACCCAAAGCATCCGATCTGGATAAAATCATTAGCATGAAATGGCTTTTGACAGAGAAAGCCGAGTTGCTTACTTCGTAATGGTTCCATCGATGTCAGAAATAACAATCGGGATATTACCGTTCCATAAGTACATGCTTGCTGTGCAGGTGGCCTTATTAACGCTGAAGGACATGAGGTTGGCGCCATGCTTCAAATTCAAAGCCTTAAGCTGATCACTTGTCAGCCGCAGTGTCTTCGCGTAGTTGCGAGTCTCAACTGCAAACGCATCACCCATCGGCGAAGCAGGAGGTGTAGGAAATCCAGGCTGGACATCCGACTTGGTCCGATGGTGACGAACTCCCAGCGATGGCTCCAAAGTGGGTCGGTCTCCCTCACTGTGGTATCCAGGGTCGGAGATTGCATCCTCACTCAGAGCCGGGTTATGCCGCATGGAGTTGATGGTTGCTCTCTGGTCAGCCTCTTCTTTGGCCTCCTCGCTGCTATATATCCATAAGTTTCCGTGTTCATCCGCTCCGATTAGGGCACCGATATCGTAGCTCCCTTCCAATTCTTCTGCAAGAATCTTGCGGGCCAGAACTTCAGCGCGGAGCGCATCTTCCTCGTTGCTTTTGTATCCCGTCATATCTAACATAAGGTCCCCAGTCTCCGTAATGTGTGATGGGATATTGGACCCGGAGAGTTTTTGGGACAGAGATTTGGCACGAGACATTGCTTCTTCGGGAGAGATTGCAGGTGGGCTCCGAGAGCGGGCTCTTTGCTCAGATTCTTCTCCATCATCATATTCTGGGCCATCGGAGGATAGGTCTCCGGTAGACTTGGGAACGTTGGTCAAGAGTAAATTCTCCGAAAGCGAATGGTCGAGCGGGGGTTTGCTGAACGAGTTGCCGGGCGACTCATCCGGCGACCGAGACAAGGGAGTGATGGTGCCTGCGAGTAAAGAACCAAGTAAGCAATTATAGTCCCGGGCGAGTACTTGAGGTTGCTACTGACCTATATCTGTGGTTGCCCGCACTGGGCGGGATATAGGAAGTGTTGGAGGGGTCTTCGCGCCCTCTGATAACGCATCCCCGCTCGCTTTATCAAGATCAAGGAACTCAGGTTCTGGGAGGGCTGCAGCGATATCATCGCCGGGAGGTGGCGGACTGCTCGCTGGAGAGACCAACGGCGACGTCTGTAGCGACGCGGGGATCTCGTCGGTGGTTTCGAACACGAAAAATGCCTCCCCACCTTCCCCCAGTTTCATCGCATAATCTTGTTTGACTCCATTGACCTTGAACTCCACCTTTTTCTCAAACGGACGTAGGAGCGAAAACTTGCCGAAGCGGACATGGAAGGGCGAACAAGCAAGGGTCCCTTGAGAAAAAGCAAGTCAGTATAACCATGTGAGTCAAAAGATATATGGACTCGGCATACCATCCTCCTGCTCTATGACAATCACATCAATGGCGCCGCTGAGGGTCGCCGGATTGATGGAGTTCCATGTCTTGGAGACGGAGCCGCTAATGCTCCGCACGTACTGCATCTCGCCGGGTGGTGTCAAACACCCTGGGCGATGGGCTTTCTAAACAAAAAACAGCAAACGCTAGAGATTGAAAGCGAATGTAAAGGTCTCGACAAAAGAGTCGATCTGCAGGAAGAGGGGAAAGAACTGGTTGGGAGAGAAACCGGAAGTTGGAGGAATCACCGCCAAACCGCCCATGTGACACTCAGCTGACAAGGAGCATCTGCATCACCACGCCACGGAAAATGCTGCTAGAACGGATAAAATAATGAAAATAGAGAGAATATCAAGTAACTATAGGCACCCCAAATACACTAACTGCCGACATCCTCGGATCTTGTTGATGAACCAACACATTATTCAACGCCCAACAGATCTGGATGACATAAGCATGACTTGCCTCGGTCGCCGAGGCGGGCTAGTCCCGATGAAGACTAGCGGAAGATCAGTGTGCCGCCTTCACGCTAGTCCATTTCAGGACACTGACTAACTACATCATGTGACGTATCCCACCGAAATGGAGATGAAGCGTTGCTTGCTGCTTCCTCCCTACCTTCTCCCCGTCCCCGCTGCCCGCGTCCATGGGAGCTCGACGCTGGGATGTATGAGCCACTATATCTTGCATTTGACGCATACCCAACTGTGGTCCCTCGAGTCAGGGTGCGAGGCGTCATGGCTCTCTTCCTGGCGGTCTCGATTCTATGGGCCCTGATCTGGTAAGTCTCTTTATTGCGCCGGTTTGGTTTGGTTTGATATTCATTGTGCCTAGGCTCCTATATCGTGCGTGGCAAGTCTGTCAGACCTCTAACGAGGTTCTGGTAGAGAAATTGGGATTAGACATCCCGCCGCCGCCGGAAGTGACCCTTGAGGAGATCACGGCCCGTGATATTCGTCTTGCCTGGAAGCAGCCGGACTTTCATAACTCAATACACAAGCACATAATTCAAGTGAATAACGTCAAAGGTACGTCTGCGCCCAATCCCAAGGCTCCCGTTCAACCGGCAAGTGCTAAATCTCATCAGTGGGCGAATCAAAACGAGTCGAAACCGCGGTGGAAATTTTGAACCTCGTCCCTGGAAGCATATACCATATCTGCGTTCTTTCCGTTAGCGCTGCGAATTTCCAAACCCCAAGTGCGATCCTTCACATCCGAACGAAATCTCTTTCTCTTTCCCGTGCCCAACAAGATGCCACCACTAGCGGACCGACGATTCGAGCCTCGATCCCGAGGTCAACAGCTGGCTTACCAACACCATCCGCCCCAGTAATGTCGCGCGAGCACAGTGCCGGCCAGTTACCTGGCAAGCGACCGTCTGCAGGCCGCAAATTATCACCGGCCGCGGGATCGACAGACCATGCGCACGGCCATTCCGACGAATCACATAAGCGCAACAACAGGAATGACCGCGAACAAAGTCTGGAGAATCTAGCAGATCGCCTCAAATCTTTACAGCAAGAAAACGACAATCAGGAGAAACAAGCAGCTGAAGAGGAAGACGAGCATATTGCACTGCTCAAGGACCTCGAGAAACAACGTGACGATCTGAGAAAGCGTGTCAAGGAGAAGGATGAAGTAAGCGGTGATCTGAAGAAGCATGTTTCGAAATTGGAAAGCGTCAACCGCACTGTACAGAGCGAGAAAACCAAACGCATGAGACTCCTTCAGCAGAAAGAAGCCGAGCGCAAGAAACGCAAGAACGACATTCTTCGGTGGCAGGAAAAGATCACTCGTATGACCAATGATGTTGCGCAAACCAAGGAGGATAAGGCACGAATGGAGGAAGATACCGAGTCTCGTGCAGAAGAGGTCCGACAAAAGATCGCCAAGGAACAATCAGAGATGAAAATCATCGACGATGAAATTCAAGACAAAGGAGGACGAATCAAGAAGCTTGAGGACGAAAGAAAGGGACTTCAAGGTGGGGAGAGCGAGGATGGCAAGGAACTTGATCGGATTGACCATGAACGCGCTCGCCAGTGGGAGCTGAAGCTGAACACGCTGCATGCTCGTTATGCGACTCTCGTCAATCTTCATGCGCAGGCCCAACAGCAATATCAAGAAGCCCAGGAACGGCTGAAGTGGCTTACCAGCCAGCGACCTGGCAGCTCAGCTTTCTCCTTGCCGGCATTGGATCTGGATATGTCTAATAATGCTACCATCCGACCTCGTCGTCATCGTAGCTCGTTGACGAGCAACGTTTCTTCTCCGGTGAATTTCCCTGGCGTTGAGACAACTTTTCCTGCTGGAATCAACTACAACCCACCCTCTACCAACTCGCCCACTTTCGCTCCAAACTCCTTCTTCAACATCAATAATGGAATGGCCCTTCCTGGCCTTACCGATCCTCCTGAGATCATGCGGTCTGACATGGAGGTGTCTTTCAATAACCCTCAAATGAGTCCTCGTGCGGATGCCTTATTACCATCTGACCTTCTTGGCGATGAGGAGTCCCCGGAATTCCCGCGCCCCATCACTCGTCCACGGTTTTCGTCGATGGGAACATCAACTAATCCTCTGGATAGCTTTATCCATGGTCCAGTCTCGCCGGTCTCTTCGGGAAGCAGGCCTGGTAGTATCTTTGCCAGTCCACTTGGATCTCATCACCGACAAGATTCTGATTCACAACTAACACACTTGTCGGCTGCTGGAGAGGCTCCGAAGAGTGCCTCGAGGAGGCTCTCCGGTCTCTTTGGATTTCATCGACCTCGTGGGAAAACACTGGCCGACGAGCCGCCCATGTTAGGTACTTTAAAACCGGGACAAAGCCAGTCTTTCCCGCGCAATGTTGATGAGCTGGATCCAATCGGTTCGCGACGTCGGAGATTGAGTTACACAGGCAACTGGGCCAATGCGATGTCTTTGTTCCCTCGGAGCAATACGACTGGAGTTACTACAGACAGCTCATCTGATCACCCACCATCCCGACGAGCTGCACTGTCAAGTATTTTCTCTTCCAGCAAGTTCGGCTTTGGCAGCACTGACAGCCGAGGGGCTACCGATATGAATTCAGGGTACAATCAATTTAGCCCGCGCCATGATCCAATTGATCCATCGTCTCTTCTCGGCGGTGTTCGACGTGGTTCCCTGTCGCCTCGGCCTTCATCGACCTTTTCATTCGATAATCAGAACCAGCTGCCCCATCCTTCCACAGATAACCGTCATTTCGGGTGGCCTTCGGCAGAACAAATGAGACATCGCAATAGTCCGCTTGGTTTGGACTGGGCCTCACCTTCCACGTGGTCCAGGGCCCCATCCCGACGTCCTTCGATCCAATATGGGTCGTCTGGCCACCTCCCTTTGGGGTTGACTGGTGAGCCTGATTTTGTTGAAGACTTGTATGACCGCCATCATCGGCCTCTTCAAGCCCCGATCGGTACCCGTCCGTCGTCGTCTCACCGACCGATTACCCCGAATCCTAAGCTCAACCCGGCAGCTCCCACATTCAGGACCATCTTTACGGGCAAGAAGTCTGACAAGGGTAAAGACAAGGATAAGGAGTCCGACGCCTCGTTCAATCCTCACGGGGAGGATATGTCTCCATCCGAACCTCGCACTTCCCGCTCTCTGTCTCACTTCACTGGTGAATCGTATGAATCCCTGGAGCGCATGCCATCCAGCACGTCTGTAGACAATGCGTCCAAGGAATCATTCATTCGCAAGATCACCCGCAAAGGCAGCTCCAGCAAGTTCAGTTCCTGGAAAGATCGCTCGGGACTGTTCTCTAAGAAGGGCGATTCCTCTCAAGGTGATATTGATGAAGATGAAGCTCAGCTGGGCAAGAGTGTGGACAGCACCGTCTCTAGCGTTCCTTCGGGAGATCGATCAACCCGCGGCAGTCTTGGATTTTTCTCCCGCAAGTCACGACGGTCGGATAAGGCAAGCGAGACTAGCGAGCTGACTAGCGAGCTGACGAGTGAAGCCGGTGATGAGGAGATCCCGGAGGTTGCTGAAACATGAAACCACTGTGGTCTCGTCCCTTCTCTACTTTTTCTTGATTCTGGAGTATACACCTCGGTTAGCCAATGATACCTGTACGGAAATCCACATGGAAATAGGTATTTAACTATTCACTGCAACTACGCTGGAATTCCCACCGTATTGGTCTATCTTAGCATTCAAATTCCGTAGTGTCCACCAATGTCATGAGGTTGTGTAGCTATAGCGGAGTAGGGAGTAGTTGGGCAGGTCATTGTGTGCGGGTAGCAATCGCCGCACAAAATGACTCGTTCTTCAAATCCAGTCTCTTCAACTCCAGACCCCACCGTTCGAAAATATGGCAAACTCCAAGTAAGAAGTGTTCATGTTCAATGCTTGGTCAAATATGTGAAACTAATTTCAATCAGGTTCGAGTATGTCAAGGAATTCGAGCAGCCGGACATCCTGCTTCCCAATACGTGGATTGTGGTCCGAATCGATGGCAGAGGTTTCCACAAGTATGCCAACTTTCCCACGATCCTTGGGTCTATGTTCAATATCTGATTGTTCCAGGCTGTCTGATCACTATGAATTTATCAAGCCGAATGACCGCCGCGCGCTCGATCTCATGAATGCCGCCGCAGTCGAGGTCATGAAAGAGCTGCCGGATCTATGCATTGCCTACGGTGTCAGTGATGAGTTCAGGTACGTTCGATATTTCTGTCCGGGCTTTCTTCTTTTACTAACAGAACATTTTAGTTTCGTCTTCCACCCTACCTGCCAGCTCTTCGAGCGGCGAAATGCGTAAGGCCAACATTCCTCGCGATTTTTCTTTCAAGACGAAAACTGTCAGTCGCGGTACTGACTGATAATCTAATTATTCAGGAAACTGGTTACTACCATTGTGTCAACCTTCACAGCTCATTACATCTATCTGTGGTCGACATACTTCCCCGCCAGGCCGCTCCAGCCACCATATCTTCCCTCCTTTGATGGACGGGCGGTTATCTACCCCTCCACACGAATCTTGCGGGACTACATGAGCTGGAGGCAGGTTGATTGTAAGTTATCCAATGTCCATCTACGGCTCGGGCTAGATTTGCTAAATTGGATGTACCAGGTCATATCAATAATCTCTACAACACAACATTCTGGACAATGGTCCTACAAGGCGGGATGAGTAACACAGATGCAGAGCAGGAATTAAAGGTAGAGTCATCCATCATACCAGGCATGGTGCGAGGTGGTTGTTAACTCGATACTAGGGTACTGTCTCTGCCGACAAGAACGAGATTCTCTTCAAGCGGTTCGGCATCAACTACAATAATGAAGAAGAGATTTATAAGAAAGGAAGCGTTCTTTACCGACAGGTGAGTGTTCGATCTTCTTTATTTCTCTATCTAGCTCTAATAAGTTGCCATCTAGTATGAACTTGAAGAACCAAAGCCATCCACAGGAGATGAAGAAAACGCACCAGAGGGAAAGCAGTCAAGATCTCAACAGGACAAACTGAAGAAACTTCGTCGGAAAGCACAAATCGTGGTTGACCACATCGATATCATCAGAGATGACTTCTGGGAGAGGCGGCCGTGGATTCTCTCCAACAAGCCGGGTACACTACCAGTGCAGAATTAAGTCTAGAAACACGAGAAATGACAATGAGAATAACTGGCTCAATTCTATTCCTCGCCAAACGAAAGGGGTATCTTGATCACGAGGTGGCACCAAGTAAATGCCGTATGCCATCTATACATCATGCTTTTTGTTGAAAATGCAATGCGCCTGTATGCAAAGGGAGATGCAAATCAAGCCTTCTTATCCTTCTTAGACTTCTTTTAGAGTTGGAGTCTCCCGCTTCTTTGTCTTTCTTGGACGTTTTCTCCTTCTTGTCCTTCTTTTCTTTCTTCTCCTTCTTGGTCTTTGACAATGCCACCTCATCGAGATCCATCGTGTCCTCCTGTTGATCCGATTCTGTCGACATAGGTGTAGGGTAGTCCTCTTCAGCATCCGATCGCTTCGACTTCTTCGACTTCTTCTTCTCCTTCTTCGCAGCCTTATCACTATCCCCAGACTCGCTATCAGACTTGTGACTCTTTTTCTCCTTCTTTTCCTTCTTCTCCTTGCGCCTCAACCGACGCTCCTCCTTACTCTCCTTTGCGGAGTCACTGGAAGCAGGGGAGGAGTCCTCGCCCTCCTTCATCTTCCTCCGCTTACTCTTCTCCTCTTTCTTCGCGGCTTTCTGCTCCTTCTTGGCGCGACGTTCGGCGTCATCGTCTGCATCGCGCTTCCTCTTCATTTTCACAAGAGACTGTTCCGAAGCAGTCTTGGTTTTGTCATCAATCGTACCAGCCAGACACTCGCCACGCACGAAGTTGCGGTACAATTCACTGGTCAACGCATTGTTCGTCTTAGCCGAAGTAGCTTCGAAACTGTCGTCGCCGACTCCCTTGAGGGCGTCTTCGAAGCCGCGCAGCCACCACTGGTTTGTGGGGTCTTTGGTGGTCTTCTTGCCCACGCCGTGGTTGTTCGCCTTGCGCGCGACGAGGATGGGTCTCGTTAGGCCGAGACCTCCATGCGCACCTGGGCGTTGATTTGGGTTCAAAGGGTTGCCGGGGCCGGACCAGCCGTGACGAATGAGATATGCTTGGGCGTCCATTGTAAGGGAGGCCGTGGGGGAGGCGGCCTAGGTGGTGTAGAAGGGTTCGCGGAGGTTGATGCTGGGCCTGGAGGGTCGCAGAAGCAGGATCTGCCACCTTATTAGGTGACTGTACAGTCGAGAGGTTATATTTTTGGGGCCTAAGTCGGCTTGAAGAAGAGGGTGATCCAAAGGACGAGTGTCGTAGGGAAGATCGGACCCTGTGAAGAGGAACAGAAAAGTCAACGGATAAGCAAGAAAAAAATGGTTCCTCTACGATAAGGGATGCAATGTTCACCATTGAGAGACAAAGTTTTGCCCCTCTACCATAAGCAAGGTCGCGTGGTCTAATGGTTATGATTTCTCGCTCACATGGATTTCCTTGTGCTTGCCTCGGTTTGTTCCGAGAAGGTTCCCGGTTCGATCCCGGGCGCGACCATTTTTTGCTAAATTCATCTTCTCGCCATCCCTGAGTAAAATTACTACTCTCTTTGGCTTTTTTTTGGGGGAACAATTAATTGTGTTTATATTTTTGTAGCTTAATGATGATTTTCATGAAGTCAGTAAATTATCTCTTGGTGGTATCGTCCTATAGCACCGATTTCCTAAGAATGCTAAACAGGAAATACAAATATTAGAATTACGGACAACTATATATTCACACGGTAGATATTTATTTAGCTGTGCCATATTTGCAAATGGGTAATTGCATTATTTGTACATATCGATACCTCTCTAACCAAGTACTATCAATAGTCTTAACTTTCCTAACACTCGAATGACATAATTGCACGTTGTAGAACACAGGTTCTAACTTTCAGTCTCAATGCGACAGAAGCAAGACGACCTAATAGGCACATCCGCCATAGCCAAAGCAAGCCTTAACTGGGGCGCTAAAACGCGCGCTTCAGCAGCCCTACCTGCTTTCAAAAGACATTCGTGATAACCATGCAAAGACCAAACATTATTGACATGTCTCAGCGCACGAGGCAAGGACTCATCGATACCCAGATCAGCAGCATAGATCCCCATCGCCTCCTCGACACGTCCTTGTTCCAGCAAGAGCGCACCCAGAGCATGTCGAGCAGGCTGCATCCAACCCCACGGCTCATCGTAGGGCAAATTATCATCCCGATCCACTGCATCTCGTAGACGAGAAAATGCATAGTTATAGTCTCCACTACGATACGCGATTTCGCCGTCAAGCATCGCCCCTCCAACGCCGAGGATATCGACGCAGGTGTTGTTGAAGATAGTTCGAGAAGAGGGTACTAGCTTCACAGCCGCCTGGAAGTTGATTTGTTCCGTCTTTGCTTCATCAACACGACCGATAGCAGCGTAAGCTACGCCTTTCGCATAGTGAGTCATGGCCGTGGTAGTACAATAGAGACTACGGTCCGTAGGAAATTCAAGCGCAATAATATCGTCCCAGCGACCAAAGCGAACAAGAGCATGCACGCGCGTCGCAATGAACCCCTCAAGCCAATCAGCCAAAGGAGGAGACTCCACACGGAGAAGGTCTTCTGTAATAGATTCTGCCAGTTGAGTAGCAGTATCAATAGCAATCTTCGACTGGCCGCCTAGCATAGCAGCGTACATCCGGAAATGGTAGTCGTGCGAGCGATAGAGATTGTAAAAATGACCCAACTCTTGCCTTTTGAGGAACTTCTCGTCTGCACGGATGGCAGAGGTGTTGGATGCTATTGCGCGGCGGTAGTCGCCGCATAGAATGTCTAGATGGGTTGGCATGTGCTCTAGGTGGCCTGCGTCTGGGACTAGGCCTCGGAGGTGATCCGCTACTGGGAGTGCGTTTTCCGGGGTGGCGGACATTTCCATGAGATGGATGTATAAGTGCAACAGACCTGGGTGTTGGAGTCCGTTTTCCAGAACCAGGGCGCGGTCGAGCGCTTTCTTCACATCGAGGGTTCGGGCGCCGGAGGTAGGTTGGCCGGTTTTGAGATCCCATAGACTCCAAGGGGTCAAGTTCATCAGTGCATCGGCATAGAGAGCGACGACGTCAAGGTCATTTGGGAAGACCCGATACACAGATTCCATGGCCTGAGCGTATGAGTGATTCCACTCTGTACAATCGTCGACAGGCTCATTCTGCGGATAACGGTGTTGAAGTGCATCAACGAGAGCCTGCTCCACGGGAGTTGCCCTGACAGCATGTTTCTTCGCTAACAGTACCGCACTGTGGGCGCGGGTCGTGGTTGTTGAGAGATCTTCTCCGTCGAAGAGTTTCCACGGTTTGTTATAATTGGGACCCAGAGAAAGGGCGATACCCCAGTAGGCCATGGAACACGTGGGATCAGCCATCACCGCTTGCTCGAAGCAGCGCACCGACTCCTGGTGGTTAAAGGCATATGCCCAGATAAGGCCACGATCGAACCAGGCCTGTGCATCTTTGCTGGTAGTGCTGACTGTGCGATGGAATGTACCAAGGTCGTAGTACTCCAGGGAAGCCGATTGCAAGGCCGGCTTCCTAGTTTGGTGCCAGATTCCAGGACTATCCAATGCACTCATGGTTGATTCAGGCGTTGACAGTGGCAGATCGCGGGGATCCCATACGCGGCCAGGTGGGGCCACCTTAGCCTGGCCTCTACACTCACGTTTCTATTTCAGTATACTGAAATCCAACGTTGGTCGATAGAGGATATCATATCTCGAACGATGCTGAGTCTTCTTTCATTCCGATAGTCCTCCATTTTGGTGAGTCTTCCAACAATTGATTGCCTAGGTACAGTAAGTCGTGTGACGGTTCAGGCATCATGACTCTGGCATATCGCCACCTAGCAGATTCCAAGAGTGGAAAATACAGTACAAGCCTGCCGTAGTGGAGAATGCGGATGGTCCATACGGTATACTGTATTGAGCAAGGGAAGTCCACTGATCCACTGAGCACATTTGAGACGATCGGCACGACTTACCCAAAACGGCAAAATATGCTCGATCTCGCGCAGTTGACCTTGGTGGAAAAACACCTTGGTAGTTCCGCCTATTTATTGTCTTTTTTCCTCTATTGATCCTCCTTGTACAGAGTCTACCGTACCGTATATAGCACTTGCTATTTCTTCTTATTCCTTTCCCCTCTATCTAGCATTGCATTTGCATCTTTCCATCATCATGTGCGGTGATAGCAACCGACCTACCTTTGGCGGCACCATTGCCGTGCTTTTCCCTCGAGACAATTGTCTGCCTTCAAATCCGAGCTCTTTATCTTCATCACCAGACTCTGTCGTCTCCTCGGCATCATCAACCTCGACTTTATCATCATATTCTCTCTTTTTCCGAGACGCAGAGACACAGGACCGCAACACGAAAGCAATTCTCCAGATTGACGACGAGGAGACTTTTGAGACGCTGCGTGGCTGCAGACAAGTGAATATGCGGATAGAGTGAGTTCTTCCCAACAGCCCAGAGAACTGAAATTCTGACTATAGAAAGGAAATATGGAGATCTCACCACATCTTCACCAAACACACCACCACTGCACCAGTTCCAGCTCGACCTCAGTCAGAACCAAAGCCTGAAGCCAGGTCACCGCCAAACAGAATTAGAATTCGAGCTGCCCGAACGGCTGGACTTGGGCGTCTCGGAGAAGGGTGTCGTGGGCCGACAGGTAACGATGAGAGAGGCCAGCGGAGCCATTATCGGGATAGGAATTGTGGGGTACAACTGAGCTAGTCTCAGTTCTTATGACTTGTTGATATACCATTTGCAAATTTCGTCATTTTAATTCACAAGCGCAATTTCGTATTGAAGAATGAATACTATCTCGAGAACTGGAAACCGATATGAATATGCCTTTCCCATCACAGCTTCAATAGGTTCTCCACGCCAGCTGTATAGCGCTTCTCGGCCTCGGCCCAGTTGATGATTTTCCAAATGCCTTCGATGTAGCCTGCCTTATTGTTGAGATACTAGGAGGGATTAGTAAAGATCCTAACCTGAAAAACCCGGTAAGCACTCACCTGGAGGTAGTAGGCATGCTCCCACATATCAACGCCGAAGATAGGAACATCACCACTGGCAACGGGGTCCTGGTCCTTGGTGGTAGTGATCTCCAGACGTCCCTTGGGACCGCCCTTGCTAATCAGCCATCCCCAACCGCTTCCCTGAATGCCGAGGAGCTCGGTATTGAATGCCTTAGTAAACGCATCCTGGGAGCCCCAGCGAGAGTTAATGGCCTCGCGAAGTGCAGGTGCAGCACCGCCCAATTCATTGCCGGGAGTACCGGGAGGGGTCAGGTTCTTCCAGAAGAGGGAATGATTGATGTGACCACCGCCATTAAACTTGATCTTCTGTTGCAGACTAATCAGAGTGGGGACATCGTTGGTCTGAGTTGCTGAGGCCTGGGCAGAGAGGGCGGCGTTCAGGTTGTTGATGTATGTTTGGTGGTGCTTCTGGTGGTGAAGCTCCATGATCTGCTTCGAGATGATGGGCTCAAGAGCCTGGATAGTGAGCCGGGAGTGAGAGTATTGCCAGGAAGCCGTGACTTACATCATAGCCATAAGGAAGCGGAGGGAGGGTGTGAGTCTGGGCCATGGTGGATGTGAAGGTGAAGAGGTAAGAATTGAAAGTGAAGGAAAGCTATAAGAGCGTGGCTTCCAAGGTCCCCCAGAGTACCCCTCTTAAGTCAGCCACCAAGGTTGATGTCGACATTCTACGTCTATGTTTGCACACGATGAGCGAGTTTGCGTGGATACTAGTTGCGAAAGATTGAGCACATTTCGGGCCCACCTTCAACTAGCTACACACCGTCGGATGTGGCCATATCTGGAGGAATACCATACATGGCCGGTATTTGCGTATTTGCGCGTGCGCTAAGTAGTTCAGTATATCGTCAGGCATGAAGCACGCCGGTTAGTAGATACTTCATCACCAATGGTCATGATTTGGATAGATCGTCGAGAAGGGGGGCCATCATGCATAACTTACTAGGGCCACTGCGGCAGCCTCACTAGATCACTTCACCCATGCAACTCCACAACACCACTGCAGAATGATCAGAACATCATTTGAATGATATTCAAAACAATTCAACATTCATGATATACTAATGGAAGAACTTGTCCGCAAAAAAGACCAGGGTTAAGATTACTAATCGCCCCTCCCCGGGGGTTCCATTCCAGGATTTGCGGGGTCTCGGCTGCAACGAGCTTGGGGAGCCTCGGTCCAAATCGAGTATAACAGCCGGATACCAACTTCTCCCCTAAGCTCCAGCTCAACTCTCCACAACAACCATGTCGGCCACAGAACAAGTCAAACTTGCTGATTTCTCAAGCATATTCTCCCTCGAGGGGAAAGTCGCCGTCGTGACCGGTGGCTCGCGCGGTCTGGGACTGCACGCTGCTTCGGGGTTCGTATATCCATCCTCAACTGGCAGTTACCCATCGAGTTACAGTTTCTAATTCTTTGAGACAGCTTACTGCAAGCCGGTTGTTCCAAGGTGTACATCTCCTCCCGCAAGAAGGATGCCTGCGACGAAGCTGTCGCCGCGCTGAACGCCCTGCCGAACAAGCGGCCTGGTGCGCAAGCCATCTCCGTGCCAGCTGATAGCTCCCGCATGGACGAGCTGGACCGAATGGTCGCTGAAGTGAGCAAGACCACTGATCACGTGGATATCCTATTTGCCAATGCCGGTGCGACATGGGGCGAAAAGTTCGATACACATCCCGAGAAGATGTTCTCCAAGGTTATGGACTTGAATGTTAAGAGTGTCTTCTATACTATCCAGAAGTAAGTTCTGCTTTCATGAGATCTACAGAGGTCATTCTAACATAGGTAGATTCACCCCCTTGTTGACTGTCAAGGCGTCGCGTGCCGAGCCCTCAAGGGTCATCATTACCGCCTCGGTGGCCGGTATTGGAATTGGTACCGTTGGTGACAACGCCACGCCTAGTTATTCTGCTTCCAAGGCGGCTGCCATTCACATCGCGAAAAACATGGCTGTTGAGCTTGGCCCGCGAAACGTTCTCACTAATGCTATTGCGCCGGGTTTCTACCCGTCCAAGATGGCCAGTGGTCTGATTGAGTTGAAAGGCGGGTTGAAGGAGATCGAAGAGTACTCGCCTAATGGTCGTCTGGGCAAGCCGGAGGATATCGCAGGTCTGGTTGTGTTTTTGGGATCGCGGGCTGCTAGTCACCTCAATGGGGCGGTTATTACCACTGATGGTGGTTCGCACTTGAAGGGAAGATTGTAAGGGAGATTTCTCCTATATAGACTTGAATGATATCTATACTCGTCTCTACGTATTATTATTATTATTACTATTATTATTATTATTATTCTCATGAGCTTGGAGGATGTTTACTAAATTCCATCTGGCTATAACTATGTGCAAAGTCGTTAGGGGATTCAAAGCTTGGCAATGGGAGAACGGCCTCCCTGCACTGCCCGATCAATGATTTCCATGGCCTGGGAAAGTTCATAATCATGTAGCTTCGGCGTGACAACCTGGACACTAAGCGGCGAATCCAGGTACACGTGACGGTCAACCGTTTTCTCATCCCCTATCATCTCATTAGTGAAATACGAAAAGCAACCCCGAAAGTAAGCACTCACATAGTTTGCGGTTGGCCTTGTCCCAGCTTCCCAACGTAGGCACATCCATAGTCTTGCCCAACTCCAAGTCGGACTCTGCAAATGGCCGCACAGGGACCGTGCCAGCTGGATAATCCAGCATCACAAAGGTCGATGTATACCCAACAGCATTGTACCGATCGAGCTCGGGAACCGGGTGTGGTGCGACGGGACACACAATAGCGTCAACACGTCGAGTATGACCCGCGTTCAAAGTCCACATCTTCAGCATCTCTTTCTCAACCTCTGCACGTCGAGCCTGTAGCTGTGCCAATTGATCGATGGTGAGTGCCTTGCCGCGCTTCATCCGACCCTGCAGCCAGGGTATCAAAGCTTCCCCTTGGCCCTCAACAAGATCGAGCATGGTGGAACCATCATCCACGCCCATGAGGCGACCCGCGAGGCCCTGGCATTTTGATAGAACGGGTGGAACGGGAATCTCAACAACTTCGACACCGGGAGTATGGCGCAGATGCTGAGCGACTTCATCTAAGATGCGGGTAATTGGGGGCAAGGGAGTGACAAGGCCATCTGTCTTGAGTATACCAATAGTGAAGTTCCGCGGACGAGCCAAAGAAATCGGGACAGAAGGCGCAGGCCAATAGCCCGGAATGCAATCCTCGCCAAATAGTTCCGCACGAGGCACGATTTCCGCCATAACGGCTGCGAGATCTGCGACCGAGCGGGCTAGTGGACCGGCAACAGCCTGCAGGGCTATCCGACCCTTACCGGCAAGCTGACCACTTTCCTGACCACCGAAGGGTACGCGGCCTTGGCTCGGCTTGAAACCATAAATCCCCTGGCACATCGCAGGCACCCGAATACTTCCGCCAATGTCGGTACCGAACCCAACCATCGATCCGCACATAGCGAGCAAGGCACCTTCACCACCGGTACTACCACCAGCCGTCCATTGGCGGTTGAGCGGGTTGAGCGTGCGACCGAAGAGGTGATTGCAGCTATCGAGTGTTGCGAGGGTTTGGGGGACGTTTGTCTTGGCGATGATAATGGCACCGAGGGATTGGAGCAGGTTCACGAGGTCGGCATTGACTTTTGCGGGCTTGAATGCCAATGCAGAAAGACCGATACTGGAGTCGACACCCTCGACGTGGAATGAGTCCTTCACTGAGACGGGGAGACCGTGTAGGGGCCCAACGGGATTACCGGTACGCTGGAGATGGTCGTCCAATTCCTGAGCTCGGCGAATGGCACGATCGAAGAGGGGTTCGGTCAGGCATCGAGTGAGTTGCTGGGCGATGGCTGCTCTCTGGCGTCATAGCATTAGCTTGACTTTCTGCTAGAGACATGGTACTTTCAAACTCACCTTGCAGAACCCGCGTACCACCTCTTCCGCCTTGAGTTTACCCTCGGTCATCGCGGCCACCAACCCGCGGACATCGTATTTCTCGGTGATTTCGAGTTCCTTAGAGCTGAGAAGCCCACAGGTACGAGGGATTTCCATCACGTTGACTCGGCGATACTGCTTGGGACCCTCGGTGATTGACTCGGCGATTGAGAGCATCCCCGCGGGAATAATGTGTGCCGGTAGTCGCCATTCTGTAGGAATCGCAGCAGCCAACTCGGCTTGCTTGCGCTCGGCAACCGCCACGTAGGGTTGTTGTTGCTGTTGCGAGGCCATGGTGAATTGTAAGATGAACAGAACAGGCCCGCATCAATGATAAGCTACGGTGGGGTAGGGAATGCGGAGAAGCTTCGGCCGATTTTTACCTCGGTTCAGGGGGACATTTTGAATTATTGACTTGAACTTTCTTTGTAAATTGACTAGAATCGTGAAACATCCCTTCCAAACAGACGATTCAAAGTCCACCTGAACGCCACTCGCAACTTGTTTCGCCAACTAATGGTCATCGAAATGTATGCCATGTTCCAAATTAAGGAAGCCATGCGCCCCGTCAGTCCATGGGGTAAGTATTTGCTGGGTGAGCTGTGGGGGTCATGAGGCATCTGCATCAATGCCTTCTCGCTTCCAATGTACGCCATAGTGCCCAGGTTCCTAAAAGAAAATGGCGGTGTCTCATCCAAGTCCCCCTTGTTCAGATGCGAAGCCAACCATTTGGCTTCTTGGAAGGTCGCCTGTGCAGTCGCAGGAGGGGCACCATTCTCCGGGTGGGCGTTGTCGCCCAAAGCAAACACATCCTTTAGCACTGCTGTCTGCCCATCTTGGTTCCGGAGTTGTACACGAAGATGGCCGTCGACAAGCAGGGGACTCTTGTTAGATATCTTTTTGTATTCCCATGACTGGTTGGTGGCAGTCGATAAATCAAGATTAGGGTCCAGGGTATGAATAGACTCTGCTGGGAATGCATCGACCTTGCTCAAGGTCTCATTGACCAACTTGGTCATGGCGTTGCCCGTTACCCAAACACACATGCCAACGCCAACCGCGCCCTCTTCTTCAGTTTCCAATGTTAGGCACCGCTTGGGATCCATTTCATAGGGAGGAGGAGCATTCGGCGGGCCCCAGCGTAGGCTCTTTACGTGGTGAGATGTCTTGATGTCGATGCCCTCGCCCTTCATCGTCTCCATTGCATACCGCGCGAGAGATTCGTCAAACATCGAAAGAACTTTGGGCGCAACATCATAGAGACTGAGTTTAGGAATCCCATTGAGAGCCGGATACAACTTCATCATGTCCGTGTAGATGAAATCTCGCAGTGACGCCGCCAACTCGGTACCGGTGGGCCCGGCACCAACGATAGCGAAATGAAGTAACCATTTCTTCATCTCTGGGGTGGTAGTCGGCAGCACAGCAAGCTCGAAGCATTCACGCACGCGCCGCTTGACTCTTTTGGCATCTCCGATATCCTTGAAGAACATTGCATTTTCCCGGACTCCGGGGGTTCCGAAAGTGCGACTGACGGCACCGACGGCGATGACGAGTTTATCGTATGGGACCTCGAAAAGCTCTCCCTGCTCCCATGCGCGAAGCTCTTTCATCGGGTGTTTGGAGGTAGTCTCGGCACCATCGTCGACTTGTCTTTCATCATCCTGAGTACGGGATGACTCGGTGACACCACTTCTGACGACGGTTGCTTCACAGAGAATAGTCTTTCTCTTGAGGTCAATGGCACGGGCGGCGGCTTGAAGGAAATCAACCTTGGCGCGTGGATCGCGCACAGGCTCAACGATGTTGGAGAAATCAAGGGATCCGCTAGCGGCGTCGGTGAGAAGAGGCGTGAATACAAAATAGGACCGTGGGGAGATCACAATGGGTGAGTAAGTCTTGGGCGATAGTTTACGCGAAAGGGTGTATCCACCCCAACCAGATCCGAGAATGACGACGCGCTCCTTCTGGTGGTCTAAATTGGCTATCGCTTCGGAGTGTTCAATGTGTGTTGCGAGAAACCTCAGATGCTCGTTTGTGTGAGTCAAGAGGTGTTTGCATGCCGATGAACGGGTAGAGACAGGCCGAAGTCGCGCGACACTCAGGAGCCTGGAAGGCATAATGATCGGGGTCATTGAGAGAGTCAAGATGACACTGGTGAACAATTCATTATTGTGGGGATCTTGGGAGCTCTTAACTATGGGAGCTTCCACATCTTTTTTACTTCCGGTGACATCCATTCATTATGATTTCATCGGGGCATCCTCGGTAGCCTCCTTATTGGGACAAGCCCAAGGGACACATCCCGTGGCACCCGAGAGATCACCTGGGATGAGATCCACTGAAATCCACCCGGCTTCGGAATCTTAGATATCCTATCATCTCGTATTAGGAGTTTCTGTCTTCAAGGGGAAGTTCGGAACGCATCGGAGCGATCGGTGAGGGCTACGGGTGCGTGCCATTGGTGTCCATCGGGAGTTTTAGGCATGGTGTTTTTCATTGCCCACATGTAAAAGAGGTTTCAATTATTTTGAAAAGCGGGAATTCGCCAGGAACGTCGCAGGGGATGAAGCGTTGGAAGTACTGGCCAGAGTCCAGTCACGTGATACCTATGGCTATGCCTCCATGCCTTCACGCCCCACAATCATACGACTGCTATCCATTAAAGTAGTGAACGTACTAAACAAGATCTACAATCATGAGACTAATTCAACCTCTAGTCTTTACTTCAGAATGAACCATGGAAGTTCTTCTCTTGTTTACACTACTCATATTATAGAATTCTTTCTCACCGTACATCATCTTTAAAGTGTTTGGGATCTTACATCTTTTATCATCTACTTTGCTTCCTTTCTCTAGACATGTATTTTTTAGGATTCCAAAAATCTAAAGCTACAACGCCCACTAATTCAACAAACCTTTTACCTATATCTCGCGCTTCAAGAAACCTGGAAAGTTATTCGACTCGAGTATCGAGCTTCTCACCCTATAATAGTAGGATCGATACAGTCGGTCGCCTTCCTCACCCTCGCTACCAGGCGGTCAAGCCAGTTCATACGATAGCTTCTCATGGATGTGGATATGGAGACTGAGTTCGAAGTAAAGTACATGCTGGACTTTGAAGTGGTTGACTCAGGGGTAGGGGATCTTGAGCCAGTCGAGGTAGCATACATGATGAATAGAGTAGACCCTCCTCAAGCGAGTACCAAAAAAGGCAAAATGCGTAAACTCATCTCTCTTTTGCACTGCTCGTTTCAAGGTTGCACAGGTGGTAAACTCTTATTTCTTGTGCATCAATTCCAAGGTTTCGGGACATTGCTTCTTTTGGCCAGTCATTTTTGATACAAATTCCTCCAAACTTGTTTAAAACCATGATCTGCATCTCTTCTTTGCCACGCATGCCTTACTTTGGAAGAACGCGTCCTCTAAACTACATTTGCCATCATTGTGGCGCAAGGTGGCGCGAGCCGATGAGTCAGAATCTCGGATATAGGCATGGATTACCCGTTTCAGCTAAATCCATCGCTACCCCCGTGTAGCTTTCTTGCCTCCCTGAGCTTTGAAGCTTCTAGGGCCTTCGGGGATAGTCTCCTTCGGTGTAATTACTCACAGTCGGTGCTTCGCTCTGGCATCTGATTGCTCAAGTCAATTTTCGGGGTTTCGGGTCGCACCTCGGACGCTCGGGGTTTTCAAGGCAACATGATTGTAAAGGATTTGACCTTATGGAGGGTGATGTGGCTAGCTTGGGGTTGAGTCGTCACCGTGGCAGCCTGTATTTGTGAAGTATAAAAGCATTTGAATTCCTCGTCATCGAGTTGGAATCCTATCACTTCGGTTTATCATTCTGATCTACCTCATCTTCCGCTTTTTTTAAACCCAACCAACACTTTCAATCAACAACATATCTTGTCTTCATACTTCAACTTGAACTACAACTTTCAATATGGCTTCCATATATTATCTCAACCATCCACCAACTCCTTGGGAACAGTTCATGACTGGTATGACTGGCCTTGAGGATCATCCTTTCTTCGCTGGTCATGGTCACCACCGTGGTCCTCCCCATGCTCATGCATATGGTGGCCATGGCGGGCGTGGTGGTCGCGGACGCCACCACGGACCGCCTGGATTTTGGGGAATGGGTCACCAAGGCCGCCCTCACCACTGGGGACCGCAGAACGACGACAGTGCCGATGGCCCTGAAGCATCCCGCTCCGCAGATCAAACCGTCGAGCCCACCCCAGGCCCTTCAACAGAGACCGAGAACCCCTCTGGCGAGAAGGTCGTTGCCTCAGCTTCTGAGTTGGAGTCCGATAACGAGAACCGCTGCCACGGCCGCTGCGGCAAAGGCAAGGGAAAGCACGGCATGCATGGCATGGGCCGCGGTGGACCTCATGGAATGGGCAGAGGGGGATGCGGCGGCAAGGGTCGCCATGGACCAGGTCATCACGGTAAGGGCTTCCACGGTCCTCCCGGTGGTGGTCCGTTCGGCGCATATGGCCACGGACGAGGCCCTCATGGTTGTGGACGTCCCGGTCGAGGCCGTCGCCATGGCCCTCCTGGCGCCAACTTCGACTTCCTGCGCCAGCTGGCCGGTCAATTCGGTTTCCCCTTCGATGCCCCCGAGAAGGATGTCGACTTTGTTCCATCTGTCGATGTCTTCGACACTCCTGCCAGTTACATTATGCACGTCTCCCTCCCCGGTGCCAAGAAGAACGATCTCAGCATCGACTATGACGCTGAAGAGTCTGTCCTGAGACTTGCCGGGGTCGTGTACCGCCCGGGTATGAATGAAGAGCTGCACCAGGCTCTGGCTATGGAAGAGCGATCCCGCGAGGTCGGCGTCTTCCAGCGTGAGATTCGCCTTGGAAACCGCGAGGCCCCGGCCTTTGTTTCTGTTGATGAGATCACCGCCAAGCTGGAAGATGGCATTCTGACTGTGATTGTGCCGAAGATTGAATCAGAGGTCGAGTCCAAGAAGAAGGTCATCGTTGAAGATGGTGATGTCGAGAATGAGAAGGACGTTTTGCATGTTGATGAAGCGACTATGACTCCTGAGGGAAGCGACGAGGAGGAAGATACCAGGGAATATGTCAAGATCCCCGTGCAGTAACGTTAGCCGGGACTTAATTCGTGTGATTTGGAGTTTTACCTACGTTAGTTAGTTTGTTTTTGTTATTTACGCTTAATGATGAAAGTCCGCTCTGCGAGTGGCATGAACACCCCATTTGCCTCTGCTCTGTAGACTTAAATAGAGACGATTCTGCCTATTCACATGGCATCTTGTAGATGAAAGGCCTTTGAGGTCTAGATTATCAGACTGATAGTGGCCGGTGCGGGGCAACCGACTGCCGATGGAGAAGGCCTTGGCCGTAGGGGCCGTGCCTTGGCCAGGGGCCTCTGCAGTAGGCAACGTCATGAATAACTTCCCCGTATTACCCACCCGGATTCGCAACTAGAAGCAAGCTCAGAACATCAGATGACGGAAAGACCTGGGACATTTCGATAAGAACTTCTAGAATTTCGACTATTACCCAAGGTGTTGATCAACCTGTCCCGTCGCCGAAATTCTCTACTGCCCCTGCAACCAATTTAGAGCACAATGACAGGGCAGCCTGTGAAACGCAGCTTTGCAGGAGCAAGTCTGGACTACCTTGGAGCACGCTATGTCGGTGCAGGCCCCGAAGCATGCAGCTACACTAAACAAGCCATAGAGATCCCCATGACCGATGGTGTCAAGCTGGCCGCTGACTATTACGCACCTGAGTTGCCCGACAACCAGAAATCTGCAGGTCTGATCATGATCCAGTGCTGCTATGGTCGAGGTTCAGGAATTTCTTTCATCAACGCCCGCATCTTCGCTGCTCGAGGCTACCAGGCCCTGTTCGTCAGCACACGCGGTACCTATGGCTCAGAGGGAACGTTTGACCCAGGCAGCAACGAACAGTCCGATAGCCAGGATATCGTCGCGTGGATGCGCCAGCAGCCTTGGTATCCTGGATCCTTTGCTACCCTGGGCGCTTCGTATCTCGGCTACAGCCAGTGGGCGCTTTTGCACGACCCGCCTGCCGACTGTGTCGCTGCTGTCATCCCCGTTGGGCCTCATGATCAGGCCTGGCATGCATGGGGTACTGGGTCTTTCCGACTTGATCGTGCATCCTGGAGCGATTTGATGTCCAAGTGCGATGAGGAGAAGGGAAGCTTTCTCTCGCGTCTGGCAAATATACCTGGGTTGAGCTTTTTGCGGTCGTCGGAACTTGAAGAGGCCGTGGCTGGCTTGCCACTGGAAGCTAGCTTGCAGAAGTACTTCGGTGACAAGGCCCCATGGCTATTTGAGTACTTGAAGCATCCCAATGTCGATGATGACTACTGGACGCCACGACGACACCATATTGCTCTTCAGCGTGCGAACATTCCCATCCTCCTGATTAGTGGCTGGTACGACACGTTCACAACGCAAACGATGCACCAATTCAAACATCTCCGTGGCCGGGGCGTGAATGTGAACCTTGTCGTCGGCCCCTGGACACATGTTCAAGGCTCAGGTCTATATTCCATGCCGGAGATACTAGACTTCCTCTCTGAGCATGTTGCAAAAACTGAAGATGCGCGATCAAATCGGGAGGTCGGAGTACCCCATGCACGTCAGGCCCGCATCTTCATCACAGGCTCCCAGGAGTGGCGCTCAATGCCTACCTGGCCTCCAGATACTCGACCGAAGACCCTATATCTACAAGAAAACAACGGCATTGGACCAGGACCTCCTGTGCTGGACACAAGCCCTGCTTCCTTTGTCTTCGACCCCCTGAACCCTACCCCCAGCATCGGTGGCAATCAAATGTCTTCTGGTGGACGTGTGGACGATAGCGCCTACGCAAAAAGATCAGACGTGCTAGCCTTCACGAGCGAGCCTCTATCAGAAGACCTCGAGATCTTGGGTATCCCATCTGTTCGCTTGATACATACAAGCGATCCACCCTTTGCAGACCTTTTCATAAGGCTCAGTGAGGTCGACACCCACGGCGTGTCCCACAATATCACTGAGATTTACCAGGCGCTCGACCCGTCTCGCGACACATCTAAGCCACTTAACCTGGATCTACAAGACTGTGCTCATCGATTCAGAGTTGGCACGCGTATGAGACTTATTGTCGCGGGTGGTTCTTTTCCGATGTATGCGAGAAGTCTTGGAACCGATGAGGACCGTCTACGTAGTGATAAAACTACTCCTCAGAAGCATACTATTACTATCGCCGGTGGAGTTTCGCAGCTTGTGTTGCCTACTACGTCTGCTGTTTGAGTCTCATTATTTAGTACGATTCTGCGGAGATATATTGCGGGTCTCGTCTAGAAGACAAAACAGACCATTGAAATGAGACTTATGCTAGTTATTGAAGCATTCAATAGACTACGGAAGAGCTGCAATGCATGCAATGGCAGGGGCCAGACCTGAACCTCAAGAAAGGTTCCCTAAATGTGGTCTTCAGTACAACTACAAAGGTATTGTTCAAATATAGTCCGCTTTGAAATATAGCCATAGTAATTTAGAACAATTCATGTCTTTCGTTTAGCCCAAATATTCATCAATGGCTTCCAGAGCTGCCTGTACCTTCTCCGGAGGAGCTGTGATGTGCATTCGGACAAACCCACGGAAATCCTGAGCAGCCGCCAACCCAAATGTGAGACTTCCAGGGGCTAGCAAAACGCCCTTCTTCTCCTTCAGCTTCAAACAGAAGTCAACATCATCGACAGGGGCTCCGTTAGAAGAGAATCGCACGAAAGCTGTCGCTCCCGAGCTTGGTTTGATCCACGAGACACCAGCGTGTTTATTGACGAAGCTTTCCAAGAGACTGAGGTTCTTCTGAGCCATTTCTAGATGCTTTGCCAGGATCTGAGGCCGGCATCGATCACTCAAAGCCTCCGCGGCGATGACCTCATCGATAGTACCCACAGCCATGATCGTATAGAAGCCCAGATTAAAGCAGTCAGAGAGAATTTTGGCATTTTTCGTGGCGATCCAACCTATGCGGGCTCCAGATAGCCCCCAAACTTTGCTCATGGAGCTGGTGACAATAACACTGTCAGTCTCTTCCGAAAGCTCCACAAAAGATGGCGGCTTTGTCGAGTCGTGGAACAACGGGCGGAAGATCTCATCAACCAGAAGGATCAGACCATGTTCGCGGGCCAGGGCAACTATTTCATGTTGCATTTCGAGGCTCAGGGTAGTTCCCAGGGGGTTGTTTGGGTTGTTCAGCACAATCATTTTCGTAGTGGGCTTGATCATGCCCTTCAGCTGCTGCAGATCTGCCTGGGCCTGATTGTCCAGATCGAGAGACCAATATGAAATGTTCTCCCCGACGGTAGCTTTGGGGATAGACAGGAGCTGGGTATATGAAGGATACATGGCAATGACATGATCGTCAGGCTTAAGCAGGGTTTGGAAGACAAGCGAGTTGGCACCTGTTGTTCCATTGGTCGCTAGGATGTTATCTGCTGTGACTCCATTGTAGAGGCCGGAGATTTCCTGACGAAGATTGTGACTGCCGTTTCCTGGACCCAGAGTCAACTTCAATGAGTCGACCGACAGGTTGCTGGAAGTTGCCTGTTTGTCCGAAGAAAGCTCGATCAAGTCCTGAATTGACAGTGGGGGAGTTGCGCTCCCGGCCAACACCAGAGATGCATCCAGGGCATGCCTATCAATCCACTAGCTTTGGTGTCAGGTAAAAAGTAAAGGAGAGTTGAAGCTGTCGCGTACCTTGGGAAGTTCGAAAGAGTCAATGTTGTGCATTCTGATGAGAGTGTATCAAAGCTGTAGTGGAAAAGAAACTACAATAGGCGCAATCATGGTCTTATAAGATTCCGGATGTCTGACGCATCTTGAAAAATTACGTGCGGGGCCGTCGAAGGGCGTGAGGGCGGACCACGCTTGATAGGTGGATGCTTCCCCCATTTATATTCGTTCTATGAAGCTGCTACTGAAGAATCTATCTACATAGCTCGAGAGGGATGGGATGGCCCACACTGGTCAACTCATTGACTACAGGTCTGCTCCAATTACTAGACAATCGAAGCGCGTTCGATTTTCGATTTTGTCGATTTCTTCGATACCTAGGTACCTATGACTCAAGTGGGCCCTCCCGGACATAGGACTCTACAGCTCGGTTAACGCCGGCCCTCACTATCCAGAGCCGTCGACAGCTCAGCTATTGTACATCATTTCAAGCCCAACAATAAAATTAACCAAAGTCTAGATCGGCTGTTTCAAAACCCACCGCCTCGGCCAAACCAGCCACTCCCGAAATGCGGGATGCGTCTTAGTCTCGATATCCTCCAACAGCTGACGGCCAATTCCGCTCATATACCAAAAATGATCTACCATATGAAGCAGTACACAATAGTGAGCTAGCAAAACTAGAGCCGCGGGATGGTGTGATATCAAGTGATCGTGGAACCGCTTTGAAAGTGGATAGGCCCAGAGAAAGACCATGCCGGTTTCTACATGCGGGCCTGCCAGTTCGATTTGGCGGGCTGAGACTTCAAAAAACTCCATGGCAATTTTGTAGTCTTTTCGGATATCTGAATGTTCTTGTGGAGCTTCATCGTCATCGGGATCTTGGTGCTGGGACTCAGATTGAGTCTGTGGGAAAGGATATTCGTCGACGAATTTACGAAGTCGAGATACTTGGGTCCAGACATCTGGGGGAAGTAAAGATTGAGCAACCAGAGCAGGGCTACTAGAGGTAAGTATTGGAATAACTTCTGAATCTTCAAAGACTGAATTGGACGACAGCTTACCTCGGAATGCTCGGTTCATCCTCTATCCAGACAGAATTGACCATGGGAGCAAGTTGTGTTTTCTGAAGGGAGCGCAAAAATGGTTTCATAACTGCTTGAAACCCCTTGACGCTGGCGAATATTTCGATTATGGTGGACAATGGCGTAGGCAACCGATCTGCGTTGAGTCTAATCGTGGCCGTTGAAATATGCATACAGATCATCGAGGAAAAGCAAAACACAGGTTGCCAGTTATCTCGGTCAATAGGCGATGATATGAGCTCTCTGAATTCTTTCAGACCGGCAGCAAGGTGGTATGCCGAAGCTTTCGTATATTTGTCCTTCTGGCTTGGATAGAGGTACGCGCGATGAATGGCGGCGATGGCCAGAACACCGTTCATGACATACTTGTTCGCGTAGCCCTCTGTGGGTATAATAACCCGCCAAACATGGCGTACGTCTTCCCGACGAGTCAGGGTATTGCATGTCACGGTACAGTAATGGTGCATCAGTTCTGCTACCATCCCCCAATCTTCATAGTCCACCGGAGCATCTTGACTTGATCTGGGCAGGATCCCCAGCAGATCAAGTCTGTTTGGAGATTCAACTGCATTGCCAGAATTTGCAAGATTCCAAAGGTAATCACCATGCGGAATCGGCGCATGGTTCACACAAGGTGGTTGTGAAGATGGTTGAATGTGCGCCTGCGCCTGCGACGCTGGGGAAGCGCTGGATGCTGGCGTACTATCTTGCTCGGTCGGAACCACATAGCTACATGGAATACCATGTTTCACGCAGTTGGTACATGGGTATCGCTCATCACACTAGAATCACATTAGAGGACGTTGGGATATGGACGGGAGGGAACACACCTTGAGTCGCCGCGCTTTACACTCGGGACAACCGTTACGTGACTTGCGATGGGATCTGCGCGGGCCCATTTTACCATCAGGCACACGTTCTAGAAGGATGGAGAAACAGCGGCGTTGGATGTTATAAGGATACGGATAAGAGATCGAATACGAACTCGAATTCGAATTCGCGGACCCACCGACCCACTCGATGACTTGGACCCCGTGAACTTCGCTTCGAGCTCGCGGCTTTTCAGACATTTCTATCGGTTTTAATCAAATGAAAAGCTCGTTTTCTCTCAATTGTGGGCTTTCTCTTTTCAGCCTCGGTATCTTTAATATTCTACACCAATTAGGCTTCTCAATTTCTGTATCGACCATCCAAGAATGTCTTGGATCTGTACCTTTAGCAGGAGCCTGGATCCAGTGGGACCCAAGCGACATTGGCACGGCTCATTGTGGCTGAAGTAACAGTCAAGCTATATTAAAAACTACCAGACCCCCATTCTATCAGAATTTTGATCCCCGTCAGGAGCCTCTTTCGTCTGAAGATGGATCGCAATAACCTCTATGGCTATAAGCCATCCATTGCGGCCGGTGTTATATTCATCATTCTCTTCGCTCTCACGACTGTCTATCATACATACCAACTGACCAAAGCCAGATGCTGGTACTTCATTCCTTTCGTGGTGGGAGGTATCTGTATGCTACCCCAACCATTCAGATGTCACCGCGAAATGCTAATGTGCAGCAGTCCAAATCATCGGCTATATTTGCAAATGCCTCGGTCACAATAACCTCGCATCCGTTGCTCTTTACGCTATGCAGTCCGTGTTGATCCTCCTTGCCCCGCCGTTATACGCCGCATCGGTGTACATGGTCCTCGGGCGACTAGTTACATACCTAAACGCGGAGAATTTGAGCATGGTACCCGTCAAGTGGATGACCAAGATCTTTGTCGCGGGCGACGTTTTCTCTTTCATGCTTCAATCGGCCGGTACGTCAACATCTCTCACTATCAACAGCCATAGCATTCACTAATACGCCTATAGGCGGCGGCCTCATGGCCGGCAGCTCCACCAGCATGCGCACTACCGGATCCAACGTTGTAATCGGTGGCCTAGTAGTACAGCTCCTCTTCTTTGGCTTTTTCGTGATCGTCGCAGCGATATTCCATTACCGCATCGAGAAATCTCCGACAATAAAATCTACGAACGAGCGCCAAACGTCACGCGGGCAGGGCTGGCGGCAGCGCAGCTGGATGACTGTTTTGATGGCTCTGTATGTTGTCAGCGCGCTCATCCTGATCAGGTCTATTTTCCGCCTCATCGAGTACAAGTATGGATTCGATGGATATCTCATGACGCATGAGGTATTTGGTTACATTTTTGATGCGCTGTTGATGTTGGTTGCCATGGTGGTGATGAACGTGTATCATCCTGCTGTCATCTTGGGCGATGGGAAGGGGGGAAATTCTCAATATTCTGAGGAGATGCAGTTGCCTTATCGGTGAAGGTAATGCTACCACAGTAGCAGTCGTTTGGAGATTACTTATCTTACAACAGCCGTTGGCAATGATCGGAGTAAGGCGTATTTTGATTCAATCACTTAGTATACAATGATAGATATGCGTTGACCTCTTCGGACTCTTTCCACTACCAATGACACACTTCATTTCAACTTTCGAAGGTGCTAAGGCTTTCTTGATTCTGGTCAGCATAACAGAGCTAGGGAGCAGTATCACCGTATTGAGATACACAGAATCATGGATCAATTCAAGTGTTGCGTTTGTATGCTCCTTCATTATTATCGAAGTGATGCCAGCTATAGACAGGGATACCCAACTCTTTTGTCCAAACATAACGCGTGGAAATCCAGTATCAAACAAATCATATCTCATAAAATCATGAATAGGGCCTATAATCCACACTGCGACGTAACTCATAGCTTTTCCGCATGTCCCCATTCACCAGGCCATTTGCATAGTGATCTAATCTCCTCGACGCTCCAGTACCGCGAGTCGAAACAGGCAACAAGCTGGGTCCATAATCCAGCTCGCCGCTCCGGCGTGATCGCGCCAAGCTGATGATTTTCTCAAATTCCAGTGTCTGGAGCTGGAATTCGCGGTCTGATGTCGGTGCTGGCTCGCTTTTGCGAGATAGCCAGCTACGGCCCATACGGAAGAAGTCGCCGATGTCGTCCACAGAAAGAGCCAGGATGACAAGGGGGATGGAGATGGCGAAGCCAACGCCGAAGGTGTATTTGGCGACGTATGGGAGGTTCAAATTATCGAATTCTTTCAGGTTGATGGTAAAGATGGAGGTGATGAAAGATAAAGGCAGGAAGATGATCGTGACAATAGTGAAGACCATGATTGTCTTGCTTTGGCGGGTTGTTCCTGCTGCCTGGTCGCGAGCGAAGCGGGCTTCGAAGGCGTTGGCGTGTTTTTGCTTGAGGTCAAGCAGATCCGTGATGGAGTGGTAGATTCGTTCGGCTTGCTTGTCCATGCGCTCAATATCTTTCAGGTGCATGTCGATCATGCGCTGCTGGTCCTTGAATCGTTTCTTAACTTCATGTTGGGAGCGGTGCTGCCCTTGGTAAATCTCGCAGATCACTTCTTGGAAATCTTGGAGGACGTGCTTTTGGTGGTCAAGCACAGTACGGATCATGTTCAGCTCGTCTCTGATATCTTTGGCCTCTGCAAGAAGATCTGTCTCTTCACCGATGTCGAGGAGTCGGTCGACAAAGAGTGGCTGACCATCGTCAAGATAGTTTTCCTCGTCCTCGATCGGGTCGTCCTCTGCAACTCCGTCACGGGCATGAACCGAGCGAGCGGAGCTGCGAGAGAACTTATTCAGTTTGCGGTGGCTTTTCAGCCAAGCTGACGCCTGCACAGATGCATGGTTGAACCGGTTAAAGAGCAATGTCTCTCTATCAGTTGCTATACCAATGGAGGATTCAAACATGTCCAAGAATTGGAATTCGTCATCGCCAAGACGGTGTCGATCAAATACTCCCGAACATCGGTTAGTAATAATGATAGCAAGGTCGTATACCGACTTGACAGGGTCGCGGGTTTTGGAATTGATATCTTCAATAATCCCGTCCAACACATTTAACGGGTCATTCTTTGGTTGGTCCCATCGCTGCGGGAAGCTGGTGACAATGAGGTTCGTCCCTAGAACCCACATCCATAGCTGATCAACCATAAAAATTTTGGGCTCCGTTCCTGGCCCATCACGACCGGGGCCTTTGGTCTGGTACCGGTAGACAACCTGGTCTTGGTCGCGGCTCTGGGTATCGATGTTTGGATAGAAGAACTGGTCCAGTGTTCGACGGACATGGAGGGAAGTGGTCGAAGCAGATAAATGTGCATCAAGAAGGACCTCATCTCGGCTGCGAAGTTTTTTCATACTCGGCTGGAAACTCAGTGTCTCAGCGCGCTGGATGGCATCTTGCATCTTCTGTCGCCGGTCTGCAGTTTCGAAATGCAGATATGGCATAAAGACACAGACATTGCTCGCAGAAAGAAGGCTTTGGGGGTCTTTACACAGAGTCGATGTGGTCAATTGGGCTGATCGAGCCAGTTTGTCACTCGAGCCCCATGGAGACTTTGTTTTGGTTTCGCCTTTGGGAGTTCCTGGATTGCTGCCCCCTTTGCTTCGTTTCTGGTTGCGGTTGCTTTTCTTTCCACCTACGGCGCTTTCGTCGTGTGAATGTGATTCGACGCGGTCAAGTTTACTGCTTGATCCTTTCTGTTTGCGATTGATCGTGGTGTCCACCGTGCTTAATGAAGGGGCATATTGCGACTGTTCCTCTACTTTCTCGTCCTCCTTCTCCTTCTCCCACCGTCGCATCATAGTCCGCGGTGTATTCTGACACAAAGGCCGCATGAAATGCGAATGAATCTTCTGTCCGCGGTGTTGATAATTGAATGATTTTTCAAGACCCTTGAAGCCATCCACATCGTGAGCACCCTCTTCAATGAATGACTTGGTCATGAGCGCTTCCACCCAAGCCATGTTATTCGCTGGCAGGTGTATCCATCGAAAGTCAGTTGCACGACTGTCTGCAGGAACAGTGGTCACAGCCTGCTTCCTTGGATTCTCAGGATCCCGGCCATAAAGCAAATTATAAACGGACATCTTCTTAACTCGATTCTCGTTGTGGAAGTTGCCAAAGTCGACGACGGTTGCATCAAAGGCTTTACTAGCGTCCTTAACATCGTCGGAGAGAGAGTCGACATTGTTGAATGGAGCGAGAAGCAGCACAACATCCTTGCGCTTGAATTGAGCTGCACGCAGGAATGGAGTACTGCCAAAGTTGTCTCGAACTCGACGTTTCAAATCAGATCGCTCCAGAAGACACTCTATCACCTCACGATGTCCACCTTGCGCTGCAAGATGTAAAGGCGTGACACCATTCAGCAACTGACTGTTAATTTGAGAACCTGCGTGCAAGAGGATAGAGACAATCGCCTCGCATCCTCTCTCACAGGCATTGTGAAGAGGCGTCCACCCTCCATCACTGCAAGCGTTGACAGCAGCCCCATGTTGCAACAAAAGCTGTACGATATCGGCCCGATCATGCACAGTAGCAATATGCAGCGCCGTCTTCCCTCTCATCTCTGCCGCATCGATTTTTGAGCCATTTGGTCTCGTCAAAAGCAACTGCGCCACCCTCCAATTCCCCGTCGCACAAGCCCAATGCAGTGGGGTCCTCCCCAGCTCGTCTTGCCCATTTGTGTCAATATGGCAATCGGGCCTTAACAACAACTCAACAATCTCTTCCCCCCACCCCCACCGACACTCCTTATCAGCCGCAAGATTGTGTAGAGCATTCCTCTTCCGATGATCGACGGCATTAATATTCGCCCCGCGCATAATCAACAACTGCAAGATATCGGCACGATTAAGCCACGCCGCAGTCATTATCGCCGTCCTTCCGTCCTTGTCCTGACTATCAGGAGACGCCCCATGATCAAGCAATAGCCGCACAATCTGATATTGGTCACGCTCGACAGCACGCAAGAGCGGCGAAAGCCGATTCCCAGCAACATCCGTCTTCGCGCCTTGCGTGAGCAGAAACTCAGTTGCATTGACGCAGCCTCGTTCGGCGCTGCGCATAAGACCTACGCGGAGGAAATTATCGCTGAATTGGCCGTATTCGTGGGCGAGCGCTAGAACTTTGCGCAGGGAGTCGGCATCGTCGTTTTCCGCGGCCCGTAAGAGCCTCGGCTCTAACCGTTCGTGACCGTCGCTGGCCATGCTGGATGACCGGGGCATTGTGGGGTGTTTTCGACGTCAGGGTCAGTCGGATTATTCCATGGTGGCGCTAGGAGCGTCTGACTTGCGTCTAGCGGATGATGGGGCGGAGAGGGCGAGAGATTTAAGATTTCCTCAGCCCCGGGCTGGATGAGTGCATCGCCCCATTAGGTAAGGGTAGATCTGCGCTAAGGCTGGTCTTGGTGCATTTTGAGCTGGCGGTGAAATTGGCCCCCGTTGGAACTGCGGCTTGTGGCTGCGCAGACTCGTATTCTGTGCATGGTGGGACGGTGCACGGCGCACGGATGCTCGCTAGGTCGACTTTTAACTGTAATTAGCCTTGGGGTAGAACGGTGGGACAGACGAATGTGGCAAAAGGGCCAAGAGGGAAATATGGACATATCGAAGCTTAAGTTGTTTTGACTAGGGTTCATGGGGTTCCACGGTTCATTGTATTCGAAGAGGAAGTAGCACAACAAACGCAATCTATAGCTACAACTACGGTATGGAAAAGCAACTCAAACAAATCGTACACTCCATTATGCAGATATTAAAATCTATTTTCCGTGGGGCTGTCTCCGTATAAAAAAAATTACGAGCAGGGGGGAATCCAGCACAAGAAAAAGAAAAGGAAAAGGAGACACAACCCCCACCCTGGAGATGATGATGATGCTAGATATGATCCATGATAAAAATTAATGCCGGGACTCTCCCCTGTAAATTAAAAGGCTTTTTGTTCTCGCTTCCCTGTGCATAGCGCCGTTCCAGCCCGGTGGTTCATGTCACAATATGCGCCTATCAACAAACACGAAATAAAAAAAGAAATGAAAAAGAAAATCCGATGCAGGGGTAACATTGTCACTCAAAAGCGGATAGGACGAGGGCTGCAATATTCTTTAGTGCTTCTTCTTGCTCCCTTTTTGAGGCACCTCTCTCAGGATGTCGTCAAAGCTCATGTTGGGGTTGAAGCGGCTCATAGGGCGGGCAGGAGGCTCGATAGGAGCAATACCGGCAGGAAGAGGAAGGGCTTCGAGACCTGGGTAGAGAGAGTGCCGGTGCTCGGCCCGATTGGCGCCGGGTGAGCGTGTGCGAGGGATGGCGGGAGGAGGAGGCGTAAGACCGCCGTGGGTAGCTCCCATCAACGACGGGGGCGGTTGGGGGTCGGAATAGGAGCCAGCGGAAGACTGCTGGCCCGGATAAGGCGAGGAGATAGAGGATTCATTCTCATCGTAAGCGTCTTCCATTAGTGGGGGTTCAATTAATTGACCAGCCTCAGCCCACTGCTCAGCCACCTGCCAGCAGTGACTGCGGCGGTAGACACCTTCCACTCCGTTGATGACCACATCAGAGGGAAGGCTGACAACACCAGCACCACCAGCAACTCCGAACCAGCTGCGAGCAGTCTTTGTGTCATTGTGAATCCAAGGAGCCCCACCGCGAGGAGCGACACAGAGGAAGTATTCGACACCGTCAGTGAAACGAATCTCGGGAACGCTCACGACCAGCATGGGCAAAGACTGAATAACCGCGTACAGGAAGATCCACTGACCACAACGCAGATCCATCAAGTCAGCACAGCTCTTTCCGCTGGCAGCGCGGCGTTCAAACTGCATGAAGCTCTCGATAAAAGGAGTCGGGCGCATGGCCTCACGGGTGTAAGATCCCATTAGGACCGCATTGACATCAGCACTCTTGAGCTTCTTGCCATTTTGCTTGACCTCCTTCTTCGCATCGAGCGGCTTGCGGTGCAGAGGTTGGACGGACGGCAGCTGCGGAATATCGAAGGGAATCGGGGGCGAGACAGGCGGGGTACTGCGATCGTACTCGCTGAGCACTTGACGGATGGCGCGAATAGTCATGTCCTTGGGGTCTGTGGAGCTGTTGTCACCACCGGCACCGGAAGAGTCTATTGTGCGGGTGGTAAGTGCTGTACGGTCGACCAAAAGGTCGTAAAGGTCGGTAAAGTCGCGGTAAAGATCTAGGAGGAGAAGACGGTTCAAGCCACTCTCCTCGAATTCATTCTTCTTGGACCGAGCCTTCGGTGGCCAAGCGCCATACTTCTGGCGGTAGTAGCCCATAGTAAAGCGACGGAAGTCCATGAATCCGGTCTTCCAGTTCTTGAAGCGCACGACCTTGCTCTCAACGGAAGTTGTCGAGTTGGCGATGCCAGAGAAGACTGATGGGAAATCGAAGTCTTCAAGTTTGCCATAGAGACCTCGAAGACGAGTGTCGAGATCGATGAAACCACGCTCAAGTCGCTTCTGGGTGATGGGGTGGATGAAGCCGAACTTCGGGCTTCGCAGCTGCTTGATCTCGTCCAGCTTTCCGACTCCGTGGACAAATCCTTCAAGGTAGAGAGGGTAGTATCGCAGGCGTTCGCCAAGAACAATGGCCTCGATGGTCTTTTCACGACTCCTGCGCACATCGGCTAGACGCAATTCGTCACAGTAGTTACTGAAACTGGAGGTGGCAGTTTCACCAAAGTTCGATCCATCAAGATTGGAAAATTCAAATCGAGCGAGTAGCACGGCCACATCCATGAAAATGCTGAAAAGAGAGGATGACTTGGGCGAAGCAATGAGAGACTGTCCCAAGAGGAAGGCAAACAGGTTACGGAACAGGAGCAGGGTTTCGGTGTCGTCTGCAGACAAGCGACATTGCGGGTTAGACACATCGCTGTTTAATGGAATAGGCAAGTATAGGTGCAACTCCTGCTCCTCATCACCACCGTCCTCAAAGGCCATTCTTTGGCTGCCCGAGCTGTCATTGTCATCATCTTCCAGGTGGTCTTGCGGAGTCAGGGGCGGAGACATGGGGTTCTGGAGGGATAGAGTGCGAGTAGGTTGCTCAAGGCCGTTGGTTTTGGCGTCAGTGCCGCGGGCGAGGAACGTAAGGGAAGGAGATTCGGCGAAAACGGTCGAATCCACCTTGAACGAGGCCGAACGGCCAGTATTGTGAGGGAAAAGATAGACATAGGTATCGCCTTCTTCGTTCCACAGCTCAGGGACCTGAAAAGCGGGAGCAGTCAGTACTTGTGGATATAACGATAAAGCCAGTCTCATCATACCTGATCACCTCTCGTGAGGGGCCCCATGTCATAAACCACTTTTTGATCAAGTCCAGCAATCCATGCGCTAGGCAGCGTGGGGGCCGGGGGCCGCTTGTCAACCGAGCTTGCCCGCGATCGTCCCGCCATACCGGGCATCCAACTTCGGCGTTTTGATGGCGTGCTCGGGCGAGAGTCTGGAGTGGAACCCGGAATAACTAAACCTGCCGAACTGGAGGGCCGGCTGAAATCGCGACCCCGGCTGCGAGGGCGGCTGTCGACAGGCGAGCTGGGAGCGCTGCTCGCAAGGTCTTGATTCACAGCCAGGAGTGATGGCGGGGGTGGAAGGCTTTCCAGATCGAGCTGCTCCATTTGGGCAGAAGTAGGGACCGTCCTGGGCTCGGAAAAGGCGGCATTGGGGGTCGAGACATGGCGAGTTGGTCTTGAGCTACTGCGTTTCCTGTTGCTTGTCTCGGGGAATCCTGACGAGGCAGGCGATCCTGGTCCGGTTTGATCCTTGTGTCCTCCCAGCGAAAACAAGGACGAGATGCGCTTCGCCGATTTAACGGGAGCAGACAACATCTTTCAAGATGTTGAGTTGAAGGGGGTAGAGGGGTGGAGGGGATGACTGAGAGGTGGTCGGAATAGAGAAGAGGAGACCGTTTGATCGGGTAGCCGGGAGAGTGAGGTCACTTGCTCTGCGTAGAAGAATGAACACAGTGGGCAGCAAAAGGGGACGGAGAATGGATCGGCAGGAGGGATTGTAAGAATGGCAGGGGAGAAGTAATGGAATGAAGAGGAAGAAACGGGATCAGGGGGAGGTGTTCGCGTTTCAGGAGAACCCCAAAAATAATCAGAGAGAAAAAAAAAAAGAAAAAGACGATGAAGTTAAGAGATAGTTAGGAGGCTAAGTGAATTAACTTGCGGCCATCACGGAGGAGATTCGATCCGGTTCTTTTTGCCAATAATAGCTTTGCTGCGGATGACGGGTTCCTTGGCTGTGCAGCGGTGGAGCCCCGAAAAATATGATCAAGAAAAAAATAGAAAATAGAAAATAAAAAGAGGATTTCGATTCGGGGGCGTGTAGCTTCCTTTTCTCTCCCTGATTGCGTATATTTAATATTTTTAATTGTCCCAGTGCATATGGGCTTGGTTTTAATTTCCTATAGCCTATATTGTACTGGGTGAGGGCCAGGAATACGATGTACGGAGGACGGCGCCAGCAGTACGCAGTATAGCGGAGAGCCGTGTGCCTGACCCGACGTGGTATGCACACATAACTGGGAGCCCGCGCAAAAGGGCATAGCACATCCCGTGGACCTGCGCATATAATATCAAGCATCAAGCATCTGCCTGCCCCCGAAATGGCCCTAGTCCAATTGGAGCCCATCTATATGCCACGCTTTGCCGCAGTGATCCGACTGGGAACTTCCCATTCAAGCGATGAAAAATGGGGCGCTTCACGCTAGCCAGGCCATGGGCTTTGTGTGTGCCAAGTAAAACATCAAAATATCATTTACCGTTTTAAGCTGCTTCACCTACCCTAAGATACTCCATAAACACAGACTGGTGATGTAAGCTCCTAATTACCTAGCTATGTATTTGTTTACCGTTGAAAGCCAAGGTAGTATTCTGCGGTCCGTGTTCCTGAACCTGTTCCCCTCACGGAGCTGGGGCGGTTCCGCTCTCGCTTCCAGAAACACCCCGATCTCGGGTCCCATAAATGGATCCCTGGGGCCATCTGCGGTAATCTGACATCGATTCCTCTTACCAAATAACTATTTCCATCAAGTCTAAAACAATGGTTGTTCCCACCGAGCCCATCGATCTGCTTTGCGGATGGCCCAACCCCGCGCTCCTCCCCGCCCCCGATCTCCTCCGCTCCGCCACGACCGTGCTGACCGACCCCTCCATTGCACACGCCGGTCTACTGTACGGCCCGGACGAGGGCTATGAGCCTCTTCGTGTTCACATAGCCAAGTGGCTAGGGAACTGGTACCAGCCTCGCGAGTCTATTCACCCGCACCGTATTTGCATCAGCGGCGGGGCCAGTCAAAACCTCGCGTGTATTCTTTCCGTCTTTACCGACCCTCTATACACCCGAAATGTCTTTATGGTTGATCCGACCTACCACCTCGCAGGCCGCATCATGGACGATGCCGGTTTTGCCGGGCGAGTACGTGGGGTACCGGAAGATGATCAAGGATTCAATCTCCAGGTGCTAAAGAATATGCTGGCCGAAGCGGAGAGGCAGGCGCAGGCAGAGGGAAACATGGAACCGGTATTGTAGAGATCGCATCTGCCATGTGTTAACATCGCAGAGGTATACACTTGAATGGCCCACTGACCTCTCACTCCAGAAGTTGAAACCTCCTCGGCCTTGGCGCAAGATCTACAAATATATCATCTACGCTGTCCCCACGTTCGCCAACCCCTCCACCAAGATTATGTCCCTGCATCACAGGGAAGAATTGGTGCGCTTGGCTCGCAAGTATGATGCACTACTAGTGACAGACGACGTCTACGACTGCCTGCAGTGGTCGGCTATTCGCGGGGAGAAGGCACCGGTGCACGCGTGTTTGCCTCGACTGGTGGACATTGATCGGTATCTAGATGGCGGCTTGGCAGATGAATGGGGTCACGCAATTAGCAACGGCAGCTTCAGCAAACTGATCGGGCCCGGGGCCCGCACTGGATGGGCCGAGTCAACGGAAAAGGTTGCTTTCGGACTGAGTCAAGTGTAAGTGTTCACCAGCCATCTATATTTCCAACGATGATGAACGATCGGTGTACGCGAGCTAACGCCACGGACGTCAGAGGGTCGTCTCGGTCTGGGGGAGCTCCCTCTCAATTATGCTCAACTATTATCGACCAACTACTGCCATCGGGCTTCCTAGAAAACCACATCTCGCAGGTCCTACAACCCGCGTATGCAGAGCGGTATCACGATCTCTCTGCCGCCATCCAGGAACACCTAGTCCCCCTTGGAGTCAAGTTCACTACCCCATCTACAGGAGTCGCGGGCGGGTATTTCATCTGGATTACCCTGCCCACCCCACTCCGCGCGGCAGACATTGTGGAGCGGGCCCAGAAAGACCAAAATCTGCGTCTAGCGCGTGGCGATATTTTCCAAGTGGCTGGTGAAACATCGGGTCCAACAGATCGCTTTGGAGACTGCCTTCGCCTTTGCTTTGCGTGGGAAGAGCCGCGTCACCTGACTGAGGGTGTACGTAGGCTCGCACGTGTCATGCAGGCCGCTGTATAATTTGAAGCTGAATATGATTCACTTGGCGCCTTGTTTGGGGTTGGACGGTCCGTTCCGGGGGGGGGGACGCGTGTCTTTCCTGGAGGCAGCAACGATATATAGTAGGATTGATAGCGCGGTAGGAATGGGAAAAACTAAAAGTATAACCACACCGATTTCTGCAAACTGATGCTACCGTTTTTAAACCTCAAATGCTTGAAAATATATTCCCGAGTTTGACAGCCGAGATTTATATATATCTCACAAACACCCGAGTGCTGGATCGATGCTGCTGAAAATGGAAACCGTGGCCCGGGATTAGTCAGGAACTATGGCCGACCAGGGAACCTCTATTTACTTCTGCTACCAGGTACACCTGTTCACCGTGTGCAAACTGACGAGGTCCTCACCGATTATTTGGTCAAGTGAAGTGCGATCGGAGATAGCTGCGCATCATTGGACCGGATGTTGTCCTTGCCCCTCGCCCCTCGCTCGAGCTAACCTAAGGCACTAACCTTCATGTAGATGCGGGTCGCTTCCTCAGGGGCCGGCAAAGCTTGACCGAGGGGGCGTCGAACCCGAGTCAGCTAGTTTTAGCCTCAAGAGTCAAATTCCACTATCACCGGGGCAGTTTACCGCCCACTTGCATCTCGTCATCAGGAATCCTCCAGGGCTCTTCCCCGCTGCGTGCCGTCCAAGAATGTCCATCCATTACAGCCTGCGCCCCTGACAACCAACAAGCGTGCCAAGATATCCCGTTTGTACGCGCCGTGCTAGGAGTCGGGATCGTCGGAGACATGATCTGGGCGAGCCGGCGCCAGTGGCGAGAATTGGCACCGGCGCGAAAGTCCCGAGCGCGAGTCTCGACACGACACACGATTCAAGTCGCCTCGAATTCGAAGCCCTCGATGTGGCCGAATTACATGTCCTGATCATGGAAAGGGGGGCTCCACCCAAGGGGAATACAACGCGGGTTGGCCTGCTTCCATACCAGAAGTCCTGGGCCCGCGCGTACCTGATTGCCCTGGGGAACCGGGAACTCAAGCCATCCAAGGCGACAGCAGGCCGCTCCCATGCGACGAGCACAATCCTAGATAGACGGAATGGACGATCCGGCATACCTTGTTTGGATTTGCATTCTATGTATATAGTGCGTAGAGCCCCATAGGTCCCTCGTTTGGGTGCTCTTAGTCTTTTTCTCTCTTTCCTCTCTTTCTGGGATACTAGATTCAGGTCGAGACCTAATTTCAGAGGCTACGAGTCCGTGGCCACTCCTTCTCATTAGACACAACCTTCGTTTTGCGACTCGGGTTTGCACTACCGGTTAAGCTGCAACACTGGGCCCGCGATCGTCCCCAATTAGCGTTTCATCGTTGAGCATCGCGTTTCAAGCACCGCGCCATATACGCCCGTGGGGCTGTTCGATTGGTGGGTGTCGGTGGACCTCAGGAGGCGCGACTGTGTGATTGGAAGCGACCGAGGTGATTCAGGGACAATACGTGCAGAACGCCTCTAGTACTGCATTCGTTACGGTAAGTCAGTCATCTCCCTATATATCTGGGATCTTTTTTTTTTTCCTTTTCGCGACCTTATTTCTGCCTATTTCGTTGTCTTCCATTCTTTCCTGGTGTTATTGGGGCTATTGTTCCCATTGTTGCTATTCACTCCTTTACCCGCGAGTCTGGTGCCTATACATACACTCTGCTGCAGTGCGGCTATCAGACATTGCCTTCATTCAATTTTTTATTTTCATTTTTGGGTTTGAAAAGCACTCTTCGCATTCCTCTTCTATCTCTTTCGCTCTTTCTTGCATCTGATTCCACTTCTTGTCGTCCGCTTCTGGATCAAGCGTCGGCTCCGATTTGAGCTATCAACAGTCTTCGAGTCTTCAGTACGGGTTACTGAACTGCTTTCATCCTCTACAGATTTCTGGTCTAAATCTTTTTTTTTCGATCCAAAAAAAATCTCGCTGCAGGTCCAGCGTCTACTGTCAAGATGGCCAACTTCCAATCTTCTATCCTGGTCTTTGTGGCCCATATCATACTTCTTCTCGGTCTCCCGACTGCCCTGGTTGGCGCGGTGCCCGTGACGCCGAACACCCGCGAACTCGCGATTTCTGGGCGCTCTTCCTCCACCTACTGGGTTGGTGATATCAAACGTCAGGGTACGGCGCCTTTCGGTCATGGCAGCGATTACAAGGTTTACCGTAACGTTATGGATTTCGGTGCCAAGGGTGTGTGACACAACCGAAGTATAAACACGAGATTTGTGCTGATATATGAACATAGGTGATGGATCCACCGATGACACAGCTGCTATCAACAAGGCAATCTCTTCTGGAAACCGCTGTGGAAAGGACTGCGATTCTTCAACCACCACCCCAGCTCTTGTGTACTTTCCCCCCGGTACATACGTTGTCTCGAAGCCCATCGTTCAGTACTACTACACACAGATTGTCGGTGATGCTGTCGACCTGCCCGTGATCAAGGCTTCTGCCGACTTTGCTGGTATGGCTGTTATCGATGCTGATCCCTATAACGACGATGGTAGCAACTGGTACACCAATCAGAACAACTTCTTTCGTGCCGTTCGCAACCTGGTCATTGATTTGACTGCCATGCCCAAGGGCTCCGGCGCTGGTATTCACTGGCAGGTCGGGCAGGCCACTAGTTTGCAGAACATCCGCTTCGAGATGATCAAGGGCGGTGGTGCTGCCAACAAGCAGCAGGGTATCTTCATGGACAACGGTTCTGGTGGTTTCATGTCTGACCTTACTTTCAACGGTGGTAACTACGGCATGTTCCTCGGCAATCAGCAGTTCACTACCCGTAACTTGAAGTTCAATGGCTGCCAGACTGCTATTTTCATGAACTGGAACTGGGCCTGGACCTTCAAGTCTCTGGAGATCAACAACTGCGAAGTCGGTTTGAATATGTCCACCTCGCCTTCTAACCAGACTGTCGGCTCCGTCATGATGCTGGACAGCAAGCTTACCAACACCCCTATTGGTATCGTCACTGCCTGGAGCAAGGCGAGCATTCCCATTGGCGGTGGTACCCTCATCCTGGATAATGTTGACTTCTCCGGCTCTACAACCGCCGTGGAGGATATTGATGGCAGCAGCCTCCTCGCCGGTGGTTCAACCGTGGCCAACTGGGTTCAGGGTAACACCTATGCTCCCTCTTCCGCTGCTAACAAGCGTGCTTACACCCCCGATCAAGAGGATGACTCTGACACTGTCACCATTGTCGAGACCGTTGTCCAGACAGTCCAGGCCTGCCCTGCTTCAGACAGTGGCTCTGTTGCTTCCACTCTTGCTACCAATGCGCCTGCTCACAGTGTTGGGTCTTCTACTGAGGCCAGGATCACTCCTGCTCTGCCCACTGACTCTGACACCGCCTATCGCTCTATTGTCTCCAATACCGATGTGACTGGTCTCCCTGGCTTCGACAACAGCTGGCTGTCCATCTTCGAGGGATCCTCTGACTCCGTCGAGGTTCCCGTTCCCTCTTCCATGGTCGACACCAGTGGCTCTACGGCTGAAGCAGCTTCTGTTCCTGCTGCCACCTCGTCTGCCGTTCCTGCTGCCACATCGTCTGCCGTTCCTGCTGAAGTCTCTTCTCCTGCCCCCTCTGAAGCCCCTCTCACTCAGACCCCGTCGCAGTCGGAGTCTACTCTTGCCCCTGCTACCGTGTCTTCCACTTCGAGCGCCCCCGCATCCCAGTCCAGCGATACCACCTCCGGCAGCTCCAGTAGCAGCGAGGGTACTTGCAGTGCCAACCAGGCTATTAGCAAGGGCCGCACCCAGAGCACCATGAAGTCTCAGTCTATGCCCTCCTCCCTCCTCAAGGATGGCGCTGTCTTCGAGAAGTCCAAGCCCCTGTACGCGGACTTGCCCGCCTCGTCCTTCATCAGCGTCAAGTCTGCTGGTGCCAAGGGTGACGGTACTACTGATGACACTGAGGCTCTCCAGAAGGTCCTTGACAGTGCTACCGCCGACCAGGTTGTGTACTTCGACCACGGTGCCTACGTCATCACCGATACCCTCAAGGTGCCTAAGAACATCAAGATCACTGGTGAGGTCTGGCCCATGATCATGGCCCACGGCGACAAGTTCCAGAACGCCAAGGAGCCCGTTGCCGCTATGCAAATCGGTCAGAAGGGTGACGTTGGTTCTGTCGAGATGAGCGACCTTGTCATTACAACTAAGGGTTCTTGCCGCGGCGCTATTCTCATGGAATGGAACGTCGCTGCTGAGACCCAGGGTTCCGCTGGTATGTGGGATGTCCACATCCGCATTGGTGGTAGTGCTGGCACTGAGCTGCAGAGCGACACTTGCAAGAAGACCCCCGATGTGAAGACCCGGCCCAAGGCCGAGTGCATTGCTGCGTTCATGCTCCTCCACGTCACTGAGAAGGCCTCGGCCTATCTTGAGAATACCTGGATGTGGACTGCTGACCATGAGCTTGACCTGTCAGACCACTCCCAGGTCGATATTTACACCGGCCGTGGTATTCTCATTGAGTCTCAAGGCCCCGTCTGGCTTTGGGGGACCGCCTCGGAGCACCACCAGCTGTACAACTACCAAGTGTCCAGTGCCAAGGACGTCTTCATGGGTCTCATCCAATCCGAGACACCTTACTACCAGTCAAACCCCTCTGCTTTGACCCCCTTCACCCCCCAGTCTGCCTGGAACGACCCCGACTTCAAGACCTGCACCACCGCCTCCTGCCGCAAGTCCTGGGGCCTGCGTGTCCTGAACTCATCTGACCTCTTCGTCTATGGCGCTGGCCTGTATAGCTTCTTCGAGAACTATGCCCAGACATGCCTCAACACCGAAGACTGTCAAGAGAATATGGTCGAAGTGGACTGCTCCGACGTGCATATCTACGGCCTGAGCACCAAGGCCGCCGTAAATATGGTCACCTCATCATCCGGCAAGAGCATGGTTCTGGAGAAAGACAACACAAGCAACTTCTGCTCAACTATTGCCCTCTTCGAGCAGACAATCTAGGTACTCTCGGGTATCTTTAATTACGTTTCCTTTCTCAATCTTGCTTTCCCGCCATGCTCATCCCACTATATCTGGACTCACCCCTTGGGGTCCTGATTTGTCATTTTCTTCTCCGTTAGATTGTTTGCATCGTTCGTTGTTGGTGTTAAGGGTTTTCTGCATGCGGAGGAAGACTGTTTGATACCACCAGAAACTCTTATGTGATGAAAGATCATTAATAGATTGTGATCGAATGATATAAATGCCATGATTATGGATTTCCCCTGTAAGAGATGTAATCTACAGAAGCGATAAGTCGCCTGCAAACACCGAAATGTTGTAATACCTCCCTGTATCCCGTGGCTTAAGTATCCAACCGCAATTCGCGAAAATAACTTCATTCTAGTCAGTCGTATATTTTCATTTACAAATATGGTGATTTTTCTATTAATAGCTGGCCTCCAAAGGCCACCTTTTTCTATGTTTATCTTCCATCTACTACGTCTCGAGGCTAAGCGTCCAAACCGTTCGAGGCACCAAAAAGCAGATGATTTCTCTTCCTTGGTCCTGTCATCCCACCGAGTTAGGGGCGAAATGGCTTGACGGAGCCAGCCCAGTATAGTTACCCGATTCTAGACTCGTATAAAAAAAAAAAGCCAAATTATAATGTTTGCCAAGTTGCCTGACTGTAGTGTGGTTGGATTTAGGTTTCATACTGTGACCACATCTTTCAGCTTCTCTTCTCTCTATGCAGCATCTGACAGCCGTCCCCCACAATCGCACCAATTCATGAAACTTGTTTCTGATACGTGCTGCTTCTTGTCAACATGCCCAACGGCGACGTGAGTTCACCTTATATATTGGCTCCATAATGCCAATGAATCAGAACCGAGCCTCAAGTGCTCATATCTGATGTGCAATATATATGTATCTTACAATGGAAGTTTACCGCTTGTTTCTTAAGGTTATACTCAAAGCCTATGTTATAGTCTGGTTGTTGACACATGGCCCCGCATCTCCGCCTCCACTAAACGTGACTACAGTAACAGTAGACCCACTCGGCCCGGACATACGAGGAAAGTCCATCCAATCTGACAATAAGCGTTAGTGTAGTATTCGTGACTCATTGCACTTCCCGCGTGGATTAAATAAACCGAACATCCCCTATATGTCACCCATAGCTCCTGGATTTCTTCCACTACGCGGGTTCAATTTCCGCTGAACAATGCAGCCTGAACCGGCTTTCCACATCGAGCTATTTACCTCGACAGAGCTCCTCGCACAGCCATGGCTACGGGATCTAACCCGCATGATTAACGACAGCTATCTCGTCAGCCATACCGATATTGTACAATTTGACGCTGGGAAAATTCGACTAAAAACCGATACAAGACTCTCTGAAGAGTTAGGGAGTGATGGGTTCACAGCCGTTGCATTTGAAAACTCGGAAGTGATTGGGACAGCGAGTATGAAACCGTGGAAAGATGACGGGCTTTGGAAGCCCTTTGATCACTTCGCTACGGATGACGTGGAAGAGCAAATCAACGACAAAATAGACCAAACGCTCAATGAAAACGCACTTCCCGGAGACTACGAGCTTGCACTAGTGGCTCTTCCGCCTGGGCCCCGATTCCGAGGGCGAGGAATAGCAGGAAGGCTAGTGAAAGCGTGTGAAGAGGAAGTCTTGCGGCGGCGAAAAGCCACAGAAGATAGCGGATCGGTGGGAATCATGATCCGTGTGGTCAAGGAAAATGTTGGGAATTATTGGCTGAAGCAAGGGTTTACCCCCATTGGAAAACAGCCCGGGCCCGAGGCTTGGGAGGCATCCATGCCTTTTACCATGTGGGCAATGGTAAAATATCTCCAGAGTGAAACTGTGGCTGTTTAAGGATTGTCGGGGCGTCGGTGGCGGATTTAGATCAACCTTAGAACCACGCCATTTGGGCCAGTCGGCTCGCAAAATTTGTACCTTTGATGGATCAACCTTTCCCATCTTACAATGCAGAAAGGGTGAATATATATATTTGTATTTTTCGAAGGTGGGTGACCCGGCCAAGGGAGTATCATCCCTGCTAAGGGGGATAAGCCCGATTGCAACACCCGTACAGCTGGACCAAGGAGGTATTTGTAGCTTTTCCTAAACAAGCGGTTATGCCTTGTCTTTCCGCGTGTTTTTAAAGGTGTGTTTGAAAAACAGATTGAATAGGAGCATGACTATTTTAGAAAGACCTTGAGTAAATCTCTAGAAAGAAGTCGAGAAGGACCAAGAGAACAAAGTCTTTCGTCCCTTGGGACTATCTTCTTGATCGTGTTGACCGAAGCAGCTATTAGAAGAATACAATAGCTAATCTGAAGGTGCGGTTTTCTTTAGATACCTCCAGTTTCATATTCCCATTCACTTTATGTGCTAATGTCAAGTGTATGTCCCAGTGCGACCCTGGCACCTTAACGATGCATTAGATTTCTTGTTTGAATCCCTTCGAACCTTGATTCGAATACCGCCGTCCCATTCTTGAAGAAAAATTACGCGCACTATTTGCCAAGCTTCTCTGCAAGCTCCCACGGATCGTCGCATTCCAAGCCTTTCGTGGCCTTCTCTAATGCAGTTGCTCAAGCGGATCCTGAATGATTCCCAATTGAGTGTTCCTACATTCTCCACGTTTATTCGACCAAAACAGACCTTCGCGTGCCATTGCGCCACTGGGATTCTACTTAAATGGCAAGGGACCTATGCCCCTTTCCGTCTAACGACACGACAATTCGACAACCCGACAACGACACCAGGCTCTTTCTCATAACGCCTGCAAGACACCGTCTTAGTCTCTCATCAAGATGCAGTTCTCCAAGGTTAGTCTGCACCAAGCAGTAATGTCGAGCTTTTTTCTTACAGATCCAGACTCTCGTCTCCCTGGCCGCTCTGGCCCTCGGCGCTCAAGCAGGCATGCCCATCGCGAGCGTGGAGTTCCAATCATGGGAAGAGAACTGCCCTATCGGGTACCCCCCCAATGGTGAGCCTAAGTTCAAGGCTGCTCTCACCGCGACCCCGGCCACCTGCGACAAGGCCACGGTGAACCGCCAGTGGGATATCGACTACTACTCCATCAAGGCTATCCTCGACACCAAGGACGCTTTCCTTTGCGAGGGTATTGAGGTTTACAATACGGATGATTGTTCCGGTGAGTCATTTATTCAAAGAATAATACGGAGCAGATTGATACTACTCTAATTCCTCCATCTCTTATACAACTGTCATACTAATCTAAATATTCATGACAGGCGACGTCAAGTATTGGGTGCCTTTCACGCACTCTCCCGTCGAACAGGGAATCTGCGCACCCTATGATAGCCTCGACCCTGGCTTCCTCTCTGTTAGGTTGATCTGTAGTCGCTACGGTGGTGCTGCTGCCGCTGCGCTTGCTGGCGGTTCTGGTGATTCCGAAGGCTCCGATGGCTTCTGAACTCCCATGACGCAATCAGGGCAATGAGATATGAAGGGCCTGGCTTTCATGATGGAGACATGGCATTTCTCCTGTTTTATTTTATCCTGTATCTTAGTTGTAATCTAGGAAACCTCCTTGATATGGTTGACCTTTCTTCTGAGTCTTGTATACATTGGGCGGCGGCTGGCGGCAATACCGTTTTTGGTCCGTAATAATTCTGTAAGATAATAACTGAAAAAGGTTGTTCCAATATTCTGAACAGCTAGAAACTAACTCGACACGTTGAAGAGTATCACGATTTTCCTACACCAATTCAATTTTGATTAATTTTCACGAAAATTCCTACAGTGAAAGGAGCGTAGAACAGCAGCGAGGGAAAAACAGTCGGCCCGCCCCCTCAGCCATTGGCAACCACCACCACCTGCCACATCCCTCAAATCCACGTCTCTCGTCCTGCAGGAATCCTTTTTGAGTCAAGTCGTCTGCATACGTCCCTACGCGGCGATCATGGCGGCCCGGAGGATGATCCCTTGGCTATACGACCTCGTCCTATGGCTCTTCACCTGGGCTCTGGACCTCTTCTTCCGCGAGATCTACCCCCGCGGAGCCTGGCGGGTTCCTGAAAGAGGTCCCGTATTGATCGTGGCTGCCCCTCATGCCAACCAATTCGTCGATTCGGCCATCTTGATGCACCTGCTCAAGTCCCAGGCCCACCGGCGGGTCAGCTTTCTGATTGCTCAAAAATCCATGAACGAGCCTTATATCGGAACCCTTGCATCATGCATGGGCGCTCTGCCAGTCGTTCGCTCTATGGACTTGACGAAGCGGGGGAAAGGTACTATCTACCTTCCCGATCCCGAAAATGATCCAGCCTTGGTCAATGGTGTCGACACCGATTTCACGCAGTCCGAGTTTATGAGTGGCGGCTCACTCACCGTCAAAGGACCTGATGGACCCCAGACTGCATCAATTGATGAGGTGATCAGCCCAACTAGTCTTCGCCTTAAAAAGGCATTTGTTTCGCCACTTTCCGATGATCCGGGTCGCAAGGGCCAGAGCTTCAAGATCGCTCCCCATGTTGACCAGAGTCAGATGTTTGATGCCGTTTACAAAGAGCTTTCTAATGGAGGCTGCATTGGCATTTTCCCAGAGGGAGGTAGCCATGACCGCTCGAATTTGTTACCTCTCAAAGCCGGTGCGGCCCTGATGTCGCTAGGTGCCCTGGCCCGTGACCCAGACTGCGGCTTATCAATCGTGCCTTGCGGTATGAATTATTTCCATCCTCACAAATTCCGGTCGAGGGGAGTCATCGAATTTGGACGCCCGATTCACGTTCATCCCGATCAAGTCGAAGCATTCAAAGCCGGAGGGACTAGCAAACGAAATGCTGTGGGATCTCTACTCGAAACGATTTATGAGGGTCTCGAGGCTGTCACCCAGATCAGCCCCGACCATGAAACACTCATCATGGTTCAATCTACCAGGAAGCTTTACAATCCCATCAGCAAGAAAATTCCCCTACCGCTCGTTATTGAGTTCAATAGGAGATTACTGAAGGGTTACGAAGCAAACCACGATGACCCCCGCGTGAAAGCTCTCAGGAAAGCAGTGAAAGAGTATAACAGACGCTTGGAATCTCTTGGAATCAAAGACCATCAGGTAGAATGGGGCAACATTGAAGAGAAACCTTGGTGGCTTACGCTTATTACATTGTTCTATCGTCTGTGTAAGCTTCTAGTATTGAGCTTTGGAACATTGCCAGGCGTTTTACTGTTTTGGCCCGTCTTTGTCGCCACAAAGGTGATCTCGGAGAAGAAAAGACGGCGGGCACTAGCTGCGTCAGTTGTGAAGCTGGCCGCGCATGATGTTATGGCCACCTGGAAGTTACTGGTTGCCATGGGATTAGCGGTAAGCCTTATGTCTTTGATTAAAGTGAACCCTCTAACATGATTTTCCAGCCGACCCTTTATGCTTACTACACGATTGTTGTCACTGCTTGGCTACGATATAACAGAAACGAGGGCTATTACTCGGATGCTGTACCTACCTGGATGGTGGCGAGGACCTATGTACCCGATGCAATTCCTCTCTGGATGTTTGCGATGGGCTTCTACACCCACATGGTTTTCATCAGCTACGCAGCTCTTCGCTTTGGTGAAGTGGGAATGGATATCATCAAGTCTCTCCCGCCGCTTATCGTTGCATTGAACCCACTGTCCTCCACGTCGCTGACCAACCTGAGAGAGCATCGCGAAGCACTATCGGAGCTAGTCACGGAGACTATCAACGACCTTGGATTCGGCATTCTGCCTGACGTTGATGCTGAAATTCCATCTGATACATACAGGCCCGATGCCTATCAATCCCGCCTGAAGAGCATGCCACCGAGTGAACCGAGTAGTCGAGAGCTCAGCCGTAGCAGATCGAACGGCCCGGCTGGTGGCCCGCAGCTCAAGGGACTCAGCTCTATCAACTCGAAGGGTGATCTCGATTTGGAGCAGATCGATCGAAAGATTCAGACACAGTTGAAGGGACGTGGAAGACGATCGAACACTACCGGTGCATACGAGACAGGCGAGTCAATTCTGAAATACAAGATGACCCCTGGGACAAAGGAAGACAAAAAGAAAAGATGATATGACTCTTAGTGGCGTCATATTTTAATCTTCTCGCCAATTTATTCTCAAAATAAAGCATTCAATTCTCTCATTGTACCATTTTGGAACAAAACAATCCATCTTGACGTTTGTCAAACATAATTTTGTCGATGCTTTCCTTTCGCCCGTATAGTACAGCAAGCATATGACGTTTCCTCTCTGCTAATGAGCCCTTCCAGAATGATCATACGAATGTCTATCCTTGGCCCGTCAAGTCGCCCACCCGACAACTGACATGATGGTCCAGCGATCAAATGCCGATCCAGCCTCCTGAGAGGTCGATAGCCCTGCTCTGGAATGTGCGGACCGCGCTTCAATGCCTATCTGGGCAATAAGGACGCGCATACGATCCTAGATCAGCGTTATCCTCCCCCTTTTGGGCCTGGAATGCTTGTTGACTTTTCTAACTGGCTTCTGAACAGGACCTTTGACACACTCCTGCCACCAAGTATGACGCCGGACGCCATTCTTCGCTGTCAAGAACGCCGTTGGGCGTGCTATTCGCGTTTCACCAGCCATATCGCCGCCATTTGGTCATTCTTACCCGCCATCTTAATATCCCGGGCGCAAGATTCATGGAATGACGCTGCATATAAGAAGCCGAGCATCTTGATCCTCTTGCCCTGGCACAAGACCCTCAATCAAACTATCCTGCAAACTATCCTGCAAAACCACCTCGATCTTATCAACCTTAGACGAGTCAAACCTTGCCATGCATTCTTCCATCCTCACTTTCGCCCTCCTTACCACTCCCATTTACGCCGCCACTAGTGCGCGCGTCTGGGCACACTTCTACCCCAGCTGCCCTGGGGAGCCTTTTTCGGACCTTGCCACCTACGAAAACTATGAAGAAACCGCCCCATCCATCGACATCAAAGTTGGCGAATGCACCAACATTGGTGTCCCATCCTACGAGCACAACCTCGTCAGTGCCATTTCCGTGGACGCAGAGCTGCTCTCCCGCGAACACAACAATTATTTTTCATCTGACAGCACAAATTGCAATATCACCGTACACGAAGTCCCCGAGTGCGTCGAGCCACCTCTAATTGTCAAGGAGATTCGCAACGGCGTTGAAGTCAGCGAATGTGAGCCCCGTCGATTTGCTGCCTTCAGCGAGGTGTGGTTGCAGCTGGTCTGCGACAACGCTGGCACGGAGTCTCTCGAGAACCAGAGCGAAGATATCCCGCGCATCGAGGAGACTGCCAAGATTCAACAGGCCAGCAATGTCCAGACTCCCGGCTCCAACTCAAACTCATGGCACGTGGCGCAGTCCGCCCAGTCTGAGCGCGAGCCTGAGCAGGAAGGTCGTGTTAACAATGCTGGCCATGCTGAGAGCGAGAACATGGTGCTCGGCATCATGGAGAAGCTTGCGCAGAAGCACTCGCACTTTGTTTCGGGTAAGCATCATGCTACCCAGAGCAATGTGTCGCATCACAATGGCACTGCCCCGGGCAACCACACTATGTCGCGGAGGAAGTTGTCTGTCCTGCGCAACCGGTCCAATCGGTTGTATTAAAATTGCTGAAGGTTTATGATGGGGGAAGTGTTTTTTTTCTTCTTTCTAGCGATTTGTGAAAATGTTCTGGCTATTGGAAATATTTTAGAAGTACGTATACTAGAATCAAAAGTGACATCATCAAGCTTCAACCTCTTCCCATCAATTAGATCAACAAAAACTAGAAGTCCACAGATAGCTGCTTAATATCTATTCAGTCCAGGGAAGTTAGCGTAGACACCTTTTGAGTATCCGCTGCCTGAACTACGAATCTTCACAACCTCAAAAGGTGCAATTCGGGGTCTCATGAGTGTCAGATAATATTGAGTGTACATAATTAAAAGCTGCCAATCTAGAATCCAAAGCTATCCAGTAACGAGTTCGCATCGGGCTCATGGAACATCGTCGGCGGAGGCTTGGGCTTGGGCTTTTGCTTGTCCTCGTTGGCAGGCTCCTTTTTCTTCGTGTTCTCAGCCTTCGACCCGGCCAAGCGGACAGGCATATCGGCCACAACGAGACTGCTCCGCCGGCGAAGCAGTTTCCGATAATCAATTCCATCCTCGTGAAGTTCAAGGACCGGTTGTGTCTGCAGTGTTTTAGAAGTAGGTGGCGCGCCTAGGAACTCCCAGCGGCGAACCAGGTCCAAGGCGAGGAGATCGCAGCCCATACGGTCGTAGAGGCGGGCGTTACGCAAGACAAACTCCCATTCCTCGACAGGTCGTACCTGTGACGCACCTTTGAGGGTTTGTAGGGTCTTCTCGCGAAGTTGCTGGTAGAGGACGACCAACGCCGGATCGTTGGAGAGATAGGATTTGGATTGTAGAGTGGCTCGGCCCGGACTTCCTGGGGTTGCGGGTGTGGATGCCAAGAGTGTCTCGACTGGCGAGATCAGTGCTCGGACTGCCATATCTCGTCTTCCGAGCATCCAGAAGGCCCACGAGGCCATCCATCGGTTGCCCTCTGAGGCGGCTGTAGGTAGGATTCGCTCTTCCAAGATTTCCTTCAGTACAGGACCATTATCTCCTTCGTAAACTCGCGCGATCGCAATTGCAAGCTGGATGTCTCCCATTTGTGTGGCGACGACGTTGACGGCATCGCGAAGGCGGTCGGCGAGAAGAAAGAACGATGCAGCATATTCAAATCGTCGTTTTCCAAGCAAGGCATAGGCATTCTTGAGTGCAGATGTTTTCCACCGTGGTTCCTTGAAGTCGTTTGCCAATAATCGCTGGGTAGCGGCTTGTTCACGGTGCCAATGGGCAATGCGCCAGAGACCCTGGAGGATGTTCTTCTTTCCGAGAGCAAGGTAGTAAATTGTACAGTCGATAGGGTTTCTTTCCTCCGTCTTGGTGTACTCGCTTCGAGCGACAATCTCGAGTTGTGCTTTCAATGCTGTTAGATCGGTCAACCACATAAAGATGCCACTTTCTCGAGCAGACTTCCAAGTAAGTTTGCCATTGAACTGACGGGAGACTAAATCTGTGAGAATGTCTTGGCTCCCACTGTGGAAAGCCCAGACAATCTCTCTCCATGATACCGTATCCTTGTTCGCTATTCCTTGACTCCTTCTTAACATGTGCTGTCGGAAGAAGAGAAGGTAGCGGGCCGCATTGTCGTCCATTGACCGTCTGTGCTTCTCTACCATCGCAACACACTGGATAGTATCAACAAGGCGGAACTGCTCATGGCTGGACAATTGTGGTAGCGCGATTCGGGCGAGACTTTCGTTCAAAATGGCTGCGTTTTTTTCGTCCATTACAGACGAAAGCTCATCGTCGACAGAGGCATCGACATATGAAGAGCGCATTTCTTTTGAGCCAGCGAGCAGGATCTATGCTTGTTAGCGCACTAATAATCTAGTCCGAAACAACCCACTTACATCTTCTTCGTAGAAATGCTCCAGTGGCATGTCCAGGAAGCCGTCCAGTTCATCTCCCTCGATGTAAAACTTCAACTTTCGGTGAAGATTCATCAAAATGGAATGCACCAGGCTGGCTTTGCCAGCAAGAATGCATTGTGCCAGGAATTGCGGATGGAAGACCGGCAGGGGACCATTTAAGCGGCTGGCAACGTTGAACATATCAACAGAGGACAGTCCCTTAGACGGAATGCGGAGTTCAGTGACAAGACGGTCTCCCACGTCGATATCTTTATCGTAAACAAACAACTGGTTGCCTGCACCAATAACCAAATGGCCATTCGTGAGCCAGCAAGAGTCGCCAATGGGGTGAGGTGTGAGATCTCGAATCCAAATTTCCCGAACTTGAGTCCAAGAGGGCTGGGAGTCCAGGTAATCGTAGCGAAGCTGTGACAATAGGACAACCTTGTGAGGAAATCCAACAGCCAGAATAGACTGCATGTCTGGAGTTGATGTCCAATCCAAATCTCGAATAATGTCATGTTGGGCGAAATGCTCCTCAAATTCAAGCTGGGCATTGTTGGTATCCCAAATGGTTAGATGAGTTCGGTCCGCATCCACCAAGGCGGCCTTGCGGATAGTGCTTCCACTCGCCAGCGATGGATTCACAATGCCCGTATCGACAGTCGATTTCAACAACCACTCAACCTTCATGTTCGCCTGATCAACTTTGGCACTCCAGCTCCGTACAACTCCACTATGCGTATAAGAGAGAGCAATATCAGGAGAGAATGCATCAAAGGATCCAGAGGTCTTGGCTTTGGGCCCTGCAGGGTCAACTGGTAAAATATAGGCCAAGTCCTCTTTCAAACCCATGTCAAACTCGCAAAACTTCCGAAGCTTGCAATCTTGGTCTTGTTTTCCTCGGAAATTTCCCTCGCCAGACCATTGGATTTCCCACGCTATGCCGTGCATATCTGCTCCGATAGTCGCCACAAAGGCTAAACCGGTAGTTGCTTCAGGTGTGGGGATCGGAAGCACACACAACGGTTTGCTCGATAATGTGAATGGCAGTTGCGCGATTTTTTTCGAATGGTACGAAGAGAAATCCCAGAGAGTAACCCCGTTATGGTGGAGGTTGACAAGAAGATTGGCATTCTCAATCACACACGTTCGATGGATGTGTTCGTCAGATAACAAGACGCTCTTGTGGATCAGCATCGATCCGGTTTCATGTCTCCTTTGCCTCCAAATCATAGCTTTGTTCTCGTCTGTCCGGGAAACAAGTGTATCGCCGGTTGCATTTCGGACAATTTTCTTGACAGGGGCAGTATGACCAGACCAAGACGCTCTTGGAACAACCCGTTTTTTATGTGGTGCAGGGTCAAAAAGAACGTCCACCTGAGAGTCGTACCATTCAATTCGGCCATCAAAATGATGGATGACAATGCTGAGCTTGTCGTCAGATGTATTGCTTTGAAATGCACGGATTTGTGCGTAGTCTTCGTTTGCCGACAGGTTGAACATGAATCCAAACTCCAAGCCCTCCACATGAAGAATGTTGAAGACACTCATATTCGTCTTGACCTTGGACCCGACGTCCTCCAAAGCCCACGCAGACATGTGGCCTTGGCCATCGATTATGACACAGATTTCCGGGCTCGACTTTGCGACTTCAATGAGGTGCTCCAAGGCATGGTTTTCCTTGTTGCCGCTGTTTCTTTGCACGGCCCGCTCCGTCGCAGAGCAGAAATCGCGGCTGTCCAATATGAAACCATATCGTCTCTGTGGCCCCGTATCCGTACTGGCCGCATCTCTAGGCTGAACTGATTCATCCATATCCATTTCCGCCCAAAATTGCAACGGCGATAATGCGTGATGATCTGTCACAGCCCATACGCGAATCTTGTTATCCGCACATAGTGTGTAAAGCACGTTGTCCACCGACTGTTCAGGGTGGCGGGGCAACCGCCAATGTATTCCAGTCAGGACATTCGGATGAGGAAGGTAGGAGACCTCGAATCGCACTTCGTCTGCACCGAATGCTAGCCGCCTCCATACCTTCGCAAGTCTATCATAATGTCCAACCGTCACTATTAAGGCTGAATCGGGAGAGAACTGCGCGAATTTCACGGGGCTCGCGAGCTTTCGTTTCCAAACTAGGCGTGGTTCATCGTAAATAAACCAGAGGGCAAGGCGGGAGTTGCCCACTAGCAACTCGTTCGCGGAACCCCACGACAGGGTATAGATCGGTTCGTTGTCATCGTCGGCGCGGAAGGTATGGGCAAGAGACCACTATAATTATCCGATTGTTAATATTCTTTTGTTCCTTTCACGTACCTTTCATGTATGCGACACCTTCCTCCCACGGGCAGAGCTTAAAAGCCGGTTTGGGTAATGCGCACCTTTAGAGTCTCGCCCTGGATGCCGTACGGCTGGTAGATGAAGACATCCGGCCCTCCACACACAGCAATCTTCCCCGAAGCCTCATCAAAGGCTACAGCTTCGAGCTTTTCGGTATCGTCGACGTATATTGTTTGAAGAAGCGTCTGCGGACCGCCGAGGATAACCAGCGCGTGACCGGAGATGTATGCCTAGTGTTGACGCGCGCGGGCACTGGTTAGCAACGGACACGAACGAAGCAACGTAGCAGGACTTTCAAGCTGCAACGAAGCATGAACAAGCTAGATGCAGGGGTGGGGCCTTACAACGACACGAAGTCCATCCCACAGCGCTGTGCTGAACGACTGGAGTTTGGCTGGGGGCCTCCCCGGCAGTACCGCTCGCATGGAGGCGGGTGGATCGAAGGGTACTCGTTGCGTTTGAGACCTTACACCATCGCCGATTTCAAAGAGCAGCAAAATTAGCACAGAAGGGCGAACGAACGGTCAATTCCAGCTGGGGTTGTGGTTGGTTATGCGCAGGGGATCGAGCGGGAGAGCGTGTCGATTACGCTGCCGCTCCCACTCCGTGGGACCGCCGTGGTCTCACCACAATATATGAAAAACCAGCTAAGTATGGACTCACCAACTCTTTCAAAAAGACTATTATTGAGAAAATGGTACCCTAGCTGTGTTGGAGAAGCCTTGACATTAGCTTTGCCTTTGCGAATGAGGGCGTGCACATAAGACAAACTACAGGTTACTCGGATCTACATCGCATGCTGCGGCGAGCATTCATTGGTGGTCATCACATTCAATCATGTCCAGAAGTACATAGTATAGCCCAAAGCCCAAACAGAGCCGCAAAATTCCACCAACCCCTTATATGCTGCGCCGGATGATATGCATGATGGGACGAAACATGAACGCAATAATCGCAAAGACATTGAAAGTATAGTCATCGCTGATGTACAAAATCCCAGAGTATGAGCACTGGAAATGAAGTCATATACCGGAGAAAGGGTTAGAGTCGTCGGTTCGCTGATTTGCGGCCGTCAGTGGGAGACTCGGGGAGCTCGTCGTCCACGAATCGAACGCTCGTGCCCATCGAGCTTCTGCGACCTGTGCGTGGTCGCATGGAAGATGCTATTTGGGAGGTCGAGGCAGATGCACGGAGGAGACGATGGGCAAATGGTGTATGAAGAGGTGTGGCAGGGGTGGTAGACATTTGCGCCAGTGCTCGGGCACGAGCTGCTCGCTTGGATGGCGAGTTCATGTAGTTCGGTGTGGTAAGTGGGGTTGCAGAGGCCGGCTCTTGTGAAGTCATCGTGAAGTCGGTAAGCTTGAAGGGGGTCTCAGATGGATTCTGAATCCACGGATCGAATAGGGCTGATCCGCCATCAGCGCCTCCAAAGTTCGAGAATCGAGCGGGAGTCATATTAGGAGGGCCCGGAAATCGAGCGGGAGTCATGGCAGGGCCCGGAGAATCTCGAGCCTCGAGTTTAAGTCGGGCTTGTTCCACCCAGTCGCGAAAGAGGTTTCTTGAGTGCCTTCGAAGTGTTCGTTCACGCATTGCTTCAGCAGTCTCCGCTGTGTTGCTCATTTGGAAAACACGAAGGCTGAGTTTACGGAGTGAAGCACCCGCGTTACGCAGAACATGTGAGCGATACATGGAGTCTGCAGTGTCTTCCATTTCCCGACGGATCACATAAGTCTCGGACATTTGGATTAGCTGGTTGAAGGCAATTTCGCGAAAGTAGTTCCAGTCCGCATCTTGGCAATCTTGGGCTCTCTGGAGCGTTTTCTCATGCCATCGAGCATAAAGTTCGGAGACAAGGCGGAGTACTTTTTCACGGTCCATGGCTACTGCTTGTTGTTCCATGTTCAATATACTCTGTGTCTGCCTTGACCAGGTTGAGATGGCCTTGGAAGCCAGGTTGATTTTGGTCTTCCGTCGGATCATCGCATATGCTTCCTGCCGTCGACGTTTAGCAGACTTCAATGAAGCTTTTTGCCAATGCTTGAGCGACTTTTTCATCAAAAAGTAGAAGTCCGCATCGCGAGCCCATGCCTCCATTTTGACTATTTGCTCGTGTTTGGATCTCCAAGCCATAACAGACTCCTGCATGAGGCGTGGAGCGTAAAATTCGAATGCTGCGTATTCTCGCTCGCGCTGAAGTTGAATTTGCTCCCGCCAGAGAGTGAACTTCGCCCGTACCAAGTCTTCTGACCGATGCTCTTCATGATTCTCCGCATGGAATAGTAATCGCGTGTATGTGTCCCGGGTATTAGTCACAAAACGAGTAAACACTTCACGCTTGATACGCTGCTCGTGTATTCTGCGCATCAACTGGAATCTCTCTGCCAAGATCCACTTGTACAAAGTCTCCATTTTCAACCGCTCATCAATTCGGGCACGAAGCGCTAGACAGCGGAGGGTATCGTTCCAAGACGTCCATGCATTGCGTTCGGCTCTGAGTCGGTTCACCTTCTCTGCCTGGTCTGCCATGCGGGCCTTGGCAACCCATTTCGAGAGGGCGTTCTGAAGGATCCTGCCAGATACCATGCCAGATACTTGAGAAGCAGGGGGAGCCAGCCGAGCCTGAATCTTCCATTCGTCAAATGTTTCTCTCAAAGCCTGGAGATGTAGAGAATCATCTGCTTTTCGTTGTGCAAAAACAATGTCCTTCGACCTTTGAGACCATGCTTGAAATGCGGAGCCTAGCACAGAGCGTCTGTTGTGGATGTTGATTTCATGGTCGCGCTCGCGGTTGGTCCGGAAACTCCGAAGCCAGTATAAGAGGGATCGTCGTTTAAGACGATGGTCGTACCACTCAGGCGCTCGCCGTTCACAGAAACCCCAAAACCATTGCCAATACGAGGCATTTCGTAGATTGGTGTTGTGAACTGTGACCGCTTGGGATTCTGCTTCCTTCATATCTGAGATCTTCTTTCGCCATTTATTGAAAGGCTTTTGGAGCACAAAGCGCTGTGCTTTCAACTCATTGACTGCGGTGATTTCGCGCCAGGCATTGAAGTACTTAACACTCAGAACATGCTGTCGAGCAGCGGACGTACGGGCGACCTCTTCAGACGTCAGCTGAGCCCAGTGGGTAAATGCTTTTGTCATAAGGTACAAATCACGAGCACGGCTAGAACGTTCCTCGAGATGTTTAAAGAAGCGCTCAGTCCTGGCGGTGTGGCGCTTGTCTTGAATAATTGCGCGCCAAGGTTCGAATGCTTGTCGGAGCAGGGTACCTCGGTCACGATTGATCGCAACAGTCTCCCTAGTTTCACGGATCTGTCGATTTCGAAATGCTCGCTTGAGCCACTGGGTCAGGATGCGACGGCATATTGCACGCTGTCGATACATGTTAAAGGTAGACGCGTCCCGAAGTAAATCCGATAGTTGAGGCCGATATAGAAGCTCCGGTGATGCCTCTTCTTTTTCGAAATCATCATGCTCCGCAGTCTGTGAGGAGACAGATTTTGACTCTCCCAATGCAAAGCTGTCGGAAGAGCTGATCGAGTGTGAACGTCGGGGCTTTTTGGAAATTGTCATTCTTTTCGAGCGGTCATGATCAACAGCTGAGCGCGCCACCACTCCGTTGGTCAATGGCTTCCCTTCCTTGTCCACATCTTTATGTTGTACAGAGTCAAGTCTACTTATCAATCGGCGCCCAACATCTAAGAACTGTGCGATCAAGTGTGTTCGATCCGGTGAATTTAGTATGCCGTTTGGGAGTTTCGGGTTTGGTGACAGCTTCGGCTTCGAGAAGTCGGGTTTCCCAACTTGCAAGCGTGACATTGATGAGCGTGAGCTCGGGCGCTCAATCAAGCTTTTTTGTGTCGCATCCTCGCCAATATCAACCGTAGTATTGAAGGATGCACGTCTTCTTGGGGTGATCGGAGTTCCATTTGTAGTATGAAAGAGGTCGGTATCTGTAGGTTGTGTGTGCGCGCCGTTGATCGAATAGTGCTCGCTCTCTTGCGTTTCGTTGAGTTCCGTTGAGGGATCCTCTCCAAAGTCCATCACGATTCCCATCTGTTGCAGCGCATTCTCGAACTTGTCGAAAAGCGTAGGCCCCTCGACACCTTTGCTCCCCATCTTGAATAGGAAGCGCAGGCACGCATGGCCCGGGTCTGCGCTGGAATCATGTTCCTTAATAACCTCATCATATGCCGCGAAAAGCGCTCGGAATGGGAGTTGCTCAACCTCAGGCTTCCCCTCGGCGCGACTGACAACTTGGTAGAGGAAACCGACATCTGACATCGCGTAGCGGATTAGAATTGGAACCAAAACAAGTGGTTTCATTTTAATAACATACCATCATCGGAGAGAGAGGAGGTCTCTTCGGTCACGGCGCGCCGCTGAGAAGGTATCGGAGGCATCGAAAAATCGCGACCTACAGCGCGCTTGTCGCATCTGGATCATAGAGCCGCACCAAACGGATCATCGCGAAGGTGGGGAAATCATAGACAATAATATATGCGCAGCGACCACTCTGCGCCTAAGGAGAGAAAATAAGCAAACGATTGGAGATCAAAGCCCGCAGCGATCGTGCACGAGTTGTTTTGGTGGTCGCGACAGAAACATGCCCCGACAGCACGTGACCCTTAGGTAACCATCGCGCATTCCTCACGTTTCCTCTTTTAGATTTCAGTCGCCTCAACTACTATCTGCTTTCGCGGGTTGACTTGTGATCGCTTTCATCTCAAGATGCCTGCCAGGACTCGACCAGTCGAGAAATTTGCCAAGGCTACGGCCCAGTGCTCAGTCGAGGTCCGACATCACCCTTGAATTGGATGTCAACGGAGCTAACCGGTCAACCAGGCCGCAGCATATGGCAAGTGTGTCGTCTCCGATTACAGCTCGGTTCACAAGGATATGTGTGCCAAGGAGTTCATGCGGTTGAAAGACTGCTTTTTGGTGAGCAGGCTTGGCTTTTGGAAGTATCGGGTACGCATAGCTAACTTCTTCAGGCGGCTTCCAAAAAGGCCAATTAAGAGCCAATTCGGTCTTTGTTACTGGATTCGAGGAGTTTGGGCATCGCAGGCGCTTTTTTAAAGGTGTGATTATTGTACATTATTATATCATCACATGAAGGTTTATGAGAATTCGACATTGCTAGAGCTAGTAGAACTTTCAGAAGAGTAGATATGAAGGCTCATAAAACATATATTTCATTCATGGGATCAGAAACCAATGGAAACTGTAGACATCTGTCTACAAAATCTTTTCTTAAGCTGAGGGCTTCATCTAAATGCCCAACCCTTACAGCTTGACCAGGCGGAGCAAGAAGGTGGCATTCTGCACCTCCTGGTCCTCCTGAGCAATGGTGCTCGCCTCATTAGCAACAGGAGGTTTGCCATCAACCAGAGCACGCTCATCAAGAGGGCGACGCACAGCCTTCTCGATAGCCGATGCCTGGGACTTGAAGGCCTCATCGAGGCCAATGTTCTCCGGGTCAGAGAGAATGGTGTACTCCATCTTCACATCGTCTGTGGGAGCCAGACCAGCCTTCTTACGGAGACGCTGAACACGGTTGATGATCTCACGACCAAGACCCTGGTGCGCTAGCTCGGGGTAGAGGTTGGCATCGAGAATAGTCATCACATCCGCGTCGGTATTAGTCTCCATGCCAGACGAGCCTGAGTCCTCCTTGATGCCACGCTTGACAACGAGATCACCGTCGACAAGCTCAATGCCGTCGACAATGATCTTCTTATCAGCGACGTACTTCTTGACATCCTCGCTGGACAGGGAAGGCAGGGCCTTCTTGACCTTCTGCACATCCTTCTTAAGCTTCTTGCCCAAAGTGGGCCAGTCAGCATTGACGCTGTACTGGACATTGTACTTAGCCTCATCGGTCGACAAGACGAGATCAAGAACGTTGAGTTCCTCCAGAATGTAGCCCTCGAGAGATTTAACGTCATCAAGGTACTGCTGATCCTGGTGGATAACCACGAGGGACTTGAGAGGAGTCTTTAAGCCAATAGACTTGCGCTCACGGGAGATACGGCCTAGCTCAATGACCTTTTGCATGCGTGCTACTCTGCGCTCGACAACCTCATCGAACAACTCCTGGCGCACCTCGGGGAAGCCAAGGAAGTGAACACTGCGGGGATCCTCAGCACGAAGACCCTCGGGGATAAGAGGAAGAAGTCGCTGGTAAATGTTGTCGGTGAGGAAGGGGGTGAACGGAGCAAGACCGCGGACTAAGGTGTAGAGAACCTCAAACAGGGTGTTCAGAGCATGCAAAGTGTCATCGACACCGTTCTCACCCTTGAGACGCTTCCGGTTGAAGCGAATGTACCAGTTGGTGGTGTTCTCAATCAGCTCCAGCAAGCGAGGCACAACGGTGTAAAGGCGGTAGCCGGCCATCTCCTCATTGACAAAGATGAGCAAACTCTGGCAACTGGCCAGGATCCAGCGATCCATAACGTTGGTGTTGGTGGACTCGGCCTTGGGGTCGAAGACGAAGTCAACATCAGAGGCCTTCTTCAAGAGAGTCACCTGACCCTCAAAGAACTTGTAGCTGTTCCACAGCGGAAGGAGAACCTTGCTGACAATCTCCTTGACGCCAGATTCTTTGAACCGAAGAGGCTCGGCTCGGACGACAGGAGAGTTGATCAGGTAAAGACGCAGGGCATCCGAACCATAGCGGTCCATAATCAGGGTAGGATCCGGGTAGTTCTTCAGTCTCTTCGACATCTTCTTGCCATCCTCGGCAAGAACAATACCGTTGACCACGCAATTCTTGAAAGGTAGTTTGCCGAAGAGGTGAGTTCCAAGAACGGTCAAAGTGTAGAACCATCCACGGGTCTGGTCCAGACCCTCGGCAATGAAGTCACCGGGGAAACTCTTCTCGAACTGTTCCTTGTTCTCGAAGGGATAGTGTTGGGAGGCGTAAGGCATGCTACCCGACTCGAACCAGCAGTCGAATACTTCGCTAACACGGCGGAGTTCGCCCTTGCCCTCTTTGCTCGGGATAGTGATGTGATCCACCTTGTCGCGGTGGAGATCGGTAAGCTCGCCCGTGTAACCGCTCAGTTTCTTGAGCTCCTCAACGCTACCAATAGCAACAACCTCCTTGAAATCTTCACTGACCCATAGAGGGAGAGGAGTGCCCCAGAAACGATTACGGGAAATGTTCCAGTCACGGGCATTCTTGATCCAGCTAGAGAACCGTCGATCCTTGACAAATGACGGGACCCAGTGGGACTCTTCAATACCCTCAAGCATTTGAGGGATGATAGGAGTGATCTTTACGAACCATGAAGGCACGGCACGGTAGATCAGAGGAGTGTCAGACCGCCAGCAGAAGGGGTAGCTGTGAGTAATCTGGCTGTCAACGAGGATGCGGCCATTACCCTTAAGGTGCTTGATGATACCCTTGTCAGCAGCCTTGACATGTTGACCAACGAAGTCTCGGACCTCTTCAGTGAAGCAACCCTGGGGGTCAACAGGGTTCGGGGGAGGACGAGTTTCGGTAACAACGCCGTGATTCACGGCGACCTGGTAATCTTCCTCACCAAAAGCAGGAGCCTGGTGAACAATACCAACACCATCCTCAGCGGTAACATATTCGTCGTTAAGCACACAGAAACCGGAGTCCTTGAACTGCTCGTAGAAGTAGTCGAAGAGAGGCTCGTACTTCCATCCCAGCATGTCTTTGCCCTTGATGCGGTCCACAATCTTGAACTTAGCCTTCTTGGGGTCCTTGTAGATAGTGCGGAGCAGAGACTCAAGGAGAATGTAGTTCTTCTTGGTGGCCTCGTCGTAGACCTTGACGTACTCGAAGTTGGGGTGGGCGCACAAGCCGGTGTGAGAGGGGAGGGTCCACGGGGTAGTGGTCCATGCAAGCAGGCAGGTCTCGGGGTCGTCCAGCAGGGGGAAGGTCACGACAACGGCAGGATCCTGAACATCCTTGTAGTTCTGCTGGGCTTCAAAGTTGCTAAGAGGCGTATTGAGGGCGGTCGAGTACGGCATGACACGGTAGCCACGGTAGACCAAGCCCTTATCAAAAAGCTGCTTGAAGACCCACCATACGGATTCCATGAAGGAGGTGTTCATAGTCTGGTTCAAGAGGCGATTGTTAGCAAAGAAGCATAGCGGACGTATAAATCAAGCGCACCTTGTAGTCGTTGTCGAAGTCAATCCAGCGACCGAGACGCTCAATAGTCTGGCGCCATTCCCCAGCAAATCGCATGACAATAGCCTTGCACTCCTCGTTGTACTTTTCAATGCCGATCTTCTCGACGGCCTCGAGACCGGACATGCCGAGCTTCTTATCAATCTCGTATTCAATGGGAACACCGTGAGTATCCCAACCGAATCGGCGCTCAACATAATAGCCCTTCATCGCCCAGTATCTGGGAATAATATCCTTGATAGTGGAGGCTAACAAGTGGCCATAATGGGGCAGACCGGTTGCGAACGGAGGACCGTCGTAGAAAGTGTAGGGTTCACGGCCCCGGGAAAGCTCAACCTGACGGTTGAAGGCATCAATCTCCCTCCACCGCTTGAGGACAGTTTCCTCCTCGGCGGGAAAATCGATCGACATTTTGAGTGTTGGTTGCGACCAGAAGTTGAGGGGTAGATAAAATGAGGGCTGGCAAAAAATAGTGGTGGGGTGTGACTCAGCCCCTCCGCCCACCGGACTTAGGCGGTGAGCTTCTACTTGAAAACAAAGAATGGGACATATAGACAGATGGTATGCTCTGCAAGTGAATCAAGGTATTTGTTTTGAACATTCAATAAAGTACCAGGGTGATGCGTTCCAGACCTGCCCTTGCTATATACGGACTGGACAATGCACCCTCTATTCCTCGTCGTCGTCCTCATCCTCATCCTCGGAAACTTCTTGTCCCAAATCCTTAAGCCGTTGCTGGAAGATGTTAGTCTTTTTCTTACACGTGAAGAGTTATAGTGACAACGTACCTTGTCCTCATTCCTCTTAGTCTCAAGGTCACCAAAGACAATGAGAAGGTCATCCAATTCGGTCTGAGTAGCTTGGCGAGCTTCGTCCTTTTCTTTCGCTTCCGACTGAGCCTTCTCAAGCTGAGCCTGGATCTTCTTGAGCGCATCGGCTGCGTTATGAGCCTGTGACTCGGCCTCCTTCACCTTGCGCTCCGCCTCGGCGGCGCGTGCTTCCAGTTCCGAGTATTTGGACTTGAAACCTTCGCTGGCTGTCTCCTTATCTTTGCCCGACTGTTCCTGGGATTTGGCCAGGTCCGCTTGAAGAATCTCCATAGACTTCTTGAGTTCGGCTGTCTTGGATGTGTGTTGACCCTCGGCCGCGGCCATTTGTGACTCCAGATCTCCAATGGCAGTCTTGAAGCCCACGACCTCCGCCTCGTGCTTTTGATTGCGCCCCTTGGCTGCAGACAAGTCTGACTCCAGGCTTTTAATCTTAGACTCGGAGCTTGCAACATCCTTCTCATGCTGGTCCTTGACTGCCTCAACGGCGGCCAAGTCAGACTCCAGATTTTCAATAGTAGTCTTGAAGCCCGCAATTTCTGTGTCATGCTGTGCCCTGGTGGATCCGAGAGTAGAGTCGAGGCTCTGGAGCTTTTGAGTGAGATCTGAAATTTCTCCTGCATGACCTTCTTTGAACTGGCTGGCAGTAGACTCAAGCTCGTGGATCGTCTTTTTCAGGCCAGCAACATCGCCAGCATGCTGTTCTTGGACTTTAGATAGCTGAAATTCCAGGTTCCGCCTACCCTGTTGCAAGCTGGCAACCTCACCGGCATGCTGTTCACGGGCCTTTGAGAGTTCAGACTCCAGCTGACGGATGGTCTTTTGCAAGCCAGCAACTTCCTGGTCGTGATGCGCCTTCACCTTTGCGCTCTTCTTTTCGAAGTCGGCCGAGGCCGCCTTCAATTGATTGTCAATGGCACGAAGCTGCTCTCCGTGTTGCTTCAGTAGCTCGTTCTTCGACGCTTTATGTTGTTCATCCAGCTTGGACATTGCCTGCTCATGTGACTGGAGGAGGGACTGGGTACCCTGCTGCGCCTTGGACATCTCGGCAGAGGTCGACTCCTTCGTCTTGCGATGGTCCAGCTGCTCCTGGTCAAGCCTGCGTTGAATACTCACAAGATCGCTCTCCAGTTTCTGGAGGGACTGGCTCCGATCGTCAAGTTCAGCACGTAGGGAATCCACCAATTCGCGAGAGACGCCCTTCTCAACACCATTGGCCATAACAGATATTTCGAAGCCCGGTTCTCGATCGATGGCCCGGATGAATCGGCTGAAGTTATCTTTGAGGAATTCAACAAAAGAGCGATCGAAGAATACCTCAGGAAGCCCGCCGTCAATTTGACCAGCTGCCGTCTGAGGAAGAACCTCAAAGTCCCGGACCAAGGGGCATTCGCGCAGTTTTGTGATCTTATCAATGTACTGCTCTCTCCCAAGCTGTTCGAGAAGAAGCTTGTGTAGGGTGACTCGAGGGATTGGGGAATCTTTGGTGGAAAATTCGTAGATAATTCCAAGCAAAACGGTGCACAGACCGGGAATCAGCTTGCTCGGGACTCTTTGGTGTTTAATCTCTTGGAGAAGGGTCTGAATGCTACTTCCCTCTCCGAGGAGGTCATTGACAACATCCGGGTCTTCGAAGAGCCAGCCACAAAGTAGCATCAGGTAGCCAACAGTGATCCTTTCGTCATCGCCTCGTTGCAGGCCAGTGATCAAGTTGCCAACCACTGACTGGACACTGGTGACAACCTCTTCGCCACTCTCAGCATCGCCCTCCGTGACTTTCATGGCAGTGGCTTTTGCCTCCTCGTCATCGGAGATTAGGTGGAACATTAACACACAAGCCATCCAGACTTGGTATGGGTCTGCATTGCCCCGAGATTCCGGTGCCGTAAGCAAGACAGACATGATGTTGGGGATGCGGTCCTGGCCGCTGAGATGTCCATCGATGGCTCGGCGAAGAACATGCATACGGATACCAGTGTGCTGAGCAAAGAATGCCTTCATACACTCACAGGCCGCAAGACGCGCATCTAGCATGTTGTTGGGTGAAGGTTGAAGGCTTAGTTTCAAAAAAGCTTCGATAACGTTGATTCGTTCTGGTTCTGCCGCATTGCCATTGACAGTCGGGTCATGGGGTACAGAGCCCCAGATCACTTCAATGTCACCAAACCTCTCCTGCAATGGAGAGTTTCCGCGGATGAGATCAGCGCAGGTAGAAAGAGCCTATACCGGTCAGCACCGTCCACAAATCGAAGTGCAAGAATGGTCTCACCTTCGCGGTAACATTGACACTGAACTTCTGGCCAAAGGCAATGCTTAAGACCTGCTCCGTCACACCATTCTGCCAAAAGGCTGTCTGGTTGATGGGCGTACTCATACCACCTCGGACCAAGAATAACTGGATGATGGCCAAAAGACCCCAAACATTCTTGTCTCGTTGCAACAAAGTCCATTGCGCAGGAGGCTCGTCGTCCTCTTGCTGACAATCAATAAGAAGCTTCGTGACCTTCTTTGCGCAGCCGGTCTCCCGGAAGAACGACTGGTTTGAAACATTGAATCGAAGCAGATTCGCGAGCAAGGAAAGACAATCCTCGACCACTTCTGTACCATGTATCATAGACCCCTCTGTGTCGATCAATGAAAAAATAATTTCGAAGGTGTTTTCGAAGGCGACCAGTTTTTGCAGCTCCTCGGAGGAGGGGGTCAGGGCGATGAGAAGCACTAGGCCCTCTATAGATCAAGACCGATTAGTTTCACTGACGCAAACCAATCGAGGGTGCTTCATACCATTTCTGACAGGCTCTCGAATATCCGTTAGCACGCTAACCAGCTTGGAAATTCCCAAGGGCGCAGTGAAGATGCACTCTTGTGTTCGCTCCGGTCTCGCACTGCAGATGTGGGACATCAATTGGAGGGAATATAGACGGGAGTAAAATTCTCTGGTTTCTAGCAGGTCTAGAAGAATCGTAATATTGTCTTGTCTCTGCTTATTGGTTAGCTTCGTCCAAGGTCGAGACGTTTGTAGGTCGCACCTGTGTGAATTCATCTGCCAACCATAGAGCTATTTCATCAGACGCTTCAGGCTGTAAAACAGTCAGCACCTGCACAGCGATTAATCAGCGGCATATCAATCACTGACACTCGTCTCGTCTGGCGTGAATAGCATCAAAAGGGTCTCAAGGACCACTTTGGTGGTGTCCACATCTTCCTGATCATTGCGCAGGCTGCTGATCAACGATCGCAGACCTCCCGAAGCTACCGATGCAGGGTAAATCTTTGCAAAGCTTCTCAATCCTTGTATGGCGGCGCGCCGATCTTCCAGTAAAGTTGCATTTTGCAACCGACTGCTAAGTACATCGATTGTGTCCGTTGCCGTTTGTTTGGCCGGAGCTTGCGACTCGAGGATTCGGAACATCTCAGCTAGATCGCAATCTCATGGTCACCGCCCGGGGCTACAGGAGCTGATTGGCATCGAAGGGAGGAATAAAAAGCAGAAAGTAGTTGAGTTGCCCTGAGATTCAAGTCAAGCTGGCCGAAAGTGACCAAGGGGGCTAAAAGCCGATCGTGGCCGGAAGCGCTGCAAAACGCCGACCGCCCGGAAATAATAATATGCAGTCGCAGAGACTTCCGCTTTCTCTCGACATCCACATTGCGCCGCGAGACATTTTCTGCGGTTGCTATCGCTTGATCTCATTTTCTTTCTTCTTCTCGAAGGCGCGACAAGACGGTCATACGTTACCCGCCCTCCGTGAGAGAGCAACTGCGCAAGGCGTCTTCCCCGATCTGCAGACGACGCATTCGAACGTCGCGCCGAACCCAACGAGATCTGAAGAACTAGCTGTCGCATCGCCAAAATGGGTGTCCCCGCCCTTTTCCGATGGCTTTCCAACAAGTACCCCAAGATCATCTCCCCGGTGATCGAGGAGCTTCCCCAGGAAGTGAACGGAGAGGAAATTCCCGTTGACGGGACACGGCCGAACCCCAATGGTGAGGAAATGGACAACCTATATCTCGACATGAACGGCATTGTTCACCCGTGTACCCACCCCGAGGGCAAGCCACCGCCCCAGAACGAGCAGGAGATGATGCTGGAGATCTTCAAATACACTGACCGAGTGGTCAACATGGTCCGCCCACGGAAGCTTCTGATGATTGCTATTGGTACGCCCATCACCTGTCACCCATTTGAATACCTCGTTCAGCAACTAACTTAGAATACTATTATAGATGGTGTCGCACCGAGAGCCAAGATGAACCAACAGCGCGCACGTCGGTTCCGTTCTGCTCAGGAAGCCAGAGAGAACGATGAGAAGAAGGAGGAACTGCAGAAGCTGCTCGCCAGACAACAAACCAAGAAGGGTGGTGACGAAGTTATGCGGGAGGAGGTTGTTCAGAAGACTTGGGATAGCAATGTCATCACACCTGGAACCCCATTCATGGATATTCTCGCTGCTTCGCTGCGGTACTGGATTGCCTATAAGCTCAATACTGATCCCGCCTGGGAAAAGGTGAGACTCCCGTTCGATCTGAATCACTTTGTGGAATACGTTAAGTTAACATTATTCAGATGAAAATTATCATTTCGGATGCTACTGTTCCCGGAGAGGGTGAGCACAAGATTATGGAATTTGTGCGGTCCCAGCGTGCATCCCCCGAACACGACCCTAACACTCGCCATGTAATCTACGGTCTTGATGCCGATCTCATCATGCTGGGTCTCGCAACCCACGAGCCTCACTTCCGAGTTCTGCGTGAGGATGTCTTCTTCCAGGAATCGAAGCCTCGCACATGTAGGCTGTGTGGCCAGGTCGGTCACAAAGCTGAGGAGTGTACGGGTAAGGCCAAGGAGAAGAGCGGAGAGTTTGATGAAAAGCAACACGCAGCCCCTCTTAAGCCATTCATTTGGCTACATGTCTCCGTTCTTCGAGAGTACTTGGCTGCTGAATTGCATGTTCCTCAGCAGCCCTTCCCATTCGACCTCGAGCGGGCGCTTGATGATTGGGTCTTCATGTGTTTCTTTGTTGGAAACGATTTCTTGCCTCACTTGCCGTCATTAGACATTCGCGAGAACGGTATTGACACGCTCATTGCAATCTGGCGTGACAACATCCCGGCCATGGGTGGTTATTTAACTGAAGATGGACATGTCGCATTCAAACGAGCTCAGCTTATTCTGCAAGGTCTTGCCAAGCAAGAGGACGCGATTTTCAGACGCCGTAGACAGGGCGAGGAAAGGAGAGCAGCAAACGAAAAGAGACGCAAGGAGCAAGATAAGGCTCGTAACGAGGAGCGATCTAGCAAGCGGAGAAGAAGCTCCCCACAATACGACAACAGCCAGCCTCGTGGTGGCGGTCCTGCCGGCAGCGACAATGCCCCGCCGCCTGGCCTGGAGCTGATCACCCCGGGTCGTGGACACCTCTCCAAGCAGACTAGGGAGTTGACTCACAGCATGGTGACTAACCGTGGAGCTGTATACCGCGCCAACATGGAGAACAAGAGTGCTGCTGCTGTGCTGAAGAGCAAGCTCATGATGGGCAATCAGGATGAGCCTGCCGCTGAAGAGAACGGAGAGGCGCCCAATGACGCTGAGCCGACTTCCCCGTCGGTTCTCGGCAAGAGAAAGGCCGACGAGACACCCGAGGATCAGGAAGCAGGCACTCCGGGCAGAGACTCGCCGCCTCCGCCGCCGCCTAAGCCCAAGGAGGACGAAATGCCGGAAGACACAGTTCGTCTTTGGGAGCCTGGTTATGCGGATCGGTATTACGAGCAAAAGTTCAAGGTCGATCCCCAGGATCATGAGTTCCGCCACAAGGTTGGACGTGCTTATGCTGAAGGTCTCGCTTGGGTTTTGCTCTACTACTTCCAGGGATGTCCTTCGTGGGACTGGTACTACCCGTATCACTACGCTCCCTTCGCGGCCGACTTTGTGGACATTGGAGACATGGAGTTGACCTTTGAGAAGGGCACACCTTTCAGGCCATTCGAGCAGTTGATGGGTGTCCTGCCAGCATCATCCAATCACGCTCTGCCCGAGATCTTCCATCCTCTCATGAGTGACCCGGACAGTGAGATCATCGACTTCTACCCTGAGGACTTTGATCTTGATTTGAACGGCAAGAAGTTTCCCTGGCAAGGTGTGATTTTGCTTCCTTTCATTGATGAGAAGCGTCTGCTGGCTGCCATGGAGAAGAAGTATCCTCTTCTTACCGAAGATGAGCGGAGTCGCAATACTTATGGTCGTGAGGTTCTATTGCTATCGGATCAACACCCATTGTATCAAGATCTTGCCGCCAACTTCTATTCCAAAAAGCCTGGCCCCGCGGAATACAAGATCAACATGCGTGTGAGTGAGGGGTTGGGTGGTATTGCCGAGCGCAGTGAGACATACATCCCCCACGGTGCCCTCGTGTCACCCCTGGAGGATTACGGCATGCCGAGTCTGGATGATGACCATTCTCTCACGTAAGTCCAGATCCGATTTTTATCTGCCATACTAAAACTAACAAATTCTCAGTGTCAACTACAAGATTCCCAAGTCTTCTCACATCCACAAGTCCATGCTTCTCCGCGGAGTGAAATTTGCGACACCGATGCTGAACTCGGCTGATATCCGCGCGACTAAGGGTCGTGCCCAGAATTCCGGTCGATCCTTCGGCGGTGCGCCATTGCATAATGGCCGAGGACGAGGTGGAGGCGGCCGTGTGGACTACGGAGGAGGTTCGGACCGTCCGAATCCCTTCGCCGCGCATCTCGATCCGCGCTACGCGAATGGACCCGCGCCTCCTGGCTGGGCTCCTCCCGGTCAAGGCGGTGGTGACTATTCCCGAGGACCCCCTGGGCCTCCTCGCGGTGGTGGAAACTACGGCTACAACCAGGGCCACCAGGGCCACCAAGGCGGCTATGGTCAACAAGATCAATACAGCCAGGGTTATCGCGGAAACAACGGTGGTTACAATGACAACCGGGGCCGTGGAGGCTATCGTGGAGGCGGCGGGTACCGTGGCGGAAACAACCAGCACCGTGGTGGCCGAGGTGGTGGTGGTTATAACCGCTACTAGGTGGAAGCAAATCACATCCCTTCTACCGATGTATTCAACACTATCTGAGGCAAACTGAATGGGGGCGTTTGGCAAATGGCGTTTAAGTCTTTTCAGGTGTAAAAATTCGGAATATGAATTGCTTTTTCTGTTTGAATGTAATCCTAAAATAGTAGAGTATAGTTCCCGAGGTCGCTTTGCGAGTTTGTACGGTGGTTCAAGTATGCAGTTGAACTATAGCAGCCTCGTAGTGCTTCCAAACTGACACGCCCTTCTGGGCGACACCGAAGCCATGCGAGGGACAATCAATTATTGCAATTATTTGACATGGACCTCTTACACAGGATACGCCAAAATAAAAATAAATATTTGCGGGTGCTAGTGGCTCCTCCGACCTCGCGGCATTTGACTCACCGCTAACCGCATTTTGACTCAGTGCGGTCCAAAGAATTACTGAGTCACTCTCTTCCTGGAGTACAAGCATCTTCCTGGTCACAGGGTGGTCTGAATTTCTTACTCGGGGTACAGAATTCCAGGTAAGCCTCGTCTATCGTCCCATCGTGAAACTCAGTTCGATTCCACCATCTGTGCGCACCTTGCATCGCTAGCTCCGACAGCGGGGGAATATTGCAGTGATCAATTGCCATACTAACAATTCCTAGAATGAATTGAATAGAGAACTCGAATCCGCAGAACTTGACACAGCCTCATACTTGCCCCGTCATCATGACCGAGCCCACCAAGATCAGCATTTTGGGTCGGGAGAGCATCGTCGCTGATTTTGGCCTGTGGCGTAACTACGTCGCAAAGGACTTGATCAGCGGCCTGCCCTCGACCACCTACGTCCTTATCACTGACACCAACCTCGATTCCATCTATACACCTGGATTCCAAAGGACCTTCGAAGCCGCCGCCGCCTCCGTCTCCCCTGCCCCGCGCCTTCTCATCTACAATGCTGCGCCTGGCGAGAGCTCAAAGTCGCGCTCGACAAAAGCCGACATTGAGGATTGGATGCTGAGCCAGAACCCACCATGTGGCCGTGATACCGTCGTCGTCGCATTGGGTGGTGGTGTCATTGGCGACCTGACTGGTTTCATTGCGGCGACCTACATGCGTGGTGTTCGCTATGTGCAGGTCCCCACTACTCTCCTCGCCATGGTGGATTCCTCAATTGGAGGAAAGACTGCTATTGACACACCGCTGGGCAAGAACTTGATTGGCGCCATCTGGCAGCCTTCAAGGATCTATATCGATCTCGAGTTCCTGGAGACACTCCCCACGCGGGAGTTCATCAACGGCATGGCCGAGGTTATTAAGACTGCCGCCATCTCAAGTGAAGAGGAGTTCACTGCATTGGAAGACAACGCGGATGCTATTCTCGCCGCTGTACGCAGCGAGAAGAAGCAGGGCCGCTTCGACGGTATTCGGGACATCCTGAAGGCAAGAATTCTGGCCTCGGCCCGCCACAAGGCCTTCGTCGTCTCCGCTGATGAGCGTGAGGGTGGTCTCCGCAATCTGCTCAACTGGGGCCACTCCATTGGCCATGCCATTGAGGCCATTCTGACCCCGCAGATCCTCCACGGAGAGTGCGTTGCCATAGGTATGGTCAAGGAGGCTGAGCTGGCCCGTCACCTCGGGATTCTCAAGGGTGTTGCCGTGGCTCGTATCGTCAAGTGTATTTCCGCCTACGGCTTGCCCACATCGATGAAGGATTCACGAGTGCGCAAGCTGACCGCCGGCAAGCACTGCTCCGTTGACCAATTGCTGTTCAACATGGCTCTCGACAAGAAGAACGATGGCCCTAAGAAGAAGGTTGTCTTGCTGTCTGCCATTGGACGTACCTACGAGCCCAAGGCTAGTGTTGTCTCCAATGATGACATTAGTGTCGTCTTGGCTCCCAGCACCGAGGTCCACCCTGGAGTGCCCAAGACCCTCAATGTTACCTGCGCACCCCCGGGTTCCAAGAGCATCTCCAACCGAGCTCTAGTCCTTGCTGCACTTGGTTCGGGAACATGCCGTATCAAGAACTTGCTTCACTCTGATGATACAGAGGTCATGCTAAACGCCCTGGAGAAACTGGGAGCCGCCACTTTCTCCTGGGAGGAAGAGGGTGAGGTTCTCGTTGTCAATGGCAAGGGCGGCAAGATCACTGCTAGCCCTTCTGAGCTGTATCTTGGTAATGCTGGTACTGCCTCACGATTCCTGACTACCGTGGCTACTCTTGCTACCCCCAGCACCGTCAATGAGAGCATTCTCACCGGTAACAACCGGATGAAGCAAAGACCCATTGGCGATCTTGTCGATGCCCTGACCGTAAACGGTGCCGATGTCGAGTACATGGAGCGTAAGGGCAGCCTGCCCCTCAAGATTGGCGCTTCTGGCGGTTTCGCCGGTGGCAAGATTAATCTAGCCGCGAAGGTGTCCTCTCAGTACGTGTCTTCGCTGTTAATGTGTGCGCCCTATGCCAAGGAGCCCGTGACCCTGAAGCTGGTCGGCGGCAAGCCCATCTCCCAGCCCTACATCGATATGACCACCGCTATGATGAGATCCTTTGGTATCGATGTGCAAAAGTCGACAACCGAGGAGCACACTTATCACATCCCTCAGGCTCACTATGTGAACCCTGCCGAATATGTTGTTGAGAGCGATGCCAGCTCTGCCACTTACCCTCTGGCCATTGCCGCCATCACAGGCACCAAGTGCACTGTCCCCAACATTGGTTCCAAGTCACTTCAGGGCGATGCTCGCTTCGCTGTTGAGGTTCTACGACCTATGGGCTGCACTGTCGAGCAGGGTGATTACTCTACCACGGTCATTGGTCCCGCCAGTGGCATTCTCCGGCCACTTCCTAATGTGGACATGGAGCCTATGACTGATGCTTTCCTCACTGCATCCGTCCTCGCGGCTGTTGCCCGGGGTGAAGGCTCTAACCACACTACTCGTATCTACGGCATTGCTAACCAGCGTGTTAAGGAATGCAACCGTATCAAGGCCATGAAGGACGAGCTGGCCAAGTACGGTGTGGTTTGCCGCGAACATGACGACGGTCTTGAGATTGACGGCATTGAGCGCTCTACTCTTCGCCAACCCTCCGGTGGTGTCTACTGCTATGATGACCACCGTGTTGCCTTCAGTTTCAGTGTTTTGTCCCTTGTAGCTCCCAAGTCTACACTCATCCTTGAGAAAGAGTGTGTCGGTAAGACGTGGCCCGGTTGGTGGGACACCCTCAAACAGCTCTTCGGCGCCAAGCTTGAGGGTAAGGAGCTGAAGGAGGATGAGCTCGCTACTAGCAGTGCCGAGGAGAAGGCCAGTGCTTCGGTCTTCATCATCGGCATGCGCGGTGCTGGCAAAACCACCACGGGCAAATGGGTTGCTAAGAGCCTCAACCGCCCCTTTGTTGACCTCGATACGGAGTTGGAAACGACCGAAGGCATGAGCATCCCTGATATGATCAAAAAGCAAGGCTGGCAGGGCTTCCGCGACGCTGAATTGGTTACTCTGAAGCGCGCCATGAAGGACCGACCCAACGGCTACGTCTTCGCTTGCGGTGGTGGTGTTGTCGAGATGCCCGAGGCTCGCAAGCTACTTATTGACTACCACAAGAACAAGGGCAATGTCCTTCTCATAATGCGTGATATCAAACAGGTGATGGACTTCCTGCAGATTGATCAGACTCGCCCAGCCTACGTGGAGGATATGATGGGCGTGTGGCTTCGCCGCAAACCTTGGTTCCAGGAGTGCAGCAACGTCCAGTACTATAGCCAGCACTCAAACAACACAGAGCTTGCCCTAGCCTCAGAGGACTTTGACCGCTTCCTGCAAGCTATAACCGGTCGTCGGAATAGTTTGAATGAGATCAAGAAAAAGAAGCACAGCTTCTTCGTCTCGTTGACGCTGCCCAATCTGCGTGATTGTGGTGAGATCCTGAGCGAGGCCTGTATTGGATCGGACGCCGTGGAGCTGCGGGTTGATCTGCTGAAGGACCCGAATTCCGATAGCGACATTCCTACCGTTGACTTTGTCGCTGAGCAGATGTCGTTCCTCCGCCGTCGTGTCACACTGCCTCTGATCTTCACCATCCGTACCAAGAGCCAAGGTGGCCGCTTCCCTGATGATGCTTACGAGGATGCTGCTGCACTCTACCGCCTGGCGTTCCGTTCAGGGTGCGAATTCGTAGATCTCGAAATCGCTTTCCCCGACGAGATGCTCCGCTCCGTGTCCGAGATGAAAGGTCACTCTAAGATCATCGCCTCTCACCACGACCCGGAAGGAAAGCTCTCGTGGAGCAATATGTCCTGGATCCCATCTTACAACCGTGCTCTGGAGTTCGGTGATATTATCAAGCTCGTGGGTGTCGCCAAGAGCCTGGATGACAACACTGCCCTGAGGAAGTTTAAAAACTGGGCCGCAGAGGCGCATGAGACACCGTTGATCGCGATTAACATGGGTGACAAGGGCCAGCTTAGCCGTATTCTGAACGGCTTCATGACCCCCGTGTCTCACCCAGCCCTTCCTTTCAAGGCCGCTCCTGGTCAGCTGTCCGCAACTGAGATCCGCCGAGGTCTCTCGCTGATGGGCGAGATCAATACCAAGAAGTTTGCCATCTTTGGTTCTCCTGTGTCTGCCTCGCGATCGCCCCCTCTCCACAACACCCTCTTTGCTGAGATGGGTCTCCCCCACCAGTACACTCATCTGGAGACCACCAACGTTGAGGATGTCAAGGACTTCATCCACGCTTCTGACTTTGGCGGTGCTTCTGTGACCATCCCACTCAAGCTGGACATCATGCCCTTGCTGGACGAGGTTGCTCAAGAGGCCGAGATCATTGGTGCCGTGAATACCATTGTTCCCGTTGACAACGGCGACAAGCCCCCCGTCTGGTCGGCTACAATACTGACTGGCAGGGCATGGTTAACTCCCTTCGCAACGAAGGCGTCTATGGCTCCAACGGCACCGAGAGCGCTGTTGTCGTTGGCGGTGGTGGCACCGCCCGCGCAGCTATTTTCACCTTGCACCATATGGGCTTCTCCCCGATCTACGTGGTTGGCCGCTCAGCCAGCAAGCTGGAGGGCATGGTTGCCACCTTCCCGACCAACTACAACATCCGCATCGTGGACAATCATACCCAGTTGGACACTGTGCCCAAGGTCGCCATCGGCACTATTCCCGCCGATCGCCCCATCGACCCTGGCATGCGTGAGACCCTCTGCCACATGTTCCAGCGCGCACAGGAGGCCGATGGCAAACTCATTGGCAAGTCAGTCGATGACCAGTCACCCCGCATTCTCCTTGAGATGGCCTACAAGCCTTCTGTCACCGCGCTGATGCAGTTGGCTTCTGATGCCGGCTGGAAGACTATTCCGGGACTCGAGGTTCTTGTTGGTCAGGGTGTTCAACAGTTCATTCACTGGACTGGCATCACCCCCCAGTACCACGTCGCACGAGTAAGTACTGTTCTTACCCTATCATCTTGATGCACAACACTAACCAATCAAAATAGAATGCTGTGATGGGCAACGATTCCGCATGATCACCATGCACTCTGAAGACGATACTGAATGCTTTGAACAAGCTTTGAAAAGGACAAAAGTACCAGTCCCGGATTCTCGCCTACTGGCGTGAACTTTTTTCGTTTATAAATAGCATTCTCTTTTCCGTTCCACTGGTCCCTAAAGTCTGTAGATGCTTGAAGTATACAAGTCGTCACAACTCAATCTCTGGGTACTTATACCACCGTAGTGCCATATGCACCAAACGCATAGTAAATTCAATAGTGGTATTTTCTCAAAATTTCTCAAACTAAGGTTTAAAGAGAAGAACTTCTGTAGAGCACGAACAACGTGCCATCCATTTACTGCGCCTTGGCCTCTGGTCTTTTAGAAATAGTTAGCCACACATCACGCCAGTATCCAACACCACCCTTGACCACGAACTGAGGCTTAGGCCTGTCCTTGACAGCCTCCGGCTTATAGCACCTGAAGAACTAAATCAAAGTTAGCATACATCTCGTAAACCAAGAGAAAGTTGTAAATTTTACCTGCAAAGGACCCTTGAATAATTCCATCATCGCAATATCCCTGCCAAGACACACACGCGACCCATAACCAAACGCCATATTATACTTATTGTACAACTTAGCCTTCTCGGCATCCAACCAACGCTCTGGCTTGAACTTCTCTGCATCTTCGCCGTACAGTGCCGGGTCGCGGTGCACCAAGTACGGGTTGGCTGAAATCTCCGTGCCAGCCGGGGCAAACTTGCCGAAGAGCTCGATGCCAGGCTCGGAGACGTAGCGGGGGAAGATGTTCGGTGCAGATGGGCAAAGACGCATGGTCTCCTTGACACATCCGACGAAGAAGGGCAGGTGCTCGAGGACTTCATTGTACTGGGGCATTTCGGAGATGAGGCCTTTGCGAGAGGCGGAGTCGATTTCCTCCATCATACGATCGTAAGCTTCTGGGTGTGTCAGGAGGAAGTGTATCATGGCCTGGAAGGCTGTTCCGGTAGTATCTGCGCCAGCAAGAAGGACGAGAAGAACCTCAGCGCGGATGTATTCCAGATCCAAGGGCTTGTCTTCATCCGTGCGAGCCTCGAGAAATGTTTGGAGGAGGTCAGTCTGCTCGATCTTTTTGCCGTTGTGGAGATCTTCGAGCCGTTCTTTGATCAGACGATCACGGAAGCGCATGAGGACACCAATTCCTGAGTTGTCTTGGGGTGTTGCAACGAGGTATTTCTTCATAAAGGTTGTTTTCATCCATGAGGTGAAAGGATGCAGGCGGGCTAGGAGGCCAAATGCTGGGAGGCCATCGTGGAAGCCTTTGATCAGGCCACCGATGTCTTCTCCCTTTTCGATGAAGCCGAATGGGCGGCCGAAACCGATCTCACTGATGATGTCGTATGCCATGTACACAGCCCACCAGGCAAAGTCGAAGGGCTCGCCGGTGTTGACGAAGCTTTGATCGAGCTTGTTGCTCCATTCGCAGATGCGCGCATCAATTAGCGGCTCTATCTTCTTAATGTTGGTGAAGCTGTACTGTATGTCAAGTTAGCTTATGTAGTTCGCATTAACTGTGCGGTCACCACTTACGGGACCAGCAAAGTGTTTCCGGAACTCAGCGTGTTGCTTGTGGGATCTCATATTGAACAAGGACTCGTTTTCGCCGAAGCTACCGGTGATGTAGTGGCCGGTCTTGTCGGCATTGCGGTGGTAGACTTCAGGGAGCTTGGAATGGTCGCTGACCAGCAGCAATGTTGGGGTAATGCGGACAACGGGGCCTAGGTGTACAAGTTAGGGATGCTGTTAAAAGAAGGTCAACCGGCAATTGAATTACCAAATTTCTTGGTCAACTCATAAGCCGTCAAGTACTCTGTCTCCTGTAGGTTCTGCTTCGCAATCCAAAGACGGGTCACGGAAGCCCAAAAAGGACCGGGAAATTCCTTAAGCGGATGGAAGAACCGGTAATGAACGATCTGAGAGACAGCCTTGAAGATGATATAGGCGATGAGCCCGAGGAAGATATTAGTGACTGTCACGAGTGACAGCACATTCTCGGCGAAGCCCATGATGGCTCTAAGGTGGAATGGAGAATGGAGGCATCGAAGGAGGGACACAAGTCTCAAAATATCCCACGCGATCAATGAATACTGTAGTAAGGAGTAAAAGACCATTGGCCAGAGTACATCCACATCAAAGATCCCACTCTTTCACGACTCCATACCGTCGTCCACTCTGATTTCCTTGATTTGCGCCTGGACCCGTCCGGGTTCAACGGCGCAGTTGATCGCCAGTGCTATACTACGCCTTAGTGAACCCCCTATTTCTGTTAAGTCCTTAGTAGTACTTATTAATTCTCTCATCTATTTTTGCTACATCATGGGGCTTAAACAGGATGGAGTAGCCAGTCCGCGTGTACGGCTTGCGACTCGAAGATGGAGCAGCGCGCACGTCCTACACGAGTAATATAAGACATCGGAGCCCTCGAATCGAGAAGGCAGGGATCGTCTCTACAGTTGGAGAATCTCATGCTTTCAAGAAGTCCAGGCATGATGGATCAGTGTGGATCGTCGACTCCATTTTCCTTGATTGAGCAACTACACGACAGGGAGCCTTCTCCGTATTCCAACATGGACTAAGTATCACGCTAGGGCGCTTGTGGAGACTGACCTGACGGGGCTTGACAGAACCGTGGCTCCACGCGATGGAAACTGTAGGCTTGAACGACGTGAAATCCACCTTTGACTCACGATATGAGCTACCCACGAACGTGTTGTTAATGAATCGAGTTTAATCGGTCCCTGGCGAGATGGCATGTTCATTTGGGCAAGCTGGGAACACGTTCCTGTACTCCGTACTTTGGAACACTAGTCAAAATCGTCGGGGGATTTTGACCTCTTATGGATAGCTACCTGTGTCAAGCGGTGTTCTCCATCAATATCCCTATTGCTTTGCTGATCAAATTGACCGGGGAGTCACGGGCTAAGCAAATCAGTCGACATTTCCTTAATAACTCGTTCTTATGTGCAATCGATATAGTCTCTAGTCGACCGTGGTGCTCGGTTCATAGCCTGTCTCGGCGGAAGCGAGCCCGGGTTGCAGTATAGCAATTCTCATGATTCGCACTCCGCCGTTGTTCCTTCTTTTTCAAGCGTAGATCGTGTCGATCGATAGCCGGACTCCTCCGCCTAACTGGCCTATCTGGTGTCTTTGATGGGTACCCATGAAGTACTCCATACCTCCAGCAGGTTCTTAGGTCGTGATTAGCTCGGCGAATTACCGAACGATAAAGGTCGAGGGGGTGTCGATTCCGTGTAGGAGTTTCTTATGTGTTTTACCATAGTTAACACGGACATATTCTGTATCGTCTAGGTTCGGTTCCCCTAAATACGTTCAGAACCTCGTTCTCACTCCCATTACAGCCTGCAAGCATTAACGAAGACGAGATCAACAAGACTTCGCACGCCAATTTCGCTTAGAAGTGACGCCGCTGAATGGAAACAAAAGAACGACCCACCGCGGCCACACTGGACGGCTCGGAAGGGGTAGACGGGTCATCGTGCAGATCGGATGCCTTAGCTGCATAATTAGCACGCTGTTGGCGCGGGAAAACTCTTTCTCGGAACATCGCGAGGGATCTGGGCTTTCGGGGGTGAAACGCCAGAGCGACGATCTCATCGCCCCCTCTCCACCTAACCCGCACTAACCTGACGAGCTCTTGGTCGAGCCTGGTTAGCCCTGTTCGAAAATGAACTTAAAGGGCCACAATTGTTTTGACACAGACTTTAAACTCGTCGCGGCGTCCTGTCATTTGAAGTCTAGTACTGCGTGGTTGCTGTTTCCTACTTCGTACTTCTTCTAATTAAAATCACCGTCTCTCCCAGGTTTCCATCGAGATGAAAACAAGTAGGTAGATCGGTATCTAAAGACGTTCTTTTTTAGTCGGAAAATCCGAGACCGACGTGTGCACTGTGCTATTTTCTGTTTTCCCCTCGATAGGATCGCCCCGTAATCGCGATGGGCATCGCATACCAGCGACACATCGGTGACTAGTAACAAAGTAGCATAGTTCACCCCCTGAGTTTGTGGTCACCTATTTCCAAATAGGGAGTACCCCATAGATTCATGAAGCACACTTGGACCCTTAGACGAATCCGGATTATACGTGATCAACGCAAATACGAGACGTCGAAACAACCCTGCGCGACCCACGACCTTTACGAGTCTGTGAACCAATCCAAGCCTTTCTGTGGAGGTCTTCAAACAAGGACTGCTGAACGGCTGCCGGGCAAGATTATGGGTCCGTCGTCGCAGGCGTCAGAGCTCCCGACACGGAGCTCCTGGACCACATCTCCGCGTCTGGAAAGCAAATCAGGTTTGATACCTCACTGGATCCACCAGCACCGTCCTCCTCAAAATTGAGAGCGGCTCGACGTTAGCATGCTTGATCTGTTTTGCCGTGCGCAGCAAGACCTGGCCATTTGCCTTCTTCGGGCAGGCAGTTGCAAATCTTCCCTATCCCCACTGCCGTGCAGCGGTTTTCCTATTGGGGTGCTGTGGATCTGGAAGCTGCTAGGAACAGGTACCAACAACTCACTAGCCAGCACGGACTCTGTCCTAGGTCCCAGGGGTCTGTCTGTACGCTCGTGATAAGTGCGAACGGTGGTACTTGCGTTCGTACTTTTTCTTTTTCTCCCATTGCCTTCGCTTACTTTTATTTTTTGATGCCTGCTGTCTTTCTTTTGTCCTGGTGACACCTTTTCTAAAGACAAGAGGGCCTATTCCATGCTACCAACCCGGGAGGCTGATTGGTTTAATTGATTTGCCTTTACCATTCACTCGTTTCATTCATCATGGCAGGCGACCATGGTTCTCAAGGCCCTGTCGTGGTAGGTCTTTGCATTGCATTTGCTATCCTGACGTTTATTGTTTTGTCTTTGCGACTCTTTGCACGTATTTACGTGCTGGGAAAGATGGGTCTCGACGACTGTAAGTCACCACTCTCCCTCACGCTCTGGGTGTATACTAATTGCAATATCCATAGACCTCATCATTGCAGCTAGTGTAAGACGGGACTTTCTCGGTTCAGATAGCTTCAACTAACAAACGCAGCTTTTATCATGGGCATTCATTGCTGCCACGATTGCCGGTGAGTATGCTGCTTCTCTCTTCGTGGACATAGATCTGACTATTTAAAAGCGGTTCAAAACGGGCTAGGAAAACACTACAAGTATACCGATAAGTCGAAATTGATCGACTATTCATTTGTACGGCCCCCTTCTCTACATCTCACTTTCCACCACTAACCTTCCATAGGCCGTCTGGCTGAGCTCAATGTTCTACCTCGCTGCTCTGGGCTTCGTCAAAACTTCTGTATTATGGTTCTACACCCGGCTAGGAGACCGCACTCTCACCCGCATCGCCTACATGATGATTGGTGTCATCATTTGTCAAGCCACCTCCTTCGTTCTCGTCGCAGCTTTCCAGTGCCAACCTATCAGCAAGGCCTGGACTGGTACTGGTCCCGGAAAATGCGTCAATATCAACATTTTCTACCTCGCCAACGCGGCCCTTAACATCTTCACGGATCTCCTGACCTACACCCTCCCCATCCGAGTCATCTTCAAGCTGCAGATGCCTCGCAAGCAGAAGATTGTCCTTGGCTTCATCCTATGCCTGGGTCTCTTGTACGTTCCTCATTCCGAAGACTTCTACTCGTTTCAATTCTTAATAAACAACCTATAGTGCCTGCATCTCCTCCATCATCCGAATCACCTACATCCCTGCGATGCTCACCTCGATCGACTACACCTACGCCATCAGCGGTGCAATGTATTGGTCCGTAATCGAGACCAACGTCGGTATCCTCGCCGCCTCTATCCCCTCCTTCAAAGCCATCGCCTCCCGCTTCGTGCCCCGCTTCATTGGCGAGTACAGCAGCGGGAGGAAATCCTACGGCCCCTGGTCTAGCACTGCGGCTGCCCGTCGATACGGATCGGGCTTCGCCAAGGTCACCGACCCCACCAACATCACGATGAACACGATGAATGGGGACAAGGATGCTACTATGGGTACGCAGATTGTTACGACGACGGCGGATAACTCCAGTGAGGAGCGTATCATCATCCCTGATGGTAAAATTTTCACGCAGACGGAGATTGAGACGACGGTTGAATCGACTGGGCCTTTGGATTCGACCGGCGAGCGGGCTCGTCAATCGAAGCGAAGCTTTTTACGTTAGGATGATTTTTTTTTCTTTCTTTAGGGTTGCTGTCAGTCTGAGATACCGTTCCTTTCGGTCTTTCTTTTCTATCGTGCTGGGATACCCGGTTAAAAACGCACTCGTTGTATCAACACTACTTTCTACGATACAAACCACCTGATTTAATGATTTTTTTTTTCAAGCTTCTTGGTAGATTAATACGTGACTTCGAGTAAGTGTTTTTTCAAACAATATTCTAGTCTCTCTTGGAACTCTACTCATTCTTTGTGTAGGGCCGATCCAGAAACGTTATGCAGGGGTGTTACTCTCTTGCTCTTTTTTCAATCTCTGCTATAGTCCTCTAGGGGTCCTTCTAGTAATAATGTGGCCTTTTTTCTACTTTTCAAGCCTCTTCAAATACATACAGACGGGCAATTCATGGTCTCCTATTTTCATTTGCCTCCTCCGTCCAATTGTGGAGATCTCGTCGACCATCGCTCTACAGAACCAACAAAGCAAAAAGGAACATCGTACCGATCTTTGAGGGGACAAAAAAGAAATATCTCAGGTTGTTCTGTAGGAATAGCCGAACGCGGGGGTCGAACCCGCAACCTTGAGATTAAGAGTCTCACGCTCTACCGATTGAGCTAGCCCGGCAGGGCTTGGTGTGGAGCTAGGCTTGAGCTAACCGATAAAAAAAGAATGCTTCCCACCCCATTTTAGAGGGCAAAAAAAGGAATATCTCAGGTTGTTCTGTAGGAATAGCCGAACGCGGGGGGTCGAACCCGCAACCTTGAGATTAAGAGTCTCACGCTCTACCGATTGAGCTAGCCCGGCAGGGCTTGGTGGTGGGGCTAGGCTTTTTGAGAACCTTGACAGCATTTCTCAAAAGCTGCTTAGCTCTTTAGTGATTGTGACCTGCCTCTTGTGTTACCCCATGCCTTTTCCATCGATTATGCTGATACATTAGAGCTGAGATTTACCGGCAATGAATTTCACAGAACCGACATGTCTGACGAGGATATATTGGTGTTGGTATCTTAGGAGGCAAGGTATTAAGGAATATATATTCAGACAGACACTGGGGTTACAGATAACGGGTCTGCTTCCCATGTTCCGAACCTATTCTTTTGCTCACAAGACGATATACAACGTTCTACTTAAGATCTCTACTACAAGTCCCCAGTGGATTTTTCTCAATTCCTCTCAATTCCAACATAGATGTCATTCAAATATATTTTGAAAAAGTCTCAGCGGTAGTAATCAATCAACTATGTATATTGATTTCTGTATCTACGTAGTGCACAAAGTACACGCTTAGATTCTAATCGACTAAAACAAGGAGCAAAATATTGCAACTTCGCTCTCGCAAAGGGTTTTCAGGCTCTTAGGTCTCCAAGTGAGGCTCTTGTGGCTTGGATCGACCGCCCGCCCGGGTGGAGCCGTGGGAATCTCTGTTGAAACCCATATCTCGGAAACAAAACGAAGCATGTTTTAGACCCGAGCTCGGACTCGCCGACAAGCTTACTAAAGATCCCCACGCCAAGCACAAGCACAAGTCCGCGTGGGCCAGAGTTGCTCACAGGCTGCACGTTGAGTTCAGCTGAAGCTGTTACCACGTTGCAGGCCGCATAAGGTTGACGTGGATTGGCCACCGAATCGAGCCGCGCCACACAGATCTACCCGAGTCTAATCCTATCAGATACGAGCGATCTGGCTCTACCCAGGTCACCGGGATATCTGAGCGTGGTTGGACTGAGCTAGTTTCGAATTAGCTCCAATCGAGTCTCAGATGGCCAGAGACACGCAAGCCGACCGGGGAATCCGCCGAACGGTAATCCTCGAGTTTCCGAGAATAGCATAGACCTCTGAAGCGAGGTCGAGTATACGAGACTGTTTTAACAGTTACCATATTTACCATCTGGGCTGTGTTTCGATCGTGTTTTGACTACGATGGACAGGATACTTGATAGGCAACCACGCTGGCATACCACCCCTTGCTGAGACTCATGTCGATCATGTTCCAGAAAACATTCTTGGAATTCCAAATATGAGTCAACCCTGGAACATGGAACGTGGGTGCATTTCTCAGCAAGAGTCATCCGATGCAATGTTTACTAAAGCAGTAGGACGATGCAGTACTAGCATAGAGTAGCCTAAAGTGGTACATAGTAGATCACCAAGCTAGTACGGGTGGAGCCAGAATACCACGTCTAAGACGGAGTACAGTGAGCCTAGCGTTCACCTGACCACGAATCGTAGAATTATGCGCACCAGGTGTAACACGGAATGTTGAGAGAAAAATTTTCCTCAGCACGGAGTCCATACTTCCGGAGCAGGTCGGGAACTCGGCACTAAAGGCTTCTGGGAAGGCTTCTGGAAGCCCCTAGTGCGACCGTAACTTCCTTAGCGGCGTACCCGGCCTTACGAGCTGTGTGGCTGAGCCCTTCAAACTCTCCCAGCCAATTGTTTGCAAACGAAATCTCTGCTGCATTAGTCCATTCTAATTCTGCTTCTGCAAGTCAGTCTGGCGGGACACACGGCATTCTTGGCTTGAGGTCAGCACTCTAACAGAAAAATTTTCTCTCTGCTGTAGTGCTGCAGGGGCTCGCGTGCCAGATGTGAGCTGACTCTGTATATGCCTAAAGAGGAAGGTCCTCTTCGACATTCCTAATGGGGGCAGTACATCGTAGACTACGTATACATGACCTACGCAGTAGTAGTAGGTATCATAGACCATACAAGGTGGGGGGATGGCCTGAGGGAATCGCCACTTCCCCGGACGCAACCACGTTTTGTTTTTGTTTTTTTTTTTTTAAATCTTTTTAATTTTAACTTTTTTTTTTGTTTTGTTCCAAGAATAACATACTCGGCCGCAGAGGTCTGGAATCCGAACTATTCATTAGTGTGCTCGGGGCTAGGGTCCAGACTGTTGTTCGGCTCGGCACCCCGGGTCTATTTCGGCGTGACCTTGCAGTCAACAGCTAGAACACAGTAGAATCTGATTTTTAGGACCATTCTTCGTCGGCTGATAGCAGCGCATTAGCCGTATTGCAAGTAGTGTGTTTTCCAAATCAGAGCAGGCCATGTCGGACGAGAGGAGTCCTCGGGCCCCGGAAGGCTACCGGGCTACTCACCCATGAGCCGGATCTGGCACGGTAACACAGAACACGCATGCCATGAAAGGCGCTAAGTAGCCTCACCCGTACCCCCCGTATTACTCGGGTCTCGTGTTGTTCAGCACTTACGGTCGGCACTAGTGTTAGTCGCAAATCTGCGAGCCCGGCAGTTAACCGAGCAGGGATACGACGGACTATTTGGTGTACTCTCCGGGAAATACGGCTCTGAGTCAATCTTTGTCAAGTTGTTTCGTGATTTCTAGCTATTTTATTTTATTTTTATTTTTAAATTCCTGTCATTCTGTTTTCATTTTCATTTTCCTAGCCATTCAGGTAGTCTTTCATTCTTTTATCCGCATGTGAAGAAGAGTCATACTTTGAGCCATGTGACCAACCCCGGACGTGGGATCCAGGGTCTCGTAGCCGAAGGTCTCAGGTCTCACCATCGGAGTCGGCCGTAAAAAGGTCACGGGACCCGCTCGCCTGATGTATAGGGTCAGCTGACGAGATCCTCGAAAACTGGAGACTCTAAGCGAGCATGTACTGTGTACCTCGGATACAGTATTCTTATAGTACTGCCCAACGTTTTCAAGACCACCTGCCAAAACCAGCACTTCCCCAGAAGAATGTGGAATGCAAAATGCGGGTGCCCAAGGTGCATCGTGGCGCAGTCGTGGCTAGTACTCGATGTACAGCGTACACTACCGGAACCTCGGTAGGGAGTCCACATTCCGCGTGACTTAAGGTGTGGCACAGCCCTATGGCCTTTTCAGGCTAAAAATGGCCGATCGGAACTAGTTCCCAATTAGGCATTGGGGCATGCAGGAATCTTCCAGTGCAGAGTTTTCTAGGCTAGTGTTTCTAAGCGAAGGAATCTGGGTTCCTGTATGACTCGAGGCAGCACTGTTTTATTCTTATTAATTATTTTTGACATCAACGCGCATTCTGTATCCCACGGCCCATAGCCTATAGCCCAATAGTATAGAATAGAATACAAAGCGGTGGATTAGTGGCTGATCAAACTGAAGCCACGACCCACCTTTGTGAGAGCAAGGGCTGAAAATGGGCGATCATGCGAAAAAGTGGACCCGCGAGCGACCGTCCCCCCGTGTGGTAAGCTTGGGTAATTTTGGGTAATTTTGGGTAATGGGTGACCATGATTAAATACGCTAGCGTACGGTAACAGTGAAATGATCTTGCGGACACGCCGATTGGGCTCAAATGACGTCGAACTAGTCCGCATCGCTCGGGCTTTTATAGGAGCGCCCACCCTCAAAAGCCCTCCACTTCCTTATTTCATATACATCTTTGTCTGATTATTTCATTTATAATCACCTCGCCTTTTAAGACTCATCCAACCTCCGATCGAGTCATCCTTCAGTACCAAACTCTTCCATCCAACCAGACTATTAAAGTTCACCCTCAACCACTCGATTCGTCACGAGCCTCTCGACGTTTCCAGACTCTTCGCAAACCTCGATCCAGACTTGGTCATTCAACCCAAACCACCGGTTGGCACGGCCACAATTGCCTAGGGATTTCTCGGAAACTGAGCCGCTCCTATAAAGACTCGCCTTCCCCCGGTGGCAACATCCTCTTTATCCACTCTCTGACGTCCTAAACGTGATACCATTATGCTTATGTATCCACGTAAGGGTCTCATCACCGATCCATATCATCCAGAAGACATCACCATACAAGACGATCAATATCCGCAGAGCTTTGACGACAACTCTTTGCAGTATCAGTCGTCGTTACAACCGCCTTTCCACTATCAACCCCAGTTCGCCTCTCCGCCTTCATCCGCGCCTTCCTCACCCACCTTCTCCTCTCCAACCTTCTCCATCCCCTATCCCCAGGCGGACACTCAGTCTCTCGGGGCTCCTTCGATGACCCCCGCTTCTTCATACAACCCGTCCTTTGACATCCAGGGCTCCGCCTCACCCTCCCAGCAGTATCTCCCACAATACCAGCAATACTACACGCCCATGTTGGCCCAACAGCCCATCGCCAGCAACCAGAGTTGGGACGGCAACTTGCAGTTGCTGAGCCCGGCTCGCATCCCATTCCCCCAGAAGCCGTCGCCCGGTTCAGCTTCTTCGCGATCTGCTCCTTCGGGTCACCCGGTCTCGCCCAACCTGAACTCTCACCGACGATCGACTAGCAACTCTAAGCCGCTGCCCACACCTTCTCAGACTCCCATCCAGAACTCCTTCTTGGCGGCTCCCTTCCAGAACTACGACCCATCGTACCACGATGGTAGTCGCGCCGAAGCCGAGTCTGCTATGAGAAGGGCCATTTTGGATCAACAGCAGAAGCACCAGACTTCCCCTCAGCAGCAGCAGCAGCAGCAGCAGAGCGAGTACTCTTTGGCTCCCTCGGTTTCGACTATTAGCCACAACTCGCCTGTTACCCCGCAGACCAGCCTGGAGGAGCTTGACGAGTCGAAGATGACCAATGGTGAGAACCGATTTGCCGATGTAGACTGTTGGATGAACGATTACTTACAATCCGACGCAGAATACGCCAACGGCAACAGTGGCATGATTGGTATTCCCAAGCTGAACCGCACCATTTCCGATATCTACCAAGACGAGCTGTATAACCCTAGCATCATGGCGGCTCCTCAAATGAACAAGCCCATGAACCAGAACCTGCTGGCTCCGCGCAATGTCATTGCCGACCGCCTCAATGCCGCTAACCAGGGCCATCTGACTTCTCGCTCGGGATCTCCCTTGGGCAGCATGAAACGCGATCACTCTCCCTTCCGTGCGTCGTCCCCGTTTGCAGGCGACTTGAACGCTCCTCTCCCCCCTCAGATGGCTACCAGCGTCCCTATGTCTCAAAACATGGGAATGTCCTCTGGCAACCCTGGTGACATCAAGACCATGTCCCCCAAGGATGCGGTGTTGGACTTCAACGAGGGTGACGATGCGGCTATGCCTCCTCTTTTCACTCCCGGCCAGGGTGACTTCAACCTGGGTGATGCTCTGGGTCTGCGCCGCGAGAGCTCTGGCTCAATGCGCCTTCCACAGACCATGACATCAATTGAGGCATTCCCGACCCAGTACGCTACAGCCCAGCCTCATTTCGGATACCACCAACAGACTCAGCGCCAGCCGATGATGCAACAATCCGACTTCCCTCCCTCTCTTCCTCACTTCGAATCCAGTGGACAATCGTCTGTGGACATGGCTCCTCAGGCTCATGCCAAGCTGCCTATATCCGAGGGCATCACCCGCCCGAGTAACACCTCCTCGGATGCTGGAACCTACACTTGCACATATCACGGCTGCAGTCTCCGATTCGAGTCTCCCTCCAAGCTTCAGCGACACAAGCGCGAGGCACATCGCCAGACTACCCCCGGTGGCCACTTGATTACTCGCGATACTTCGCTTCGCAACTCCCAGGCTGGACCTCACAAGTGCGAGCGTGTCAACCCATCTACTGGGAAACCGTGCAATTCTATCTTCTCGCGACCTTACGACCTAACTCGCCATGAAGATACGATCCACAACGCGCGCAAGCTTAAGGTTCGATGCCACTTGTGCACCGAGGAGAAGACCTTTAGCCGCAATGATGCCCTTACACGGCATATGCGCGTTGTGCATCCCGAGGTCGATTGGCCTGGCAAGCAGCGTCGTCGCAATCAATGAGCTCCAAAGTGATCACTCTGTGCCTTTACTCTTGTGATATGACGTCACACCACCAATCTCCATCCGGACCCACTTCGGTTCAAATTCCGTGAAGGTTCAGTCTTTTGATTGGTTCCTTTCCACCACCGGATTCCCCACTTTGACGTCAGCGACCCGAACCCCCCATCGATCGTGACGTCGATGATCGGGGATTCATGCCAGATGACGCGGGTCTTAACTCTCTCAACCCCTAACCTGACGTGTGCGTGCCCTTGGCACCCTTTTGATCCATGTTATTTTTCTGGAAAAAAAAATTAAGGGAGGTATCTGCTAGTACCGAGCTGTCTCATACGTTTCTCTCGCTTGCGGCTTTTCATGCCTGTTACGAACCTCATTTTTTATGTATTATTATCATTCCACCCCTGTACGATTTGACGTGATGATGTCTTTTTGCATGCGACTCGCGATCCCTTTTTTTGCATTTGCTCTTGGTGTTGTTTCTGGGCGGCGTTGTATATGGGTTTAGGTGCCTCAAAGTGCACTTGCTTGTATAATACGAATATGGACCAAAAACTGTACATTATGGACGTTGGATAGCTTATACAATTGATGAATACTCGAACCTGAACACTTTCTCAATATTTCCCTCGCGTAGCACGAAGTACAAAGCACAAAGTACACGGTACTTTTACCTTGGACAATTGTAGGGTCCATTATGGAGACCGGGGGACTGGGGACAGTACCCCAGTTTCCAAGCCAACGCGAACCCCTGCCCAAAGAACATCTCATACCTCTTAATCAAGCCCTCAGGTCCTTCCTAAACGTACTTTGAGAATATACCTGAAACGCCCTCCTTACATGAAGCGACCTAAGTACCCCCGGCCCCCGTCCCCTCCCCGTCCCACCTGCAGAGATCGTCCCCCTAGCGCGCCCGCGGCCAGCGGGCAGCAGAACCCAAAAAAAGGACGCCCACTCTCCACCATGTTCCATCCCTCCATCCAATCGATCCCCATAGGGCACCGGGACGCACCTCTACACTGTGTACCTCTGTTACAGTAGCTCTCTCCTGGAACGGGAAGGGATATGTCTATCAAGTGGGGCGTGGCTTACACCCAGCCCCATCGAGCGTTCGTCATCCACTTTTCAGAGTGGACTCTTGTGGAAGGGTTGGATGCCGAATGATGGGGCTCCCTTCGCCGGTGAGATGTATGTAATTTCTGGATTTTGCTCGGTCCTATGAAATCATCTTGAACTCATTTGGACAAGGGATGGGTTGGACAAAATCAGGTCTCGCTCCGCATGGTTTGGGCTTTTCTTGTTTTTGGAAATGCTAAATTTGATCACGGGAGGTAGATCTATAGAACTTGGTTTGTGGGACTTGGGAAGCTGGAATTGAATTTATTTTTTTTGCTGAGTCAGATGCCTTCTGTATTGCACAGAGCTGACAGATCTACTGTACATCAGAATCAGGAGACACAGACATGATACTGTATGGCAGGGAGCGGGTCATTTCGTTTTCGTTCATGGAAAGATCCTATTGGCGGCTAGATGGAGGAAACAAAAGCCGGGGTACGTAGGAGGACAATTTGCAGCCATTGATTGGGCTGGAGAGGTGTCAGTTTTTAGAAGCTATGGTGGAGGTCATACAATAGGGGTCCACTGTGGCTTGAGATCGTCAGTGGGAATCATTTATTGTATTATGTTTTACATGTACACCCGTTATCGATAACAGCTGGTATGCTGTATTTCATAGCTGTGGCGGTGCGATGACTCAGCGAGCCTGCTGGTTTGGGCTTAGAGTATGTGGGGCGTGTAGGTTTACTGTGTTGCGTGGCTGGCATGTGGCTTGAGGTATGTGGGTGGTGGGTTGCATGGTGGTGGGTGGTTTCATAGGTTGAGAAGTTTTGTATCGCCTTGTGTAACTGCTATTTTTAGGGTGTCGTACAAGGTATGGTTTGATCGAATATTGATATACGTGTCCAGGAACCATGTGCTCCGGAGGTGTCGGACAAGTTTGATATCCAAATACGAGATATTACCGGTAAGCCAGGAAGATATTGCAGGTGGGCCTGAACGCCTTTGATCGTGGTCTATCTGACTGCGCTGTTTGGAAAGGGCTGTTTAAAAGGATGCCTAGAATGGGAATGAGGAATCATCCCGAAATACGTTTCGAAGCACTGCCTCAGAAGAGGGTGAGAAAGAATGAGAGCATCGAAAGACTTCAGAACACAGCAAACGATTTACCAATCATCTATACCAATATATTCTCCTTGATTTAACTATCAACACTAATCAAGAAATAACGAAATCCCGCTCCGTATATAAGTAGCTATCAAATGCAAGTCTATAGTCGTCCAACCTCCGGATCCAATACATCAAATCAAAGCAGCCTACCCAGCACCCGGCCTCATCCGGATCGCGAGCGCCTCCCCAGCAAGCCCATGAACACTCCTTCTAACCCCAACACCCCACTCAACAACTCTCTTCATCTCCTCGCTCCCCATGGCAGCCGCGTACTCCGCCGCACTCCCCCAATCCCCCCTCGCCTCAGGGTCCGCTCCATGTTCCAGAAGCCACCGTACCCTCTCCACAGCCTTCGCCATGACCGCATACATAATCGGATGATGCTTCACCAGCACTGAGTCTCCCCTCTGATTCACATCCGCTCCATTAGATACCAGTAATGCCATCACCGGTATCCGACTCACGTCGAACTCTTTACTAGCAACTTCATGTGTACTCGCGCCAGGCGTGCACGCACCAGCAGCATAGTGTAATGGGGTACCATTCTTGATCTCGGCGCCGGCGTCGAGAAGCATCTGCACAGCCTCTACGCTTCCATGTGTAGCGGCTGCTTCGAGCGCGGCGCATGAAGCTGGATCAGAGTCACAGTTCCGATCACCGCTGAATCGCTGCGCGCCGAGATTCGGGTTCGCGCCGTTTTCGAGGAACCAGCGGAGAAGTGCAATGTTGCTGACCACCTTTGGCAGTAGAACGGCTCCGTAGTTCCCCGGTGAATTAGGAGTCCAGCCATGTTGTTGTAGGATCTGGAAGAGCTGGATCTGGAGATTTGCTGGTGCGTCCAGGATGTGCAGTGGTGTTTGGCGGACGAGGCGTGCGCCATGCCCGAGTAGATCCCAGGCAACAGCGGCGTTTCCTGCTCTTAGGGCGAGAGTTAAGCCGTGGTGTAGTAATGCTGGGGAGATGCTCTCTGGTGGGACGACAGATTTCGCTGCGGAGAACGTTCCCTGGCTGCAGGCTGTTTCATAGGCGCCCATCCACTGTGGACTGGATCCGATGAAGCCGATGTCTGTAGGCTTTGTGATGGGGATGCCGTCATATGAGGAGCGGACCATTCCCGACATACGGTTCATCTCTTGCGGTGATGGTCCATTGATGTTGGCTTGGCTTAGTTGCTGCTGTCTGGCAATCATGTTCATCATTTGCTGGGCGCGAGCTTGCTCCATTTCCTGGGCTTGAAGCGCTTCAGGACCCAGGGCGCCGCTCATATCTTTTGGTTTGCGCCTGCGTAGACCAGGTTCTGGATTTGCCGCTGCGCTTGGTGAGATGGTAGCGTCTCTTCGCCCAGCATGACCGGTCAGTCAGGAACAGTGGGGTGATGGGCTCCAGATGAGCCACGGAGCGTAGGCTTGGAGAGTTGGTTTAAAGGTCAGGCCGCCCAGGCTTGAGCCGCACTTTGACGGCCCCTGAAAGGACCGGGCGCCGCGATGCATATGATGACTCATCTCGAAGTCAAGATCCAGGATACTGTTTAGAGTAATTTAGTACATTGGTAGTTTCCCAAGATAAAACATCTTCAATGGGTCCTGTGATATTGCAATACAGTCGTTGGCGGATTTATTTAAGTAGAGTTCCTTGGTACTGTGCGGGTCTCGGGAAGTTACTCGCGAAGTGTGAAGATCTTATACATCGTCAATCATTAAAATCAAGTACTACGCATTAGTTATTCAATCGCTGAGTTGAAATGAAACAAATGCTGCTCCATGCATCACTCAATCAAGCATCAACATCCATCGTCGTTTACTCTTTTTTCTCTTCGGACATTGTCCCAGGCAGCTCCGCAAGCTGAGTATTGATACTCGTGATATGAGACCCGAAGCTCGCACCTGGGCTGCTGACACTGGAGTCCAGTTCATGACTCACGGTCGGAGACTCGGCAGATAACTCAACTTGGCTAGCCCCCGGCAACTCCGTCCTTCGCCTGGGGTTGCGCAATCGTGCCCAGGCAAACCTGTGAGGCACGAACTCTTCCGGAGCTTCGTGAATATCGGTTTCCTCTTCTTGGCCCTCGGTCGATGATGATAACCCTTTCTGCTTTCTCTTCCGGTGAATAACAAGTAACACCAGGCCCGCGATGATGAAAGCAACACCCACGCAGGATCCTACAACCACGCCGGCGATTTGGCCGCCAGTGAGGTGATTGCTACCTGATTCACTGGTCACATTGGTCGCGCTGGTCGTATTTCTCGCGACGGCACTAGGTTGTTTGAAGAAGGTTGCGACTGCTTCGTTACTGAACCCGTCCGACGGTTTTGCCATGCTGGCTGAACCTGTCGATCTTCGAGGCTGTTAGCTTGGACCTAACATATCAATGGTGAAGAAACTTGCCCGCCGCCAATGACATTGTAGATCTGGGAGGGAAGTGTATATTCGCCTGCATCTGGGTCGTATACTTGCCCCCATTGGGTATTGTTTAGGTTAAGTATCGCCACACTTTTCGTTTCCCAGTCACATCCCTTTGTTATGGAATCATATCGAATCCCTCCCACAGTCAACATTTGCGAATTGGCGACGAGGTGACAGGTGTGTCCATAGCGAGGCGAGATTCCTTCGAGCAGTTTGATCCACGTGAATGACGGGATCGTGAGCACATAGGTCTGATCATAGACTTGATCCTTGTCTCGGCCGCCATACATGTATATGCTGTGGCTTGAGTTGTCCGGTGCTGAGGCTACCACCAAACAAAAGTCGGTTCGTGCGGCGGGGACGGAGCCTGTCGTAGCCTGTGTATACCAGGTTCCATTCGAAGCGCCATTGTCAATTGATGCGACATCGAGAAAGTCGACACTGTCAAAGGATACCTTTGCAGATTTAGTAAATAAACCAAGTGCGGACTTGAAGTTCAAAACTCACGTATGTCCCCAAATCCGACAGTTCGCTGTTGCTTGATGGTTTCGTTACTCCACCCATTGATACCAGCACGCCTTCGGAGCCGACATTTGGCACGTAGGCCAGGCCACCCATAGCCCGAGGGTAATTGTCCAGCGAAGATGTGGAGAGATTGGTGGCGATTTGCGATGTGGTATTGAGCACAATCATACCATCAAGATATCTTCGAAAATTCGAAAAATGCGCATAATTGCTGTTTGTTCCATTGTCAATGAAACCATTCAGGTAAAAGGCAAGCCCTTTATCTGGTGCTTGTGTCCAGGCTCCTCCAGCCGGTTTGTCTGGTACCTCCAGGGATACATCGTATTGTTTCCACGCCTCTGTAGAGGACCCATACGACCATAGGGAATATGTTGGAGCGGTTGGCCATTGGAAACCGGGCGCGCTACGGTTGGCCCATGACACAGTACCTCCGTAGAGATAAATATTTGGGTCGTTCTCGGCACCAGCGAATAAGGCACCACGAAGATTGTTTGGGGGGTACGTTCCCGTGCTGACATCGGCCGTTTTATCGAGCGCTGTCACTGAAAGGTTCACTTTCCAATCCCAGGTCTCATTCATCGCGATTGCGATCAAGTACTCATCTGCGTCAGTGTTAATATTGCATATCCATGTTGGTTCAGCTCAAAACAGGCACATACTGTACCCAATGATCGGGTTCGATTTCTGCGCTCCTCCACTGTTCTCTGCAAAGACCTCCAAACCGCCATCGATATAAAGTGCGTCGTTTTTCAAAACGGCTGCGCTTAATTGTCAGTGACTTGCACTTATCAACACTGGTGAGACCGACACTGATGATATACTCGCTGGCAGAATCTGTTGATCGGATCGATGAGAGACGTTGAATTGGTGGAGTCGGTGGAGTTGGAAGTACCAATGACTCCATCGACGAGAGCGAGGACTGCTACAGCAATCAGGATCAACTGCATTGCATCTTCCATCAAAAAGTCTCGAGGCGCGGTCAAAGTAAGAGCAATGCAGATATTAAACTCGGCTCTTGGCCAGCTTCATAAGTTATGGGAGCAATTCTGTCGGCTCCCCACGACTAATGAGGGTCAAGCCTGACTGCAGCTAAGATATTCGGTAAACATTTAGTTGGCCCCCAAATACGTTCGGCTCGCGAGCTGCATCCGGTCCGGGTTAGTCTGGTGTGTAGTCTGCAGTGTGCCCACGAGGGTCCGGCTCGGTCTAGATGTCATTCTTATGTGGAATAGAGTGTGCGGCATTGGTGGAAGATTTCATCCCACCAACTCGGGCAATGGTCTTATGCGGGCGACCGATCCTCGTCGATTGAAGGGCTCGCCTTCCGTCGTTGCCATGCGCTGTCCCAGGGTGAGGGCTACTATCTCAATTTTCGGTCTTGGTAGTCCCTACTCTACCACTAGCCTGGAATCAATGGCTTGGTGTGATCCTCCGGTGTCGCTGTATTGGCCGGTCGGCATTGTGGCTGCTGAGTGCATCCACGTTGTTCGCTGACTTGCGCTAGTCAGTTATTGCAGATTCTCCTTGACCCTGGACATAACTCCGGTTATCTTGGTGGCTTGAGCAGGGGTTATAGCGCTGGTCGCCAAATATTGCAAGCGGAGTCTGGCGTTTGCCGTGTTGGTGTAGCAGTCAAGTCTAGCCCCCATCATTTGGTAAGCTTTGGGGGCTTGTGGTGGTAAATTGACTCGGTATTTGGTACTAATTTCCCGACGAGATTGCGATTTAATCGTAATCTCTGACTATGAGCGTACGGGGTGACTTCACGAAATCCGAGTCTTGCCAAGAGTTGGGAGCGGATCTTGCGGTAGTAAGTGAAACTTGCTCCTCTTGGCAGGCCTATCGAATTGGATCGTTTGGGGTTGGTGTCCTGTAGAGCCGGAATAATGACAAGGTTGATGGCATGCAGATGGTATTTGGACAGTGTGGATCACATAGACTCTAGACACTCTGATGCAGTATCTCGGCCGTCGGGCTGCCACTAGTCGCGCCGCTCAGTGCGGCTGGCATAAGCACAGCATCATCGTTGCGGTGGGTAATCTGGCTGGAAGAAGGGCGCAAATCAGTCCACTTGATGATAGCCTTCGAGTGTTGCTGGTCAGTTCATCACTTCGTTGTCAATGTGAGTGCTGACTGGGTGGTGGATGAAACTTGGTTGTGCCTATAGTGCCAAGAAAAGTTGAACCCTCAGTTGAACCCCTCTTGAGGGTCCAATCAGGATGCCGGTGTTCAACCACATCCCTCAGCAAAACATCAGCGTTTCGATGGTAATCAACTTGAGATTATATACAAGTAGCCATATAGTATTATTCGATCTTTATTTTTGGGGATTCTGCTGGGGTTGCGGTTTGAAGTTTCCATATTCGTTATGTTGTCCCGATGCCAAGCAAAGTTGAACCCCAGTTGAAACCCCGGTCGGGGTTCAACCCAAGTGCTGAGATTCAATAGCTTCCCACAGCATCACTTCAACCATTCCGATGGGACAAAGCAGGCATATAGATACAGATAAATCTTTAATTACACTTCGACCGGGTTTTCGGCAATTTTGACGCATCTGTTCGATTTCCATATGAATGTTGGTGTTCTTCATTATAGTTATATATTCTTTGCTCTATACACCTCTACCACACTATCGACCGCATCAAAATCCAGATATACTGAGTTAACATACTTTTCATTTTTCAACCAAGCAATTATTTTTTGAATTGATTTCAAAAGCAGACCCGGTGATGGTATATTCTATCCCGAAGTTTCTAATACACACAGCGAAAGAAACAAGTCAAGATCAACAGGGTTATGCCGGTATACAGGGTACAGAAGATGTAACTATGCGACACTGGATTTGATATAAGTCTTACAAGGTACACAATACAACAATGCAGAGAAGGAGTGAATGAAAATTAACATTGATTACTAGATGACATTGAATGAATACCACGCAGATATGAATTATAAGTTGGCGATGATTGACCGAGCCTGGTATTGAGAGTGGACCCGGACTCGACGCGCCGGTAAACAACACCGCGTGACAAGACCAGACGGAACACAACAACGCGTGAACAATACAGAAGAACCCATTTAAAGAGGAAGAATTGGTTTGTTTGAATGTTTAGTAATTGTATTGGTATCTGGACCACTTCCTAGAGAAGTTTGGATCCCGCCACGAAGGCGTCAGCCGTATTGTTAAGAGGCCGCTATGATACAGGAATGGCCGACCCATAGGGACGCGAAAATTGGTAGTCGTGTAAAAAAAGCAAACCCAGAGACCCATGACGATTGTAAAAAATCAGAGAACACCCCAACGTCCCATCATACCGTGAAGCCCGGAAAAAAAGTGAACAGACAGACAACGCTTAACCACCGAAACCGTACAGGGTGCGGCCCTGGCGCTTAAGAGCGTAGACAACGTCGAGGGAGGTGACGGTCTTGCGCTTGGCGTGCTCAGTGTAGGTGACGGCGTCACGGATGACACCCTCGAGGAAGGTCTTGAGGACACCGCGGGTCTCCTCGTAGATCATGGCGGAGATACGCTTGACACCACCACGACGAGCGAGACGGCGGATAGCGGGCTTGGTGATACCCTGAATGTTGTCACGCAAGATCTTGCGGTGACGCTTGGCGCCACCCTTGCCGAGACCCTTGCCACCCTTACCACCTGAAGAGAGAAGACGCGTTAGAAAGACGCGTCAAATGAGATGAGACGGAGCGAGACGATGGAAACTTACGTCCAGACATGATGAAGGTTATTAAAAAGTGGTTGGTTTTGGGGAGAGAGAGTGGAGTTGACTTGAAGTCAAAGTTGTCGTAGAGTGATGGTTGGGGGGAAAAGTAGAGAAGGGGAATGGGGCATGGGATATTTGTATGAAAGGACGGATGATACGCGGGGAGTTGGAATCACACGCTAGTGGGTGGATCAACCAATGGGAATGCAGGATCCAAACAGACTGGCGTGATCTGCCGGATGCCCCAGGCCGAGATGCTTGCCTGCAGAGGTCACTCTGATCATGATTCCAGTTGATCCCTAACATACTGATCGAGATCAGAATCCCGATCAGAATGCATTCCTTTTGCCTGGCAAATACCATAGACCCTTCAGATCAGCCTCCCAACCTCCCTAGTAATGGAGATCAAAGGAAGGACCCGATGGCATTCTACAGGTCTGATCCTGGCTTCTGATTGGCCCATGTCGGGCCCCTCGCTTAGATACTTGGGTGGGCCAATCAGAAGGCCAGAACAAAAGACTCAGCAGTGCGCACCTTTTTCGTGATCCGCAAACTGGCTCTGTGATTCGCCGTCCCTATCTGTGTCAGATCACCACCCCTCAGACTCAGTACAAATACCTTCCCCCACCCGCCTCCTTCTTCCCTCCTCCATCCATCGACAACCTTCATCGACCAACTTCACTTTTCATCAAATTTTATTCAGATTCCATCGAATCTTATTCAAATAAGATGGCTCGTACCAAGCAGACTGCCCGTGAGTTCCTCCAACCTCGCTGTCGCTGTCGTCGTCACCGTCGCTTTCCTGAAGATGTAGTGGTTTCCCAAATCGGGTAACCTTCACATCGCTCAGATCACAGTGACGCGTGACGCGCTCCCCCCCCCCCTTTTTCACAACAACATCATACTAACTTCCTCTTAGGTAAGTCCACTGGTGGCAAGGCTCCCCGTAAGCAGCTCGCCTCCAAGGCCGCTCGCAAGGCCGCCCCCTCCACCGGAGGTGTCAAGAAGCCCCACCGCTACAAGCCCGGTATGTCAGCTCATGATTCATACATGTATCACTCAACATGGTTCCTAACAATCTTCATCAGGTACCGTCGCTCTCCGTGAGATCCGTCGCTACCAGAAGTCCACTGAGCTTCTGATCCGCAAGCTCCCCTTCCAGCGTCTGGTCCGTGAGATCGCCCAGGACTTCAAGTCCGACCTCCGCTTCCAGTCCTCTGCCATCGGTGCTCTCCAGGAGTCCGTTGAGGCCTACCTCGTCTCCCTGTTCGAGGACACCAACTTGTGCGCCATCCACGCCAAGCGTGTCACCATCCAGTCCAAGGACATCCAGCTGGCCCGCCGCCTCCGTGGCGAGCGCTCTTAGATGTCTTTCTAAGAGTGGTTGTTTTTCTTGACACTTCCGGGATGGCGATCAGGGGTTTCTGCTTTTTCTCATGACTATCGGCGATTAACATGATGGGTCTGCTTTCAAATATCAAATGGGTTTCGGAACCGGGTTGTTTCTGAATTTGCTTTTTCTCACCGCGTGATCAATGCTACTTGCCATTCCTCGCTGGGGCCCCGGTGAGATGGAAGTCATGGGCATGTACATTTAGTTCTTTTAATGGTGTCTTAGCGAGCACCAGCTCATGACATAGACGCTGAAATGCGATCTTCTATGATTCAACCCACTTCTTTCCTTGTAACTCCTAAACAGTAAACGTGTTGTGATCTGACCGCGTTGCGGTCGCTCAACGGACGTGTCGCGTGAGGTCGACGCGAAGGCATTCAATTGGGGCTACCCTTTCTCTCGCATGTCCCTTGTGGGATTTTCCAGCGGCCATCTCAGCGTCATAATCGCGCTAGTTGTGCCCTTTCTTTGTGTTGTACCTTGTATCTACAGCGAGCACCGAGAAATTGAAGCTATTCAGAGGTAGCGAAGAATCCTCCATATTCACTCCAATTCCACCCTTCCAGCTCTACACAAAGAACAGTAGGCTCTTTTCTGGACTATGATGCTACACAGGCTGTACATGCTTCATTGATCTCCACGTACTGATCAAGATCATTGCCCTCGCGACACCCGTATCGAGGGGTTCATCTCCATGCCTGCACCTCGCTGCCCCCGCGACCGCAACGGGAATGCATGCCCAGGCAACCGTCGTATCACGACCGCTCAATACCTATGCAGACGTCTCCGATGCCAGGATCAATCAAGACGATCAAGCATGCCTGAACGGGGTATCTGCCTCAGGCTCTTGGTCCCTGCAGCTGCAGGGACATAGGCTTTGGGTCTAGGCTCCAGACGTCATCGGCGAACGAGTACAAGGAGCTCGATGTTCTATCTCTGATCTTTTGTGATACAGTGGTCGGAAATGAATAAAAACTAGATAGATCGATTGCAGAGCTCAAGTAGATTATTTTAATATAGCTTCGAAGCGAATAACCCCCCAAATTGATCGAGATCAGTTCATCCTCAGTTCAAACCCTTTCCATGAACACCGCTCACCAAGTGGGGTTACCAGCTTGTGCACCCGCACCAGCCCCGTTGATGGCCTAAATGGCCTGAGGCAGACTTTGACTCGGGCCCTAAAGAAAAATTTGACCAGTGGTGGCTTGAGACTTGAAGGAATTTGCGGCCGGGGCTTTTTTGCCACGCGGCGTCATGGTTCGGTCGGCGACGCCGTAGGGCGGATTCGGGATGGTCCCTGATCTAGGACCCGGGTTTAGGATTAGGGGTAGTTTAGATCGGATTTAGGAGTTTATTTCAAAAGAAGTCTGTGGCCTCAATGTGGAGTCATGCATTTGTAAGACACTTGGGACTTGTGCAAGGAACTATCTTAGGGTCTATCTCAGAGCCAGGAAATGGTGGCGAGATGGATTTGGTGATTCAGAGTGTGGCCTGTTCTGTCTTGTGACTCCTGGGTAGTGGGACGTTGGCTGACTGACTTGGTTTCTTCCAGGTTTTTTGAAAGAGTGCCAGGCGCGTGATCTGGACTCTGAGTCACACGCTGCTTGGGGTTGACTGGGTACGCTTCTAAGGCTCGAAGATTAAAAATATGGTTCGATTTTGGACTTATTGACGCCTTGGAAATCTGGCGCCACTCTAAATTTGGTGTCGGTTCCTCGTACCCTCCTTGGATCCTTAGCCCAGATTTGACTGATTGATCTCACAAGTTTGTAAAGTTAATATTCTGTATACCGAGCCTTGATTGTGCGGGTCATGGTCAGTATAATATTAGAAAGATTAGCTCCTGATACCTTAGATGCCTTTGCCGCTGCGGCCACCTTCAGGCATAAGGTATATATCGAGCCTAAGGGCCTATCGTCGGCTCGAATACATCCCGAGATAAACCCGAACAGCCTGTGGGGTTGTTAGGCAGCAACAGAAAGCCTCCACTACCTAATACGAGATATGCATGAGGAGACTTATAGGGAGATATACCGGTGGAGACTAAGTTATGAAAAACGCTAACATCTTGTGCGCTGACAATGTATATCATGCATTCATTATACTGACATAAGATGGAGGGTGATTGATGACCAGCCATCCGAGAGAAAAAAAAACCCACTGGACGGCGCTAGAAAACAGTGTGTGATTGATAATCTTGCTGCAGTAAGCGGCCCAACCCCGGAGATTAGGAGCTGACCCCAAGTCCGGCAAACCGCACAATGCAACGGTTCGGAGACGGCTGTGGCCCTTGCACAGATCAGGGGAGCCCAGAGCCTACTGTAAGATTGCTCCGTCTTCGCCGTCTCGAGTTGATCGAAGATCAGTATCATTGTGTCAGGCTGGGATACATCCTACTTTCTCTCATACAGGCATTTGAATTCATAGCGAACTCTAGAAATTCAGGTCATTATTTTATCTGACGAGTCGATTCCTTGTGTATTTCGTGCATGTAGAAAGTCAATCTAATCAGGCGATAAGAGTTTCATAGAGCAAAATGCCAAGTCTTGGTTTCAGGATCGTGCCGACCACCCGGGTTGTGCAGCCATTTATGCATATTGTGCATAAAAGTACACTGACTCGTGCATGTCGCGTGGTTGTTTGCGTCATCGTTTGATAATTTTTGTTCTGTGATCAACTTGCCTATGGCAAATAAAACATCATTGCAAGCGAACGCATTTTGCAAAGAATATGTGTTAGAAGGGGTTCTCCGAGGCCCATCATGCTTCATTGTGTAGCGGATAAATAGTACTGAGTATAGTCTCGGGTTCAGGACGGCCCCACTGACCCAGTTTTCGAAAGCTCCAGACTTTTCTCCCCATGGATGGAATAGGGCAACGCTCCGGTTTTTCTTGTTTCTGGGACGCTTATTCGTAAGGATATGCATGATTTATGTATGCCCACTGGTCCTAATACCTATTCTCGGCCTACATCCGCACTTGGTCATCCCAGGTTCATAAGAGAAAAAAAAGCGCCACGAAACTGGGCAATCATCCAGATCGTATATGAAAAGGGGGCAATACCCTGGAACCGAGTTTTGTTGGATCTTCATCTTTATATTCGCCTCCATTATCATAATTACACCCGTTACCTCACCGGCCATCCACTCAGTATCCGAATCCGGCATATTTATTCCCCTCATCGGGTCTCTCCGCAAACAATTGTGAAAGGTCCACATACATAATCCACAGCGTTCTTCGCTCTTTCCTCCACTTTTGACACACCTCTGTCGCATTTTCGATCTCAAGTGTCGACTATACAATACAACCGTTTGCCCGTCATGGCGGCCGACGATCAGGAGTTCCATGCTTCTGAAAAGATCGAGCACACTGCCCCCACCAAGATTCCATACTTCCGTCTGGTCTTTGATCAGGGCGTCGTGACACAGGAAATTATCGACTACCCTTACCCCGGCTCCGGTACAGAAGACGACCCCTATGCTGTGACATGGATTCCCAACGACCCGCGCAACCCCATGAACTTCAGCGAGTTCAAGAAATGGTCCTTTACGATGCTTGTCGCTATTGCGACGCTGGCTGTGGCGCTGGTTTCCTCAGCCTATACTGGAGGTGTTGAAGAGATTATGGCGCAGTTCAGCATTGGAGAGGAACTGGCCACGCTCGGTGTCTCGCTCTTCGTCTTGGGTTTCGCTGTAAGTTTACCTGAGGCGCAGCAATATAGCTTTTAGCAGATTGACTAACATGATCCAGATCGGACCGCTGCTCTGGGCTCCTTTGAGTGAGTTGTTTGGCCGCCAGATCCTCTTCTTCACCACCTACGCCGCCCTTACTGCCTTCAATGCTGGTACCGCTGGTGCCCAGAATTCCTGGACCCTGATCATTCTTCGTTTCTTCGCCGGTTCCTTTGGATCTTCACCTCTCACCAATGCCGGAGGTGTCATCGCTGATATGTTCCACGCTAAGCAGCGAGGTGTTGCGATGAGTGTCTTTGCTGCTGCACCTTTCCTCGGTCCTGTCCTCGGTCCCATCATTGGTGGTTTCCTCGGTATGAACGCCGGCTGGAGATGGGTCATGGGCTTCCTGGCTGCTTTCTCGGGCGCTGTCTGGATTATCGGCACTTTGCTTATTCCGGAGACCTATGCGCCTGTGCTTCTGCGCAAGCGTGCCGAGAGGCTCTCTAAGCTCTCGGGCAAGGTCTACCGCAGCAAAATTGAGATTGACCAAGGTAAGGTTGCACTGAAGGATTCGTTCAAGATTGCGTTGTCTCGCCCGTGGGTTCTCCTGTTCCGCGAGCCCATTGTCTTCCTGTTGTCTTTGTACATGGCTATCGTGTATGGTACCCTCTATATGATGTTTGCCGCTTTCCCGATTGTCTACCAGCAAGGACGCGGCTGGAACCAGGGTGTTGGAGGTTTGGCTTTCCTGGGTATCATGGTCGGCATGCTAGCTGCTGTGATATACAGCCTTTGGGACAACAAGCGGTATATCAAGACTCAGGATAAGCATGGCGGATTCGCACCCCCAGAGGCCCGCCTCCCACCTACAATGATTGCTTCTATCTGCATTCCTGTCGGTCTGTTCTGGTTTGCGTGGACCAACTACCCCTCCATCCATTGGATCGTCAGTATCATTGCCGGTGCGCCGTTCGGATTTGGAATGGTGCTTGTCTTCCTCGGTATCATGAACTATCTCATCGACGCCTACACCATCTTCGCTGCCTCCGTTCTGGCCGCCAATTCTGTTCTGCGTTCCCTCTTCGGTGCCGCTTTCCCATTGTTCACCACCTACATGTTTAACAATCTGGGTATCCACTGGGCCTCCTCAATCCCCGCCTTCCTCGCTCTCGCCTGCGTGCCCTTCCCTTTCCTGTTCTACAAGTACGGTAACGCGATCCGTCAGCGCTGCAAGTTCGCCGCTCAGTCAGAGGCATTCATGCGCAAGATCCAGGAACAGGCCAAGGCCGGTCCCGAGGAGGAGGAGAAAGAGGAAGTCAAGTTCGATCGCACCGAGGCCCCTGTGCCAGAGGAATCGCTGTCGAGCGAGTCCGACTCCCATGTTGACGCTCTGCCGACTGAACGCATCCGCAGCCGTGCTTATTCGACTGCTTCTGCTTGCACTGCCGCAAGCACATTGCATCGTGCCCCCACCTACGAAGGCAACCCGTACGATGTTGATAGAGTCAACACTCGCGAGTCCTTCAAATAATTTATATCCCCGCCGCAGTACACGCGCCTTCGATAATATTAGTGCTTATTTCCTCACCACATACCCAAAAAACTACCCCTCGCAGCTTTGTTTTCTTTTCTTTTCTTTTTTTTTTGCATCGTGCGGTGCACCACTGCCCGCTCGCGTTTTGTTGATATTTATACCCTGCTCTCCCCGTGGGGATGATTTTATGTATTTACGGGCCTCATTGCATATAGATCTGGAGTCATCATTGGTTATGGCTCGAATAATGGAAATACTTGGATACAATTTATACTAGTAGATGACTCTGCGAAGCGGAGTTATACATAGTCGAATCACGGCACTCGCCTTGTCCGATTGCCGATATGCCGAGCTCCTTATGCGCTTCCTGTCCCCGATTGATTTTTAATCGGGCCTTAGTCACAAATCGGTCGTGACTGTTCTATACTCTCTTTCACTTTACCAGTTGTACCCCTTAGCAAACGACTCGTTTCGGAGACACAGTCCGGTTGTCGCTGTTTTCGTGCTTATCGCCACGATCGGAACAGATCCCCGATAACTCGGCCATTTTCGGTTGTGTTTGTTCTTTATTCTTTGTCGGCGCCACGACGATAGACGATAGACTATAGATGCGCCTATCTGGGTCTTGGATATGAGCCTCTTCCAGAAGGGACTCGGCGCCCAGGCGACTGCGTTTGCGACCAGACCGCGACCGATCACCCCTGGAGTCCGATCTCCGCTGCGGCGAGTGCGACAGCCACGGCACAATTCCTCGCACTCCAAACCCGAGCCACCCACAGAGGGGGAGATCATTGAGGGTGGATTACTGGTGAACAAGAATGCGCCTGCGAAATCGTCCCAGTCCACTTCTCCTTCCTCGTCCCCGTCACAATCGCCCTCAGCTACACCCTCGGCCCAACCTGTGAACACTGCTGCTGGTGCTGCTGGTGCAGCGACCTCACCTGCTGCAGCGACTGCTGTTACGAAGAGGGGATTGCGCGATGTTATCAGTGCGGGCCCGCTGGGACGGTTTGGGAGGTGGTACTCCCGCGTGCAGGAGCGTAAGCCTTATACAACGCAGTTGTACAGTTCGGTTATCATTTATCTATGCGGAGACTTGAGCGCACAGCTTTTCTTCCCCTCGGAGGCACCCCCACCGGCGAAGGGTGAGCAAGATGAGTCCAAGGACGAGGATGACAAGGAGGAGCGGCGTGGTGGATATGATCCATGGCGAACGGTACGACACTTAATTGTTGGAACGGGGTCTAGTATCCCGTCATATAACTGGTGAGTCAACCTTGAGGAGATCCAGTCTTGAAGCAGTCCATACCATAGCTATATTCGATGCAAAATGACTAACTTGAGACACTTAGGTTCATGTTCCTCCACAATCATTTCAACTACTCGTCCAAAATTCTCTCGGTCTTGACCAAGGTCATCGTGCAGCAGATATGCTTCACGCCGGTGTTTAACACATACTTCTTCAGCATGCATTCCCTTCTAGCCGGCGCATCTCTAGAGGAAACCTGGGAGCGCCTGAAGAAGGCTCTCCCCGTCAGTGTCACCAACAGCGTCAAGCTCTGGCCGGCCGTGACGGCTTTCAGCTTCATGTATGTGCCGGCGCAGTTCCGCAATGTATTCTCCGGAGTTATTGCAGTCGGTTGGCAGACCTACTTGAGTTGGTTGAACCAAAAGGCGGCCCGTGAGGTTCTTGCGGCTGAACTTGCGGCCGAGGAGGGTGCGTCTGTTGTATCGAGGCCAATGACTGGGGGTATGATTGCTGCAGCGGGCACTGCATGAGTTATAGAATTGTGATTTGATTCGGGCATTCTTGTATAGATTCTTTGTCTTGACACTAGCGGCGTTGGGTTGGGGCTGTTATTTCTCTCAAAGCGATGCACTTTGGCATATACCAAGCTTAGACGATTATTATAGATTTCATTTCTCTCGCTTTCAATTCAATGATAGATCTGTAGAGTGTATAGACAACGATGCGACCAATAGTGAGGCGGGAATTCCCAATGCAGTTACCTCATCTGTTCTCGCGATGACGCATTCCGCGTCTTCCTCAACGCGAATCCCTCAACTTCTCATACCATACAGGAAATGAGCCCCTTCCACCGTCGCAGGCATGTCCTGCCCACCGCAAGGGTCTCAGCCTGAGGATCCAGACTCCAGTGACTACGGATCTGACTTCACGCCCGACGTAGAGGACTTGCTGAACGAGCTGCTCTCGAAAGCCGTCGCGGAACACGCGACCGTCGCCACTCTTACTTCCACACCGAATCCTACCGTCCCCTTGATCGAGGACGCACTTGCAGTCTCTACACCTGACCCCACTGATATCGAACCTCCACAACCGGCTATCCTCGCGGCGCTCGTCGCGGACATTGAAGATGGCGTTGAGGATCCCCGCGGCGTCCGAGTGCCTAAAGTGCTGGGCTGGGAATCGTCTCGTTCGCCATGGAATCAGTCAAATCAGCGAACGTGGACTAGGTCCACGTCCAATGTTATGGCGGGGAGATCAAGTCAGGATGCAATCAACAGGAATAGTCCGTCTGGTATGAGTGTCCTCAAATTTCTCAGCTTGGGTCATGTGGTTGATGTGTCAGGCTAACATGGGGATATCCGAAGCGTTTAGTGGAGCATCCCAGTTCAAAGGAAGGTAGAGAACGAGAACGAGAGCGCATGGCAATGCGCGAGCGCGAATGGACACAACATGAGCAGGCGGATGCTACGGTAGATCCTCGATCACCTGTAGAACGCTTCCGACGACCGCCTCATAAGGCCTTTTCCGTGACGGATCTCGTCTCGCCTGCATGGTGTGAATTACAATATTGGTATACCTTGACCAAGCATGGCAGGAAGAGGAGGACTTCTGCTATGAAGAAGGGGAGTGTCGTGCACAAGACTCTTGAGGACGAGATATACACGACTGTTCCTGTGGACATTACTACCAGGGAGGATGCTTGGGCGCTGAGGATATGGAATGTGATCCAGGGATTGCGCATGCTACGTGAGTTTGGCGTCACCCGCGAGCTGGAGATTTGGGGCTTGGTTGATGGAGAGTTGGTCAATGGGGTTATTGATCAGCTGTCTTATGAATGCCCCGATTCAGAGCTTGAGGCTACAGCGTCTAGCCACTATTCAAAAGCGGCAACATCGCGGGCTGCCTTGCCGGAGTATCAGATGTCCCTATCTGACTTCTTGTTGTCTTCCTCACAGGGTGGAAAAAGACTCTCGGACCTAGGCCAAGAAGAGCCCATGGTAGACGCACCGGTTGAAGAAAACTCGCCGACCGTCTATAATTTGCCGAGAATCTATATGACCGACGTCAAGACTAAAGCGAGTGGCTCGGTTCCCACGGTTAAGAGCACGTCTTTCCGTCCCACTCTTCTCCAATTACAACTCTATTATCACATGCTTAATCGCCTTATCACGAGCGACGATGTTACGATGGACTTGCTTGCGGCACGCTATGATCTGGATCCAGAACGGCATTTTACTGAAGCTTTTATCTCTGAAGTCGGCGAACTGAATGACGAATTCTTCGACACAATGTCTTCCCAGGAATTTGACATTGATAGCCCACCTACCCCAGAAGATGCAAGAATGGTTTCTCAAGGCTCCGAGAGTGGCTCAAATCTTCCAAAATCTAGCCAGGGTTCAACTAGCATTCTTTCGACTCATGGCACTTTGTCCAGTCTATGGGGCTACATGAAAGACCAAATCCGCCTCACTTTTCTTCCATCGATCCCAACAACGGAACCTGTGGCCCCTTCTATCCCTTCACATACCCAGCCAGAATTACTCGCAGAATACCCCACACTCCTATCACCAGTTCTAACGGCTCGGTATCTGTCCTCGGCTCCCACTGCCGATCTCGAGCGTCGAGTTCTGGGCAGCAGGTCCTTCCTCTATGATCCTGCAACCATGACATCCTATATCGATGATCAGATGGAGTGGTGGCGTGGCTCGCGTGACCCTCGCGGCGTCAACATCATGGATGCATGGAAATGTCGCATCTGCGAGTTTCGTGACGAATGCTCCTGGCGCCAAGAACGGGAGTTGGACTACGCAAGACGCAACAGCAGACGAGCTTCTGCCTTTGCTGCCTGAGACGAACCACACCATGTAGCATTGGCAATGTTCAAACTCCCTGCTCTCATTCACATAGACACGTTAACTACTAGGGCAAGGCCGACCCGTTCATATTCTGCACCATAATTCATGTACAATATAAAAACATAGAAACAAGGCTATGCAACATCAAAGAGGATAACTCCGAACATCATCCTCCTTTTCAATAGCCAACCCACTCTCAACCTGCTCCTTATGCTTCTGATCCAAATACTCCAACAACACTTCCTCGTACTTCTCCTTCCCCTTATACCTAGAAACATCATCCCCCCAACTCCGAATTGCAGACGCCAACCGCCCAGGTACAAACGGCTCCTTCACAATGTCTGTAATCGGCTCGAAATACGTCCGAATCGTAAACACCACAGCCCCAGTTTTAGGCAACCGTCTCAAACTCTGCCTCTCAGATCGGAAAAAGTGATTTTCAATAGCCTTATTCTTCTCCGCCGTACTCCATGATACCAGCTCTGCGTCTTCAGGCCCGATACTGTGCGACCACGCTAGACTATCATCAACCTGAATGAAGTAATTGTTTCGTACAACGGGCTCTTCGGGAGTCAGTCTGCGGAAGAAGTTCATCATTCCCTTCTCCAGTTTCTCTCGGTACTGAGGCACGTCGCCGGATGTGTGGATTTCTGATAGTCGCATGCCAAATTTGTCGCTTAGACGCCAGAATCCGGCGAGGAGGATTGCGCCGGCAAGGAGGTAGTATTCGCCGTCGGCACGCTCGAACATCAGCGCGAGGTCGTCTTGGACTAGACGTGCTGCCATTGCCATTGGGTCTTCGGCAAGTGGGCGTTGGGTTATGTTGAAGGTTTCATTGGTCACCGTGTTGGCTATTCCCGTAGGGGTCTTTTGGAACATAGTTGGGTAGCGCTCGGGAAGGTATTCGCATCTGAGACGTGCTTTAGCTTTCTTTCGGTATACCGGGTCTCAGGGAGCTTTAGTCAGAGAGGTACTTACAGTTCCTCTAATAGCTCAATGGCTCCATTCATTGCTTCTGGCGCTGTACCGTAGCATTTATCGCCACGTTCTTCTAGACGCTTCTTCTTGTCGGCGTGGTATTTGAGATAGTGGTTGTCGAGCTCTGGATGAAGACATTAATTGGCATTCGATACTGCCGCTTATGAGAAAGCGTACCGATCCATTCGTTCCATTTCATGCTTCGGAGACCTAAAGTCACAAAGTATTTTCTGGTAAATGTTAGAGGTGGAATTCTAGACCAGGAGTTGATTGAGATTGACTAACGGGCCATATCTGAAAGGCCGATACGGGATCGGCTTGGAGGTGTGGACATCCCAGTCCGGGTATGGTGGTGCAGTTGGTCTCTTGAAGTCAGATGCAAGCCATGCTATTGATCATGTTAATGTAAGACGGTTATATGTAACGAGAATTTACTTACTGCCCGGCACTCTTGCGACTTTTCCTCTTGAAGCCGGCTTCTCTAGATCCGGCGTCGCAGCTCTAGTCGTCTGACCGGAAGCCATCCATCTCTGGGAAACACGAACAACGAGCCATGCAAAAATATTCAGAATGAGGAAGACGCCGACAACCTCTTTGGTCGGGGCTATAGAGAGGAGAGTTCCCCGGAGGGTCTCGGTCGTCATGATAATAGCTGTTACAGAGAAGGTGTTTTTGGACAAGGGAAGTATAGGTGGAGATGTTGCTTATTTCATGGATTCATGGATCCAGTCGCATACCTTGGGGCTTTCCGGTTAAAGCGAATCAAGAAGAGCAATATCCAGATAGTAGGATCAACGTATGATGGCAACGACTGACGATAACAATTCTTATCAGAGAAACAAGACCGATAACCACCGATTCTCCGTCGAGCTGCCCTTCTCGTTAGCCCGATGCGAGAGGGCCTCTTACTCCACCGAGAATGAGGCATAGTAGCCGTTTGGGTATCTGCGTCGCGGGGTCTCAAAAAGAGGGGGCCTCCCCATCGTCTAGATCAAGCGATTGGATCCGGGGCGGCATGTAACCAGACACTGTGAGCCTATGGAAGGCACTACTCACATATGGAAGGTATTACTGCCACCGAGAAACCAGAAGTTTGATTGGGTTATCTGCAGGGAGGGGTTGCTTATCATTCGGAGGGATTTCTTCTCCCGATCGGGTAACGCGAAACTATGGACTTGTTCCCCGGATTTCAGCCATAGAATGTGATGAATGAGTATATCGTTCATTTGTTACAGTCTTCACCTCAAACTATACTATCTAGACAATGGTGGCGTCGGCTCGCCGTTGCAGGAGGCAGTATTGTCCCCACTTCCGTTGGAACTGCGCGGGTATGAAAGGAAGGTTGGGAATCCAGATCAACCGACCCAGTAGTCCCGTTTCAGACGAATCGAGGAAGCTCTGACATGATACAGTCTCCCATTGGGACCCGTCGAGCACGTGATGAGGTTCCAAATCAGTCGCCGGGCGACTAGGAAAGTAGGTGTCCACCAGGAAAGAGCATTGTGAGATATCGGTCTGTTTGGTTGATTAGCACGGGAGAGAATGAAATGACAAGCTACACATACATATTTGCTGGGATCTTCAATGTTCAGGTCGTTCATGCCAGATGGAATCTGGGAGGCACCGTCTAGCCGAGCAAGATAGCTCGGCGCATCTGGGAACTCACCAGGGAGAAGACCTCGGAACTCGCTTCGGATAAACTTGGCGCGCATATCGTGCGGGAGGAAATATGAAGACGGGAAGCGATACCATTCCTTGCCAAAGCACACGGAAGTTCCTGTTTCAGCCACATTCACCTGCTGCAATGGCTCGAAGACTTTCAGTGGCGCGTTATATGCGGTCACCATTCCCAGAATACGCAGTATACCGGCATTGAAAGCCACCAGGATGACCGCCATGACTGCAGCGAGTTTCAATTTCGCCGGCACACGACCAATAAGTTCCTTGGGGTTACCAGAGCCGAGATAGCTCAAGATCGTGTGGAATGCGAGGGCCGCGTTGAGAGCCAGGAATGGATATACCGGGTACATGAACCGCTCCTCTTTGTGAGGCTGGATGGTGAAGATGGCAAACCACATGTAGAACGGCGCGACCAGCGTGATCGAACGGAACAGCGCCTGGAAAGACGTACCGGAAGAGCGGAACACACTTTGGATGAGAAGAAGGGGAGCGGACAGCATGGCCAACACAAACCAGACATTGAAGTTCAAGAGCAGGTTTCGGATATAGAAAGTCCATGGCTCTGTGCCAAAGATTTCAGGTCCTTTGTCTTCGCCACCAAACACATTATAGGCGACAATGTTCCAGGGCACCAGAGCAATCTTGTTGAAGAAAGCGTAGTCGACCGCAACTTCGAGGACCTAAAACTGTTTAAGCAGAGGTACGAACAATCAACGTGGTTACAAGTTTAGTCCTCACCATGATGGAAAGACACCTAACAGCACCATCGAACATCTTGACAAAGAGTGATCCAACGGACCCAGAGATCAAGCAAATGATGATCTCCTCGGCAAGAAGAGGCACGACGAGGGCACCAGCAAATGGCCAGCCAACAATTGCACCAAGGCCAAACCACATAATTCCCTGCGCCGTCCTCGGTCCACCTTTGAATTCCAAGAAAGCCGCCAGACCAAGCATCGATGTGTACATGGTGAAAGTGGACGGCAGGAAGGCTGTCGAGGCGTGGAACACACCCGGGCTGAACACCGTGATCATCAGGAAGATGAGGCCGATGCGGGGGTTGAGGGATCGACAGATCGCAGAATACAATCTGGTTTGGCAGGCAGCACAGAAGACAGCAAGGAAGAACCGAATCGTATAGAATTCAGCAGCCTTGGTATGAACCATCAATGATGCTAGCTTCCCCACTACGGCATGAAGCGACACGTAGAGCCAGCTTCGGATGGAGTATGTGGGCGAATACTCCCATGTTTGCAGGCCGTATCCATGATCCAGATAGTGTGCAGGTTCCCAGAAGTTGAACACCTCATCGCAGTCCTGGATAGGCGAGAAAAATGCTGCTAGGCCATTGGCGACAAGACAGAGGTAGAGGGCGACATTCAACGGGAGGTAGAAAGGAGGCGTAGGAGGGCTAAAGAGAAGTATTAGCTATAGACCAATTCAGTCCCAGCCCCAATCATCTCATAACATACCGAGCTTTTGTGCGAGGTTGGGCAGGCCCCGATGAGACTCTCTCAGGTTCGGCCATCGTTGCGTGTTGGAGATGTTGAAGAACACGATAACGCGATAACGCGATAACGAAAGCTTGTCCGGCGACCGCAACGGCAACTTTGGCAGATCCGAAAAAAAGTTCCCGCGCCGCTTTTTTCTCTGGCTTCTCTCTACCGCAACAGTCCTCGAAAATTTCTCTTGGTACTCCGTTGTCTACATAATGAGTGATCATCAGAACCCTTCGAACGGGTCTGTGGACTCTGGCGACGCCCCTCCATTCAAAAAACCCTGTATGATGGATACGCCACCCGTCGGCACTTCCGACGAGGCCAGTGATTTCTACAACACTCCCGTGGGGTCAGGGACTCCTGTGATGGAATCGAGCGACCTTGCGAATGCGACTACTACTGAAACTGTACCTACCTCCGAGCCTGCCCCGACGATCCCCGGACTCGGCCTTGTCAGTCCCGCCGTTCAGTCTACAAACGAGCCGATCATGCAGGAAACCAATGTTTGCGCTGCCAACCAGGGAGGCGATATACCCACAGAGCCCGAAACTGCACACGCAGAGGCTAAGGACTCTGCTGCTACTTCCGAAGCCATGGACGTCGATATGAAGGACGAGCAGACCAAAACCGAAAATGCGAATGAAACCTCCGCTGCGCCAGAGGATAACAAGAAACAAGAAGAGGGGGAGGAGGAGGAGGAGGGGGAACATCCAGAATGGGAGGAAGACTCTGACCCGTATGTTTCGTCCTCAGACAGCTCGTCCTCAGACTCCTCCGACAGCGACGATGAGGACTACCCCATTCTGAGCCCCGAAGAACAGGCCCGCATTCTGATGCTTGCCGAAGGCGGATCTGATGATGAAGGCGACGGCAAGGGCAAGAGCGGCGGTGTCATTCGTTCGACTAACGAGGTTGTGGAAGACGTCCTGCCAATTCCGGAAATCACGATTACTCCCGAGATGAAGGTTGTGCTGCTTGGAAGAATTCAAACTGTCATTGACAATGCGGTCCTAATTGAAGCCAATACCTCTGGAGAATACCAAGTCCTCGAGTCGGGCTCTTTGCTCTGCTCCGAGAACCGCGAAGTCATTGGCGTTGTGGCCGAGACTCTTGGCAGAGTCGAGAACCCTCTGTACACTGTCATGTACTCGACCGCCGAGGAAGTGCAGAAGCGAGGAATCGTCAGAGATATGTCTGTCTTCTACGTGGAGAGCGAGTCTACCTTCGTTTTCACACAGCCACTGAAGGGCCTGAAGGGAAGCGATGCCTCGAACTTCCACGATGAGGAGATTGCCGAAGACGAGATCGAGTTCTCTGATGATGAGGCCGAGGCTGATTACAAGAAGAGACTGAAGCAGAAGCGTCAGGAAAGAAAGGAAGCCAGAGGTGGCGGTGCCGGGAAATTCAAGAGAGAAACCCCCGGACCATCCAAACTGAGCCAAAGCGAACTCAACTATGACAATGAAGAAGGTGAGGATGGTTACACTCCTCTTGCTCGCCCTAAGAACCTGCACGAGATGATGGGTGCCCGTGAGGCGCCAATTGAAGGGAACGAGCGTGGACCTGCTTTCCGTAGCGAAAGAGGCCGTGGCCGAGGCAATGACCGTGGCCGTGGGGGTCGTGGAAGAGGCGGCAGAGGCCGCGGAGGCTCCCATGAAAGAGATCAGGACCGCCGCCCTCAACACCAGCAGAGTGGCAGCTCGAACTACGCTCAGCCAGCAGCAGCTCCTCAACATCAGCCTTCAGGATACAGCCAACCAGCCTACCCGCCTCAGCAGCCTCAGCAGCCTGTCTACGGAATGCCTCAGTCATTTGCGTACCCACAGTTTGCGCCGCAGCAGGGACAGTACCCCCAGGGTCAAGCCCCGACACAATTCCCCTTCCAGTTCCCCTTCCAGCCACAGGCCTTCTCTCAACAACCCGCCTTCCAGTCGGTCCCTCAGGGTGCGCACATAAACCCTCAATTCTTCCTTGCCGCATTGCAACAACAACAACAGCAGCAGCAGCAGCAGCAGTACCAACAGCAATACCAACAGCCTCAGCAAACTCCTGCTCAGGGCCAGGGGCAAAACCCGGCTATGAACTTTGATCAAGTCAAAGCCCAGCTGGATCTGCTGCGGAATTTGAGCAACCAGAACCAAAACCAGGGCCCACCTCCTTCTTAGGTTCTCGCGGTCGAGTTTCTTTTTTTTGTCGGCATGATCTCAATACCAGACATTTGCATAGGAGCGGGGTTAACGTGTTTTTCTACGGATTTTATATAAAAGTTATGGTTAGGCCTCTTATGAGATCTCAGGGTTCGTTATTGTATCAAGGATAGAGTACATATTGGTTGCATGAAATGTATGGATCGCACAAGGGCTATGAAGAAGAATGAGACGAGCTTTGGCTGATTTCTTGTAAAGCAAATCGGAATAGTAAGGCATAGTCTTAGAAGCATCGTGTAGTGTCGGGGTATATTAGAACTCGGCTGGCTTTGCGCTCTTAGCCATAGTCCAGAAATTCTCCATTTTGGATCGGGTGAGAGTCTCCCTAGCAGCCGAGTCGGATTCGCAGACTCTAGCTCCGAGCCATCTCCTGAAAGCGCGGTTCTTGGCCTGACCCTCCCAAAGAAGAGTGCATGTGTTGTGACTGAAGTCGCGTAGTTCGCCCTTGTCGTCTTCAGTAGACAGCCACAGGGGCTCGCCTTCGCTTTTCTCATTGGGAGCACCCGGCCCGGGATTCTCGGTCCAATCGATTCGGTTGAGCATCAGCTTGCGATAATTCTTGATGGAATGTTTACCGCCCTCAACAATCACCAAATTGAGCTTTGGATGAATGATGCAGATTCCTGTCAAAGCATTCTGCTCAGCGTTCTTGCTGATCTTGAAACGATTTCGGCCGCTCGCCAGATTGTCAATTCGGTAAACAGACGTGTGAATTCCGAGTTCGGCATCCTTCTCCTGCTGTCTTGCCAGCTTCTCGTGCCGTTGCTCGTTGGTCAACTTGCGTTCTTCGTTCATGATCTCGTGTGCCTCTTTGCGGTCCGCAATCTCCCTGGTCACACGAGCCTCCACGGCCGTAGGATCTTTGACGGCTTGTTCGCCCAGAACCCGCATCAGGTTAGACTTCTTGACCTTCGGGGGCGGCGCCGGCTCCAGACCCAGTCTGATCTTTGCTTGCTGCTCTTTCAGATCTGCCATGCGGCGCTGTCGACGAATCTTCGCCTGTTCCTTTGGTGTCAAAAACATGGGTTTTTGAACGGGCTGATGCTTTTCTTGCGGCGGATCGAGGAGCACAGGATGTTGGATATAGCGAGTAATGATAGTATCAGGGGTGTCGATCTTGAGGTTTGCCTGGTCATCAATGGCGGTATAAGAATCACCATTGACCAGACCCTCGTCCCACCATTCAATAGCCGGTGGAGCCGATACAAGATAGTTCTTTTCCACATCCATGTCCTCGTCAATACCGGCTTGGCGTGCTCGCTCAGCGATACGCTTCTTCATAGCCTCCAACTGCGCCTGACGGCGCAGGGCCGCTGCCTGCTGGATATATTTGCCCTTCTGGTTGAACACGAGCTCTCGGGTCTGACGAGGCTTTGCAACAGTAGCCTTCGGACCGAGACTAGGGTCGAAGTAGGGGTTGTTTTTGATTTCCTCGATTGATGGCCCGGACAAATCGAGTCGCTTTTTGTTGGACAAGTCCTTCCCTGGCTTGTATTGCTGGCGACCCCTCCCACTACGGAACTCTAGCGGAGCATCGGAAAGCAGCGCAGGATGAAGACCGACGTCGAGACCTCCGCGAGCCTTGGATAGACCATCATCATCAAAACCGGCGGGTTGCTGGGACGGAGGAGGAGCGGGCGGCCGTTGCGGTGGTGCATTGGCTCTTCCAGTAGCTGCCGCCACTCTGGCCTTCATTTGTTCCAGTCGAGACATCGCGGGACTCTGGGCCGGTGGTGTCGGGCTGGGACTCGCCTCTGTCGGAGGAACGGGGGGTTTCGCGCCGCCATGCGCGGCTTGCAAGCGTGCGCGCACAGCTTCTGCCTTGGCTCTGGCTTCAGCTACCATCTTTGCGATATCGACCTTCCCGGAGGCAACTCCTCCTTGAGCTGGCACTGGCGATCCATCGTTGGAACGGGTCCTTTTCTGAGAATTGCTGCCATCATCCTCGGGATGAGGCCGCTTCAGCATATTGCCCAAGCTGTCCGCCATGGAACTGTAATGAGGACTCAGTCCTCTAGATATGAGTGACTAACAGGACAAGGAAAGTCGTGCAGCTGCCAATGATTCTTTAGGTGATGATTCAACGTTAGTCGCGGATACCCAAAATGAGGTGAGCGGTGGAGTCGGGCAGAAAAAAAAAGTTGCTCGAATAGTTTCGCTCATCCGCAACCCGCAACGTTGGAGACTTTTTACAGAAGTCGACTTCGCACCGCCAGCGTTTTCTGTCGCTCCCGGAGCTGCAGGACACAATGGCGACCTTCACCCGCCCAGTCCCCTCGAGTGTTGCCGGGGTGGATTTCACCGTTTACTCCGATGCAGAGATCAAAAAGCTATCAGTGAAAAGAATTCACAATACTCCGACTCTGGACTCTTTTAACAACCCAGTCCCTGGTGGTCTCCAGGACCCTGCTATGGGCGCATGGGGCGACCATATGTAAGTTCTTAGCTTTATGAAGACTTTTTTTCTCGTGCAATCATCTGACAACGATTCGTGATGATCAGTTGCACTACTTGTCGACAGAACTCTTGGTCGTGTACCGGCCACGCCGGCCACATTGAGCTTCCTGTGCCCGTCTACAACGTCACATTTTTCGATCACATCTACCGTCTGCTTCGCGCACAGTGTGTTTATTGCCACCGTCTTCAGATGTCCCGCGCAGATGTCAACCTCTACACCTGCAAGCTGCGCCTTTTGCAGTATGGTTTGACCGAAGAAGTCGCCGAAGTTGAACTCCTTGGATCTAAAAAGGCCGCCAAGTCTGGTCCTAAGAAGGGTAAAACAGACGACTCAGACGATGAGGAGGATGACGACGAGACCATTATGGAAAAGCGCATTGCCTATGTCAACCGCAGCATCTCAGAAGCCAAGAAAGACGGCCGACTGGAGGGCTTTATGACCGGTGCAAAGAACCCCATTGCCGCAGAGCAAAGACGAGAACTGGTCAAGACTTTCCTCAAAGATATCAACGGCAACCGGAAATGCTACAACTGCAGCGGGTATGTTCCCGAATAACTCAAAGCTTTTGCGATTTTCAGTCTTTAATTTGGAATTTGGTACAGAATTACTCCTGCCTATCGAAAGGACCGTTACAACAAGATTTTCCGGAAGGCTCTGCCGGAAAAGTCCAAGCTCGCCATGCTCACCGGCGGCTTCCAAGCCCCCAACACCTTGATCATGCTCGACCAGGAGAAGAAGCACAAGCCCGAAGTAAACGGAACCCGAGCTGGAAGTGTTGTGTCCGAGGTTCACGGCGCCGAGGAAGAGATTCTCCGTGGGGCTGCTGTCACAAAGCAGACAGCGCAAGCTGCGTCCGGCCAGGAATTCATGACTTCCTCGGAGGTCTACAGTGCTTTGAGACTTCTTTTCGAGAAGGATGGCGAGGTTCTGCAACTCGTTTACAACTCTCGGCCCGCACCGAAGGGGTCGAAGATCGTGTCTGCGGACATGTTCTTCATCAAGAACCTTTTGGTACCACCGAATAAATACCGCCCCGCTGTTCAGCAAGGCCCTGGCGATGTCATGGAGGCACAGCAAAACACTCCCTTCACCAACATTCTAAAGCAATGCGATCTCATCAATCAGATCAGCAAGGAGATTCAGAATGAAGAAGAGAAGGCCCTGTCTCGTGCGCGCACTTACAGTGATCTTCTTCAGGCCATCATTCAGCTCCAGGATCATGTCAACGGATTGATTGATCGCGAGCGAACTGCTGTGACCGGTGCGGCCATCGCAAACCTGCCCAATGGTATTAAGCAACTTCTGGAAAAGAAGGAGGGTTTGTTCCGAAAGAACATGATGGGTAAGCGTGTCAACTTCGCTGCCCGTAGTGTTATTTCGCCCGACCCGAACCTTGAGACAAATGAGATTGGTGTGCCGCTTGTCTTCGCGAAGAAGTTGACATTCCCTGAGCCTGTGACAAACCATAACTTCTGGGAGTTGAAGGAAGCCGTTATCAACGGACCTGATAAGTACCCAGGTGCTGCCGCGATCGAGTATGAGACTGGCCAAGTTGTCAACCTGAAGTTTAAAAGTCTGGATGAGCGCACAGCCCTTGCAAACCAATTGCTTGCGCCCTCAAACTGGCGCATGAAGGGCTCGCGCAACAAGAAAGTCTACCGCCACCTTACCACCGGCGATTACGTCTTGATGAACCGTCAGCCCACCCTCCACAAGCCTTCTATCATGGGTCACAAGGCTCGTGTGCTCCCCAACGAGAGAACTATTCGCATGCACTACGCCAACTGTAATACTTACAACGCCGATTTCGATGGTGACGAGATGAACATGCATTTCCCTCAAAATGAGCTCGCTCAAGCTGAGGCACGTATGCTAGCAGATGCTGACCACCAATACTTGGTCGCCACTTCTGGCAAGCCTTTGAGAGGTCTTATCCAGGATCACATTTCCATGGGTACTTGGTTTACCTGCCGTGATTCGTTCTTCGACGAGGAGGACTACCACCAGCTTCTTTACAATTGCTTGAGGCCCGAGAACTCGCACATTGTCTCAGATCGCATCGAACTGGTGGAGCCTGCTTTCATCAAGCCCAAGTATCTCTGGACTGGCAAGCAGATCATTACGACAATTCTCAAGAACATCAAGCCCGAGGAACATGCCGGACTCACCCTGAAGGGCAAGTCTTCTACCCCTGGTAACCGATGGGGAGACAACAATGAAGAGGGTGACGTTATCTTCAAGGATGGAGAGTACTTGTGCGGTATTCTCGACAAAAAGCAACTTGGTCCGTCTGCTGGGGGTCTCATTGATGCCGTGCACGAGATCTACGGCCATACCATTGCTGGAAAGCTGATGAGTATCCTTGGCCGACTTCTCACCCGCTTCTTGAACATGCGGGCTTTTACTTGTGGTATTGATGATCTTCGTTTGACCAAGGAGGGTGATCGCATTCGAAAGGAGAAGTTGAGCACTGCCTCTGCCATGGGTCGTGAGGTTGCTCTGAAGTACGTCACTCTGGATCAGACTTCCGTGCCTGACCAGGATGCCGAGCTGAAGCGCCGATTGGAAGACGTGCTTCGCGATGATGATAAGCAGAGCGGTTTGGATAGCGTTTCTAACGCCAGATCTGCCAAGCTGTCTTCTGATATCACCAGTTCTTGTCTCCCTGCTGGTCTTGCCAAGCCTTTCCCCTGGAACCAGATGCAGTCTATGACTATTTCTGGTGCCAAGGGTTCCGGTGTTAATGCCAACTTGATTTCCTGCAACCTGGGTCAACAGGTCTTGGAAGGTCGTCGCGTGCCGGTCATGATCAGTGGTAAAACACTGCCATCGTTCCGGGCCTACGAAACGCACCCTATTGCTGGCGGTTATGTCTCTGGCCGTTTCTTGACTGGTATCAAACCCCAGGAGTATTACTTCCACGCCATGGCCGGTCGTGAAGGTCTGATTGATACCGCCGTCAAGACCTCCCGTTCAGGTTATTTGCAACGTTGTTTGATTAAGGGTATGGAGGGCTTGAGAGCCGAGTATGATTCCTCTGTTCGCGAGTCATCCGATGGTTCGATTGTCCAGTTCTTGTACGGAGAGGACGGTCTCGATATTACTAAGCAGGTTCATCTTAAGGACTTCGCTTTCCTGGCTGAGAACCATATCTCCGTCTCGAAGCAAGTTTCGTCCGAGCTGTACCACAAATTGGCCAAGGAGGAGGTTTCGGAATGGCACAAGGACGCAATGAAGCAGGTCCGCAAGACCGGAAATCTTGATTGCAAAGATCCCGTTCTGGCTCGCTATCCCCCCGGAGGCAACTTGGGCAGTACATCTGAGGCATTCGCCCAGGATCTGAAGAAGGTACGCATGATATTTTTGTCACTTGTGGAATCTAATGCTAACAATTACATTTTCTATAGTATTGGGAGACCAACCCCGATGGCTTGCTCAAGGACAAGAAGAAGAATATCGAGGGTGTGGTCACCAGGAAGACTTTCGATGCTTTGATGAACATGAAGTACATGAAATCTATCATCGATCCTGGCGAGGCCGTCGGTATTATGGCCGGTCAATCTGTTGGAGAGCCTTCCACGCAAATGACATTGAACACCTTCCATTTGGCTGGTCACTCCGCAAAGAACGTGACTCTGGGTATTCCCCGACTCCGTGAAATTGTCATGACTGCTAGTGCCACCATCATGACGCCAACAATGACTCTCCTTTTGAACGAGGGAATCCCTAACGCTGATGCCGAGCGTTTTGCCAAGGCTATCAGCAAGCTCACTGTTGCTGAGATTGTTGATAAGGTGCAAGTCAGCGAGCGCATTGGCGCTGGCCTTGGCCACTCCAAGGCCAAGATCTACGATATCGACATTTCCTTCTTCCCCGTCGACGAGTACTGCAAGGCGTATGCCATTGAAACCAAGGATGTGCAGAACGCCCTGCAAAACAAGTTCATTGCTCGCCTGGTGAAGCACACCAGGACCGAACTGAAGAAGCGCAATGACGATAAGACCGGCAAGAAGGCTTCCACTTCTCAGCCCGAGATTGGTGTCTCTGTTGGCAAAGTTATCGACGGCCCAAGTGGCCCTGACCGCGAGGCTGAGCTTGCTGACGATGACAACGAGGATGATGAGGACGACGCCAAGCGCGCCCGCGGGGGTCAGAACCGGAGCAATCAGGTGTCTTACGAAGGTCCCGATGACGACGAACAAGACATCATTCACCGTCAAGACACGCCTGATGAGGATGACGACGAGCCTGAGAACGTTCAAGCCAGCCGTAATGTGGACATGGACGATGACTCGGACTCGGACTCCGACGACGAAAGCGCCACGAAGAGCAAGAATATCGAGGACGATGTCAAGAGCAAGTTCGAGGAGATCACCAAGTTCAAGTTCGACCCCAAGAAGGGTACTTCCTGCAACGTCCAGTTGCAGTATGACATCGAGACCCCCAAGCTGCTGCTCCTTCCTATCGTTGAGAAGGCTGTTCGCGAAGCCGTGATTCAGTCCGTTCAAAAGATTGGCAACTGTGTCTACGTTGAGGCCGACCCGCTGAAGGAAGAGCCTGCCTGCGTCATGACCGATGGTGTCAACTTGATGGCCATGCGTGACTACCAGGACATCATCAAGCCGCACTCTCTGTACACCAACTCGGTTCATGATATGCTCAATCTCTACGGTGTTGAAGCCGCGCGCGCCACCATCGTCCGCGAAATGGATGCCGTTTTCAAGGGTCACTCTATCTCCGTCGACAACCGTCATTTGAACCTGATTGGTGATGTGATGACTCAGTCTGGTGGCTTTAAGGCCTTCAGCCGTAACGGTCTGGTCAAGGATTCCACCTCGCCATTTGCTCGGATGTCTTTCGAGACCACTGTTGGCGCTCTCAAGGACGCTGTTCTCGAGAGAGATTCCGATAACCTCCAAGGCCCGAGTAGCAGAATCGTTGTCGGTCGTTCCGGTACCGTTGGAACCGGTGCATTTGACGTTCTTGCTCCTGTAGCATAGTCGGTTTCTTGTTGGAGTTGTTTCGCATTTTTTTTGTGCTCTATCACCTGTATATTTTCCTGCGATTGTTTGTATCCTGAGATCTTGTTCCATTTTGCCATCTTGACGTGTCGATGATCTGGAGTTCTTGTTCAGCGGAACACAAAAGTGCCTGTCCCTGTTCATATCAGCATATCTTCTAGTAAAATAGAGTTCTATTACTATTCACTTCATCGAGCTCATATTTCTTCAAGCTTGTAGGGTTATATGACCGTCCTATGGGGCCAGGTTCTTTATAATACAAATGAGATGTTTTGAGTAAGATTTATGGATTAAAATTTTTGGTCCGGTATAATTAACACCTCTCCATGCTATGTTGTTTCCGTATTTCCATGCCTTTTGCCCAAACGCCCCTTTTCCTTGCCAGTCCACCGCGGCGCCGGTATATACCCTAGAAAAAAAATGAACATGAAAAGAAGGGCGGTTTACTACGCGTCGAGCATCATCATGTCCTGATCAATGTCGTCGTCATATTCATCATCAACGGCTTCGAATGCCGACGAAGTGACAGCATCCATTTTGTGCCCATTGGTGTGTTCTTGTCTCATCATCCGATCTTCTTCGATTTTGCGTTTTGCCTCGTGACGTTCAATGTCGGCCAAGCTCCAGGTGGAAATACCTTCCTGGTCCTTGGACTTAAAAGGCTGAGCCATGGTGCGTAAGAAGTTCTTCGCATTCGAGACAGCCATGTCTGTGCTGAGATTTGTTTCGCTGTCCAACATTGCCTGATTGATCCACTTCGGCAATTGAGGTCTCTTTCTTTCGAATCGACGGTCTGCCAACACCATGACTCCGTAATCGTCTTTGCCTCGAAGCACGCGACCCAGGCATTGTGCCGCGTGTCGCATTGCGTCGAAAGACAAGAAATCGTTCTCTCGGATGCGATAGTTCTCTCGAAGGAACTCAAGGCGGGCCTTCAGAATGCGGGATTCTGTGTACTGGAATGGCACGCCAATGCACAAGACTGCACGGCCATAGTGATGGTCGAAATCGATCCCCTCGGACACCTTTCCCCGGGCGACACAAAAGAGAATCGCTCCACGTCCATTGCAGCAGGCGGTCCGGTAGGTTTCCAGGGCGAGTGAGGATTCCTGAGCATCAGGGGTTTCCACAAGAATCAATTTGTAGTTCCAGATTTGATCCAAAATGCCCATACCCTGCCACATACTAATGATGGACTCCATGTACAGGTAGGAAGGGAAGAAAACGACAACGCCATCAGGAGTGACGCGTGAAAACTCGGTGACAAGTGTTCCGTAGTTTCGCACCACACCAGGATCGTTACGGATGCCGAAGGAGGACGACACCTGAGCCTGATCAGAGCCTCTGGTAACGATCATCGGCAGGAATGACCGTCTTGCCAAGGTCATACTGTACGACTCCTGCATGACAGCCGTGAACCCGAGCATCTTCGGGTACATCTCCAATGGAGACAAAGTTCCCGAAGTGATAATAACGGAGCTAAAGCGGTCGAAAACAGGCTTAATGGCAATGGCAGCATCTAAGCATGTAAAATGTAAGATTGGATTCGGCACTGTTGCCGCTTCGGATTCGAATGGCTCGAGGATGAGAACGAAACCCTTTTCATAAGTTGCGACGAGTGTTGCGAAAGTGGCAATTTCTTGAAGCGGCTGATAATCCTCGATATTTATCAACTCGAGAGTTCGCACGAGTGATGTTAGGCGTTCTGCACAGAAGCGCAAGGGTTTTCGTTCGATGTAAGTGAGATCCTTCAAATGTGTCAAGAAGGAGGGCGGTGTTTCCGAGATAGTATGCGTCACTTTCATCCGAGTCTTCAAGTATTCAATGAAACGCTTTAAGAAGGAGATAAAGTGCTCCGCCCGGCGGATGTTTCCTGGAACCGCTTCCTTGAGCAGGTCATCTGGTAGCACCGGGTTCGAGATGAACTGATCCTCTTCGCGAGCTTGTTCTGCCTGCTGCAGCCCTTCCACGAGCTTCGAATATTCGTTTTGCAGTTTTTCGGCATCCGTGCTCTTCATATCTTCAATTTTGCGTTCTAGGTTGGATGCGCCTCGAGTAGCTCTGCGGAGAACATCCTCGCTGATGTCGATACTAAGCGACTCGATGCAGACGTTGTCAATATTGTGCGCCTCATCGAATACCACGATACAGTCCTTTGAGAGTTCTCGAGATACTCGTTCGGCGATTTTCGGATCGAGAAGGTAGTGGTAGGAGTAGATGATGATGTTACAGTAAGGCATCTAGGCGATTGCGTTAGTACCGAAACAGAGCCGTTTGTCATGCCAGCAGATACCATACCATCCGACGGACAGAGAAATAAGGACACTGCTTATGTTCCTCTCCATATCGTAATATACCGTCGAGAGTAAAGACGCCCGGGGGGACGAGATTATGCGGTTCGAGAAGGTCAAGATTCTGATGTTTGTTAGAATACTTCAACGGTCACGGAAACGGCAATACAAACGTCATGGTAAACGCAAAGGTCAACGTCTTCCCCGCGCTCCTTCTTCTCCTTCACAAAGCCGGCTGTCAAGCTTCTGCATCTCGCGTCGACTACAGTACCACTCTTCTCTCGTTTCACGGAAGGGTGTAGACACAAGTTCTTTCGACTGGTCAGTCCGAGGCCGCGAAACTCTTCTTCATGTCCAAGTTCAGTTGCGCGGTGCTTCATCAACGCCTTCAACTCCGCCAACGCCTTTTCGATCTCGGACATCGTTCGCGAGCAGTAAATGAGCTTCCTGTGCTCCGGATAGTGTTGTTGGTAGGCGACGATCAGCGAGAGAAGAGAAACCGTCTTGCCTGTTCCAGAGGGCATCTCCAGAACGCAGTGACCCCCGACATCGAGGGTCTTCTTGAGATCGCACATGTAGGCATATTGCTCGGGGTAGATGCGCGGGTACGGGAACAGCACCGGAAGATCACTGAGAAGACGCAGAGGTTAGTTGGGAGCTCAATAATAGGTGCGCGCAAAAGGATGGGGCCGTACTCGATGAAGAACTTCATGGTGGCTGATGTCCCCGAAGAAGCAGAGCGAAGAAAAGACAGAGACGAGCTCCGATTTGATCATTGCTGTCCCAAAGGGGAAAATACATGAGTCATGTGATTTCTCTATCGGGTGTCCGCCCGCCTTGATATCACTTTCTCTCTTTGTCAGTTCTCAACATTCACTGTGACGAGAGGTATAATCAGATCACCGAGGGATTGCTGCATACTTGTACACCCTGTCCAAGATCAATTTCTCTCTCCGGAGTTGGGCTGGTCGAATTTCGAGGCTCCCCCGCTATTCACAGTGACCTCATACCCCCCATGAGCAAAAAGTTCAAGTCGCAGGCCTCCAGCAGTCGTGCTGCTGCCAGCGCCTTTGGATCTTTTGGTGGGTTCTCCAGTGCATTTGGTAGTGATGGCCGAGAGCCGTCTGCCCTCACATACATTGCGGAACCGCCGGATCTCTCTCGCATTTCGGACCAGCATTTGGTGATCGCATTCAAAAACCTGTCGAAGAAAGATGATATCACACGAACAAAGGCTCTGGAAGAACTCAAGGAGCATATTGCTTCCGTGGAAAAGAACAACGGGACTCTGGATGATGGCTTTTTAGAGGCATGGGTATGTGCCTCCTCATCTATAGCGGCAGCGGAAATTAAAGCTCATATTTGCAGGTGAAAATATATCCTCGAGCTTCAATTGACCTCTCTCGACGGGTCAGACAATTGGCTCATCTTATTCAAGGCTCAATTGCCAGTCTTGTTGGCAAACGAGTTGCGCCTTATCTACCAAAGGTTGTGGGAGCGTGGATCGCAGGACTCTACGACAATGATCGACCAGTCCACCGCTCCGCGTTGGAGTCTTTTACTAAAGTGTTCTCGACCGAAAACAAGAGAAGCAATGTGTGGAAGGTGTTCCAAGGCTTTATATTAGATTTCGTGGACGATGTCCTTCTTCACCAGACGGTCTTGACATTGAGTGATGAACGGACTGTGAAAAGGGATGATGCCGAGGCAAAATATGCGCGTGTCGTGGGAGCTGCGCTTATGCTCTTCAATCGCATCTTAGGTATCTCCAGCTATCTTGTCCAGCGATGCGACTAAATAACTGACAATATTGTCCAGGCAATTCCGCAGATGAGGAATTACAGAAAAACCTTCCCGAGATAGAGAACCTCCTGGCTAGCAAATCTCTTTGGGCTTTCTGCAGCCATGAGGATCCGTTTGTCCGCCGATCTGCATATATTCTGCTGCGATCAGCTGTGTCCCGAGAGCCTGCTTGGATAGACTGGAAGGCTGTTAGTTCTGCTGTCATCGGAAAATCACTTTCCATTCCCCAACTGGGCTCAGCCTCTGAATTGTCTGAAACCCTGCTGCTTTTGACCTCATCAAGACCCTCCGTGTGGACAGACGATTACTCCGGCAAGACTTCTGCATCCAAGAGACTTCGACAATACATCCAAAAAGGCTCCCAAGGAGGCCATGCAAATTTCTGGTCAAACCTTGATCAGTTGCTCCGAATTTTGCCCCAAGAGGTGCTCGCCGGAGCTGACAAATCATCTACTGCTGAGAAATTTACTTTTGGCAGTGCAGTGACCATCACAGAAGCCCTCCAGGAAGGCCTCAACTCTAGGGAAGAGCCTCGTCAAAATCTCACTGTTGGATGGAAATCTTACATTGAGATTGGGACCTGGCTTGTATCTCTTGTGCCCCAGGAGCAGAGAGCAGAGTTTATCCAGAACAGGCTTTCCCCATTGGTTGTACAGTATGTGCGCCCTGAGTCTAATCAGGCCCAGTGGTCACTTCCTCTCCAATCAGGCGAAGGTATTAGTGCTGATTGTCTTGCCCTTTTATCCTCCCACGAGCACACCGAGGAGTTACAATCCATGTGGACAAAGCTTTCGGACGAGCTACTCGAAACTGTGAAGTTATCATCACCAGAACAATCTAAGGACTTCCAGTTATCTCAGGACGCGATCTGCGTGCAATCAAAGCGTCTCTTTGCTTTGGAACCTGCCCTTCTCTCGCGGGTTGCAGAAACCAAGAATGAGGCACAGGTGCAGGCGATCTTCCAGAAATCAAACTTGTCCCTTCTGGAGGGTTGCTTGCAGGTCCTACGTTCGCGCAATGGCAAACCCTATGGCGCTGCTGGAGTTGTACAGGAATGCGTTCGCAGCGTGCCCTCTGTTGCCCAAAGCTGCGAAGAGCTTGCTAAATTCGTTGAAAAGGATGCGCCGGAACTCCTGTTTTCGCCCTCAGCAGACCGCCTCATTGCAATTATGCTGGCATGCCGAGAGTGGGATGGGTTCGCTGCCAGCTTTGAAAACGTCGTCGAGCGGGCTATGGAGCTGGAGCCAGAGCATTCGAATACTGAGGTTCTCCAAAGTTTGCTCTCTGCGCTCAACTTCAATGAGATTGGGGATAAAGCTAAACTTACTTCCGTCGTCATGCGGGCTTTGAATGAAGCTTGTAAGGGTAGTCAATCTCACTGGCCGATTATCACTGCTGTTCTTCAAAACCAGACATCTCGAGGTGAATTGATGGATGGTATCTTCCTGTCGATCATTGATTCGCTGTCCCTGGATGAAACAGTGTTCAATGCCTTGGATGGGCTTTCTCACCTTGGAAAGACGGTACCTTCGGCCGTGCGTGAATTCCAAAGTGGAGCACACGGCTCTAAATTGACTGGGAAACTGTTATTCCTCACCGAGTCTCCCTCTGAGGAAGTGGCGCAGATGGCCGAGTCTATCATGAAGACATTCAAGGAGACTGTCGTTGGCGATACCAGCAATAAGTCGAAGATTGAGATCCTCCACCATGGACTGACCCATGCAAACGAGGAGTCATTATCGTATGTGATATCATACCTCCCGTGATCAAATTTTGTACTGACGACTTGCTAGAATCGAGTCTCTGATTGCCATTGCGGAGGAGCTGCTGCAAGGCCTTGAGTCGCACGAGGCTGCGTACAGCTTGAAGGATGTTTTGCCATCTCACCATGCATGGGAGGATGTGCTAGAACCCTTCCTTCAACTACCACCCCGGCCCTCGACAGCCATCACAAGTCCGCTGGGTGGTGCAGTCAGTTTGGTCCAACGCGATCTCTCCGATTCCTTCAAGGCCCTGTTGCTTGCTATCCCCCGAGACTCGGCACATTGCTCAGCTGCATTCCGTTTGGCAAGTTTCACGATTAGAATTATGTCCTCCGATGTTACCAAGAAACTGGACCAGGAGAGCCTTGAAACACTATTCTACTTCGTCCCCCTAGCCGTTCAATTAATTGATGATGACCTCAGTATTGAGAGCTCCAATGGAATTACAGGCCTAGAGCTAGCAGACCAACGTGAGGAATACCTGGAGGTTGTCTTCAAAGGGCGTCAGTTGGTCAGCGATTGGATTCGCACAAAGGAGTCAGTGGCTTCTTCAGACTTGACTGTTTCTTCTCTTCTGGTTTCCTTTTGGGAAAGCAAACTAGAGGCACTTAGCATGACCGCCTCCATCGATTATAGGATTGGAGAGGCATTTGTCAAGATCATGGCATCCGCAGATTCACTGGACAAGTCCAAGTCTGTTGATGACGTTGCCAAAATTTGCAGAGAGGCACGTACTGCCAACAGCATCCGCTCGGCGTCGTGGTTTGCTATCCTGCGAAGCTCGATACTATCCAACCCCGTTGGAAACCGAATCTGCAACGAGCTGATTGCTGATTCGACTGGGCTTAAGCCCCAAGATCCTTCCCCGAGTGGTATGTGTCCAAGGACAATCTACTTACGTCCATTTACTAACAATCCCTAGGATTGCGAAAGCTTGCACTTCTCAACATTTTGCTGTCTGGAGAAGAAGATGTCATCTCGACCATTCCAGCGCAGCGAGTGGTTTTCCTTGTCAAGCATCTGTTGGAATGCCTTCAGTCTGGCATCGAATCCTTCGGATTAAAGGCTGAAATTGTTAAGACACTAACATTTGTTATCCCTGGTATCGCTGAGCTCTTTGGATCCCATTGGGCAGATAGCATGGAGGTCTTGAGCACGATCTTGGAGGAGACCAATGGAAGCGAAGATGGGCTTCCACTGCTCGTGTCCTCTTTCAGACTTTTTGCTCGTCTTAAGTCCATGGCCGAGGGTGACGATAGCAACGATGATCTTCAGGATGCTTGGTCTGAGCAAAAGACTGGGTTATTCAACAAGCTGGCTTCCACCATTGGCAAGTTCGGTAAGAGTTTTAATCCAATTCTGAAGCTTTGCCATAAGAATTCTAACGCGGACCAGACTCATCAACCACGTTCCATCAACCTCGGGATGTCGCTGTTGACATTTTGCAACGCCTGATCAATGTTATTCCCATTGAGAAGCTTGAGGAATTCAGCGGAGTATTTGGTCTCTTGACGGCGCACAGCCGCGCTGTCCAACGCACCGCATACACTCTTCTTCATCGATATATCCCCCAGGTCCAAGAACAGGTATCCTTTGACGTGGCCCTATCCAAGACCGCAGTTAGTCTACCCGATGAACTTGTGTCTCTCCTACTTGAGACACCAACAATGAAGGGAGTATCGATGTCTTGGGGAGATGATAAGATGTGGACAAGTATGAGATCGTATCTCTTGAGCTGGAAGATAGTCTTTGATCACTTCTCCAATGCGGTATGCTATTCATTTCTCTCCAGGCGCTTGTTGGACCTCAAGCTAATATTTTTACTAGTCCCTGCCCGTCCAAGAGTACTACACAGCTAGTATCAAGGAGAATGACATTCTGATTCCGCTTCTGGAATTTACTTTTGACTTCCTTCAAAAGTCGCATGGGAAGATCGCAGACGCATCCAAGCTTGATGTGCTGTCCTTTGAGCCTGATCAGTCTGAAACCGCGGAAAAGGAAACCGAATGGCTTCTGATTCATTTGTACTACCTTTGCTTGAGACATTTGGCCAACATGACCAAGAATTGGTGGATCGACACCAAGAAACGGATCAAGGGACCGGTGGAAGCCTGGACCGAGAAATATGTGAGTGAAACCCTAGCCTTGGATAATCTTCATAACCAACACCATTTCCAGATCTCGCCCCTTGTGATCGGCGACTCTCTTCACGGTGTCACTGAGTGGGTTTCCACCCAAGATCCTGACGAGGAACGGGCTTTGAGCGTAAGAATTGCGCCCAAGACAGCTGAAATCATCGCCAGCATCCCCGTGGATGAGGAGTCACCGCCAGTCTCCATTTCAATCTCCCTCCCATCCGCGTACCCGCTTCACCCCGCCATTGTCGTCGGCCGCAGTCGAGTGCTTGTAGATGAGAAAAAGTGGAAGAGCTGGTTGCTAACCATCCAGGGCGTCATCATGTTTGCCAACGGCAATCTGGTTGATGGCCTGCTAGCATTCCGTCGCAACGTCCAGGGTGCTCTGAAGGGACAAAGCGAGTGTGCTATTTGTTACTCGGTCATCTCGACGGATATGCAGACACCGAACAAGCGCTGCGCTACGTGCAAAAACACCTTCCACTCGGTGTGTCTGTTCCGCTGGTTTAAGAGCAGCAACCAGAGCACTTGCCCGCTTTGCCGCAACAACTTTGTATATGTTTAGTTGCATGTGTTTAGTCTATAGATGATAGAACATTCAAAAGATACGACTTTATGTATGAACTATTACCCAGTGGAAACTTTTGAGTAGAGACACGAACTTTGGCGTGACGACATTCCACCGCGGGGCTTCCCCACCGAACTCCGAGCTTCCTCCATCTCACGTCCTTCATGGCTGCGCCTCGAATTCCCAACCTCAACACGCTCCGCCGAGGACGAGGCCGAGGTCGCGGAATAGGTAGCGCTGAAAATGGTCATGGTCACCCGACTAGCAAGGATCGTGTTGTGCAGGGCACCGACAATGACGCCAGCGTCTCCAGGATGAGCGCTGTCGAGCTGGGATATCTCGACGACCCATACGCAACAGCTTTTACACCTCCCGAATCCGCAACCAGAAGGTTTCCGATCATAAACAGAGGTCAATCCACCATAGAACCCCTCTACGGAGCAATTGCTGACTTGGACATCGGCCACACAGGGACTTACGTTCGCACCACCGCAATCGACCAGCTCGTCACCCGCTTTCTGGGTCCCTACTCTCCAGAATCCCCAACATGCAAGAAACAGATCATCTCGCTAGGCGCTGGCTCAGATACACGAATCTTCAGACTCTTCTCCAAACGCCAGCCCTCAGACATAATCTACCATGAGCTCGACTTTGCCGTCAACACGGCCACGAAGATTCGTGCGATCCGATCAACACCTTCTCTACAACGGGCACTCGGGCTCGATCCCTCTGTAGACAGCGTGACAGTCTCTGAATCAGGCAACGAGCTACACTCCCCTTCGTACCACATCCACCCTGTGGACTTGCGATCGCTGTCGGCGGGTGGCTCTCTTTCAGAAACACTTCCAGGCGTGGATACAAAACTGCCAACTCTGTTGATCTCAGAGTGCTGTCTGATATACCTTTCCCCAACTGAAGCTGCACAAGTAGTCTCTTTTTTTACCGAACATCTTTTCGGCTCATTGAATAAACCGACTGGAGCTGGACAGGACGCGCCACAAAGCTCGCAGACTCCTCTTGGCTTGATCCTATACGAACCAATTCGCCCGGACGACGCGTTCGGTCGCACCATGGTTTCTAACCTCGCGACACGAGGTATCCAACTCCAAACTCTCCATCGATACGCCTCATTGGAAGCACAGCGAGCACGACTACGCGAGCATGGGCTCGACAGTGGCCAGGCTACAGCTGATATCGATTTCATTTGGGAGCGCTGGGTCAGCGACGAGGAGAAAGAGCGTGTTGCCAGTCTTGAAATGCTAGATGAAATGGAAGAATGGCGTTTACTTGCGCGGCATTATTGCATTGCTTGGGGATGGCGGAATGGAAATGATGCCGAGGCGTTTGGTGGGTGGACAGCTATTGAAGCTCAACCAGGTCATTGATGTTTGAATGTCAATTTCATGAAGATATGAACATTTTTACCAAATCAACTTCCATGTGAACAATATAACACTATGCTCCTATCGCAAAGGGTCCTCTTGCGAAGTATCTAGTCTCAAGCGTCGCATCGTGTGAGCTAGTGGGAATTTTGTGTAAAGCCTCATTGTCTTTCCTTCAATAGATGATACTGTAAATAAAATTATCGAAATAGTGACTTCGACACCCAATGATTTCAAACTGAAGCGGATTGCATAGATCAAAAAATCAAAAAAGAACTCTCCCTCGGGGAATCGAACCCCGGTCTCCCGCGCTTATCGGTGTTAATGACAAGCGGAAATCATGACCACTAGACCAAGGAAGATGTGATAGCCGAGTTACTGCTCGGCCACTTGGGTGGTTGATGAAGTATCCAGAAGCGTATCATCGAAAATATCCCAGTAATAGCCTGCAGCAGCCATCTCGGGAGAAATTGTTTCTATGGAAAAAGGCCTTAGGAATAGTGTTGCGGCATCTGTGCGTTTACTTTGAGTACCCCACCGATCGCATTTGACGTAGGTAGCAGGCGTCCTGGCGAGTTATACTCTCACCTTCTCTTTTCATCATTGCGCGAATCCGTTGGCTAATTACTCGCAGCTGGGTGCGCAGTAAGAGCGACAGTAGTAACCACGATTATCTAGACGTTGAGCGATTTACAACAGGGCGAAAGACGTGTCTCAGGCCGTGAGTCGGGGGCGCTAGCACGAACTCCTGATTCATGTTATAGTTATATGCGTGATTTTCTCATTCCACTCATCTTTTTTCGCTTGAGACCTATCTACCCACTAAATACGGTACGACAGCAGTTGACAGGATGTCTGATATTGCGCACCCCCACATCGGAAGCACGCCTCGTGGCCGACACATGGTCAGTGGCGCAGACGGACTACCTTATATGGGTGGACTCGTTTTTATTGGCTGCTCAAAGTCCCTCAACCTCGTGAAGGTGCCTTGCGCGGAAAATGGCCGACCTTGGATGATTTGAGGCTGTGACAATTCCCTTCATATGAGGGATAAAAAGCCTATAAATGGCCTCCTAGGCGCAATGTGGTGTTTTTTTTTACTTGGCTCATCTATTCCAGCTTATAATTACTCGATTCTCTTGCAATGGCGAAGCCGGTGGCATCTTTGTGCTGGAAGGACGCTGATGAAGAGGCTGCCGATCGTATCACGATAGCACCCGGTGGCATTGGAAGTGACATGAATCGGGAAAAGAAAGTCGATAGGCATTCGAGCCAGCGAACGATCGATCCGAAGTCTGCCATTCCTATTGAATATCGGAGCCTGTAACGTTCATCTTCATCTCGTCCTTATCGTCACGTCCAACTGATTTGAAATAGTTCCTTCGAAATCGAGGATGACGGTGAAAGAAAGCGGCGGTTCAAACGCCAAGGAGAAAAAGAAAAAATGGCTGAAGGTGAATCGCCTTTCCTCCGGGCAAGATGACGACCTAATTTGATATATCTGATCAGAATGGCAAAATATCGATTGGCATATAGTACCTGCTGAAGAGATCCAAAAACGCCTCAACGTCGATGCATCAGCGGGCATCTCCGAAGCCTCGGCTAAGGAGCGACTGCAGAAGTATGGTCTGAACAAAATTTCGCCGTTGCCAAATCCCTGGTTCTGGAAGATCGTCGGCTACTTTTTCAAGGGATTTGGATCGATTCTGCTCGCTGGTGGAATCTTGGTCTTTATATCATGGAAGCCCCTGGGCCAGCCACCTGCAGTTGCGAACTTAGCTTTGGGTATTGTCCTCATCGCGGTATTCGTCATTCAAGCCGTGTTCAATGCCTGGCAGGACTACTCTTCCTCCCGTGTGATGGCCTCAATCACAGCAATGCTTCCGGAATCCTGTCTTCTTCTTCGCAGTGGTTCCCGGGTAGAGGTTTCTGCTACCAATATTGTTCCCGGGGATACTTTGATCATCAAAGCAGGAAGCAAGATTCCAGCTGACGTACGTTTTATTGACGTATCACATGATATGAGTGTGGACAGATCTGTGGTCACTGGTAAGTATACTTTCAAGTCACTCGCTGGAGGTCGTCTGAGTACATGCATGCGATACTCACCACCAACATAGGAGAATCAAAGCCAACCAAGGGTAGTGTGGAGTCGACATCTGACAATTACCTCGAAACAAGATGCATCGGTCTACAAGGAACTCACTGTGTTTCTGGTAGTGGGACTGGTATTGTCATTGCTACCGGCGATTCCACGGTCTTTGGTCGAATTGCCAAGTTGGCAGGTGAGCCAAAGACAGGTCTTACTTCTATTGAAAAGGAAGTCCTTCGATTTGTGGCTCTTATATTTATCATCATGGTAACATGGATCATTATCCTGGCTGCTGTCTGGTATGTATCATCTCATTTTCTCTTGATTCCCAATTGACCGTGTTCTGGGCAAACAATGGCTAAGGTCTCTTCAGGGGTGGTTGGCTTCACAAGGCCCATCCCGACTACATCAATGTGCCTACACTCATTGTTGACTGCGTGAGCGTTGCAATCGCCTATATTCCCGAAGGTCTTCCGATTGCAGTCACAGCTAGTTTGACAATTACAGCAAACTTGATGAAGAAGAATCAAGTTTTATGCAAGTCTCTCAAGACCGTCGAAACTTTGGGCTCGGTGTCAGTCATTTGCACTGATAAGACTGGCACATTGACCAGAGTATGTGGGCATATTATCTATGACAAACGACTATTTCTGCAGTTTCCAGGTGATACTAACCTGCATTCGTAGAATCGAATGGCTGTTACAGATTATGCTGTGCAAGTAACGACATCCACATTGGATGCCACGGGTGACCACACAGCTGCAAGATTGGATCGCTCTGTTCTTCAACAACTGCAGGCCATAGCTGGCCTTTGCAATGCTGCTGAGTTTGAAAATGAATCGATCAAAGGTCCACTCAGTGAACGACGCATTTTCGGCGATGCCACCGACCAAGCTATTCTGAGGTTTTCAGAGAGCCTTGGCTCCGTCACTGAGCTGCGCAAATCCTGGCATACGATATTTAATCTTGCTTTTGACAGTAAAAACAAATTCATGATAAAAGCCATGAAGCCAGTCAGCCCTGAAGCTTCTGTCACTTGTCTGTCTCCTGGAGAATCCATGAATACTGACTCTATGTATGTCCTGTGGCTTTCATAAGTGACATTGATGCTGATCTCGTTTAGCTTTCTTACCATCAAAGGAGCCCCGGATATCTTAATCGAACGATGCTCGCAAGTTTTGTGCCCCGATGGCGAACTGAGACCCCTAGGCAATGACGATCTAGCGGCGATAAAATCCTTGAAAGATCAATGGTCTTCCAAGGGCAAACGTGTGATTCTGCTTGCGCGTAAGCTTCTCGCCCAAGACAGCTTACCGGCTGGGCCTAGCTCCTTGGAGTTTGAGTCCCACATGCTGCGCGAAGCTGGAAAAGGTCTGACATTAGTTGGCTTGGTTGGCTTAATTGATCCACCGCGGGCTGAAATATCAGAGGTCATTCGGATCTTACGTCAGGCCCAGATACGAGTCTTCATGGTTTGTGTTTTGTTCGAAAGCATGAGAGTTCAATATTAACCAAGAGGCATAGGTCACCGGCGATTTCGGACTTACGGCCTTGGCTATTTCCCGTCAGTGTGGCATTGTCGCCACCGATTCGGTCCATGATGCATCCGCTCTTCGGAAATATCCGACTACGAGCGAAAAGCACGTGGATGTATCCCAATCTGCCTTGCTTGTTAGTGGCCCGGATTTGATGACCCTGAACGAATATCAATGGGATCAGCTGTGCAGGTATCCTGAGATTGTGTTCTCTCGTACTACTCCTAACCAGAAGCTACGAATTGTTCGTGAGTTCCAATCGAGGGAAGAAATTGTCGGCATGACAGGAGACGGTGTCAACGATGCCCCTGCCCTTAAAGCTGCCGATATTGGCATCAGTCTCGCCAGCGGTTCTGACATCGCTATCGAGGCTGCTGACATGGTCCTGCTCGATTCTTTCGCAGGAATTGTTGAAGCCGTTCGATATGGACGTGTGGTTTTTGACAATCTCAAAAAGACTGTCGCCTATCTTCTGCCGGCAGGTTCATGGTCCGAGTTCTGGCCCGTGTTTTGCAATCTAGTTTTCGGAATCCCTCAAATCCTGTCATCTTTCTTGATGATCATCATTTGGTAGGCATACCCTCGAGCAACATTTGAATGCGCAGCTAACATGACTTCCTTTAAGTTGTTTCACGGATTGTGCCGCTGCCGTGGCCCTAGCATACGAGGCTCCAGAAGCAGACGTGCTCTTCCGCCCGCCTCGGCATCCAACCAAAACACGACTTGTCGACTGGAAGCTCCTGTTTCATTCATATGCTTTAGTTGGCATGATTGAGACAGCCCTCTCATTTACCATGGCTTTTTGGTACCTACAGAGGAACGGAATTCACTTCTCTGAGCTCTGGTTCAAATTCGGTGATTTGCCCCCGGGGGTTGATGCAGATTACTACACGGCCAAAGTCAACGAAGCAAGCTCGATCTACTTCATGAATCTCGTCATCATGTGAGTATTGATTCCTTGAAATGCAAGTCTTTCGGATTTTGCGCTAATTCTTCATAGGCAATGGTTCAACCTGATGGCAGTCCGCACGCGCTTTCTTTCGATTTTCCAGCATCCTCCAGCATTGAACAAGTTGACGCAGAACCTGTATCTGTTTCCTGCTATTGCATTTGCGCTGGGAATCTCGGTCATTTGGCTTTATGTTCCTAGCCTGCAGGTGGTCCTTGATACCTCGGCTATTCCTGCTGAGCACTATTTCCTCCCCGCTGCTCTAGGCCTTGGGCTTTTGTGTCTGGATGAAGGAAGAAAAGCTGCTGTTCGTCGCTGGCCTCGGGGGCTTTTGGCCAGGATGGCGTGGTAGTCAGCTCTGCAGGAAAAGCCAAACGAACCTGGCACAAAATAGCTTCTATTTCAAATATTGATGAAATATATCCAGTGACAAGTAGATGAACACCTGCAATAGTTTGGGGATGATACTATAGTTACTTTATTTCCGAAATTATATTTTACTACTTCAAGTTTGGTATATGTAGTTATAGGTAGAGCTACTTGGGCCTGTTGCTCACCGGTTTCTGTATAAAGGCGACCATCACTCAACTGTCGCAAGTAAGTGGAGCCGCTGACGTTTATTTCAAAACAGCATAGGCGGATGGGGTTGGAGGAAAGAGTAACAAAAAAAAAAAACGTAAAAAAAAAAGAAACAAGCGAGCGACGCAGGGATCGAACCTGCAATCTCTAGAACCGAAATCTAGCGCCTTGCCATTAGGCCAGCCGCCCACTGATTAGTAACAGGATCAAGTTTTAGTTATATGATGTCCGATCATAGGCTTGGATCCGGGCTCCCTTTCACTTCTCTCTCCCTTTTGCATGAGTATCCATTGCTAATTTCTAGTTATCTAAAATGAACAGGTGAACGCGATACTAAAGGATTCTCTCTGTGGAAAAAAGGCACGCTCGACCTTGCTGGTAGACCGCTATAGAATGGGAGAATATGCAAGCTACCTCTGAGAATGCTCTTTTGCCGCTAAAGAATTGGTCAACAATGGGATTCCACGTTGTTTAATTTCTTCCCTTTGACGCAGATTCTCATTTATGCTCATATCTGTTGTTTTTAACATAGGCCATTCATTAGGGCGACTACTGTCTCCTAGACCTCGACCTGACCCGGTTTACGTCATGAACGGTCGCTCTATACAGCGGAAACCAAGTTCCATACATAAAGTTACAACCTTTAATTCGTAAGCCTTTTAAATTTGCCCCGTGGGTATCATCCATATGTATTGCCAGAAACTCCCGCTAGTTATCATGACGTGAAAAAGCAAAAAGAACGTCCAACAACAACGTTCATGGAGAGGAAATTAGATCTGCACGGGATTGTCAGTAAATTGATAAGTAATCGTGAGTTAGTATACTGACCAGTCGCAATGGAAGACGAGCAGGTATGCGGGCGTTGTGGAGGAGCATCGCCACTGATTTCTGAGGCGTGGCCTGGAGCTTGCGATATGCTTCGCGAATGTGTCGAGGTTCGATCGGAGTGCGGCCTTCCTCAGGCGGATCGAACAGGCCAGTCTCGCGCTTGCGCTTCTTGGCACTGTCGCCGGCGTCAGGGCCACCGCGATTCTTCTCGTGGTCTTCACGCTCCTTGACCTTGAGCGCCTCTTCTGTAAGAGTCTGGACAATTTCGAAAGTAAGGAAACCCAGGATATCAACGATGTCGTCGTTGGGCTTGGACTCGGTCACAATGCCGAAGCCTGCCCACTCGCGGAAACGTTTGCTCTTCCGGTAGGTGAAGGAGGCCTGGCGACACTCGGACCAGAAGACGTATTCCTCTTTTGTCATGTGCCTGGTGCGCTCGTCGGCAGCAGCCAGGCGCTGCAGAGTGGCGTAATTCTGCTCTTCTTCCTCTTCGTCTTCTTCATCTTCGCGCTCCGGCACCTGTATGGAGAAGAAGCTGTTGGGGTCCCATGCCAGCCCAACCTTGGCTCGCTTGTTCTTTGGCTTAGCGGCGACATCCTGGGGGCCAGCAACCACACCAGCCGCATCATCGGCGGCAGCAAAGTCAGCTGCATCGCCGCCGCCCTTGTCATCAGAGTCCTTGACGTTTTTGCGGACATCCTTCCAGGATAAGAAGGTTCGGAGACGTGAGACCTTGGCCTTGTCGTGCCGAATCAAGAAAATCAGGTCATCGGTTGAGATTGATCGTGATCCACGCCTTGTAGCAAGTGCAGTGCTGCGGGTAAGCTTCAATGGGCTGTCAGCGATGAACGATGCGTCAAGTGGGAGAGAGCCTTACAATCTCGATCACCTGCTGGCGTGTAATATCTTCAATTAACGTCGTACTTTCAATGGATGGTTCGGCAGTTTCTCCAGAGACAAACATCATCTGGCGTATTAGGTCAGTAAGAGTCCATTTGAACATAAGCTCGGTCTCGTAGTTTTCTCTCAGTTCAATGGTCTCGGTGTCTTCCAGGTCCTCGGACGTAGCTACCGAGGTAGGAACGAGGGATTCAGAGCTGGCCACATCGGAACACTCGACCCCACCGTCGTTGGTTTCGTCCTCCGTCTCAATCCTCAGGTGTCTGACATAACCAGGCATGACAGATCCCATGGTCGAAACAGAAGAATGACTCGGCGTAGACAGAGTGTGTTCCAAATTTGATAGACGCGCAAACGTCTTTGAGGGAGAGCTTTCTAAGTCCCAAACTGACTCGCTGTCGGCCTTGTAGTCCATGTCTCTAGCATCAGGGCCACCAAAGATGCGGCTTTCCAAGCCGTCCTCGGGCTCTGAAGGGTTGTTTCGAACTCTATTGAAGACCAAGTTGCCAAATTTCCAGACCCAGCGAGGCTCGTTCTCGGACAGATTTGATGGAACCAGAGACTCAGCCGATTCGGTAGTGTCATGCCTATCAGGCGCGATGCGAACAATGCGAGGATCCGGTTGGTTTGGATCAGAGGAAGCCATATTTGAGTGACCAAGTCGAGGCAGAGGACCAGAGATAATCAAGTATCAATGTGGCAGTGAGCAGCACAGTATCACGAAGAAAGGTACAATGGTCTGTACTGGGGGCCAAGAAAAGAGCAAGAAATGCGCGATGCAAAGTGAGAGGTCGAGATGAATGGGAATGTAGAAACGTAAGAGAAGTGCAATGCAGGGTCTCAACATGGCAGCCGCCATCTCAACTCTCCCACTTTCGCATTGTGCAGTATACCCAACTCCATCTTATGATGAAAGGATTCCGCTGTTTAAGGCCAAGCGCCTCAAGGCAGTGGCGTGTAATTCCTGTCATGCCCTATCATGCGCCGCATATTGTTCGAGATATGTCCTCATGCCTATTGCGGATGCGGCTCAGACCCGAAACCCTATAGACACCGCGTTTCCAATGCATAGACAGCCAACGGCCCAGAAGCCACCAGAGAAACAAAAGACACCCAAAGGACCAAGAGACTCACGCCGCCAAAGAATGAGACCGGGAGGGGGTAGTACTAACCTGCTGGATCTCCTGCCGATACTTCGGCTGGCGTTCGGAACTCATAGCGACAGCCCCAAAAAAGAACCTAACACAGACACGAGGCGAATTATAAAGATACAGATAGCAAAATATTATGAGAAGTAAGAGAGAAAACCAAATATGAACAACGTGACGCGGAATAAGAGCAGGAGAAGGGATTCCGATTCCAATCCGGGGATTTGATAGCGATAGTCGGACATTCACTTCCTCCGCATCCAGGCGGTGGAGTCATTCTGCCGAAACTATTCTGCCCCGCGGTGATTAATTTCTCTTTCTCGATATCAGTCGTTCTCATCCATTCATTTATTCAATTCGCCATGTTGCACCTTGTGGGTCTCGGCCTTGCCGATGAGAAGGATATTACTGTCCGTGGGCTGGAAATTGTGAAGAAGGCGGACCGGGTCTACCTTGAGGCATACACTGCTATTCTGCTTGTGGATAAGGCCAAGCTTGTAAGTGGGCTTCTTTATGTTGCCTTAATCTTGCATCATGTTATTGCAATTGGCATCTCCGTGTGTGCAAATTAGTAATTGGAACTTTTACCTAGTAGGAAGCGTTCTATGGCCGCCCTGTCATTGAAGCGGATCGTGAATTGGTAGAGACCGGCAGCGACGACATCCTCGCCGGAGCTGATAAGGCAGATATTGCGTTCCTGGTTGTTGGCGATCCCTTCGGGTACGTTCTCAACCTCTGGCATTCAAAGGTTCTTCCAGGTTACTGACAGAACTCAGCGCAACCACACACACCGACCTCGTTCTACGCGCCCGCGAACTCGGCATCCAGACAAATGTCGTCCCTAACGCTAGCATCATGTCCGGTATCGGATGCACCGGCCTGCAACTATACAACTTTGGCCAGACCGTGAGCATGGTGTTCTTCCTTGACAACTGGAAGCCCTCGTCCTTCTACGACCGCGTTCGCGAGAACGTCCAGATCGGCTTGCACACCCTCGTGCTACTGGATATCAAGGTGAAGGAGCAGTCTATGGAGAACCTTGCGCGTGGACGCAAGATCTTCGAGCCCCCGCGTTATATGACCGTTGCGCAGTGTGCGTCGCAGATGTTGGAGACCGAGGAGACCCGCCAGGAGGGTGTTTATGGACCTGATAGTCTTGCTATTGGTGCTGCGCGGGTTGGTGCTCCGGACCAGAAGATGGTTGTCGGTACACTGAAGGAGTTGGCTGAGGTTGAAATGGGTGAGCCGCTGCACAGTCTTGTGCTGCTTGGTCGGCGGACGCACGATCTGGAGCGCGACTTCATTCGGCAGTTTGCTGTCAATGAGGAGACCTTTGATGCCAGCTACGCTAAGAACTATGGGGCGTCTTCATGAGCTTCCTTACATGGATTAACGATTTTTAAAATACACATTATTCTTTCTGGACTCGTGGTCTACATTTACTGAATGATATCCGATATAGTCAATTAATGGTCTACTATGAGATATAGCACAAGGACGCTGTCCCAATAGACTGTCATTGTTCTGTTACGTCTCGACCATCATCATCAGGTCAAAGACCCGAGCTCTAATTTCTAACGACCACAGATGTCCAATCCCAAATGGAAAAGCGATGGCGATAGACGAAAATATATGAAACAAGAAAAAAGACAGACAACGCCGCGATACATTAAACGAACATAAATGTTGCGAGAAGATCACAATGCAGGCAAGGAAATGGTATCCAAACGAGGCAAAAGGCAGGGCAAAATGCAGGTAGGCGGGAGAGGCCTAATAATCCAGGCCTCTCATCTTTTTGTCGCGAGTGCAGACATTCAGCGGATGGCCTGCACCAGCCAGGGCAAACAAAACAAAGCAACAAGAAGAAAACAAAAACCCGCGACCAGACCGACACCGAATGGCATGCAAAATGAGTAAAAGCAATGTACAGTTCAACCGGAGATGAACGAAAAGACACGTAACACATCACTAATGGCCATGGTCGAATTCGTCCTCCTCGCCAGGAAGAAGGATCTCGTGACCAGAGCCCTCGTACACGAAGATGGCAGCACCGCAGCCAAAGATGGAGACCAGGGCAATTAGCCACCAGGCAAAGCCAACCATGCCAATGTCCAGACCGTAGCCGTACCATGCACCCGAGAAGATGGGGCCGATGGTTCGGAAGGCAGATGACACGGACTGACCGATACCATGGATGGTGCCCAGGACCGAAGGGTGCGGTGAACAATTGTTGAGGAGAATGATGGAGGTCGGGAGGGTGAAGGTTCGGGCGGTGACCTGGCAGAAGAGGACGACGATGATCCAGAACCAGACCCAGGGTCCGTTGGCTTGTCCGGGAGGAGGGATAGTGGACGGGGCCAGTGCGATGTATGGTGCAAGGGCGTAGGCCAGCGGGAAGAGAGAAAGGAAGTATTGGTAGCTCTTGGCTGTACCAAGACGACCATTGATGGAGGGATAGACGGTGAATTGGAGGAACATGCCGATGACACCCAGGATAGCGGTAGCAAAACCAACACTCTGAGGAAGCATACCAAGACCACCAGTGAAGACGAAGGGTAGGCGCTGGGTGGGGGAGGCGGGGTCGTTGGCGTCGTAGCGGGGAGTCGAAAGGAAGAGAAGCCAGAGGTTGTTGAAGGCGCCCATCTGGAAGTCGAAGAAGGCCTGGGCGATAAGTGTACACAGTACGTTCTTGGTCCAGATTCTGCGGAAAGACAAGACACGCTTGACACGCATGGGCTTGGCCTTCTCCTCGAGCTCGTAGCTCTCCGCACGATCCATCTGGCCGGCCAGAAGGGGACCATCCTCATCGTAATCACGGAACGGAAGACGAGAGTACAGAGGGGAAGAGGTACCAACAACCTTCTTCACACCGCGGGCGAGGAATTTCATAGCGAATGAGCCCAGGCCAGGCTTGCCCTTGCAGGAGAGCAGGGTCTCTTCCAGACCGTAACCGACCAGGCATGCGCAACTGGTCAGGAAAACGAAGTTGGCCAACATGGGCAGGGAGTAGGGATACTTCTCCAACCATTGCACACCATCCGCGCCACCAAAGGACGAGTTAGGTCCAAACAATCGAGGATAGGCCTTGACGGGATCGGCGAACATGCCACCCATAACTACAAAAGTCAGTATGACCGATGTCGGACTCCACCAAGATAGTAGAACAGCTTACCAGGACCGAAAAGCGAGGCAATATTAAAGCCAATAGGGAGAATCAAGAAGGCGCGCGAGTGATACTTCTTCTCCTTGACATTCTCCGCAATCATGGTCCGAATAATACCAACGGTACCGTTGATCGCACCACCGAACGAACGCCAGAACACGGCCTGCGCGAATGACGTGGAGAAAGCAACACCAAGACAAGAGACAGCAGTACCAACCAGGCCGACCAGCAGCACAAATCGGCGACCACCCCACTCTGCATCGGCGACACGGCCCCAAGGAATGGCCGTCGCGAACTGGGCGGCGGTGAAGGCACCTTGGAGAATACCGGCCTGGGTCGCAACGTCGGAGTCCGAGAGGTTCTCGTCAAAGGACTTGAGCTGGTAGAACATGTAAGCCTGTAGCGAGGCGATCTGTAGGAAATCGAACACACGGCAAAGGCCGAGGAGGGCTAATTGGCCCTTTCGCGGAAGGGACATCCAAGTGACGGGGCCGGGACGGGCGACGGGCTCGGCGGGGAGCTCGCTCCCCTGCATCGCCAGCATCTGCTGCTGACTCTGGGAGCGCGAGCGCATATGGCCGCTCTTGAGGGCGTGGGCGTCCAGATCCATGGAGGTGTTGCGGATCATGTCGGGGGCATCGGGGCCGGGGGAATCTGGGGAGGAGGGGCCCTCGTCGACAGAAGCGAGGGATAAATTAGATTCGCGACGGCGTCGTTGAGGAACTTCGGAAGATTCGCCGCCGGTGCCCGTTATATGGTGATAGCCACTGCTCCAAGAGGTCGTACGCGCGTGGCGGGCATTATTCGATTTATGGTTCTGGGACCTGGCAGGCATGGAGGAATGTATGAGGTAAGCGAAGGATGGAGACGTATTGGGTGGGATTCACGACGTCAGGTTGCGCCCCCTTGGGTTTCACGTAATTTATGCGTAAGGGTTCGGATACCACAGAGGAATGGAATTGAAGGAATGGAAGGAAAGGAAGAAGTTAGAATGAAAAGAGAAAGAAAGGCTTGTAATTTTACTGCTCGGCTTGGCTGTCGATTGCTATTGAGCTGAAGGGAGGAAATTAAGAATTTATGCGCTTGGGGGTTTCCATACGAGGTGTACAATATCCTTGAAGGTTCCACTGTATGGAATGCGCTTGTCTGTCTTCTTTGATCTAGTATAGCTAGAGCTAGAGCTATATCATTTCATAAATTTTCTATCTGAATTCGACACCATCATCTCCAATTCTAGCCATCGCTATATCCTCCGTCGCATCTTCCCATGCTCGTATCCTGTAAGAGAATACGGAGAATACGACGTCGTTACAGATCGACAATGACGGGCTTGCGACGACCGCTCCACCCTCCCTACCGAGTCCACCGTTTTCCTCCCTGCCTTGGGCCATGACTCGCCAGTCCAGCCCGTGCGTGGCCGTGAGCCAACTCTTGGCATTCTATCGAGGAATCGTGGTGGAGGACCTATCATTAGCCGCTTCTAGAATTATCATTTCAGACCTTTTTGTGCTGGTACCCGCCCTACGTAACTACTTCCCCTTCTTGGCCTTAGCGCTGGCGGCTCTAGCGGGAAAGTCCTAGTGTCGGGATGTGAGAAGTTACTAGCCTGCTGTACAGTACGTACCGAGTAGAGCCCAACAGGCGAAAATTGACTCGTTTCTCCTCCCCCCTCCTGATCTCTACTAGGAATGATCTTCCGAGATACTACACCATGTAGCAGATTCTGGTACCGTTGTGGTGGTTCACGTTTCAGCCCCAAGGTTGCGTATCAGCTACATTAGATCCAGGATTTCGTTTCTGATTTGTTTCGGGGAAGGTCTTGGCTTTGACTGAGTGCTTGAGCTTAGCCCGAGCAAATGGCAAATGGGATGATTGACAGGGGCCTTGTCCACTTTTTGACCCCCCTGCAGTTGCTGCGGTCCGCTTCTAATTGCGGTAATGGATTCGCGTTCAACGACCCCTCGATCTATCGCTACAGCTTATTTTGTACACTGCGTACTGCGTACTGTATGGCCGAAGATCTCCACTTATACACGAATCTGGGTGAGAAAATCTCTGCCACCACAGCCGGGACGCGTACGTTTGCAGCGTACTGGGAAGAAAAGGGTAAAGCGCCGGTTAGGTCGGCTTTAAGCACCCTCGGGCCTTGACCTCGGGTATGCGTATTTCGGTATCGTTACAGGTATTAATTTCACATCTTATCTTTCGATCTTTTGTGTCTAGATTGAGATCCATATCCAGTAGGATGCAAGTTATGTTATGTACAAGGCTGGGCGTAGCCAGCCTCCCAAAAATGAGAATAATAATAATAATCAGCCAGGCAATGCAAAGGTGGGAATACACATGAGAAAAGAAAGTTATCTGATCCAAAGATCATCAAAGAGAGAGAGAGGGCCATTCAGTCCTCTCGCCCGTGTTCTTGTGGACTGCGATCTGCGAGCGCGAAGTATTTGGTATCTGAACTTCCCGCCCACCGTCGCCAATACCACCAGGGACGATCGGAGCTCCGCTGTGAAGGTTTCCGTTCCGCCATGCCGTTCAGCGGCTCAGATGACTCGTCGTCTTCACCCAGCCGGTCCGGCCGCCGTGGTTGATAGAACCGCCAAGCGAAGTACGCTCCAGCGAGGAGGGGGAGAACCACGGCGATTGTGGCACCTAAAATTACTAGTCCTGTTTTGAGTAGGTGAGCGGGAGGCGTTGCAAAACAGAATAAAAAATGATAAGGATAAGACTTACGTCCGTGTCGCCATCTGTAGTGGGCAGCCAGTGGCTCAGTAGTGTGTGGGAAGCCAGAGGGATAGGACCAGATGGCCCCATCATGATCAGGGTCGACCCACGGCACTGTATTGACGCCCACTGGCGGGATGAACGGCTTAGCAGCATCCTCACCGGGAAATCCATATCCAGGTGCGTCCAGACAGGTCTCGTCCTGGCAGAACTCGCGGAGCTCTGGCGAAGGAACAAAGGTGTACTTGATTTCGGACTTGCCAAGAACGGCACCCTTGCTATCAACTGCCTCGGCACGAGTCCAGAGGTAGAAGCTGGTGTGGGTATACTCGGTCTCGAACCCGGTCTTGTTCACCTGGTCCAGGAACACGTAAGGTCCGGTCATGTTGTGTGCTCCATAGAATCGCCAGCTCTGGACGCGCGTTGCGCCATTCCAGCTGACATAGAAGCTGGTGGGAGAATAAGGTTCGGAGGTGCGAGAGTAAACCCAAAGAGCTGGAGAATCGGTGGGGTTGCCATCCCACTCGAATTTCTGGGCACGATAGTTCATGACTGTGTCTTGGGCAAAGGATGCCCAAAGCAACAAGTTGCCCTCTTCATCGTGCTCGGACACGAAAGGATTGTTACCCCATCCGATGAAAGCGTTCTTGTTCGGCAGCCGCTGCAGGTTACCCTGACTGGAACTGATCAGATCATTGATACGCGGCTTGTAGTCACGAATCTGCAGCGCAGTATTATCCACATGGTCGATAAGAATGATCATACCGGCCGAGTAAGAATGCGTCTGGTTGTATCCGTTATACCCGTTGTTGTACAGCGAAAGAACCGTATGTGTCGCATTCTCATACAACCACCGCGCATCATGCTGCTGCGAAAAGCTGAAGTTGATATTGCGGAATGTCGGGTTTGATCCATGCAATCTCCAAATCACCGAACCGTCCCTGCCCGAGATCTTGTAGATGGCGCATGTGTGGCGCGAAGAAATGAGATAGTCACCATCATCGTTCTTGTCGATCGAGTTGATATGGAAGTAATCCCAGGGCTCGTGAACATTCAATCCAGTTCCCGACGTATCTGTGTGCGCAGGCCAGGTGTAGCTGGTTGACGGGTCGACATGATCGAGGGAGCGCCATTCAAAAATCACTTTACTGGTCTCGGTATCAATCTCCTGGAAAACACTCTCCATCAACCACCCCACGCCGGTTTTGATGTTCCATGGGGTCATGTCGAATTGGCGCTGCTGGTATACGGTCATGAGTGCGGTTTTGCCGTTGCCGATCGGAAGGAATTCGTGCATGTCGCTAGAAGCCATTCCGCCACCCGGCTGCACGGAGCGCACGATGCGGTAGGTGTTGTCCAAGATAACGCCATGCCCGCGGCAGTATCCTTTCTGCTGGTTTCCCTGGAAGAAACATAGGTGGTCGGCGCCGTTGTATTTGCAGACGTGCATGCCATGGGCATTCCCCGGCCCCGAAACGCCCCAACCGCTCCACACCAACTCCTATTCAAGTCCCAGTCAGTATTCCATTGCGCGCGCATCGCCGGATTTTTCCCAATCATACCCCTGAGTTGTCAAAGATGTAAGGACCCGGATTTTGAGCTTCATAGGGTGTGATGAAGATGTAGCCGGGCGCGAGTTTGCTGGGGTCGCTATGCTCGATATTCAAGACTAGGGGGTATATGTCGGGTCTCTTGCAATCGGTGTTAGATATTGAAAATCGTACTCTCTTTCTCTCATGGTGAGGGGACACTTACCGATTTGAAGAAGGAGACCTGCTCCGCGGCCACTGCCCAGGCGCACAGCAGCAGGCCGAGGAGCAGTGAGGGAGAACTCCTCAAGGAGTAACGGAAGGCCATAGAGATCGACCTTTACATCACAAGAATGGGACAAAATGTCTGAGTTATGCAAGGAGAGGAAGCCCAGAAAGAATTCCATGTGCGGGAAAAGGGTACGAGTACGGAGCCTATTTCAGTCAATCAGTCAAGATGGCGGAGACTGTAGCGGGGCGCCGCGTGCAGCACAGCGGCAATTGGCCGATAGCGCAAAGCATTGACGATTCAGATTCAACCCTCAATTGCTTGGTCGTCCGCTAGTGCAGTCTGCCAAGAAGGCGTATGCGGGGGCCTATCTATCGTCTATGAACTTCTACTGACCATCCTAGCTTCTCGGTGATCCTTGAATTTTGGCCTCGTGGGCTGTCAAGTTCACTAGTCCGTCCGACCATCTTGTGCTCCAAACAAGGTTCACCCTGATTGAGACTTCGTATGACTTCGGTAACGATGGTACGGTATTGGTAATTCGGCCTGCCCAGGCCACGTCATGGCTCGCGGCTAAAGGCCGGAGGCGCTCAGACTGGGTCTGAGTCGGTTTGACTGAAATTACCATAAAATAAAGAACGGGGCAGTATGTATAGTCTATGCATTAGCAGGAATTAGTATGACCTATCGTCGAAAAGGTGTACGCAGCAACACACGTACATCGTGAAGTTCTTGGCTAAGATCCGGGCACTCGCCACGTGTATGTGGCTCAGCGCAAATGCACTTTTCACTCTAGGGAAGGGTCCGTATTCCTTTGTACGCGCGGACAGAGCGGAGCGCAGACAAATACATTATTTTTCATTTTAGCTTTTCCAGTTTCCAGATTCTACTTCCCAGTTTCCGAAAACCCTTGTTCCTACAGATCAGATGAACCGTGTAGAACCAAAATCACGGTTACTACAGATCGCCCGACGCAAACAGGACACAGGTGGTCACTTTGGTGTAAGTTAGTACAACACCGGGATGATTCACGTAACACCGTGTCGATCAGGGTGCACCAACATAGCCCGAGAATATCCAGGGTAAGGTGCATGGTAACCAGGGTTTACATATCGGCCATAAGCTAGCCCCCCTAAAGAAGCTACAGTATCTTGATAGATAAGGGTTCAGGATGTCTCATTTGCTACGCAAGCTGAATACGTAGTCAGACGGAGAGGAACCGTTTGCAGCGAGGAACCGCCACATCCATCACGCCAAGCCGCTAACCAAGCCAAGCAATCTCCCTGGCGTTTGACATGCACACTACGAGTACGAGTTCCGTGGGTCTTCTTCAGGAAAATTACTCCGGTATCCTTCAGGGGTACGACCCCCAGCTGATTCACGATTCACGATTCATGATTCATGATTCATGATACCGCTTGCAGCCCTCTTTAGATACCAGATCCATGAGTTACAACTCCTTTGCCCTGTGGGATTCCATGCCAGTGGCAAAGCTACACGGAACTCTTAACCGCCCCTTGCTTGAGTGTAATGCACAGTAATAGAAAGATGTAACTCCTTTTTTTTCCCTTAGATTTCTGGCTAACTATGTCGCCATTCGATCTGAATGGGTCATGTATTTCCATTCCTTCAAGGTTTCCAAGGAAGATGCTTCAATGTGGCTTCAATGTGGCTTGAAATCGAGTCATGCAAAAGAAGGGTGTGCCAGGAATGACAGAAGGAAAAGAAAACAACCCCAAGTAATTTCCCAAAAATTTTTTCCAAGGACCAAAAAATAAAGAAAAAAGGAATCAAGTATGTACCACGAAAAATTACCAATTGCCAAAAATGGATATTATAAGCTGCAGTGGCCAGTTCAAAATGAAAGCAGAACGGGGAAATGGCCACGACTGCCGCTCCCTTCAGTGATGCCCGCACGCACTGGGGAGCGACGGATAATGCAAGGGTTCCGGAATTTAGCGGGAGAAGCGGGTGAAGTGCTTGAAGGCCATGGTGGCAGCGAGGCCAGTAGCCAGGAGAGTACCGCCAACGGTGACGGCCTGGAGAGCGGCGTTCATCATCTGGTGACGGTTACGGGTACTGCAGCGCTTGTAGAAGTCGGCCATGTCGTTACCACGGGGGAAGGGGGTGTCGGGAGTCTCCTCCTCGAGGAACTCGCACAGGGGACCCCAGCCGTCGTTGATGTTGTACTCCAGGAGACGCTCCTTGGGGACGAGGCTGCGGACCTCGGCGACGTGCTCCTCGTACACCTGCTTGCCCTTGCCGGGGAAGTCTCCGCGGAAGAAGGTCTCGAAGAACTTGTTGAGCATAGGGTAGTACATGCCGGCGGCCCAGCTAAAGTTCGACACAAACTTGTGCTCAGGATCGCTGACGCGCCAGAAGACGGTCTTCATGACAGACGCGTGCCAGGGGTCGACGTCGCGGGTGGTCAAGATGACCTTCGCGTTGGGGTAAGCCTCAATCAGCTCCTTAGCGAAGGCACAAGCAGGCCAGTCACAGACGGCCTGGCAATCTCCCAGAAGCTGGTCCCACTCCTTACGGCCAAACTCGCCCTCGCCATTGTACTTGGCGTTCAGGGCATCATGCCACATGAGGCAGTCCGGGGGGTTCTCTACACTGGCACACATCATGTGGTAGCACTTGGTGTAGCCCATGCGCTCAAGGGCCTTGCGGAGGGCTAGAAAGACAATTAGCTTCGTAATTCGACCGGGCTCGATAGAGGCTTCTACTCACAGGCAGTACCGGTACGGCCGACGCCGAGGGCCAGCACCTTCATGGGCACAGTGCGGTGGCACTTGCGACGGTCGATGTTGGTGTCATCGGTGAAGATATCAGTCATGGGCTGAGGAGCCAGGTTGTCGGAAAGAACAAGAGACATGATGGGCGTATAGACTCAAGTCTTGGAATAGTAGAGTATAATCTGACAAGATGAGGAAATAGAAGAGAGTGGATGTGCAAGAAGGAGGAGCACTGGGTGGGTATATAAAAAGAAGGGACAGACAGTAGAAAAAGTCTAGAAGGGGGGAAGTGGGTTGTAAGAGGGTTGGACGATACGATACGGTGATAAGGGGGCGGGAATTCACAAGAGAAAAAAAATACCAGAAACAGATCCTCACTCAGATCGATTGAACGGATAGGTAGGAGAGTGGACATCTGTCAGAGGCTTTGCACCAATCATTAGAGACGAACCGGACTTTCACAATTCAAGGGCAGCGAGACCCCGCGAGTGGCAACGTTTCCACTCGTTCTATCTGGTCTTGGCTCTGTCAATCCTTTCCCTTGCAATGGCCTATTGTAGTCTCTCATTGACCGGGGTATTTTTGGAGGTGTTCTGTCACATGGTTCGGATCGACGCGAGTCAACCAACGTCGCCTGTCTCATATTGTGTAATGGCGGACAGCTCGGCGGACAAGTATAGAGGTGAGGCGCAGATGGTACAGACGTCACAGGCTGACGCAGGGGATTGTCAGGGGGGGGCACCAATGGTGGAGGTCCGGGCAAGCCCAGGCGTGTAATTAACATGCCAAGCCTCGATGCGTACGCAGTTTCGAAACTCGGGGATCATCCTGAATTTCTGCCGGCTCTTTGGGGACGATCCGTGCCCATAGTGGGCCTGATTGGTGGGGCTCGGCAGAGGGCAACGCGTACATCTTGAAAGGTGGAGATTCCGATTTGGTGATTTGGTGAACTTGGTGAACTTCTGAAACTCAATGCGCATAAATCACATCCGGCTCGTCAGCATCGTACCTGTGTAGACTTCGTTTGGCATTTGCATGTGTCAACCTGATGGTAAAGATCCGACGGTCGCCCGTGGGCAAATTGAGGCAAATTGAGAAATGCCGATCAGCGTCAAGAATCCCGGATCCAGGGGCACCTGGTGCCTCTGGATCCAAGGTCGGCTCCCATGCACGGGTCAAGGCGGACAGCTCCACTCAGCTCCGCTGATTGATTGTTTTGAGTGATTGTGCTCGTGGTCGAGACCAGAGCGGGACGAGTTCCACATGCCAAGAAACACAATATACCCTCAACAGATGATCAACGCGCTCCTGCTCAGGGTTTTGTCCGATAAAGGCCGTGACTCGGGTCTGCTCGATACGTTCAGGGCGCGGAAGACGCTCGACCGAAAAAGGGCGCGCCGCCAGCGCCACAAAACATTTGGCGAACTCGGTCTCGGAGATTGTACCGCTGGAAAGAGGAAGTGTGGCCCGGCCAATAGTTCCCCTGTTCTGATCGTCCCATCCTGCTCACATCGGGATTCATTTTTGGAAACTACCTCAAGGTAGGAAGTGGAGGGTTGATCATGACAAAGGTTTGATGCGGTGTGTGCCGAGTACAGTGTAAGTTCTCAAAGGTAGAGGCTGTGGTGCGGTCGTAGTACGATTGATGTCTGGGGTTTGAGTTTTAGTACGTCGTCGTGACGCGGGGTGTCATCTTATCCGAGCATCATCATTCTCGATCCCAAGGTAAAACTGTAGTGTGTGAGCATCAAACATCATTAGTGGAGAAGCAATTGTAAGCGAGAAGGAGAAGAAGAGCAAAATCTGACTCAGGGTCCAGTAGGGGGAACAGGGTTCAATATATGGAGTGTGCCAAGCCCACGATGTCGGGCTCGCCATCGATGAGCACAATCACCTCACACGACCTCACGACCGTTTGGGACATGCTATGGGACCTTGATGTTGATTTAAACATTTCGATCTGATCTGAGCTTAACCTGCGGTCCGTTTGGACCAGCCTTGGGCATCGTCCCCGCTGGAATGTGCAGACGGCAAAGATTTCGGCAGTTGTTGACTGCAGCCTGGTGTAGCCCTAAAGGAGACCCTGAAAATGTCAGGGCTCAGTGATTCAGGGTCTACGCTCTTCATGGAGATTCAAGAGAATACGAGCCTTGGCAATGACACCCAGTTGGCTGAAGATTTCGACATTGGTCCCCAAAGTGGTGGCATTTTCCATATCTATGACACTTGCTCTCCTGAACGCCCCAAAGCACGGAAAAATTACATTCATTTCGGCGACAACTGTGGCCTAGTAACCCCCTGAACTCCATGCAAATGACTTGTGTGTTGATGCCATCCGCAGTGCATCAATGTCCAGGTCCATTCTGGTCAGGACTCTGAATCAGGCCCCCCGTGGGCCTTATTCCAACTTATCCAAATGTTCGAGTCGCGTGAGTACAACCTGCTTGCTCGTCTCTTCGATCTCGCCTGCGAGAAAGACCTCGTCGAGAATCGCGTAGACCTAGATCCGAAAAGTCAGTATTGGGGAAAGATTTTTGTTGGCCCAGCCACGTGCTGTATGCAGGCAGACAGCAGTCCATCTTCTTTCCGTCCAAGCACGCACCTTGTAGAAGTTGAACACCAGATCGAGTTCACACACATTGCCGAAGAACTGATCTAGCACTTCGACGAAGAAGTGGATAGCTTCGAGGTACGCCAACTCGTTGTCATTGGTGTCCACGCAGACGCAGAAGAACAACCCCGCGTATCGACGGTAGACAACCTTAGTGCTTCTGCGGAACTCGACGAAATTCGACTGGTATTTCTGATCTCTCGGTGCGACAAGACGATGGACCTAGGGCGGTCATTAGCGGGTTGCGAGTCGGGCAGTCGGAATGTGGGCACGAACCTCGCCTTTGAGCTTTACTTTCTCCTCATCCTGGACGCACAGTTAGTACTTCGTACTTGTAGATTAGAAATTGCGATACTCACGCTGTACGGTGCGTACCACTTCGCCAGGCGCGTTTTGCCCCTATACCTGCATCAGCACTGTGGACGCCCATTGCTCCCCGAACATCACTCACTGGCGATTCTGAACAATGATAAATGAGAGAACCATCTTGTGTACCAGGGATTTACCTGGCCAGCATCTGTATGACCCCGCGATTCAGTGTTGGGGCGTAGCTCTGGATGTTCTCCGCAGATTCCGTTATCGCGAAGCTCCCCTCCGTCATATACTGCCGTAGTTCACCGCCTAGTTAAGTATTAAGGTGAAGCGCGTGATCGGTTGCAATAGGAGAAGAACTGGATTTTCATTGAAATAAATTACAATCAAATGGCACGTTTGACTAATGATTGCCTCTTCCAGACGATTGTAGCCAGAAATAATCCTAGCGGCTATCCACTGGCTGGTAGACGATCTTTCAAGAAAAAAAGTGTGCGCGAATCATGGAGAAAGGCAACGGGAAAGTATAGAAACAGGCATTAGGCGTAGAAGTCGTAAACTCAGTCGTAGCCGGGTTAGGTATAGGGAATCGTTCGGTACAATGGCCCAACCCGGATTGCGTAGGGGTGGCATTATATCCGGCAGCGCATATGGCACGGGAAACACACGATTGGCGACAGGCCGGAGGGTTATGAAGTGGTCGTGCTCATGCGATTGAATAGACTTGTCAATCGGGCCTATGCAGAGATTCCACATTAGCAAGATACCTCGGAGAGAATCCCATAGGGCATACATACCGTATAGCTCACTGGGGTCGCGGGCGTCGCGGGTGTCGCGGGTGTCGCAGGAGTCCCGGGCTCGGTGGCGCTCTGTTCACTCTGTTCACTCTCTGCCACATAGCTCTCGTCATCGTCATCGTCATCGTCATCGTCGTCCTCTTCAGAATCAGGATACCACCTATCCGGATCTCCATTATAAACCATAAACCAGCCGATATGTTCCCCGGGCGCAAGACGATCGCGCAACGCCTCCAGCGCCTCCGTCGCGTCGTCCGTCAAGCCAGAGCCCTGCTCGACAACGTCCTCAATATTCATGCCCGGCCCTGCACTCTCGGGCGTGCCGCCATCGGGAATGGTCACGACCTTGGTACTGACATAGGCAAAGGGCTGAGAAACGGTGGTGCTGGACTCGTCGGCGGGATCGTAGTACTCGACAAAGCGCAGCTCCGGTAGCCGAGGCATGAGGTCCGATTGTGTCCGTTTCAGCGACTCCGTTACCAGCTCTGTTGTCAATGGCTGCTGGAGGTATTCGGCGGCGGCTTCTTCTAGATTGTGTAGCACGACGTACACACGGATTCCTGTGAAGCCCTCTCGGGGCCACCGGAATCCGTGGAGCATGTAGACAGGCATGGAGGATAGGGACTAGCGAGTGAGGGAGATCGGACCGGATTGGCAGAGTTGAGGGACATTCGTATATTAGATTGGCGGCATAGTTGGGAGGACGTAGAAGTGATGTATCGAATGTGCAGACTCGTGTTGGATGATGGGTCCCACCTTTTTAGTCTAACGGCCCGACCGTTGAACGCAAAACAAAACGCTGTCAGCTCGACAGGGGCTTCCCGGCTTCTGTTTTGTGCCTTGGTTTGACTTGCATAGCAATCGGAGAGTTACCTCGGTTCGGAATGGACCACAACCGTACTCAATCCCCGGTTGGGAGGTTTAAAGTTGTGGAATCTGAGATCGCGCCCCGATCCCCGATCGAGTGGGCGATCGAGATCGGTCGTGAGGCTTGAGGCTCAATAACGTCTCGGGTTTGTGAAGAATACATCATCCAGAATTTCTAATTTCTCGAATTCAATAGCTACATGACCCACGGTCCTCCAAGTCGTGAAGTCGCCTGTCATAGAGGAAACATGCATGTGGCTGGGGACGAGTTCGATTTTCAATCGGATGAGCTAAAGGTAGCGCAGGGGCCAAGACCAGGGAAAACAAACGCCCGTGCAGATGCAGATGCAGATGCAGATGCAGATGTAGATGTAGATGTAGATGTAGATGTAGATGTAGATGCAGATACCCCGAAAAAAAATTATCTTGATCAATTTCATGTGTCCTCAGGCACAAGATACTACACCGAGGCAGCCAGACACAAACACGGGGCCCTACAGATTCACGGTTTTCTCTTGAGGTCTGCAAATCTTCGCGTCAACTCGTCAAGTTCAGGGATCCCGTTACTGTTCTTTCTCGGTCCTGCTTGGCCTTGGGCTGATTTTGTATCTCCCTCCCCGGGGATCTTGACATGCGGGTTGGGATTATCAGTTCTGGGCGCTGGTGGCGCGACACTAACGGGACTTCGGCCGGCTGCGAGTCCGCGTGGGGGTGTGGCTTTGTTCAATTCACTAGTCTCTGAAGCGCGCCTCGCTTCGCTTAGGTCCGGTCGAGATGAAGTCTGTTTGTTCGGCGTCGCCGGTAGGTCCCCGCCCTCGTCGGCACCGCCTTCATCTTTCGAGTCCACGAATTCCGGTGGCGCATCGCCGAGCTCTGCCTGTACATCCAGGTCTTCTCCACCTTGTGGCCATGCAACACCGTATGCTCTTGCGATCTCCTGCAGATAGCTCTCGACAAGCTCTTGTCCGGGTGGTCGGACGCGCAACCCTTTCAGAAGTCGATCCGGGACCTTGATGGAATCCACTTTGTTGTCCTGAGCCAGCGTCATAAACTCCTTGCCATATCGTTCACCCAGCATGGTCCGAAGCATAGTGAGCTCGCGCAACTCGTGCGGGAAGCGATGCCAGGCGTAAAAGATAGCAACGGCGGCCTCATCTAGGGCAGTGTCCATATAGGGGTCTTCCTCACCCGTAACCGGGTCTCCAGAGACCTCGCCAGGACTGGCAGAAGCTGCGGGACTGGTCTCCTTCTTTTGAGACCCCCCAAGCCAGCCGAACCCGAATCGCGAGCCGCTGCTCTCTGTGGGTTTCACTCCTGCAGCTGCGCCAGCTTGTGCCATATTGTGTTTCTTGTATTGTTCCTTAGCGCGCAATCGCGCGCGTGTCCCCGACTCTCCGAACGCGAGTTGATCCAACACATTGGCCCGCGCAAGTAACAGCTCACAGTAGAGCTCCACCATTTCCATCACCTCGACTGCAATATCAGTCGCGATAACATTCTCGACTCGGATGCGTGCGGAGGCTTCGCGGCCTTCGCTGAGGAGTTGGGAAAGCTCGCGACGCTGGACGACGGATGACGCGGTGTCCTTCTTTTGGACTAGGCGGAGGCGGGGGATGAGGAGGCGAAGAGTAGATACTAATCTAGTCTGTGATTTCGTAGTATTAGCGTCTCAATGCTCGTATAGTCTGCGCATTCGTTCCCGGGAGTTCGAGGTGGCGCGGCATGATGGGGCAATGATAACAGTGCGGGGTAAAGTTCTACGTAAAGAGCTTCGGGATACTCGTCCAGGCGTGCCGGAATATGTAGAAGACAAGGTAATGGTCGATTTTGAGGGGAGACTCACTGTTTGCGCCGAAGGAGGCATTTTGAAGAGTGTTGGCTGAAGGATGAAGGGGGAATGTTGGGGGTGAAGCGGGGGTTGGACTCAGGCTCCCGTTAGATCCAGTCCGCTTCCAGTCTTGCTTTCTGCGCTCTTTCTCAACATGACTTCAGATATATGATCCAATTTGTACTCATTTCAGATTTCTAGTCTTGTAAAGTATCACATTCTTTTAACTTTGACTAATCCATGCGTAGGTCTACTCTTGGGGTGATTCCTAACACCTGAATGACTGGAATATGGAATGGAACATCTCCTGGAACATAAAACCCAATACTAACTGAATACTAACTGAATTATCATTGAATATTCAAAGTCTATCATACAGTACTAAATTCTAGAGAATACATGGGACTTTCTAGGAAATAGGGTTCTTCCGAGATTGAGCATCCGCATCTTTCATCTCACCACGCTCCTTGACCTGTTGCGCGATATATGCTCCCACATCCGAACCTAAGCCATTGAACCCTTCAATCACGCCCTGGCGATCACCCTCTCCCGATTCCTGACTCATCTTGGCTTTACCTCCAATACTCTCAATCGTGACTTCAATGCCAATGATAGCCTTCTTCATGATATCAATATACCGCTCAGGAGCCTCCGAGACACTCCAAGGTTCGGGCTTGCCGTCTCGACCTGTATACCCCATAATTGAGGTTTCACACATCTTAGAAAGATCATCGATCTGTCTCGATAGGTATTGAGCAGTCTCCTCTGCAGCTGAGTCGTAGTAAATAGTAGCCTTGCCGTAGACCTGGGCAGCAGCGTAATTCCAGGTCGGTACGACCTTGGCAGTCACCGGCTTAGTCTCGGTGTAGAACTTGGGAGTCACATAGTGATGGTATTGATTTGTGAACAAGATCATCACGTCCTGTTCTAGCTTTGTCGTATTGGATGCGGACTCGATCATGGCTTTGCTTTGAGGGTTTGCGCGGGCCATGTGGCCTCGTAGTCGGCCTTTCACTGGTGCCTCCGGGTCATCGCTGATCTCATCTAGTACCCATGGGATATGGCTGGATTGGATGAATGGGTGGGATGGTGATGAGATGGCGGTCGTGAGGACACCCAGGGGATTGGCCTTGATGAATTCGAAGAGAGCCTGAATGGAGGACTCTGCGTGGACTGCGCGCAGATACATGGCTGCGATGAGGTGAACACTAGATTGAAGAATGCGTCAAAGTTCTCTAGGGCTTCAGGACCTTTTATGTACAATTTGGTTCTCGGGCGAAATAAGACGATTCATGCAGGCTATCATTGGTTGTCTATTGGTGCGGGGCTTCTTGTTGGCTCCGTTCGCCGAGCTCTGGTCCCTTTTACAGGTACATAATCGAATCATCAGACTCCATCGCACGCCCTATGACTATCTAAACCCAAGGAGGAACTCATAACGAGATTTGGACTCCAAGTTGGCGGGCTGTGACTACCATTGATGTAGTGACCAATCAAAGCCGTGGATTAAAGTCCGGTTTAGGAAGTTATTGGGAGTGGGGCATCTGAAAGACGAACAACGGGAGTATAACTGTACTTCGCCCCCGAGGTGTTCGTGAATTTACTCAATTTTTATCAAGAGTCTAGTATAATGGCGCCCTTGGAAAACAGCCATCCAGCGACCCAGGCGCTTCATGCGGATGATCGCTTGAATCTGGTGACGGACGTCGCGCCTCCCATCCACCTGTCCACCATCTTCAGATACTCGAATGATCCAAATGAACTAGTCCCATCTGAGGATCCAGTGGTATGTAATGACCTCTGCAGTCCAACTCCATGGGACTGACACTCTCCAGGCCGAGTTCAACGGAAAGAATTACGTTTATTCTCGCGAGTTCGCTCCAAATGCAACTCGATTCGAAGCTGTTCTCTCCACCCTCCTCAAAGGGAATGCTGTGGCCTATGCCACGGGTCTGGCTGCTTTATATGCCGCCTTTACGCTCCTGAACCCGCGCCGGGTATCTGTCGGCGAGGGGTATCACGGCAGTCACGAAGTAATCTCCGTCATCTCTCGTCTCTCGGGACTGGAAAAGCTCCCTCTTGACTGTCCCACCGAGAGCTTGAATGCAGGTGATGTTATTCTGCTCGAGACACCAGTCAACCCCCTCGGAATTGCTTTCAATATCGCAGAGTATGCCGAAAAGGCACACTCCCGAGGAGCATATCTCATCGTTGATAGCACGTTTGCTCCTCCTGGCCTACAAGATCCATTCCTATGGGGAGCAGATATTGTGATGCACTCTGGATCCAAGTATTTCGGAGGCCACAGTGATCTCCTGTGCGGTGTCCTTGCAACAAAGCGAGACGACTGGACAAAGCAGCTGTTCGAGGACCGATTGGCTTTGGGCAATGTGCTTGGGAACTTGGAGAGCTGGCTTGGAACTCGCAGTCTGCGCACAATGGAGGTTCGCGTTCAACGCGCAAGTGAGAACTCTGCCAAACTAATTTCCTGGCTCCACAACGGTTTGAATGCATCGTCTCCGGCTACTGGATCGGAAGAAGCTACCATCCAGGCTGTGCTACAGAAGATGTATCACGCCAGTCTCCAGGACGAGCCGTGGTTGAAGAAGCAGATGCCCAACGGATTCGGCCCCGTCTTTTCAATCATCTTAACAAGCGAAGACTTTGCCCGAGCATTACCCAGTAAACTGAACTTCTTCCAGCATGCGACGAGTCTAGGCGGTGTTGAGTCTTTGATTGAGTGGCGCGCACTGTCCGACTCAAAGGTAGACCGAAAGTTGTTGAGGATCAGTGTCGGACTGGAAAACTGGGAGGATCTCAAAAATGATCTGCTCCAGGCATTTGTGGCCCTTGCAGGAGCGCGATAAGTTTGAAGCAAAGAATAGAATCAAAAACAAATAGCACGGCTATCTGCTTCGTGTCACAAATTCATATCCAAAGCCAGTCGCGCCCAAGGCGACCGATATTGAAAATCCAACCCGACCGGTTGTCACCCGGTGAGCTTTCTTGCTGCCAGTACTCTTGCAAGATGTTTGTTGCGTTGACAGCATTCAAACACCTAGTGATATCCCAGAACCTCTCCATGCAGCCAACGAGAAAGTCTCTTTGGGCCTGCCATTGAGACTCCAGACCTGCAACAAAGATCGGCCAAAGAACACATTTAAACATGGCCTCGTCGTTCTTCAAGGAGTCGGCCATGCCTAAGAGCTCAGCGACCTTATCATCCTGCTCTGTGAATTCTCCTGTCACAAAGTCGAGGATACGTGTGCCGTATAGAAGGGCGCCGAGTCTGTATGCCTCGGATAATGTGCAGAGATTAGCAATTTCCTGCGGCGAAGAGGTTCGTGATTGTTGGACTTTCGATGCCCAAGCATAGCTATCAAAATTTCGAATGAGCTTGAGTAACGCTGTGGTATTCTGAACGTGAATTTCGACAGCATCGGCGTCGAGTGGCCTGGAGCCTGCAATGCTGTCTCTTTCCATGGAAAGTTGTTGAATAGCCATGAGAATGTATTCAGAACATCCAAGGAATGATTTCTCGATAGTCTCTTGAAGCTGGGATTCACGCTGATCGAAAGACGGAACCTGAGATAATAGTTTTGGGCGTAAGAAAGCTGCACCAAGTGTTTCGATTCTATGGAAATGTCAGCTGGTTCAATAATCAACGAAACTCAATAAACTTACAGGTAAATTTGCTTCATAATAAAATCTCGAATCTCCCGCACTGTCTCACCAGGCCCGTGATTGATCACGGCCTGATCCTCGGAATGTTTATAAGTGGAAGCGATCAGATTCTTAGCGCCTTCCAGGTGAAAATTCCACCCGTCACTTCCGGACTCCAAAAGATCTAAGAAGATCAACAAGAAGATGCTAGCCACAGTACTATCTTGATCCGAAAGGTTCTTGTCGCGCAAAGAATGCGACAACGCTTCCATAGCTTGATGCTTAAAGAGAAGCGCATCGCGGTTCGCATTGATCAGGCTGGGCGACGTGGGATTGTCGAGTTGGTTAAATGACTGGCCGGTATTGGCATGGTGGCGTGCTGCCATCGCCAGAAGAGCTTTCATCAGCACGGGATCATTCATGCCAAGAGGGATGAGGCTCCTGAATGGATTTTTGTCGCTATCATATACAATGAAGAGCTTGCAAATGCGTTCATTGTCTGCCGAGTCCGTCAGTAAATCGAAGTGATTGGGGCAAGGATAGGAGGAAACGGGATATTCACAATAGTCAATGTAGTATTTAGATGCTTGATCCAGGTTCAATAGGGATGGATCTTCCAAGTTTACAGGTATACTCGGGGAAGTACCGAAAGTGCCTGCATGGTCATGAAATAGTTGGTCAAAAATAAACCCAAAAAGGTATGCCAAGGATTCTCGAAGTGAAGGTAGAATGATATCTATCAATCATAACCCGTTGACTCAACTTACCATTAGATCTGCCGAGACGACCTTGAGAAGAACGAATCAACGTGCGCCTCGACTTCGCCAATACAGGCGCGTGTTCTGCCGTGAACGAAGGACCCGCATTCTCATATGATCGACCTTGCATCTTCCCGCGGATAGCGACGCCTTTGACCCATCGAAAGGGCCGTTTGTCGAGACATTCCAACCCGGCTTTTTCGCACTTGCCGCAGGGGACGCCAGTCTGGTCGCACTGGATGCGCCGATTGCGGCATGTGTAGCAGGGGTCAGGGACAGATTCCATCGTGCATTGTGCTGATGGCAAGTCTTGATGAGGCAAAGGTCGCGCGGATGCTGGGATGCTGACTGAGCGGCATGCGGGGCTGATCACCGAGGCATAAGAGAAGCGATAACACTGGGGATACAACTTTCCCTCCTTATGCACATGGATCTCTTAAATGGTCTCTTCAAATTGATTTCTATCTTAAATTAGTGATGAAAAGTGCGTAAATGATCAGCTTCAAACATTCAGATGATTATTCCTGCTGCTGAGCCTCTCCCTTTACGAGCACAGCGTGTGCCTCTCACATGCCTACAATCTTTTCTCTCCCGTCCAGATTGCGTAAATCTCCGCGGCGCGCGGTACACGACCAAGTAAGCCTGGTACAAATGCAAGTAGGCTGGATATTCCCTAAGTTGGATCTCGTAAGGGTTTCCGCAGAGCGCGGGCGAGCGCGCCTGCTACAAGTGCGTGTAGCCTGGATTGGACCTTAAATTATCTTTGAGTGTGTTACAAGCTATGATCTTGGAAGAACTGCATGTTATAAGCCAGAAGCTGAATCTCCTGGACACCGCTGTCTTTGAAGAGTGTGTACCAATGGTCTAGCCTGAACGGCGGGTATGCCGATGTGTTATGGAATCGACTCGGAGACTCACGAAGGCTGGAATCAATTCCAGGAACGTTAATGATTCATAGAGCCTTGAATATGGGAATTTAATGACACTGGCCGCTCATCGTGACCAAGAAGCCGTCATTAAAGTGTTGCTCGAGCTCGGGGTCGCTATGGGGAAACCCACCGATAAGTTTAAGAAAACACCCCTGAATATACCGACTAGAGCTGAAAGTGTTGCAGCCGTGGAAAGATTCCGACAGAAGGGACTAAGAGAAGCTACCCCAGTCTGGAACCACGATGGTTGCACAAACAGCACAGAAGCTGCATGGGGGGGATATGAATGGTGAAGTAGCTTCTGGAGGGAAGCTAAAAGGTCGATCCTAACATCCTGGAATTTGAACAGTCACTATGCTCCGCGTTATTTGGGTCAGCTGTGGCGCTGATAAATCTCCTCTTTGAGAGAGCATTAGTGGGTAGCTTATCCGCGATCCGTGGACCCATTAACCCACTCGTGGAAAGTAGATTGCTTGGGGTAGTCAAGTCACGGCATAAAGACCAACGGGCTGCCGCTGATATTATAGACGCGTTCTTCACGCCTGGTATTGGGATGAATTCCAGAGAGTTGCCTTTACACCGGGTCTTCAAGACGAGAGGAGGTGAAGACTATGATCTCCTAGAAGACACAACCAAGGTTGGATTCCACAGAGCGCCGTAGTAGCGATGGGCTGTTTGACTGCTGTACCGCTCTTGCAGCTTGCCTACGAGCGGAAGAAGTATTCTGTTCAAGGGTCTCTCTATTGAACTGGCCGGGCAAGACATCTCAAACAGAGATGGGGCTACATGAGAGGGAGATTCAAACACACTGAATTTTGGTCAGACAGAGGCTGCAGCCCAGGAACAAAAGCCAAGACACGGACGGCAAGGCATGCGCAAGAATGCTGCATACCACGAAGAATCCAACGCGTCGCTCCGCAGTGCTAGCGCGGCGGCAGTGGGGCTTAACAGTGCTTTTTAAGCAGACCCAACAGCCAAAAATAGTAGCAAAAGATATAGGTAGAATTACTACGGAGATGTCCTGGTGATATGGCCTTGTCTATGGTGTTCGCAATGCCGAATTTGGCCCCTTAGGCCGACATCGGATCCAATTATGCAACAGCGGACGTAAAAGAGGGGCCTTGCAAATATTTCTAGCGAGCCAAGCCCTTGATAACACCTACAGAAGGGCATTAAGGAATTCTATTCAGCTGGCGATGGGGTAAAAAGGAAGAAATCTGTCTACCAGTCGAGTCGAGCCCTAATGTACTGTAAGGGACCCACAGTTATAAGAGCCTGCGATTGGCCGGCTCGGTTTATGACATCATAGGCGGCGGCCGTCAGACACGCGATTTCCCTTTTGGGAAGTATAGAGCTCCCTAGTCTGATCGTGGTTCATGGTTGCATTTCTGTCGTGTTTCAGCTCCCCAGTACTATCTTTGGATACAGGGACACAAAATCTGGTAAGGTTAGTCTATCGAATTCCCTATATTTACCTCGTCCGCACAGTGGCTGTTTATGTACCTCGTCTCTTACACTCTTTCGTCCGTACACACCTTCGTTCGTACACGCTTCGTCCTACACGTACATTCTTTCTATATACGCCCTTGATAATCCATTTCACGCCATATACCTACATCTATTCCACATACACCTTCGCTTAAGCGCTATATGCTGTGGCCTAAATGCCACCAATCACCATCAAAGCTGTATCTCAAATGTACGTCCACCACACCACACCGAAGCCCCATCAACACCATCCCAAGTCACTAAAACTGACAACTATAGACTATTCTCACGCTCTAATTCTATCAAAATGGACGCCGCACCTACCCTTGTCAAGCGCGATAACGCCTCCGACCGCTTCTCCCTCTATGTCTTTGCCATTATCGTCGGCTGCATCGCCTTCGTCCTCATTGGATGCGGTATCTACACAATGTACAACGGAAATGACGAGGAGGGGCTCAAAGATGTCCCATACGAGCAAAGAAAATACATGCATGAAGTGCGACAGCGGAATCTCAACGGACTCGCGTGGACGGCTAGACGGCCAGAAATGATTGTGCCGGTTGAAAGATTGAATGCTTGAGATGGTTTGCTTAAAGATTGGAAACATTGGCGTTTTATGATGAGATGGGAACATTATATACGACCTCGGGAATGGCGTTAAAGATAGGGATTGGAAACATAGCATTTAATTTACATCGTGGCATCTGGATAGTTAGCTTGCATACGAAAGTCATTCAACATGTGAGGTTCCAAGGTAATGGTGTATTGGTAGAATTAGATTAATCTGTCGAAATGTGCCAGGCATCGAATGTCCGCAAGATATAAATGAAGAAATTAATCTACAAGAAGCTCCCACCGGAGATTCCCAGGCCACATAAAAGATGTGACTTAACAGAGCATGCATCTCGAAAGCAGAACAAAATCTGAAGAAAAAAAAAAGTAAATTTAAAAACCGTTTTCCTATGTCCAACCAACAAAAAAACCACCCGAACTCGCTCGGCTCCAACAAACGTAACCGGTCGTCGAATGTAAACAGAAAAAAAAAAAAAAATAGCCCAATGCATATCAAAGGGAAAGGGATATCCAGGAAGCTAAAGAAAATAGTGCTGAGGAGCTAAAAAGTCGTAAAGCTGGAGACGGCAACATGAGACGTCGTCATGATAATAGGCATCCGCGCACGGATGAAAGAATTGTAGAAGAGGGTATCAAGAAGTTGAAATATTGCAGAAAGAATCGAATACATGCATGCCTGCTGTCCGGGTTCCCGCGGACAGGAGTTCCGTTGAATGCCAAACACGCCATTTATACACTTGCTTACATTCTCACAGCAAGGACATTTGACGGGTCGAGATTTAGAAGTTCATGAACATGGCGGCCACGGCACCAAGGGCAACTGTCATCATGGAGGCGGCAGTGCTGGTGGCGGCGCCGGTACTGGAGGCAGAAGCCGAAACGGCACTTGTGGCAGAGGACCCAGAGCTGGAACCGGAGCCCAAAGATGAGATCTCGGAAGCTCCAGTGGGAGCAAACACGTGAGGACGGTAAGTGTAGCTCATGGAGGGGCTCGACTTGGGCAGACGAGTGCTGCTGCTAGACGAAGTGACAGTCGAGGTGGGAGTCACAGTGGAGGTCGAAGTGGAGCTGGAAGTGGAGGTAGAGGTAGGGGTGGGGGTAGAGGTAGAAGTGGGAGTGGGAGTGACAGTGGATGTGCTGGTCGAAGTAGGGGTAGGAGTCTCCGTGGTGCTGGTGCTGGTCGGGGTGGGAGTAGGAGTGCTAGTGCTAGTGCTAGTGCTAGTGCTAGTGCTGGTCGGGACCACAGTGCTGGTGGAGGACTCGGAGCTGCTGGAGCTGGAGCCGGAGCTGGAGCTGGAGCTTCCATCAACGTCGAAGACGATGATGTTGGCCTTGGAGCCCTTGGGGACAGTGACAACACAGCCAGTGGCGCCGCCAGCGCCGGTAAAGACATCCTCCGCGCTCATCTCGTTGACATCCATGGTGGAAGGATCGATCTTGCAGGGGAGACCGTTACAACCACCACCCTCACACTCAATCTCGATACCGAAGGTGGGCTTGGTGTTGCGGAAGGGGCAGGTGGTCTCCAGGTAGATGGGGTTCCAGCCAATCTTCAGGTAAGAGCTGCCGTCGGAGACAGTGTTACCGCCAGCAGTGTAGGGCGACCAGTTACCGACGGGCTTAGCGTTGGTACCCCAGACACAACCTTCTTCAACGGAGACACCAGGAGCGTTGATATAGTACTGAGCGGCAGTCTCACACCAGTAAGACATGCCAGGGACGGCCAGAGTAGCGAGCTCCTCGACCAGGGTGGGGATCAGCATGGCCTCGTTACCAGGCAGCACAGTCTGGCAGAAAGCCACAGACTGGGAAGCCTTGTTCTTGGCAGACATGGCACCAGTACCATCCTCACAGTAAGGATTGTTGGGGAAAGGCTTATGGATCTCGCCGTTCTCGTCACAGTAGAGACCGCCGTTCTATGATAGGGTTAGCGATCCGTGCGCCCCTTGCATTGATTGCATATGACAGGTAAATCCGGGGCAAAGGTAACTCACCATGGACATAGGGTAGGAGTAGGAGGTGGCCTCCGGATCCCACTGCATGGAAACCTGACCGGGAGGACAGGCATAGGGGCAGTAGTTGCCGGGCTCGCAGGGCTGGTTGGGGCTCATAGCCCAACCGGCGTTCTCCTCATTGGGGGTGACAGAGACCAGGCCAGCATCGGTAGGGAACTGGCACTGTCCACTCTTCTTCTGGAGAGAAGCGTTTTCCGGAACGGAGCGAGCTTCCTGGTGGCGAACATGGGAGTGGCCATGACCATGACGCGCAGCCTCAGCGCTGGCAATGAGGGCGATAAGCGCGACTGCGCGGGACGAAGTAACCTGGAACTTCATTGTGTTGAAAGATTGTAAAGAGCGAATGGATGAAACGTATCAAACGAATGACTGGCCAGTAGGCCTGGGAGGACACAGGACGCAAAGCTCGCAGAGAATGAGGTCGAAGGAGGGAAAGTCCAAAAAGAGCGAGGACCAGCCAGGAAAAGGAAACACAGCCCAGCCCAGTTCCAATGCAGGCACCAGGGGAGCAGCGACGACACTAACTGTAAGCAGTATGAGATCGGGGGTCTGTTGGCCCCGGAGCAGGGCACCAGGGACGGAGAGGCAGTGGAGAATCGTGTGGAAACAGTGGATCACAGTGGACAACCATGGACAGCCGTGGGCTCCGGAGCAGGAAGAGGCCCCAACTCTAAGACCCTAGAAGATGAGTGGCTCCTCGGGCGAACCCTGCTGAAGAGGAAGCCAGCGCGATAGCAACGAGGGAGAAGCCCCTGACCCGCGAGACCAACCATGTTTCCTGTAATCTGCTAGCGGGACGCCATATGGAGCTACCAGAGTTAGAATGCCGCTAACCACGGTGTAAACACGAACTAAATATGAACTAAACATGAACTAAACGGACTAGCGTCAGGGGCACTGCTGATATCCGGATATCCTCCAATTATGCGACTACTTTCCCCGGCGGTTCCTGCTTGGCATGGGGCTGCAAAGCCAATAAGCTCATTTGTTTGGTCCCCATGAACCCTTCTCTTCTAGGAGCCCTGCTCTTTTCTGGATGATTATAGGCGAGAAAGGGCTGACTGTTCTCATTCCCTGCTCGTTTACCTCGTGTTATAAGACATCAGACCGTGCTGTGTGACTGAGACGGTGTGACTTGGCGAAAAGGAGAAGAACTTAAGAAATTTCCCGCCCCACATACACTTGAGGCATCGGCAACATCTTTCTTTCTTAGGATCGCCGTTCCACGGCCCTACAGAGTCTTAGCACGTTGGCTTGTCAATCCTCATCAAATACTTCTGTCGGCCTGTGTCGGTAAGGTCTAGATTGTTGATCATGATAGACTCCTGATGCGATCGCCCATGTCCCGGCCAATGATGACCCATTGTACCCCCCGGTTACGAATCCCGGCTCCTACTGTACGCGCCCAACACTGAAGAGGTTACCTCTGTTCCCTTTTCCGAGTGGAGTTCTCACCGTCTGCCAAGAAATGTGAATACCGAAACCGCCGTAGCCATCTTGTAATTCTGATGCGCTCCCGGCTTGTCCAAAGCTTGGCTTGCCGATGAGTGGTGACTACTCTTGGCAATGAGATCAAATAGTATAGATGTAAACTTAGATATAGAGTCGGATAGTATCATCTGTATCGAAAAACAAGCAAGGATGTTAAGGCTATTGCCCGAGGAGATCCCGCCCGAGGCAGTTTGATCGGTCTTCCGTGCATCCGAGCGGCGTCGATCAACCCATTGGTGATACTCTTGCTTCTAAGAGCCATAGCCATTCAATCGACATTTAAGAGCTTTGTGTGTATGTTATATGTTGATTCATCTATCAATGTATACAAATCCCCCTTAAAAAGGGAGTCTGAAACGAGAATAGTTTCCTCGCTTAGCCTCTTTCTCTATGGGTTTAGCTTGTTATGCCAAGCTATTCGGCTTCGGTCACGGATCATTGCTGAAATAAGAAGGAGTTGTTTAGCTGGCCCCCAAGCTACAGGTAAGATTCTCAAGGCCAGCGGAGCGGAAAAGGGATGTGCTAATTTGATACTAAGCCAACGTCGGTGCATAAGCAGATTCAAACCATGGCGAAAATCAGCACAATGCCTATGCTGTCTCTATGAAAACAATAACCATTTCCTTCAGCCTCCAAACACAAGAGTTATGTTGTCCTAAACCGATAAGGCTTCGCTGTTGGTCGCATAAGACATTGACAGCATAGCTTTTTTTATAGCCCACTTTGCTCATTCAATGGCAAGGTAGCCATGATTCAAAGGCCCCCGAATTAAAAATACAGGATGAAACCAAGCCAGGGCCCCCTATTTAGTGATAGTGCGTTTATTGATTGCCGGATCAGTGGCTTCGAGAAGGATCGGCAAGTGATAGATCCAGGTGCCTATCTAGGAAGCCAAGCACGCGTGATTCATGTCCAAAAAAGAGTATCACGATTCAGGAAGCTCTTGACCAAGAGATCTTCTTCAAAACTACCCAGTGCATCGGCCAAGGGAAGCAATGACAGCAACGACGTCGTCGCCCGAATCACTTGCTAGACATGGAGACGGCTGAAACGTGTTTAAAGCATTCAAAACAACCATCACCTCACATGTCCGCTTCATAATAGTCTCTGCGCAGATTTCTGCCCATCGGATTCTACAGAAGAAGCACCTCTAATTCTTGGTCATCCTTGCTTCAGCTTCGTACGCGAGTCTGCCACTAGAGCGACAATTCGCAAAAGTTAAAAAGCCAGTACGCCTCGCATGCTCAATGAAGGCAACTTCTTCCGATTTGCTGCAAGGGCTGTAATCTTGGCTTGGAATGCGGCTCAATCTCTAATATTGATGTGGGGGCCATGCATCTGACATTTGACAGGTCGCATTATCAGTCAACGCCTCACCGCTACACTCAATTTCTCCAACTATTATCAGTCTTATCGTGAAGCTGCGATGTGATAGACCGCCACATAGGTAGATTTGAAAGACGAGGCCTCTTACCTTTTTCTCGGTCTGGCTGAACTTGGAGTCAGAATGGATTGTACAATCTATTAAAACTACAGTGGAAGAGGCAAGGAAGATGGTTTGAATCATGTTGGATTGAAATACTGAGATGACTTGGAAGCATACCAAGCCACGCCATGGCGCACTGTTTCGCCCGCAACCTGTACTTAGAAGAAGGCCAGTGCGGCAATTCCCAGTGTGTTGAAAGTAATTGGAAGGCCTCCTCACCTACAAGCCTTGAGAGCCTGCAAGTCTCGAGACGGTGGAAGGGTGGTATATGGATTGTCGAGTTTGTTGTCGGCTGTGTAGACCGTAGTAGCGTAGAACATTTTGAAAAAACCGCCAATATACCCTACTCCTCTTGAAACTCGAGGACTTCGCCCTCACTCAAACTGACTGGCTTTTGCCAGCCTTGAGAATGCTTACAAGCATTGGTGCAATAGCAGATGTTCATCTTCTTATCCTACTTGTATTTGCTGCAAGCAAGCTTGCCAGAGGCTTCTTCGGTCTGCTGACTGAAGCTATACACCTTTTTTGTCAAATCATTGGGTGGATTCGATTAGAATTATCTCGTGAAAACTAATCCTGATCCACAATGACTCGCTGTCGAATGTACATTTGCAGAAACAAATACCTAAGTATAGTCTAGAGAGCCGATATGGTCATTGAGTTGGTTAACATCAAGGAGCATCTAGCTTGACACGCTATAGAGTTCATTGATGGATTTGCGAAGATCTTCAGAGAAAATAAAGAGCCAAAATGATTGCTCGGGTAATACTTCTCCTTCCAGGTTTGTAGCTCGCGGTGGGTATGGCCTAAGGTGTAGGCCGAATAGATATCGTTCACTTTCAGTGATAGGCCCTTGGTATCTTTGTGGAAAGATCAAAGCTCAGACTCAGGGCTAATTGTAGAGCCGAGAGAGAGAGAGTCCAAACGTCTCCTGAAGGAATGCATTGACACGGCCCTCTTCGAAACATATATTCGGGTTTAGATCTTGCCACAACGCTAGGCTCTGATCAAGATTACTATCATGATTGACAGCCCAGGCAGGGTCAAATGATTGAAATTTAAGCATAATATTTGGCATCAAATCTAGCCACCATGTGAGCGGATAGCTGAAACGACTGTCCATATAAACTCGCGAAATCCGGTAATGACCGGATAATGTTAACCGAAGCCAAATTAGAGGATCGAATGTTATGAGTGGTAGTTATTTGAGACAGTTTCCCATTCAGATTCCCTCCGACATAGCCTTGGATTCTTGTGGATTTGAAACCCTTGTTAGATCATTTTTTTAATTATTCGAAAGAATATCCCTCGAAAAAAGACATACTGTGCTTGAGGTTCACGCCGTTCGCGAGTGCTTGTTCCCCCGACAATTGAGAAGCTGTCTCAAAACTTGAAACTCCCATAGGAAGTATAAGCAAACGCTCGGCTGGATAACCGGAAGGATTGTTATTCAGCCATTTCGAGTTGGTTGAAATGAGGGGGCCTGCCTCGTACAGAGCCAAATACGCTCTACGCCAGACCGGGAAAGGATAGATTATATGTGCGAGGCCCCTTTCCTGTACTCCGATACATCTCTAGGCTCATCCCAGAGCATACTTGGCCGGCCGTGGATCCCAGGAATGTGAAAGTAGGAGCTCCGACCGCGTAGAGAGACCTCTTGAGATCGGCCAAGAGCCAAGATAGACATATTCATTTACTATCATTGGGAGGGTAATGGCTCCTCCAATGATCAAGATTTGGACGTACAGGAACCTCAACCTTGGGGCAATCTGGGTCCATCTGTGCAGTCTTGACGGTGACGGAGATAATAGACCCAGCTACAGGAGACACTGGCTAGCTGAACAGACCCAAGGAGGGCCTCTAGGCTCGATTTCATTGGATGTAAGCTATGACGTGGCAACCACTCAGCGCATACCGATCGAATGAAACCGAATACGGGGGCCAACGAACTTCTGTATTTAGGCTCCTGCAGGCTCGTTCATGGTGATGACCCTGAAATCACCGTACGTCTCCTGCATATGAAGTGGGCCGAACAAGAATCCCCCCTTAGTTCAAGGGCCAAGCTCCTTAACGGCCCTTGAATGGGCTAGCTAAAAGCCACTAATTAGGGAAACCAGACGTGGATAGGCCAATTCTGGTTCGGGCTGCTTTGGAATGCACAGCCTAAACATTGTGGTTGGTGGGTTAAGGATCCACGAAGGGGGCAAATAAAACCAGGTGTTTGCCCGGCTTCCTGCTCCGCAGACCAATACCCCGTAATACTAATTACGACGGAGAAAAATAACGACTAGAAGTATCTCTTTCGGAATAAGCCAGCGCAGACTTGATGAGGGTTCTGCTCACCACAGCCATCAGCAAATGCCCTATTTCCTTGAAAGGCTTCGGTGTTCAAGTGCTACCACGTTTCAAAGGCAGGATGGCATGCCGTGGGGCTATTCCTGGAGATCATCCGATACTTGGATTATCAGTACGATGAGTCTGGCACTTTTCACCGGTAAGTGGCAAGGCTTGAGAAGGAGATAGGATATTGTGTACGTCGGAAATTGCCAAATTCTTACTGTGAACTCCAGATGAACTGCTCTTCGCCTTCATGCTACCTTTGCTCCCTACGGTGCTAGAGCGTCGAATCGGCTTGGAACCATCTCTCACCCAGAGGTACACGTCTATCTTCCTGACCGAAGGCGCCTTTGTGTCTGTGGTTTCAAGTCCATTTATCGGGTCAATAGCCGACGCAGTCTCTAGTAAAAAGACACTGTTATTGACAATCCTTGTACTGGCCCTGATCAGTATCGCTTGTCTATCACTGACAACCAACTGTACGTAAACTGGGACATTCTCTTTCGCTAGTCTTTAATTGGCCCGTCCCGAATCTGACTGACTGAATGTGCAGTGGTGTGGCTATTTGTTGGTCGCTTTTTTCAGTGCATTGCTAGCAATGCCTTGTGGATTGTAGGCATGGCAACGATGACCGAAAACATTGGCTCAGAGCACATGGGCAAGATTGCTGGCCTGAGCTCCACACTCACAGCGGCGGGAACCACTGCCGGGCCTGTTGTCGCAGGACTATTGTTTGAAGTGGGAGGCTATTGGTGCGCGTGGGCAGGCGCGGCCAGCTTTCTCTTCGTGGACATTATCATGCGTCTCATAATGATGGAAAAGCCTGTCAAACCCCAGCGCATGGCTGGAGACCAGGAGCGAGAGCCTCTCTTGAATGATGATCTGCCCGCTACCAACGGCGAACAGCCTAATCGCTCAGCTTCTTCAGAGGTGCGAGGATGGTACTTTTACGTTTGTCTGTTTCGCGAAATGCGTTTTTCTGCAGGAATTTTCTGCTATTTTGTGTTTGCTTTGCTAATTGGCTCTTTCGAAAGTACCCTGGCGGTACACGTACGGTCGGCATTTGGTTGGAGAGCTCTCCATGTCGGATTGTTATTAGGATTGATTCAGGGACCCGGCATGTTATTGGCTGCCCCAGTAGGATGGATGAAAGACAAGGTGGGATCGCGGACTCCGACAATGGTGGGGTTTTTTAGTCTGGTACCGTTTATCATTCTTTTGGGAGTCCCTGGCGACAGTCGATTCCGGTGGGAAGGAGGGGTTTCGGAAAAGAGCCTCTACGTTGTTTGCATGGCAATGATCGGGTGCCTGATGTGCCTATTGAACGGGGTGGGATCCATGGAGGCGACTGGTAAGTGAGCCGCAATTGCAAGGCCAACACAAGCTAAGTACATTTCCTGCAGAAACAATTGACGCTCTTGAAGCCCTCGAGCCTGGTAAATTTGGTTCCAATGGAGGCTATTCTCGCGCCATTGCCATGACTAGTATGACTTGGATGGCTGGTCTGATGACCGGTCCTCTTTTGGCGGAGTTTGTGGTGGAAACCTTTGGATACTTCGAACTGCAATGTTGTCTAGGTAAGTTATCTGCAAATTCGAATGATATGTTTATTAATTTTACTAGGGGTCGTGTCCTTTGTAGCAGGCTTCGTTGCTCTGATTTTCTTGGGTGCTCGGTCGAATGCTCCAGAGCAGCAAAGCACATAATATCGATGTGACTCGAGATCTACATTTGTAATATCACCTGGGCAGTTAAAAGAGTAACCAGAGTCGGCTTGAGCAGCTGAAATATAATCACTCTTGCCTGAGAGCCCTCTGACTTAAATACATTTGTGTACGCTGAACTTTTCCACACAATCATCATGACCACAGCACGCCAAGAAGCAAGTGCGACACCAGTCTGGTGATGAGGCGTCTATCCCACAAACAAAACACCAAAGCGGAAGTGTCTGTTGAATTTCGGCTTCCTTGGCTAATTCTTGTCGATAAAACTTACTCTCAGACCCCATTAAATACCGATCGAGTGCCTTGCGATTTCCCGCTGCACTGTCGAGCTTGGGGAGCCATCGGACCCAAGGGGAGCGACGTCGGATTGCCGCCATAACCCGGAAATGCGTGGAAATATCCCTTTTTACTGCTATCATAGCGCCTAGGCCACGTACCGGTTCGTTGTCTTCACAGAGAGTCTTTGCGTGATCACGTACAAAACTCTTGATCACGTTCTCGATTTCACCGCTGCGAGCTGGCCAATCTTCTGCTTGGGCCATGTTCAAGATTCCCAAGGCTTCAATTAAGACCGGGAGAGCCACTGGACGGCTAGTTAGAGCTCTCCAGAAACGAATACTCCTTAGCATCTGAGACTTCTTGCCAAAGCCGAGGGATTTCATCATGGCACCATCAAAGTTGATGGAAATGCCGCTGACGCATAACCCCTTCCCAAAGACAACCAGGTCCGGCTCTAGATCACTTTGGGAGTATTCGGGTCTTTGGCATGCCCATGGTGCACCACATCGGATCGCCGTCATGGCTTCATCCACCACGAGGAAAAGATTCGCTTGATGGCAAGAGCGTTGCAATAAAGCGAAGTCATCAGGGGGGAATACTGATCCATCTGAAGTGCTAACCAAGTCGACGATCACTGCTATGCAGCCTTGCTGCTTTGCAAAAACGAGCTTCTCTGGGAGAACATCTATAGACAAGTCTTCTTTTCGGATCACCACCGGAGCTTGGCCCGTCCCAATGATATTGTATTCCCATTCGGACGACACAAGGGCCTGGAAATATCAGTGATTAGGACTCAACGAGCTTGAGAAAGAGAAGACTTACTAACGGTCCAAACGCCCCACCGTAAATTCCGTCCACAACGGCAAATCGGGGTGCTGTGACATGAACATCGGTCCACCCCAGCAAGTTCCGAACAAAATTCTGTATTTTCTCCGGCTCCGGATCTTCCTTCAACATGGGAGAGAGCTCGGGCGACTCAATTACTAAAGGACTGGTCGATGCAGTGTTCAGAATCAGTGTGGCCATGGTCGTAGGGACCAAGACATCACTGACATGAGCGTGCAAAGAGATGGGCCAATAACCCCGGAAGAAATTATGGAAGTTTTCCGTGTATTCACTCAGAATTGCATGGTATTGGCGCTCAACAGAGCCAGGATTCTCAGAGTATTGCTTCCAAAGCTCACGAGCCCGATCATCAGCGATGAAGCCGCGCATTGAATAATTTGAACCCCAGCCACTGTGGAAATCGTGATCCAATGGCGCTCCGCCATTACACGGTAGAAAGCCATGTCCATTCATGACAACTAGGTTCCTCGGAAACTTTTTGGAAGTGAAGTAATGAATAATAATTGAACCGAAGGGCATTTCAAAAACCAAGAAAGAATGGTGACTCGACTTGTCTATGACAGGGGCCTCGAGATTTGGCGTGCTCCATGTTGACGAGCACTATGCCTAGTACGACTCCAGTGCGGCAAGGAGAAACAGTGGAGTCGATCCTAGTGGACGAACACCGTTCATGCCATGGTACAATACCTGACAGAATACACGATACCGTGAATGATACAAGATGCATACGAGCCACTTGGCACGAACCACAAACCTTCGCATCATCACTGAACAGCTCTAGATCCCGTAGGCTTCCATTTCCCCTGTTCTGTCCCGTTGTCCTGATCGCCACATGGAAGTATCAGTAGTGTTTTCTCTGTTTTCATTTTGTACTGTTTTCCTGACAGATTGCCAGGATTCACCCCCTCATGTAAGATGTGACATCCCCAAGGGATTTTCGTCATCCAAGGGATTGCCCCAGCAGAAGCGCCTGGTTCATCGGTGAGGAGCTGCAGGCTAAGCTCGTCGCCCCTTGGCGAATAGGATTGACGGGATTTGGAATGTGTCGAGCGGATCTGAGTCCATGCACGAGGTGTGGAATTTACTGAAGTACCTTTGCAATTGCAAGTTACATCGAATCCCCACGATACCCATCAATTGCCAGGATCAACTCCTTCCCTGCACTGCGAAAGCAACATTCGACCTCGCCTTATCATCTCTTGCACCTTTTACACCAACTCATGAGGCATGGCTCCAAGTCTGGCGGAACTGGTTCCTCCCCCTGTGGACGATGTTCCTGGCAGGAATGCTCTAGCTTTCACCAAAACGGCTGGTTCATCTGAGGACGCCAGTGAACTTGACTTGGGTCAGTTTTGGTGCTCACATGAGAGTCTAGTATCGCAATCGATCGATAAATCAACATTTCTGAAGGCTGCATGGATTCTCACTCTTCGTTGCTTCCAGCCAGAGGAGGTGATAAGCATAAATTATGATGAGGGATCCGCTCTGAAATTCGATCCGAGCACTCCGATGGTGTACACGGTGCGAGTGAATCCAGAATGGGATGTACGGTCGCTCCTGAAAGCTCTAGGGGCCACAGAAGCTTTCGCAGTGTCGAGTTCCTCACAATCCTATGGCGCCCAACTTTCGCAGCTCCCCCTTTCCCGCCATGTCTGCACTTCAGCACTCAGGTATCTGGCCACTCCAGAGCGATATCCTGTTCCATCAAGCTCAGATAATGGAGCCCTCGAGGTAAGCTAGACTTTGAAACGTTTGTGACATTGCTTGAGGCATAGATATTCTATTTCTGACGTTCTGTCCTTGTTCACTATCCAGCTCATCGTCATTGAGAACGAGAAACAAACAATTGCTACTATCCAGAATATAGAAAGAGGCGCCAAATCTTCCAATCAGAGTATGCTACGGACCTTTCAAGCCGTTCTACAGCAAATCACAACCCACCCAGGGAGTTACAAGCTCGAAGATATTGACTACTGCTCGAAATGGCACTACAATATAATCCAGAGCCTCACGTATACCAACGGAGCCTCACATTCTAAATGCCTACACGATTTAATTTTGGAAAACTGCCAACGGTATCCAACCAAACTTGCAGTGCGCTCATTTGATGGAGATTTGACCTACCAGGATCTGGATAATCTCTCTCTCCGACTAGCAAGACATCTCACTCGATTGGGTGTGCGGCCTGAAACATTTGTCTTGAGTAGCTTTCAGAAATCAACATGGGCAATAGTAGCTCGATTGGCCATTCTGCGCGCAGGAGGAGCGTACATCTCGATCCACGCTAGCAATCCACCTGCCTATCTCAACTCGGTGATCCGTCGCACCAACGCCAAGATCATGTTGAGTGATCCTGTCTTTGCAGATCAGTTCCGCGATCGTATTGATACGGTCATCGCGGTCACCCCTGAATGGCTACATAAATGTCCATTGAGAAATCACCGAACCTCTTGTGCATCCGCTCAGCCATCTAATGCCTGTACGGTTTTGTTCACTTCTGGGAGCACAGGTAGGCCCAAGGCCATTGTACAAGAGCATCGGTCCTACGCCTCTGCAATCAGGGACTATGCGCGGAACCTTGGCCTGAATCAAGACACTAGGTTCCTGCATTTTGATGATTACGCTTTCGACATCAGTAATTTGGAGTTCTTGGTTCCTCTCATCGTAGGAGGCTGCTGCTGTGTACCAGGGCCGATGAAGACTGTTCAGGATCTGGCCGACAACATTCAGATGCTCAACGCTAATATCGCTTTCTTAACACCTACCGTTGCCATAAAAGCAAGCCCAAAAGCTATGAGCAATCTTAGAATTCTATGTGTCGGTGGAGAGCCTCTTCCAAAAGATCTTCTGAGCAACTGGGCTGGAAGCTCGACAACGCTCATCAATCAATTTGGTATGGGCGAAGCAGCCGTCTGTTGTGCCTATAACGATGATGTACATGATCCTAACAGCTCACCGGCAACTATTGGAAAGCCATCAAGTGGTGCGATCTGGATCGTCGACCCGCTGACTCCTGCGAAGCTGATGCCCATTGGCGCTGTGGGAGAAATCGTGATCGAAGGACCCCATCTTTCACGGGGCTACCTTGACCAGAATCACCAAGCATCTGACCGCACGAAGCCAGCTGGTTTTCTTGAAGGGGTACCACCTTGGTTGAACAAGCTTCATCCCGATCGACAGTCCGCCCGCTTATATCAATCAGGAGACCTGGCACGATGGACGCATGATGGGAAGATCGAGTACATCGGCCGCAAAGACACGATTGTCAAGCTTGACGGATGTCGAATTGATGTGATTGAAGTCGAGCACCTTGCAAGGAGATCTCTTGCGCCCAAAGATGCCATTGTAGTGGACCTTCTCGGCGTGATTGATGGCAAAGATGATCCTTGTCTAGCGGCGTTTTTGTACCTCAGCGACCATCCAAACAACTCCGAGACGGCAGAGATTTCTTTGAAAGACGCAAAACAAGATCGAATGGCTTCCGAAAAGGTAACCCAGATCAAGAAAGTACTTGCCGATTCCCTCCCGCTCTATATGATTCCGACGTTGTTCTTGCTAGCTACTCGGGTGCCGCGTACACCTTCAAAAAAGACCGACCGCAGAATGATTCGAGTCTTATCAACAAGTTTCTATGCTCAAGAGCGCGAAAGAAAAGGTAGCGTTTCATCTAGTCTTGGAGACGCACAGCTTCTTCCTCCTTGATGTTTCTGCCTTGGCTGAGAACAATGAACCATGGATAACAAGCACAGTATATAAAATCTTACGAGAAAGAACTTGAAACATTTAAAAACATATTTGAAAAGAAAAGAAGGAATGATCGGGAATTTTAGATAAAATGTTCGTCTCAAGTCACTGTCCTGGGTTTCTCCGAGCCTTCTCGGTCCTTCCTATCTGCTCGATTTGTGCCTGCGCCAAATTCACCCAGTAACTAGATGTAGGTACCCAAATTAGGTAGGCGGGAACTTCCCTTATCCAGCAAGCTCATACAGCTAAGCACCATTACTTCTGCAGATTCGAACTGCGGCAGCCCCTTCTGGTCTCACGCTGCCTATTTAGCATGCAGTCCTTCCCCAAGCTTCCAATCTTAGTGACAAAAAATCCCGACCTATGTGCGAGATTATATGACTCGCATGAGGGATTTATCAAAATTATTTGAATCGAGTTGATTGCCCTTTGAGCAAGGCTGTGGTGGGGTTGCGGAGGCGGGGTGCTAGCAGTAATAACACAGGGCCATGCTTATCATTGTTAGAGGGCAAGAGCCAGCGAGACCAGAGACAGGGCCCACCCAACCCCGCCCATGAAAATTTAGAGGCAGACTATAAATAATGCAAAAGAGAAAAAAGGTTGAGAAGCCTTGAGAAATTGAAATCTAATCAAATATCGTAAAATGAAGTTGCCGACCAGATTATTGCTACTCATTCAAGCTGCAACCGCTCTCAATGTTGGAGTTGGCTACGAGCATCCGATTGAAGGTATATTATTGTGAGATCATACTCTAAATGACACAGAGAACTAACCTTGAGTTCTGCTCAGACCTGGATAAAGATCTTCCCTTCTCTCAACCTGTGACTTTTGCCCATCTTCCCTGGGAACGATGTCTAGCCGCCGACCACGAACGTGTTCGTCCAAAATTCCCACCACATCTACTATATACGATTAACAGAGTTAGTATAGCCCCTAGATATCGCCATTCTCGGCTTCCCATATGACACCAGCACATCATATCGACCCGGCGCACGTTTTGGCCCCCGAGGCATCCGCGCCGGCTCCTCTCGCGAGAAAAAAGGACGCAGCTATAATCCAGTTTGGGGAATTGATCCATTTGAGGAGGGTCTGAGCATTGTGGACTGTGGCGATATTCCCCTCACACCTTTCGATGCAGCTCATGCTTTCAAGCAGATGGAACAAGGTTACCGCCAGGTCCTTCACCATCAGACTAATACATCGGGTGGGTGGTCGCATCCACGAATTATCAGCTTGGGCGGTGATCACTCGATAGTGCTGCCGATTTTGCGCTCTTTGAAGACTGTTTATGGTCCCATCTCGGTTATTCATCTCGACTCGCATCTTGATACTTGGGATCCGTATGAGGGGTATACAGGTATCTCGTCCGAGCAGTCGGCCATCACTCATGGAACTTTCTTCTGGCATGCGAGTAGGGAGGGATGTGTCAATAAAGGAGCAAGTGTTCACGGAGGATTGCGCACCAAATTGTTTGGACTCAAAGACTATGAGATCGACAATGATGTTGTTGGGTTCCATCGTATTGAGGCTCGTGAGATCGATGATATTGGAGTGGATGGAATTGTTAAACGGACGCTAGATGTTGTTGGAAACAACCCGGTATATCTTTCTATTGACATTGACGGTATGTGGTCTACAACAACATTGTGATCAGGAAACTTCCCTGCTGACAATCTGAATGCAGTTTTGGACCCGAGTATTGCGCCTGCGACTGGAACTCCTGAGTCTGGAGGCTGGACGACTCGTGAGCTCAAGCGATACATCAAGGGCCTCGAAGGGTTGAATCTGGTTGGCGCCGATGTTGTCGAAGTCAGTCCGCCATATGACTCGGCCGCGGAAACGACTTCAGTGGCAGCAGCTGATTTGATTATTGATATCCTGGCTGCGATGGCTAAGAAGATGTCTCCTGATTTTGAAAGACAAGGAGACAGTGGAAAGGATGAGCTGTGAATCTGGGTCTGGCACCGTGTCGTGAAAGCCTCACTGTTGGCTCGGTGTATTTTATTAAAGCAGCTTTCCCCCGGAAGCGCGAAATGGATACATATGGAATCTTAAATTTGAGGGCTATGCACTTTCAGTTCACGTTCATGAACTGATTTCCAATAGTTTCCTCTGTCTGTCAAAATGCACTAATCTACATCTGGCTAGGCCGTCAGCAGCCCTTGACCCTATTCTCATCGAAAATGCGGAGTTGATCGGGAATTGTTGCCTAGCAATAATCATGGCAGGCCTGTTAGACCTTCCCAATGAAATCATTCTGTTCATTGTCGACTACCTGCAAGCAGGCATTCAGGAAGCCGAAGTGCAAGTGCCGTTCTATAGGCTTGGGGACGCCTACCGTGACGCTATCGACCATGACCAACCACGGATGACTGGATATTTGCGCTCTTTGATACTCCTTTGCCATCGCTTTCATGATCTTCTAACGCCAATAATGTACCGTGACATCCTTGTCCGCGATTACAATTTCGGTGGAAAGAGAAGACCACTGGACCAGCTCAATCGGACCCTACAGCAGAACCCGGGTCTCAATGAATTCATTACTTCGGCATCCATTTCATGTGGAGACTCCCTAGCCGATTGCTCCATTCTCCCTCTCGTCCCCTTCTTCTGGTACGCGAGCATGTACACACTCACCATTCACACATTCAATGACTGGTCGCCCCTGGAATTTGAAGATGACTCGCATGTTGGCACCTCACCCGTTGAGTTCCTGAGACTTCTAGGATGTGGAGCGCATGAAGAGGCTCTTGCATCTACATTAAGCTGGCCAGCGGTTTTGAAATCCCTTCATTACGATGTTGAGCAAGGCGAGTGGGACGGCCATGCTGAGGGTGAACCTGCCAAGGAGTGGACGACTACTGCTTTTGTGCGCGCACTGCAGTCACAAAAGAGCACACTGGAAGAGCTGATCCTGACAAGGCCGCGCTGTGTGCATGAAGGGCTATATACTGGGCCTCATATCATCCTCAGCGAGTTCACGGCCTTGAAAACACTTCAAATCTATCATGCATTTCTCCGTGGATGGGATGAAAGTTTCAGGATTTGGAGATGCTTACCTCCCAATTTGGAGGTGTTGGAGGTGTTTTATGACGATACAGACCTCTATCGATTCCAAAATGACTGTGAACCTGATGGATATGATAGCTTTCTTCCTGATTTGATTAGGCATAAGAGGACACGCCTCCCGCATCTGCACACGGTGACAATCTACTCGCCTGAGAACCGCTATGATTCTGAATCCGAAGGTGAAGATGAAAGAACAGTGAATGTACCGGGTCTTTGGGAGTTGCCGTCTTCGCTAGCATCTGAGACTGAAGCCGCTGGGATAATATTAAATGTTTGGCTGGGAATCGACGAATGGTCTTTTGATAGTAAAGGATTACTCTAGTCTCACCAAAATGACCAGCTCATATCTATATGTAATGTACGAATGGCATTCGCTAAGCTGCAACCGAAGACTTATCTATGGGATGCCTCGTCTTATCATGATAACAGTCAACGCTAGCGCTGATCTCCTGACATGAGCAGGTACCAGCGAGGCTCAATGCTCCAACACTAGTAATCAGCCTTTAATAACGGGAGACCCCTCTTTGCCTATTTTGAATGAGGCAAGTCGGAGCGAGCTTAGCCATCAATCCTTGCACGCAGGTCGAGACGTTATCGTGGAGGGAAGAGAATATCATAACTTGCATGTAGGAAAGTATAAATACTTATTAGCTAGGCTTTCCACTGCCGATGGCATCCAAGAGTCTGAGTCTACCTCAATCAAGTAATTGCCAATATGCACCTTGCGTTGCCCCCTCCTCCAAAAAGAAAGCCCAGCCAAGACAGAGGATTCAAAAGTTTAGTATCGAATTCGTCAGACAGAGACAGCGATATGGCGTCCGGCTCAGCGGAAAAAACTGGACGCAAAACGCTTCGGTCGTTCAAAAGCCTCCTGTCACGAGGACAAGCAACGAGAACGCCACCAAAGTGGTATGGGTCCATGGTTACCATCCAGTTGTTTTCTACTAACACTTCTTAGAGAAGTTGGCGGAAATCAATGTTATAAGCTACTGAGTGGAATTGATTCATCATGAAGAAGTTCTTATCCAGATCATCGGCCATCACAAGCCTAGCCCGGGAAATTTTATCTTTATCTCAAGTAATCATAAACACGGGTATAGAATCATAATGTCATATAACTTAAGATGACGCATGTGTTCGGCGCCCTGTAATCGATCAGTATGGAGCTACACAAATCGTTAAAGTCAGGGTACTCACACTCAGCCAACTCCTCCGCGGTTAATTCCCGAATGCTGTTAATATCGGGGACATTGCCCTGGACAGCACCCTTAACGGTATCGACAGCACGGCCGAGAATTCCCTTTTTGGAAGCAACGTGTGTAGCCAATTTGGCCTCCAGCTTGATGACACCAATACGAGGGTCTGAAGGGCCACCATCGTGCACACCATCACCCATGTCACCGATCCATGCCTTCAGGGCTGTCGAGTAATATTTCTGAACAGTTGCTTGGTCGGAGACGACGGTGGCTGTGCCGGAAATAGAGGCCCAGGCGCCAGAGATAGGGTCCAGGAAGGACATGTTGACTTCCTTAGGGTGGGCAGTGAGGTCCATAGTCTTTCCGGAGAACAAATTGGTGTGGAAAATTAGGTCAATACCGCCATGCTCCTGGATCACACTTGAGTTAGCTTTTTCGATTCCAAAGGATTCGTTTGAGCCATTACGAGTCACTTACCTGGGCGGCAAGGGCCATGCATCTTGAAGCCAGGTATTCTCCCTCTGACTGGTGGGTAGTCAACATGCCAAATTTGATCTCTGAAATGAAGTTTGCCAGGTCCTCAATCTTCTGAGGGAGAGGCGGGTCTTCGAAGCTTTTCGACTTGTAGGGGTCCACGGGGTGGTTGCCCGTTGCGGTATTGATGGTTCCTTCGGCAGACATGATTGTATGTTTTAAGGTGAATAGTTCAGTTTTCAGAACCCTTAGTGATTGAAGACGAAGGGATTAAATAGTAGTTCTATGCACAGTATACGAACACGTCGATGTGACGTCAGCGATAAGATAATCCGGATTAGAGCTGGACCAGGGACCAGCTGCAGTCTGTACTGTACAGGCTGGTCCAGCTCGCAATTATTGTTTCTTCTCCACTGCAGTTTGCCGATCCTGGTTTTGGCTGGTGTAGGGTGACCTGATCTGGCCCATCCTGCTGCCGCCGTGCTCCCTGCGATCTGGTTGGTTCATCTGCGCTGTACATTACAGCATTGACATCAACAGGTCATTCAATTAGTCACATGGACATGCAGGTGAATGTGATCTCCCTTGTTTCTCTGCGGGGTGGACTAAGGGAAGCTCTCCTGGAGCACCGATGGCGGTGCAAGATCGCTTGCAATCGTCGGCACACTTCCGATGTCTTCACCGAAAATGATCAATTCTGGATGTGCAGGACCGATCCACTTGATCAAGTGAATCGATACCGATCGGGGAGCTTCATTGCGAAGTAAGTCAGTGGGCTGTTGCTCCGCTTGTCTTCATCGTAGGTCCTGTGGGTATTGATCAGAAACTTGGAAGACGAACATGGTCCACAGATGTCCTACCTCTGCACCATATTCCATGCAAATTCCATCAAGAATGCAATAATGCAGATTATCAGAGCTGAGTTGAAGGGAATAACCATTGTCAGCCTTGGCCACAGAAAGAGCAAAACAATCAACAAACCTTCACGTCCCCATAGTGACAACCTCGTGGTCACCTTCCGGGGACCTGACCTCTTTAGCCAAGGTATCAAGACCTTGCGACACGTTTGACCATCCACGACGCAGCAACCCCCTGGTACTTGGCGGCATTCCAGGTGCCATCGTCGCCGCTCCATGATCCGGCGGATACGCCAGTTGCAGAACTGTTCATCTGTGCGGAAGGAGCACTTTTCCATGGGGCACTCGAGCTTGCGCTCGAAGCGCTCGACAAGCCAGTCGACTTTTAAGTGAACGCCGGTGTAGACCAGAGAGTTGAACTTGAAGCTGGTATGTTTCAGTGCCAGAGCGTCCGGGTATGATAAATAAGAGGCAATCAGGGTATGAAGCTCCGTTGGCAAGCTCATCAGACCTCTGTGAGCCCTGGATTTTGCATGGTCGGGAGTAGGAGCGTGTTGTCCCTCCATTTTGTTTGTTGATGAGGCTCAAGTGAGGGACGCGGCTTCGTCTTATGTTTCCCTAGGTTTCTGCTTACGGTGGCTGATAAGCTGTTGCCTCAAGTACTTGCCACGTCGACATTACTCTCCGAAATGGAACTGATACTCTTGTTAAATTTCAGGCAGTAGCAATAGCGACACGGCACGACAAATAGCAAATAGCCATTGCGCGATCAATCGGTGTGGGCATGGCGAGGATCTCAGTACTATAGACACCTCCACAATTTGGAGTACCAATTAATTATCTCCTACCACAAATACAGGCTCCGGTTACTTCAAATATCTAAATTGATCCTTTAAAGAGCGGTATTACAAGATATAGACCAGTTCTACACTAACCTAACAAGCCGCAGCTCTACGTGGAACCCCCATGGTTGGGACTCCAGACCCGCTTACTAACACCGCCACGGTCCCATCAACCTCGATCTTCAAATGGTCGCAAGGAAACCTCCACCTTTTCAACACCCCAAACCCACACAAAATGTCTCAACCGAACGCCACCGGCACCCCAGCCTCGGACACGGAGTTCCGCAAAACATGGGACCGCGACGAATACGCCAAGAAGGCAGCCGACCAAGAAGCGAAGCGCAAGGCTGAAGGCAAAGCCCGATACGAAGCGAAGCTCCTGGGCAAAAAATACCATGCGCCAGTTGATTTCTCCTCCCTCGAGGAAACAACTGCACGTGCCAAGCGACTAGATGTCGCGTCAATGGTGGGCAAAACGACGATCGTGCCCGCCGGAGCCTCGATGGGCAAACGAGGCGCCGGAGCTGGATTCTACTGCAAAGACTGTGACCTTACTTTCAAGGACAATATTCAGCTAGTGGAGCACTATAACAGCAAGCAGCATTTGATTGCGACTGGTCAGAGCGGAGAGGTGAAACGTGCTACCGTGGAGGATGTGCGGATGCGTCTGCGCATGTTGTCGCACAGGAAGCGAGTTCGGGAGGAAGAAGAACGGAGGGCATGGCAGCTTGATCTTGGAGAAAGATTGCGGGAGCGAGAGGAAATCGATGCAAAGGAGAGGGAGGAGAAGAGACGCAAGCGGAATGAGAAGCGTCGGAAGGGCAAGGATGATGTTAAGCAGGAGGACAGCTGGGAAGGAAGACTAGGAATCATTGCATGATGAAGAACTTGAGGGCGCACAGTCTACTTATGATACCCATGGCGTTTGGGGGCCTGTTTTTCAATTCGTTCATAAAGAGGCGTTCTTTCGTGAGGAGCATTGCATTGCAAATGTTGAAATATTAAATCATTCCATGACTCCGACAAACACCTGAACCCAGGACCTTAACCTTCCAAAAACCGAAAACACCACACAATGCTCGCTTAATCCATGCACTCGATGGCCTCGAGCCGCTGCATGGCCCGGCCACCCTCCTTCTCGAACTGGCTGACGAGCCGTTCACACTCTCTCTTCAGGTGCTCCTCGCCGTTCTTTGCATTCCACACAATCCACTCCTCTACCGTCATCTTCTTCTCCGGACTGGTCAAAGTTCCTTTGACGTTCTTGAACATACCGACCAAGTCGGCATTCTCTTTATCACTGGCCTCCCCGAAGAGAACCTCATCAATATCCACAGGCGTCCAGGGATGTCCGGATGGCGGGAATCCAGCATTGGCATTGCGCTTCGACGGAGACGGGGTGCTGGCAACCAGTGGGGTTCGGGGCTTGAGCTCCTTGGATGCTGACGGTACAGCCGGCCCGGTTGTTGAAGGACGGGATGAAGGGGGATGGTTTTCAGCATCAGAGGACTGTGGCGACATGGATGGCGTACTCAGACGAGCTGTCGGAAGTGGTGACACTGCTCTGTTGGATGACTCGGAGGTACGTTGAGGCTTTAGCCGTTCTTTCCTGGCCGACCCTTGCGATTCAGAGAAGGACTGTGCAAGATGCTCCTCCTGAGGAATGTCACTAAATCGTTTCGTCGTCTTTACTGGCACTGGTGTCCTTTCGTGGGCGACAGGTGGCTCCGGAGAGGGTGCATGAGGTGCTGCAACCATCTCGACTTGATCGGAAATATCATCTGGCGTTCCGAATACGTCGTCGACGTCTCGAGATGGCGGTCTGAAGTCTCTTTGTTCCTGGACCGGCTCTGGGGGAGGTGACTCTTCCGTCTTTTTGGACTTTTTTGACTTCTTTGCCTTGACATCCTTCTTCGAGGACTTTTTCTTTACGACTTTTTCTTCGGGTTCTGTCTCAGGCTCTCGTTGAGACTCGGATTCCTTGTTTGTGATTTCCACCGAGACAAAAGATTCGTGGCGATCAGATTCACGTCGGTCCTCGGCTGCAGATTTGAATTCGGACATGTCTTGAGTAGCTGGAGCCTTTGAAGATTCTTCCTTCTTGCTCTTCTTGCTTCCCTTCTTTTTAGATGCCTTTGCTAGCTTCGACTTGAGAACTGGTTCTTCGGGTTCCTCTGGCTCCTCCGGGACTTGGTGCTCCTCCATTTCAGGCACATGCGGCTCCACAGCAGCATCTGGCTGCTCGTCTTGGTCGAATTCGGGTTCTTCTGGTTCCTGCGGGGGTTCGGGTGACTCGGCAGCAGCCTTAGCTTTCTTGCCGCCTTTGTTCTTCTTTGATGGGCGAGGCTTTTCAGGCTCTGGTTCCTGTTCTTCTTCTTCTGCAGGCTCGGGAACATCTGCGTCAAGACCGGCTTCTAAAGCGGCCTCCAACTCTGAATCGCGAGGTACATGCGCCTTGGACGTAGATTTAGAAGCAACAGACACATCGGAGGCCTTGCGGCTTTTGGATGTGCCCTTCTTCTTGCGACCCTTCTTGGCAGTTTCCTCCTGAGGTGCTTCATCCACTGAGCCCGTATCCGCCATGATATGGTCATAATCGAAGGCTTGGGAAACGCTGCTGCGTGTTTTTGTCGCACGTCGCTTCGCTGGTGGTTCTGGAGGAGGGGGAGATTCGTGGAAGTCTTCTTGAACTGGCTCCGGCTCGTCATTGTTCATCTCTTCACTGACTCGCTTCTTTCCTTTGGTGCCACGCTTGGGCTTCACCGGCTCAAGCTTAGACTGTACAAGCTCGATCTCGTCGACATCCACCTGGCTTTCTACCTCCACATCCTCCTTCTTGCTCTTCGAGCTTTTGCCCTTGCCCTTAGTTCCCTTCTTGGAAGTCTTCGGCTTGACAGTCGCTTGGGACATTATGCTCTGGTCCATTGATTCATCGACATCCATTTCAAGAGCTTCGGATGTAGTAGTGGCAACGGATTGGGTCGAGAGTCGGGATGATGCTTTGGAAGTACGGCCCTTCTTTGATTTGGATCCTTTGCCCTTTTTGGCAGGAGGTTGAGCGAACACGAAGAAAGAACAATCCGAGGAGCGGCGATAGTGTTCATCACTAGACATGTTAGTACCCTCCGCATTAGGCAAAGGCGGGGCTGTAACCTACAAAGGATCGTCCTTGGGCTCCCAACCATCGAGCGAGAGCTTGCAGTAGGGACAACTGGCCAGGTCATCGCTCTCTTCACTCGGGCAGAAGTACCATCCACCCTCAACCATCTGATGTCCTTATTAGTATGATACCCGATGAGAAGCTCATTCATCTTACCTTCTCCGATTGACAGACCCATCCGCGTTTTCCATCATGCGGCCAGGCCGCTCCAAATGTCGCGATTCGAGCTTGGGTGATACGGTCACCGGTCGGGTCTTCGATAGTAGCCGGGTTCGAGCTTCGCTGCTGGATATCCATGATGATCGCCCAGCCGCAGTCCGGCGAGTGCTTGAGATGTTCTGTGATCGGATTATCTTCCTCCTCCCATCCATCCAATGCGCGGTTGCACTGGAAACATGTTGTGTTGTCGGGGTTTGTTTCGTAGGGTTTGTAGTAGAAGCCTGCATGCGCCAACTAAAGAACCTCTGTGTCAGTATTGAGTCGCTACGATTTTGATAGTTCCAGATCTTACCTCGGCTGGTGAAGGACTGTGGTGAGGCCATCCGATCGTTTTGGAGCTTTTCGTGGTCGAGGACCGCCTCTCGGGTTTAAGCACGGTGTCAAAGCTGGCAAGGCGCGCCGCGAATGTATCCATATCGGTGCTCATTATGCAGATTTGCAGGAGGAACTATCGGTCCCTGAATCTGCGTCAGACACAGGGGCTCTGGTTGTCGTTAATTGGCGAATTTGTCGATGTTGATTGCGGAGTGTTTGGCGTGTTTACTTCCGTTGTTATGCCAAACGCGCATTCACGTGACCAATTTAGTCAGCCCCCGGGCGACGTCAGACCCGCAAGTGTTCGGAGCCAGCGTGAGACGAGTTCAATTCAACGTCTCCCTGCCCATTGAATTTTGTAGACGCACTCCATGGTGGGGAGCGCTGATTTTTTTTGATCGTCCTATTTTGAGCCCGCGTGCTCCGCTCCTTCTCTTCCGCTTCGCAGACATGCGCCCAACTGTACGATTCAGAACTCGAAACACTATCTGGCTGGATTTCCGTGCTGATAATTGTGTGTCTTTCTAGATGGTTTCCCCTCGGACTGCTGGCCTCAGCTCTCTCTGGCGGTCTCGTGCCCGCTTGTCACCTCTATTGTGTCTGCCCGCGTCAGCTCGCTATGTATCAATTCCATCTTCTCCGACCTCCGACTCTCCTTTCCGCCAATCTGCAAAATCCGACCTGTCTACGTCAAATTTACTATACAATGTCCCCTCTGGACGGCCTTCTTCCGCGTCATTCTCGACCTCTCCCTTGCTGTCCGAGTCGGACTGGGACCATAACCCGAACCTAGCGATCTCGAACTTCTCCGAGCTCCCGTCGAAGGACTTCGGTGTAAACCAGCATATGATTATCAACCAGGAATTTAAGGAAGCTCTTCGACAGATCCTTTGGCAGTTCCGGGCGCCTATTCGATATGCGTTTGCCTATGGATCAGGTGTCTTTACACAAACCGGTTCCGCCGCAGCCGGTTCAACACATCCATCGCCCCCGGCAGCCATCAAAAACATGCAACAGGGCTCCGGGAAGATGATTGACTTTATCTTTGGAGTTTCATACACACAACATTGGCATTCATTAAATCTTCACCAGCACCGCGACCACTATTCCGGACTTGGGTCGTTCGGATCATATCTGGTCTCTCAAGTGCAGGATAAGTTTGGGGCAGGCGTATATTTCAACACTCACATCACTGTTAACGGAACCTTGATCAAGTACGGTGTGGTCAATTTGGATACCCTTTGTACAGATCTGACCTCATGGAACACTTTATATCTTGCGGGTCGGCTGCAAAAGCCGGTCAAAATCCTGCGCGATCACCCCAAGGTCCGCTTGGCGAACCAGATGAACCTGTTGTCTGCTTTGCGAGTTGCCTTGCTGTTGCTCCCGGAACGGTTCAGTGAGTTCGAGCTCTATAGCACTATCGCGGGCATTAGTTATATGGGCGATCTCCGGATGGTGCTTCCAGCGGAAGACCCCGGGAAAGTGCGCAACATTGTGTCCAGCCAGATGGCACATTTCCGAAGACTGTATGCGCCTCTGATCAACAACTTGCCGAATGTCACTTTCAACGACCCTCGCTGTAATCAGAGCGATTGGATCGATGATCCGGATGCTATCTTAGCCATGGTGCAGGATATGGACCCAGTGAAGCGTGGGAATATGGTCCGCCGGCTTCCAGAAGCTTTCCGTGAGAAGGTGTATTTCCAGTACCAATCCCGGTACCAGATTCCGCGGTTTGAGTTCAATAAGATGATGGCAGAGCAAAATGAGAAGAACTCAGAAATTGTTCGTCGGCCCGAGGGAGGTCCGTTTGAACGTCGGATTGCCGCTGATAACCACTTGCAACAAGAAGTGTCAACATCGATTATGAAGACAATCCGCTGGCCCAGCACAGTTCAGACGATCAAAGGACCCTTCACTGCGGGTATTCGCAAGAGCTGGAATTATCTGATGGAAAAGCGAGAGAAGCACAAGAAGGCGCGGGATCTAGAAAAGAATCCGATTGAAAAGCCTGTCACCAAGGGCACCAAGAAGGAGTGAACGCCCTCTTGAAGTATCCCGGCGCAGAATGGTGTAGCCCGGACAAGGCATATGCCAGCGTTGTGTGGCACATGTATTAAATCCATGTATTGGATAACTATGCATCGTTAAAAATATAAGTTTCATTTACACCAATTTCATCACCGTCTGTCAGTGGAGGTTGGAACCATTGGGAAGGGAAAAGAGTATACACATTGAACTGAGAGGTCGGAGAGAGCGCCGACGCCAACATTTGGAGACTCAACGGACCAACTAACAAAAGGCCTTGAACACGTCATCACGCCATATACATAGTTAGTTAATTTAATCAATTAATAACTAACTATTCTCAATGCAATTTCAATTAGCGAGTCTGAGTCACGCATTCCTGTACACCGTGAGTCAACCTTGGGAGCGCTTCCGCTTTCTCTCCGATAAATTCCCCGCCACCCCACCAACTTTGCTCCTCGACATCATCGTGCTTTAGTCCCCGGCACCTAATTCACAATGGCTTCAAGGACCTCTCCGTTTGATCTAGCCACCTGTGCCCGTCCTAATATCTTGAAGTTGCAGCCCTACCGCTGCGCAAGAGAGTATGCTTCCATCTCCGATGCGGCTCCGATCTCGCGCTAACGAATCAGTGACTACAAAGACGACGGCACGAACGTGCTTCTCGACGCCAATGAGAATGCCTATGGCCCGGGATTGGCATTGAACAGTGAAGGCGCATTGCAAGCATCTCAGACTGGCGATGCGACAGGTGCCTCCAAGCCCGAGATTGACTTCTTGGGCTTGAACCGATACCCCGATCCGTGAGTGACTCTTTTGATCATAGGCTACGAGCGAGATGTTCTGACAAGCAATGTTCTGTATAGTCACCAGATCGAACTTAAGCAGCTCTTCTGCAACCTCCGTAATACTCACCACCACACATCCAAGACCCTGCGACCCGAGAACATCTTCGTCGGTGTCGGATCAGACGAAGCGATCGATGCCATGCTCCGATGCTTCTGTGTCCCCGGCAAGGATAAGATTCTGACATGTCCTCCGACCTACGGAATGTACAGTGTGAGCGCACAGGTTAATGATATCGATATCGTCAAGGTGCCGCTGGACGTGAACAATGGCTTCCACCTTCAGCCGGATAAGGTCAACGAGGCGCTGTCCGCGGACCCGTCCATTAAACTAGCATATATCTGCTCGCCGGGTAACCCGACTGCCAACCTGATCCGCAAGGAGGACATTCGCAAAGTGCTGGAGCACCCGACATGGAATGGAGTGGTCATTGTGGACGAGGCATACATCGACTTTGCCGAGGAGGGCTCCAGCTTGGCCGAGTGGGTGAACGAGTGGCCCAACCTGGTCGTGATGCAGACGCTGAGCAAGGCGTTCGGTCTCGCGGGTATCCGTCTCGGCGTAGCCTACAGCAGCCCCGAGATCACCAAGCTGCTGAACAGTCTGAAAGCCCCTTACAACATCTCCAGCCCGACGAGCACTTTGGCATCGGCGGCGTTAACGGGTCCCAACATGGCCGTTATGCGCAGCTACCGTGAGCAGATCGTCGCCCAGCGCGACCGGCTACTACGTGAGCTACCGCAGATCCCCGGCGTAGGCCGGTTCTTGGGCGGATATGACGCCAACTTCCTGCTCGCGCAGATCACCGATGCAGAGGGCCGACCGAGCAACGTCACCGCTCTGGCAGCTTACGAGGCGATGGCGGAGAAGCGCGGGGTGGTGGTCCGATTCCGAGGCAAGGAGCACGGGTGTGAGGGATGTCTGCGTATCACGGTCGGCACGGAGCCGGAGGTGACCAAGTTCCTGCAGGAGCTACGGACCGTGCTGGCTGGATTGCACGGCGGAGTCGGCCTCCAGTCACTTCGGGATGAGGCGAAACGGGAGGATGCGGCGGCTGCGGTGGTTGGGTAAGCTTGGATCGCGATGCTAGAACATAGATAACAAGTCCAGAGCCCGGATTACGGAGATGAACAATTCTCCGAACCATGAATATAAGAATGGGACCTTTTCACAGAGCTTATCGCCGGTAATAATTGGTTGGTCACAAAGGCAGGGTGGTTTATCACGAGCCTCCGGGACTGGGGCTGGGCTGGGGCTGGGGCTAGCCCTCACTCCTGGTCCTTGGTCCTGGCCCTGGCCCTGGTCCTGGCCCTGGTCCTGGCCCTGGTCCTGGTCCTGGTCCTGGTCCTGGTCCTGGTTCGAGTACTATCAGTAGCGGGGTTATCTCGCCAGGTGGCAAATTTACATCCTAGAACCTTGTATGCTCGAGCAAGTCGAAACCGAGGGGGTGGAAGGAGTAAGGAAGCGGTCATCAAGTCTACTGTGTTATCTATACTCTCGAACTGACTCGGGCAAATGGCGAAAGTCAATCCCCATCCACGCTTGATTTAAAACTCCGTGCCTCTAGGCATCACTCCCAAGTAGAGAACCCCATTAGCTAGCGTGAGTCTAACCCGGCCACGGTACCTAGCTCGTTTACGGGAAGCATGCACGTGTGTTGCTCGATTAAAATTGCCCTCGAGCTGTCATTTGTACCCTTGGACTCTGATAAATTACACTTTGCCCTAGGAAGCTCAAGCCAATCTCAGAGAGTATAATGTGATTAGCGCATCCTTTCCCACTTGACGGTCAAAGCTTCCGGACTCCGTTGGCCCGCGATAGTTCGGGACCTACACCGTACCCCGTACACCGACCGAAGGAGGGGGCCAAGATACAGTCGACTCTCCCAGGTGGCGCGTATGTTAAGCCCTAGCCATATATCTCTCGCTTATGCTTGACCCAAAGCTGTTTCTGACGGGGCCAAAGGATGAGATTAGTGGGAAGCATGTCACTGGCTGCTGTTATCATCATCTAATCCTGTCCAAAAGGTTTGCTTTTCCCAGTCGACCCTCTTCAAGCCGGGTTTCATATTTACCTTTCGTAGTCTCCGGGACCGACCGATGCTTCGATGTTCTTTTCTCCTCCCTGGAGTACTTCAAACCGTTCTCCCCTTTGACGATCTTAGTCTCCGATCGTCGTGCATCCACTTCCCCACTGTTCTACCTCTCACGTGCGTCATGTAAAGACATCGGCTTCCCTCGAATCGACGATTCAACAAACCTCCCCCCTCCCTCGGCGGAGGCGCTGGGATCATGGAGCCGAGAGGCCTCTATTCCCCGATTGTCCCCGACTATGAGTCGCGATCTCAGATTAACCCGACTTTGTTGATGAGCTGGTGGGCAACGGGCTTCTCGCTAGCTATCATCGTCGTCCGATTATGTGGCCGCTACGTTCGACTCGAGCGCTTCTTCCGCGAGGATAAGATGATGGTGCTCAGTATTATTCCACTGACCATTCGCATGGTTTTGGTGCATTTCGTCTTGATCTATGGTACCAACAATGTCAAAACAGACGGGTTAACGGCCGAGGAGATATCCAAGAGAGAGATCGGCAGCAAGCTGGTGTTGGTGGCTCGGATATTTTACGCGATCTTGTAAAACCTCCCCCTGACCCTTATTGGCGACCGACAGCTGTGGTACTAACAAAATGTTCAGTATTTGGATGGCCAAATTGACCGTCTGTGAATTCTTTCAACGAGTCACCGGCATGGTCTGGCGCCGCTCCGTCGCCATCTTCCTACGCTTCATCCATTTCTTTCTCTTATCTACACTGATTGCCGTGGTCATCGCAACTCTAGCGGAATGCCAGCCCTTTTACCACTATTGGCAGGTTGTCCCTGATCCCGGGACTAGCTGTCGCTCGGGTTACGCCAACCTCATTACAATGGGTACCTGCGATGTCATCACCGATCTCCTCCTCGTTGCCTTTCCCGTTCCGATAATCCTCATGGCCCAAATACCAATGAAGCGCAAACTCGGCCTCGTCGTCCTCTTCTGTCTCTCTCTAGTGTTAGTCGCCATAACCTGTTATCGAGTCCCAAATGTCATCAACCACTACGGTGCCCAACCCTACCGATCCCTCATCGCATCTCTCGAAATTCTAGCCGCAACAGCGGTCTCGAACGCCGTCGTGATTGGCTCCTTTGTACGTGACCGCGGCGTTAAGAAACTGAAGTATAAACGCACCCAGGGCTCTGCATCCGTCAGCGAAAGCATGGATTCCAGTGGTGTCCGTCGCAACACCGTTATGCAGCACCAGTGGGGTAGCGACTCAGATCTAGCTGCGGGCATGGGTATCCGCTTAGATCCCAAGCTCTATTCGTCCGTTACATCAGTTGTAGCTCCGATACCTGCCCATACTGTTCCCCTCGCCGTGGCACGGACAGGATCTATAGACCCGGCATGGTCATTCCACCAGAGCCGTTCTTCGGACGACCGGATATCGGCAGACGACAGCCTCGATGTCAAAATCAGTCCGCACGAATATATCAAGACGAATAAGCCGCGCGAGGCCCCTCCAACACCGGCATCTCTATCCCGCCGGGTATCCTTCTTCGATGTGGGCGGGTTATTGGCACAGGACCAACCACAGCCCCATTCAAATACAAGGCACTTGAATACTACCTCCCCACCCCCTAATGCCGATACTCAAAGGTTCCGTCGTGGAAGCAGAGCTTTTTTCGAGGATCTTGGTGTCCTCTCCCCCCGTACTACTACATCTCCCCCGTCACGCCTTACATCACCCGCGGCGTCGAGTGATATCCCATCTTCTCATATCCTTCCTCTCTACCGAGCTTCGCCTGACGTCTCACTTGATGTGCCCTTGGACGTACACGTCGAGTTACAAGACGTCGGTGGGCTTTTATCATCAAAAACTACTTCGAACGTCTGATCTAGACGCAATGACTTTAATTTAATCATTTAACGTGAACGGGTTTTCCGACTTGGGGTTGGGTTTGGATTTGGATTTGGGTTTGGATTTGGATTTGGATTTGGATTTGGATTTGGATTTGGATTTGGATTTGGATTTGGATTTGGATTTGGATTTGGATTGGATTGGATTGGATTGGATTGGATTGGACTTGGATTGGATTCGGATTGGATTTACGCACTGTTTCTTTATTTTCCCGGAGTTGCTCATACCCCACAATGTTGTTTCATTTTTCTGCTTACATCGGCTAACATGGGCATTGGCGGTGTCTCCCTTCACATTCAGCATGGAGGTGGACTTTACCTCCGAAGCTATGTTGATATTGTATACCACATATACGAGACCATGAGAAATGTCTACCACAGAGAAGCTACCTATCAGGCTACTTTTCAAACTGATTGTAACAAAGTCTACCCGGAACACGTAGTATAGACATCCAGTGTATTTCATCTAGCTTGAATAGCAAACACAACGGAGAATACTATGTAAAATCACAGATCAGAAACCCCCGCTCCCCCCGGTGGATGTTGGAGAAACTTCGCCTGTACGCCATGCTGCCCATAATACAAGGGGACCGACTTTTTTTTTGTTCGTTTATGGTGCAAGAAAACTCCGTGTCCAATCCCCGGAGCCCTGATCTATTGCAACCGTAGTCCTCGATATTCTCTCAAACGGAAACGGAGTAAGACATGGCAGCAGCAGGGAAACCGTCGGAAAGGACTTGATGCGCAATTGGGTATGGGGTTCTCGATACCTCTCAAAAGAGAGAGAAGATTCCTTCGGAACGGAAAAGAGAAATAAAATAAAACCACTCCAGGCCCCCTTAAATGACCCAGCGGTAACTAGCGTAACGACCAGCCGTCTCGGACTTCCGGATAATCTTGACGACCTGGCCACGGCGCAGACCCAGGTATCGTGCGACAGGGTCGGAGACCTGCATGCGGGGCAGCTGGGACTCCTTCAGACGGTACCGCTCCAAAAGCTTGCCCTTCTCTTCGGGGCTTAGGAGAACGTGCTTAGGCACGAGCTCGTGGCGGGTGATGTTGACCAGCAGATCCTGCTCCTGGAAGTGTTCGCAGATGCGACCGGGCACGCCGCTCAGCAGGCGCACGGCAGAGGGCGAGATCGGGGTCTGAGTGATGAAGACACCGGTGTGGAAGTTGCTCTCATCGACGATGTGGTTGAAGGCGCGCACCTGCTTGGTGCCGACGCCAGAAGAGTCAGGGCAGAAGTCGACGTAGATCGTGCCGCAGTCGGGCTGGGGGTCCGGGTTCGATTTGCTCGGCAGAGGAGTGTACTTCATCTTCATGAGCTCCGTGGGGCGGGCTTGAATTTTCATCTTGGTGCGACTGTTGGAAGGGAGTAGAGGTTAGTCGAGGACGGCATTGGGAGTGCAGATTACTCTCTGCATTCTTTCATGCGAAATCTTCGGAGCTTGAGGATCACATACTCAGGGTAGCCCATAGGGTCGGCATATTTGTTGCGGAAGTCGTTTAGTGATAGCTGGAGCTCCTCGTCAGACACCTCGTAACCCTGAGTCCAGCGCAAACACCGTTAGCTTCCAATCATTCAATCGTGAAAGGCCCGCCATGATCAAGGTCTTACTCGGTCTGCAAGCATCTCGTAGACAGTCCTCCAGGTGCGCCACAGGCGCGTCATCTCCCGGTCAGATTCTCCGCCATGCTGAGCGATTTCCCCGTCCATTGTTAGTTAGGTGGAGGTGAAAGGGCGAAGTGAAAAAAAAGTTCAGCGGAGGTCGGAAGATAAGGTGAAGTCGAAAAATCGGCGGGAACATTCTGCCAGGCGACGCCAGGGAAAGCGGAGAAACCAACCGAACCATTTTAATTATTCTAATCGTTTCCCCTTTCCCCTCGTGGGCTTTTTCTCTTCCCGTTTTCCCCTTGGTCTCAATTCTTTACTTCTTTCATTCGTTCTTTTTGCATATCTCACAATGGCCAGCCCTGCCCCCGCGGAGCTCAAGGTGAAGCCCTCCAAGCCCGATGAGGAGGCCTACAAGACCAGCCTTGCCCAGGCCGAGAAGGAGCACACTGCGGCTCAAGAGAAGTTGGTATGCAACATTAACTTCGCACTTCTGAGAGCGGCATTCGATTTTGAGTGACATTGGGATGATTGCGCTTTCTCTCTTCCGGACGGAGGCGTATTCGCCTCACATGCCACCCACGTGTCTACTCTCTCGATTCTATATCAGTCAATCGCTAACATGCGCAACAGAACCAAATCAAGTCAAAGCTCGATGTCGCCAAGCCTAACAACTCGGACTCCCCCACCGCGAAGAAGCAGCAGGAGCTTCGCGCCGAACTCTCCTCCATCCGTCAGAAGCAGTCCGGCTTCAAGTCCTCCCGCTCCAGCACCCAGGAGAAGATCAATGCTCTCGAGTCTACCTTGAAGTCCCGCATTGCGGAGCAGAACGCCTCGCGCGGAAAGATGTCCTTCAAGAATGTTGAGGAGATTGACAAGGAGATTGTCCGCCTCGAGAAACAGGTCGACTCCGGTACTTTGCGCCTGGTTGATGAGCGCAAGGCTCTGTCCGACATCTCTATGATGCGCAAGCAGCGCAAGTCCTTCGCCGGTCTTGACGAGGCCCAAAAGGGTATCAACGACCTTAAGGCTCAGATCGCCGAGCTTCGCAAGACCCTGGACAACCCCGAGGCCAAGGCTCTCTCCGACAAGTACACCGAGATCCAGAAGCAACTCGATGAGATCAAGGCCGAGCAGGACGGTGTCTTCAAGAACTTGAACGCTCTGCGCGACGAGCGTACCAAGCTTCGCAACGAGCAGCAGGCCAAGTACGTCGCCATCAAGGAAATTAAGGACACCTACTACAAGGCCCGTCGTGCCTACAAGGAGCACGAGGACCAGATGTGGCGCATTCGCCGTGACCGCCAGAAGGCCGAGCGTGATGCCTTTGAGCGCGAGAAGCGCAAGAAGGTTGCCGACAAGAAGCTCGAGGAGGCTTCCGCTCTTGCCTACACCGACGAAATTCTGACTGCCCAGGGTCTTATCCGCCACTTCGACCCCGCCTACGACTTTGCCTCTCTGGGTCTGGATGACAAGAAGACCGAGGGCAGCAACTTCCGTGCTGGTGTCGGCCGTACCGTTGACGACTCTGCTCTGAAGGGCATGAAGGTTGTGAAGAAGGATGATGAGGAGGACTACTTCGTCGGCTCCTCTGGCAAGAAGGGCAAGAAGGGTGGCAAGAAGGGCGCTGCTGCTGCTGAGGGTGGCAAGTTCAACATGAACGTCGGCATCATTGAGGACTTCGCCAAGGTTAAGATTGACCCCCCGATGAACCAGTCTGATGTCCCTGTTTCCGTTGAGAAGCTGGCCTCCAAGATTCAGGAGTGGAAGAAGAACCAGGCCAGCAAGACCGAGGAGGTGAGTTTCTACTTTTCAATGTCGAGGTGTCGATCCCTGTCAGCTACTAACCCACCTCACAGAACATCGCCAAGGCTCAGGAGGAGATCAAGCGCCTTGAGGATGAGGAGGCCAAGATCGCCGAGACTGACGGCGCCACTGACTTGAAGAAGAAGCCCGCCCAGGCCAACGGTGCCCCCACCGCCGAAGCCGAGCTCGCCCAGGAGAAGGACGCCGCCAACGATGCCGCCGAGGAGCTGAAGAAGGCCTCCATCGAGGACCAAGCATAATCGCTCTATTGGAATTTTAACCTGAGGTTGTTTCTTCCTACTACCTCCGTACAGTGTGAAGTCTAGCACTGCGTCTAGCATTTTTTCTTTTGCTCTTGGCTCATTTGCATTATCCTCCGCGTTTTTACATGGACAGCGTTTGCTCTGTTTCCAAAAGCCAGAATTGAGAAGTTCTTTTAACAAGCTATTCCCATAGAACCCGTAGTTCTCTCTAACTATAGATTGATCAAACCCTGTCCGAGGCAGATGACTCAGCTGCCGAGACCCCCGGACCAAGGAACTGCGCCACACTCCACCGTACTGCAACGGGCATCCGCGCGTCTCTACAAAATCCGGAAGCGCCCTCGGCCTCAATCTCTTTTTCCCATTATTCCTACTGCGCAATCCTTCCCAGAGCCCATTCTTCCAATCGGGCATCTTTCACTTCATATCCCATATTCTCCCCACAATATACACTTTACCCCAGATCGACAACTTAAAAGCATATCCACACCCGTCAAGCACGAAGATGTCATACAAGCCGGTACGCCTCCGTCATCCCGCTTTCTCTTACTATGCTTTGAGCCAGTGAATGTTAATATACATCCAGACCAGCCCACCTCCATCCTACCACCCCCAGGCCGGCTACGCAAGCTCCCCGCAACCTCAAGGCCAGGGCGCCGCAAACGAATACTACGGAGGCGGAGGCGGAGGCGGCCAGGGCTATTATCCGCAGCAGGGATACCCTCAACAGCAAGGATATCCCCAACAGCAGGGCTACCCTCAACAACAGGGCTACTACGGACAACAGAATCAGATGTACTACCCGCCGCAGCAGGGTTATCCTCCTCAGCAGGGCTACTACCAAGGCGACCGCGGAGGTTCCGGCGCCGGCGGCCTGTGTGCCGGTATCATGGCTGCGTTTGCCTGCTGCTGCTGCTTGGATCTCCTCTTCTGAGAGCGCTTCGGGACTCGTCCGAACCAGGCAATCTTGCCTTCACCGAGGCGCTATAATGCACCTCGGGCCTTGAACATGCGACAAATGACAGGATTTTTAATTGGGGGCTTGGCGCATTGAAGGGACCCTGGACCCAATATATGATATGGTCTTCTTTCGTCGACCGGCGTTTCCGAGAACTTGGATTGCGACTCGAATCTGGATTTGTTGGTTTTCTTCAAAGATGTGGTGGTGGTTACTCCCCGCTCGTAAATATCCTTGGTTTTTTTTTTTTTTTTGGTTATCATCGGCGCAAAAACAAAACAGGACTTGGCGTTGAGGACTTCCGCCTGGGTTGTTGTACTTGTACTTTTTTATGTGTGCAATTGTACACTTCACTCCTTCTGTTCATTCAAAGTCATTAGATGTTACTTGAAACTCGATATTGTCATCTGTATCATGAATATACCGCAGTATAACTGGTAGACATCAGATCGTAGTGCGCAATATTATAGACATCACACATGTAAAAGGAACGCAAAGCATAACACATTAGGGTATCGCAGATGCAAAAGAAAAACTTCCAACCAAAGCAAAGCCAGTATACTTCAAAAAAAAAGACCATCAGTAGTCTAAACTACCATGCGAGCTGCCACCACCATATTCATGAGGATCAACCCTTCTCACTCCAGAGCGATAACTCTTCGGCCTTCGTGGCGGCGACATCGTCGATAATCCAGATGACTCCTCTTCAACAACCTCGATGAAATCTCGTGAATCATGTGTCATCTCCGTCCCAGTCATGGACTCCTCAACGACGATACGATCAGGAGCGCGCCGATGACGGTACTCATCGTGTCGATCCCGCTCCTCCACAACTTCAATCATGTCGCTGCGTCGCGATGATCCTCCGCGCCGACTGCGCACGACTACCTCCTCTTCATCGGTGATCGAGGAGGAGCTACCGCGTGCAAAACCACCTGGATTCAGGGAGAGGAAGGTCAAGTATAGAATGAGGCAGACACCGCCGACGGTGCCGAGGACGATGCCTGCGACTACACCTGGTGCAGGACCGGAGGACAAGTGGCCGTATGTTGCGGGAATGGAGATGGTTGTGTAGCGTTTTTGGAGATTCGAGGAGAGGATTCGGTCGTCGAAGCCGAAGGGGGATGTTGCGACTTTTGTTACGTCGAGGTCTGCCACTGGGAGTGGAAGGGAGTTCATGGTGTCGGTTATGATGTTGTCTTCGGTGGGACAGTGAGGTGGAGGCGTAACAAGAAGAGAGTTCGATAATGGAATGTGGATGCTCGTGCGGAGCGGTGTAGGGGAGATGGCATGGACTTGAGGAGAGTTGGGAATTGAGGTGAGATTGAAAAAAAAGCCAGGGCTGGGGGGGGAAGGCCGGGGGCTGGGGATCTGTGGAGCCGCGTTGACACCTGAGATGAACATCGCTTTCTTCAAGATCTATTGTGAAGTCAGGTATATGTTAGCCGTAGGGGATTTTCCAGCTATTGTTCCATAGTTAGATAGACTGGCTTTGTTTACTTCATAGCCCGATCTCTAGGACTGACGGCTATCTGGGTACCCAAAATCATGTAGGTGCAGTAGCATCGAGGTTGAATACCTAAGGATCGCCTAAGCCTTAGCTCGGGCAACTGCCGAGTCTTAGTTCGAATTGGAGGGTCCCATAGCTTAATTAGAATCTGTACTCCGTACTCCGCCATCCATAGTCACCCCGGCCTTTGTATCTTTGGTGGATACAGTCACCTATCTCGGAGTTGAGCCCCACCGATAACACTTGGTCTATACGATAACCTATCTGAGGGGTTCTCGACAATTAGACTTGACAGAATCACTAGATTCCAAGGTTGACAGATTCGCAGATTCGCAGACTTACAGGCTTTGCCTTTCCACGCACTCCCCATCGTATAATCAATCTTTGCTACGCGGAGAGCTACCGAAGACCTGCGGGGAAATGCGCCCCGGATTCTCTCCGTCTCGGTTCCTCGCATCCTTACCTGCTCTGCAATGAGACTGACCTCGAGAATGCCTGTCTCCCACGCTAGCAGAGGTGAATCTTACCAGCCATTCCAATGTATTGTTTGTCAAAGTCGTTTCACCCGACACGAGAACCTCAAACGCCATGCTGCCCTCCACTCTCGCTCTCAGAAAGACGCCTCGCTTCCTTGTGAGTTCTGCCACGCTACCTTTTCACGCCCTGATCTTCGACATCGCCATATGAAGAGGAAACATCCCGAGTATGAACAAAAACGCTCAAAGCGGCTTCAGTGCGACCCGGCTCATCCCCGATTACACTCTGTTTCGCCCGCAGAGAGCCCAGATAGCATCTCATCCCCCCGGTCAGGGAACGCGAATGTACCGGATCAAGCCTTCTCTGATATGCAAATTCAGCCGTCTGCAATTGAGCTGATGGGCGTAGGCCGAATCCTGCAGGATGCGACGGGACTGGAGCGGAGTCTGCTTCTAGGAACTTCTTTCCTGAAGACCACCCAGTCACTTGAGACTCAATTAAATCCGATATCCGTCCCACGGCAACCTCCCTTTGACGTGAGCTTAGCCGACTTCAATTTCAACCAGGACATTGTGGACCGTTTATCCCCAAGTGATCTCCCTCTTCAAGACGGCTGGTACCCATCAACCCTACAGGTTACTCGGGGCTGCCATCTCTTTTTCTCTCACATCGCACATTTCGTCCCTTTCCTCCACCAATCAACCTTTGACTCCAATCAAAGTCCCTCCTATCTAATTGTCAGTATATTATGTCTGGCCTATCAGTATGGTGAGGATTCAGAATGCGGCGAGCAAGCAGGCTCCGGTGCCGACTTGTCTATGCGGTGCTTTCACCGAGCCCGCAGTCTCATTGCTTCCGAAGAGGGCAGATCAGACATATTGCCAGACAAAATCCCAATAGTTCAGTCATATGTGCTCCTCCAAATTTGCGCAATGATGTATCTATGTGGGGAAAGCTCTGCCTTTGGTCTCAAGATGCACTCTAGCATGATATCTTTGGCTCGAGCCAGCGGGATGATGCAGCCTCTCGCAATTCAGTCTGCGACACCCCAGGATTTAGAGTCATTGTGGCGCGAATTTGTCAAAGGCGAGTCTCACAAGCGAACTGTTTTCGCCGTTCATCAAATTGATGCACTGTGGTACCAATTCCTATCAGTTCCTCGCTCGATCTCACATCTTGAGGTCAAACATGATTTGCCTTGTCCAGAAGAACAATGGACAGCGTCTTCGTCCGCAGAATGGGCACATCGACAGCTGGTGATGAGGAGTTCAGGGCCCTCCGTACAATACGCAGATGCCGTCCGACGATTCCTTTCCGCTGAAGATCTTAACTCTATACCTCAATTTGATCCATACGGAGCCATCAACATAACTCAGTTTCTCATCTCCAGCGCACGTGAAATCTCAGGGTGGTCAACGATGACAGGGATAGTCAGCATGGAGAGATTCGGCGCTCTGCGATCATCACTCGTCGCACTCAGCCCTTTTATTCGCCCTCACGCCGACGCGAACCTTATACATGGAGCTCTTTGTACGGCAACATGGGAAACTGCCATGCTCGAGCTTCAAATGTGGTCACCATCACATACGGGTGGCATCGTCGAAGGAAGCATTGATGCCGTGCTAACTAAATCGACTTACTTGGCTCCTGATTGCGAATTTCTTTGTGAGAATAATGCTGCGAAGGCGATCCAGCCTCATGTCGATTGGTTCCTGCGCTATCTTGATTCTACCCTTGACCCTGATACCGAGGCTCCCTGGATTGCTTTGTATGCGTATAAAGCCTTCTTGATCGCCCTGCAGCTTGTTCGAAAGGGGCTGGTTGGTGCGATGCAAGTGGTTGGTATCCGGGATGGAGACGTCCAGGGCGCTCTCATGTGGGCGAGGAAAGTCTTCCAGCGCAGACAGAGATGGCAGCTCGGCAGACTTATAATTTCGTGCTTGGATGAATTAGAGACATGAGCTACGGCCGGATTATATTACAATTAATTCTTGACCCTATTAGTATTATTCAAGTGTTTCTTGACGAACACATTAGACTCTTTATTGTCAAATTCCCAATACTAACCTCAACCAGACTTAATTCTCCACCTAATACATCTCATAACGCCATTTAAGCTCAACCATTTCTTCCGTGACACCACCCTTGATGGCCTTCGCAATCTGCTCCGGCTCTCCAGAGTCCAAACGTTCATTCTCGCGCAAGACGAGCCAGCGATAAACGGTGACCACAACGCCCAGCAAGATACCACTTCCCATCAGCGTCCCAAACGCAGCATAGAAATGCGGTCCCGCGTAGTACAAGTATGAAGCCCAAATATTCGAGGTACCTCCAATGGCATTGACCAAAGCAGAAGCTGCAGCACGTTTGGAAACTGGACGAGCAAGATGGAGGTTGATTGTCTTGTAAAGAAGGAGCTGCGGGCCAACGGATGCAAAGGGTAGCATAATCATTGCGAAGTAGCGCGCACCGACATTCATCGTTGTCATTGGTATGATGTACATGATCACCGAGATGGCGATACAAACGAGAATAATCGGGTAGACTGTGTTTTTGCGGTCGGAGTAGAACATGATCACGTAGTAGACTCCTCCGGCTAGGACGTACGGCGGGGCCGTCAGGAGCAAGCTAATCGTACTCGAAAAGCCAAGAGAGTCAACGAGGGTAGGGAAGTAATTTGCAATAGAGCCTTGCACCTGCGACAGCATGTTTGCGAGAATCAGCAGAATCAGCTTGGGATCAGAAAGAGCCTTAGTGAAGCCTTTCAAAACACTTTCGTTTTCAGTTCCCTCTGCTGCGCCGGCTTCGGACTCAATACGCCATACGGCGAGATCTCGCTCGAGCTGTGAGAGGAACCTGCTATTGTGCGGGAATTCGGGCATGATGCAGGCACATACGACGCCAATGCCGACGGTGGCACTGCCTTCGATGATGAATAGCCATTGCCAGCCGGCGATGTTGTGAACTCCGTCAAGTTGGAGAATGGCTGCAGCGAAAAGACCGCCGAATGCATTGCCGACTTGTTGGGCTATGTATAGACCAGCGATGCGCTTGCCCAGTTCAACCTTAGTGTACCAGGATGAAAGATAGTAGATAGCACCGGGGAAGAAGACTGCTTCGGTGGCACCAAGAATAGCACGCACAGCAAGAAGCTGGCCATAGGTTTTAGCGGCGGCCGTACAAGCTGAAATGCAGCCCCAGATCGCCACTGCGGCACAAATGTACATGCCCGGTCGAGACATTTTGGTAATGAGGAGGTTGCTTGGGATTTGGAAAGGAAGATATCCGACGTATAGAATTGAGACCGCTGTTGCAAATTGTTCGGTGGACATATGGAGGTCCTTGGTGATTCCTTGGAGCTTGGCTGCAGCCAGGTTCTGACGGTCGATATAGTTCAGGATGTATAGGATTCCAATGGTCGGGAGGACAACAAGGTCAACCTTTCGGACGATCTTTTTGCTGAGAATCTTGATCTCGTCGTTGCCCATGTTGCGTAGTGACGCTGGCATCCGACGGTCTGCTGCGCTGGCGACATCGAATTGGCCTTCTGCAGAGGAAACATTGTCTTCGGAAAGACGTTTCTTAGTCTCCATAGTGATATGGAAGGCACAGATAAAGGCGATTCTCAGTATCGTCTCTCGAATAGATGGTAGAAAATTGCTGAGATGAGATGGTAGCCCAAAAGTTCCCCTCCCAGGCTGACTTGTATAAGAACCCAAGGAGGATAGTGTTATCTTCCCCTCTCTCGTCGAAGTCTCTCGGCTCGTTTCTGGCTTGGATATCTGAAATGCCCGACTAATGGTCAAGCCTCCTTTACAAAGGATCGTGACTCATTGATTCGTTGAGATAGGAGGCCCCGCCTAAGCCACAGATAAGCGGGAGGAGCGCACACGCGCATCAACCTCTTGAAGCTATTCCCCAGGTGACTTGTAGATCTGGGGTACATGAAGGATTGGATGGTCCGAGCGACGTTGGGAGGAGCTCCTCCTGTCTCCCCGATAAGCTCCGAACTTGGCCCTATCCGTATCTGAGCCTAACTGTATAGGGCATGGGAAACATTCATCATGGAAATGAGGAGGGACAAGACAACTATCAGAAGAGGGGCAAGAGAGGGGAGGAGAAGGAAAAAAAAGTGGTACTTAAATGCATCTGTGAATGTCCTCGCTATACTGCATCTTCAACTTCAACTTCACTCTCAACACGCCATCATGAGCTACACCACGCCCCAAACAACCACAATCCAAAACTCTCGGTTGAGACTTCTCAACAAAATCAAAGCCAATGAGTTCCCTCTCCTCACATTCATGGCCATCCCCTCGGTGCGCATGGCCCAGATCGTCGCATTGACTGGTCTCGACGGCATCATCATCGACTGCGAACACGGAAACATCGGAGACGACTCAATGCACAACGCCGTCGCCGCCATCTCAGCCCTCGGAGTCTCTCCCGTAATTCGCATCCGCGGCCCTGCCCACGACATCCTGAAGCGAGCTCTCGACACCGGTGCACATGGCATTATGGTCCCGCAGATCAACACTGCCGAAGAGGCTCAACAAATCGTTGCATCAGCCAAGTTCCCTCCCCAGGGTGTGCGCGGTCAAGGCTCTGCTTTCCCTGCCATCGGCCACGGTCTTACAACTCCCGAGTACATGAAGTCAGCCAACGAGACCATCATCACCATGATCCAGATAGAGACGCGTGCAGGTGTTGAGAACGTCGATGCCATTTGCGCTGTTCCTGGCGTAGATCTCGTCTTCATTGGCCCTAATGACCTTGCGCAGTCTCTTCTTGGGTATACTCCTGCTCGTGGCGATGAGCCTGAGTTTGTCGCTGCCGTGGATAACATTATTGCTGCTGCGCGGAAGCATGGGAAGTGGGCGGGTCGCATGGTTAACAACGGTACTACGGCAAAGGAAGCTAGGGAGAGATATGATATGGTCGCCGTCACCGGTGACACAAAGGCTATTCAGAACTGGTATATGGCAGAGTTTGAAATTGCGCGGTCATGAGATGAAAATCTTTTGTATAGAGCTCCATTTATTTAGACGGCCTAATCTAAGAAAAGATTTGTTCTCTCTATTCTGTAAACCACAAGCAGGGGTAGAATTATAATTGGATCAGATACATGGCGTATCAAAGCAGTGTTAAAAGCAGCGTCAAGGCATTGAAACTTTTTGTTGAGTTATCACCACTCCAGATACATGATCATTCTAGCTCAATATTTTGCAACTGTGCTCTCTTAAGAGTTGCAAGCACCATCAACACGTTGCAATAGATCGAGCCAAAGGGGCGGTTAACGTAATACCCAGTCATACATTGCTAACACCTCTATTTTCAACTTGATTTAACCCAGGTACAACCACTCTCGTCGAAAGATTGCTCAATGTAAGCACTGCCTCCTAGGTGAAGTGAAGCAACCTCAACCTAGATGCCCCTTTGTCCCATTTGGGGGGTCTTTGGGGGCCCAGGTCGAGATACCCTAGTTTACAAAGCACTCTAGGCAACTTTTCAAAGGCCGACTGTCCATCATGTGCGGTTCTTTGTATCCCGCCATCCTCGAAGTTCCCTGGTGATTGCGAGAAGTGAGCTGATTTCTATCTTGTGTTTCTATACAACTAAGCTCTCGAGAAAAAGGGCAAAAGATGCTTCACAGCAAGTCTCTTCCAACGCTCAACTCCCCACCATTCAGTCGGTGTCAAGGCAAGATTGATCTTTATTCAACAAAAGAATGGGGTTCAACGTTTGGTACATAAGCATGAGATGTTCTACAGGGCTTCATTGGTAGACAACTTGGTCATTGCAATAATTATCCATCATGTTCTATTGGCTTCTATTATTATAAAGAGAATTGGCTTAAGCCTGAGCAATGCACTCAATCTCAATGACAGTACCATCACCCGGAGGAACGGCCTGGAGGCACGAGCGCGAAGGCATGGGCTGAGGCAAGAAATCAATATAGACCTCATTCATAGCGGCGAAATCTTTCATATCGGCCAAATAAACATTGTATTTGACCACCTGTTCGAGCGATGAGCCGGAGAGCTCGAGTACTTCCTTGAGATTTTGCAGGACGGTTCTCTGTGGGTTGTAGTCTATGGTCAGCTAAGACGCTTGGGTTATGGATCCATGTACAGAGAGAACCCACCGTGGCCTGTTTGATCTCTCCTGTAGCTGTCTGTCCAGCGCAGAAGACGAGACCGGGGACCTTAGTTGCCGGGCCTAATCCAGTCAGTTAGAGTCAAGTAGTCACATTTGACAATGATACTATGTTCGTCTCGACACTCACAATTGTGCGGCTTAGTAGGGAACTTCTCGCTGGAGATGAGTTGACGCGACATTTTGGAGCAGGTAGACTCTAGGTTGGATTGATAAGAGGCTGATGGTCGAGAAGTGGGAAGTTCGGATATCTCAGATGAAGAGCTATGTGAGCTGGAGGGTCCCGTTTAAATTATCCGTCTACCCCTCTATCTTCAGGCTTTACTAGGAACTGTAGCCCCGCTTGCATATTAAAATGAGGGGTATCTCCAATTGCGGAGGAGCTCTACCTGAATCAAATGATGTTGATGGTCGCAGATAAACTATAGTCTCAATGCCAAGCCTCGAGAGGAGGGATGGGAGGAGCTCCTCCCGCCCGCAGCCTAAACCAGCCGATCTTATCTCTTTACGGCTAGGCTATGCTATCTAGATTAGACTTTGCTTGGCATCTGTAGCTTTTCTATCTCATCTTCATCAAAGCAGAGGAGCTCTTTCGAGATAGGCAATGAAGGGTCCAAGAAGACAACGCGGTGCCTTGGCTACCCCGTGATAAGCATGAGAAACAGCAATCAGATGATTAGATTGAAATAGCCGACGGACATGGATATCGTACCAGACAAGGGGTTATCTTGCTCCGCCCATCTGAGACGGGAGCTCGTCGGGCAAAATGAGCACAGCGGTGACGCTCGGATAGAGGGCACCCTAGTGTCCCGGGGGCACCATGGCAATGGAATTATAAAACACAAGTAGAGAACGGCACTTTGTCATTTTTTTTCAACAAGCACAATAACTAGTGTAAGCTGCATATACATTGTCAATCATCATGGCTCCAGCTGCCCCATTCAATCCACCTTCAGCTGACCTCCCTGGCAAGCCCTCTGTCCCAAAATGGGTTCCTCCTCCTGCTACTCAGGAAAAGCATAACTTTGCACAGCTCAAATCTATTGATCTGTCTCTGCTTGATTCGGATGATCCGGCCGTGGTTGAGGAGCTCATCCAGCAAGTCAAAATTGCCATTCGGGATGATGGCTTTCTATTCCTTGAGAACTATGGAGTCTCCCTAGAGCAGGTAAGAAATATTGATCGACTATCAAAGACACCACTAATCGGGTATCGTTCTCCTACAGCTCCATCGCCAGTTTTCTCTTGCTCAGTACCTCTACCACAATATCACCGATGAGGACAAGGAACGTCTTCTGTTCAGCCCTGAAACGGGTGCTTGGTCTGGCTATAAGCATCCTTATGGATTCAAGGTGAGCTTCTTCGCTTTGCGGGACTTTTGAGCTGTATTGATCCTCTTTTCCCTTGTTAGCGTCACCGCGCTCAGCCCGACGGTATTGAACAGTTCAACTGGTACAAGCCTGACTGGGAGGACCAGGAGAACCGCGTACCAAAGTGTCTACTCCCTTTCATGGACGAGATTGAGACATTTTGCAATTATCTCACCAAGTCCGTCAACCGCCGACTCCTCACTCTCTTTTCTCGCGTCCTCGAGTTACCAGATGATTATCTCTGGAATAGCGTGCAGTCTCACGGTAGCCCTACCGGTGAAGGCTACTTTCGCCACGCCCTTTTCCGGCCGGTTCAACAACAAACCCAAGAAGCGTCCAAAGGCCTTCGCATGCACGGCCACACGGATTTTGGCTTGACCACATTGTTATTTTCAGTTCCAATCTCATGCCTCCAGATTTGGGGTCAGGATGAACAGTGGTATTACGTGCCTTATAAGCCCGGGGCCCTTGTTATCAACATTGGTGATACCTTGGAGATCGTTTCCGGGGGCCATTTCCGAGCTACACGCCACCGTGTGTATAAGCCCCCACAGGACCAGCTGTCCTATGAGCGCCTATCGCTCGTGCTTTTCAACTCCTCTCTCGGAGACCTACGGATGATGCCTGCTGCTGGTGAGTCACTCAACATATATTTTACGTTAGTCAAGAGACGTGCTAATTCATGCTACAGAGTCCCCTCTAATCCAGCGCGAGGGATGTGTGGAGGAGCAGGGCGTTTACAAGGAGTTCAAGAAACTCACCTCTCAAGGGAATGTGGTGCCTACAAACCGTCAATGGCGCGAGATTCAAATCGCTACTTGCACAGACCCTACGGATACTGTGCGCAACAGAGTCGGAGCTGACCAGGTACTTATTGACGGCAAAGTCATGCACCAGCGCGAATACATGGGCGTTAAAGTTGTTTTGCCTGTCTAAATAACATGTATGAGAGGCTCGGCTACATAGGTTGGCTCAGAGAGATAGGCTGTACCCAGACTGAAGCATAATGATTCAAGGCATGAAGAAAGTAGGAATTCGACGAGATGAATTGAAATGAAACACTTCCAATCCTGCTGTATGATACTTCGCCCGGGATGTAAATATTGCTATCTGAAGATTGGACGGAGTTAAAGAACCAGGTCTTGATTGCCTTAGGCCAAAAGTCACGGTGCACCGAATTCCACCTTGGATGGGGTGGGATAGTTAGTTATCCCATGCAATGCTTAAATGATTATGTCAGCAGAAGATTCAAAATGATTGAAGGGGACCCATAAACAGATGAGTCAGCAACCTGGGGAAGTGGGTCTGAGTGGCACCTTCCTCAACTATACCAATTTCGACCTCTCGGGGAAGGACAACTCTCCTTTGCAAGGGTAATTGGTACCTCCAGGTGTGAGTGGCGTAGCTGGGAAGCCCAACTGCTGCATTAAAGCGAGTGCCTGGGTTCGATTCCATCGCGGTCGGATGAAAATACCTTCGGGATTTTATAGTCTCTGATCCTGGCCCCGCCAGAGTTGAAGTTTCTTTTTGCTCTTTTTGATTATATTCAAAAACCTGTTGGCCCTTTTCAGGTACGCGCCAAGTGGAGTTCTCAGGGTCCGCTTTTCTTTGAAGTGGGGCGTGGTGGAGCGAGGGCCTGTTGACAGTGAGGTTATTCCCAGGTGTCCAGGGCTGTAATTTGGGCCACCCCTCCACCTCCAGTAATACGAATAGTATTCTGGGCCCCTGTCCGCAAATGCATTCACGTTTTTGCCTCTTGAATCATTATCTTGTTGACAGATCTAGATTTGAGACTTCCGACAGAGAACTGAAAATGTAATTAGGACTGCACAAAGTCGTCCTTCACGATATCAACAAGACTCGACAGTAATCATGTCCCTATGAAGCGAACAACTGCTGTAGCTACATGAGATTGTCGTGAACTTGACGCATCGTAAGATCTCACTCGGGTCGAACCAAGTTGAGTCGACTCGAATCGAATCGAATCGAGTTGCTGCTCCGATCCTTCCCTCACTCTTCTAGGCCGACCGTCACACGACTTCTCTTCACTCACATCTTTACTCTCTCATTACTTTATCGCTTCCACATTTCTTACAGTCAGTATGGCCCCTGCAGACACCCCCAAGAAGGGTACCTCGGCGAAGAAGACCCCACCCATGGGCACTCCGAAGAGGATGAAGACCCGGTCCAAGGTTACTGTCGCCGATCTGTCCAGCAAGAGCACTGAAGCTATCACCTTCCTTTGGGCTGCTCTACAGCACGAGCTCGGAAAAACCGGCAGCTCCGTGAGTCCCTCTCGAAAGACATTATGCCCGCTTCTGCACTTTCTGAAGTGAAACTTGACATGAGTTATTCTGACAGCCCCGATTACAGGTGGACTACCAGGCCGTCGGCGATGCTCTTGGGATCACTAAGTGCGCAGCAACCTTCCGTTACTATCGTATTCGTGATGCCTTTGCCAATGACGCCGAGAACGCCAACAGCCCCGAGCAGGAAAGTCCCCAGGACAATAGCCCCAAGAGATCGCGCGCAAAGATTTTCAAGGCTAAGAAGAAGAAGAAGGATGATGGCGATGGAGACACTGAGGTCCCGGCAGCCGAAACCGAGGATTTCGATCAAGGTATCAAGATTGAAGAGTCCGACATTAAGATCAAGACGGAGGAGGAAGTCATGGAGGAAGTCATGGATGAATATCTTGAGCCCCAAGCTGATATTCGCTACGTCAAGATGGAGGAAGACGTTGACTTCGAAGCCTAGGTGGATTTCGATGCACATGCCTAGGGGAATGGGAGTACGTTTCATGTATGGTCAAGTACGACCCTCATGGGCCACTGCCTACCAAACTTCATGAGAAGAAACGATGTTGTCCATGAAGAGCATGAATGAGATGTCCTGAATTGTGAAACATTAATCACTTTTAGGCATAGACGTGTTGAAAGGCAAATCGAAGCACGGCCCAGCATTCTCTCGACTAGACATAATCTTCTCCAATCCCGGTCGAGACATCTCGCGTCGGATCATGTGTGCCAGCTCATCTTGGTCCTCAATTGCAGTGATGGTTGCACGTCGTCGTATCGAAGCTCTTGTTTCCTGCTCCATATCCGATGCTTGACTTGTTGGGGTCTCTTGGCTCATTTCTTCTCTCGTCAACGAATCCTCAGTCTGCTCTGCAATAGCCGCAGAAATACGATCCTGGAGCGCTTTTTCATCCATTTCCTGCTTCAGCACTGCGTAGTGGGACCGGCGATAAACTCCGATTGTGCTGAGTACCAAACCAAGAATTTCATAGACGAACAAAACCGGCAAAGCGTAATATAATTGAGGATTGCAGCCTCGTGACCAGATGTCCATCAAGACATTGAAGACACTATGCGCCGGCAAGGCATAGCCCCATTTGTAGAATCCCGGCGACAATTCAAACGGTAGCAGGATGGATGTGACATTCAACACGACCCAGGTTATAAATATCATAGGCACGAAGGCAGGCGGGACCCAGATCGTAAAGACGTCGAGAACGAGAAAGTTCAGATGCGCAAAAAGCCACAGGGTCATCCAGGTGATCACATACTGTGAGCCACCGACATGCCAACCAGCTCGGAATGCCCATATTGCACCAGTCACACACAGCGAGCCCACGAATGTATATACGCCGGAAATGATCTGGCGGACGATCGCAACTCGGTGAGGCGTGACGGTTGTGTAGAGTTTGAATTGTAGATAGAGGCCGTTGACAATTCCCAAGTAGAAGAACTCTTGGATCAGAATTAAGATGATGCATAGTGTGTTGTAGATCAGTCGAGAACCCTGCGTCGTGGGTTGGAAATCGACCGAAGTCAAGGTCCATGGATCGGAAAACGCAGAAACGGCAGCGGAGTCGGAGCTGTTTAGGCTCTTGATAGCCTGCGGCGCGGCTGTTTGGGAATAAATTACTCGTGTAGCTTCCGATAGCTCTTTCATGTTTTGGTAAATAGCAGAGTCAACCACGGTTGAATAGCGCGCTTCATTCCACACCACGGTCAGAACATTCGTCTTGTTGTACGAAGACGCGTCCGATCCACCTGCAAATGCAGCACTTAAGCGATTCGAGGCATTGGCGGTCGTGTAAAACCCACCCCAGAACTTGATGTCGCAAACCGCATTTTTGATGGTGCGCGGCTCAGGGTACGTTAGTGAAGACCGTTCGAATAGGGTTGGGAAGCCGGGTCTCTTCAGCTGCTGATACGCATCTCGGACCGCGGCGCCGATGGCCCCACCATCGTAATCAACAAACAGAATGTCAATGTTATGGATGTGCGTGGTCTGTTGGAAGAGAGAGCCGAACAGGTAGCAAAACAGTCCTAGGAATAGGATTTGGAGCAGAAGAAGGTTGACGGCCGCCCCCTTCAAGAAAGCCAGTCGAAGGGGCCGAACAGAAGGGTCATGGATGCTGGGCCGGGGCTGTCGCGCCTTCTCATAGAACCCCATCTGATCGGTGACAAAGGTTTGCAAGGCCCATGAAGAATTCTGAGGAAAGGAAGCGCAGGAAGTAGCGGATCGAGACTTTTTTTTATTGTTTTATCAGTGAGGAGTCTCCCTTGGGATACGAGATCCAGAAAAGTAAGCAGATCCCCCAAGAGGTGTCAGCTCGGTCAGGCCCATAGTCCTGGCGTCAGATTAGGAAGAAACGGCGTGTCGATTTATTCTGTTTTTTTTTTCCCTTCTTTTCTGAAGTCTACAAGTCACGGGCTCGGAAGGTCGGGGAATTCCTTTCCACGGTTCTCATCATTATTGCATAGCGTTATGAGTGGTTAACCACAAATGGCAGAGTCTTGACGTAGGGGGTGGCCGAGGTATGTGGGGGAGACCAATGCACGTCGGTGCCAGACTGTTCGCCGTGGATTACTAAGGTGTTCGTCTTTTATTGATTCTTATTCAACTTTGGTCCCGTCTCCATTCCTAGGGGCGCATCAGCACGGCTTGTTACTATATTTATGCCTAGCGCTATGCGAGCAAACACGCTAGCTATCCGTGCAATTAGCGTCTTTCGAGGTGACCGAATGGAATTGAAACCCATTCAAAAGGCACGTAATGTCATGGGGGAAAAGATGTCTATCTAGGGTGGAAATCTGTACTAAGAGAACAAAGTGTAGGCTCGTAGATTATCGCCTTGGCCAGGCTATGAAATCCCATCTCCTCTCTCCTCATCTGATAGCTATGAACAAACATTTTCCGTTCAATACACTCCACTGCGAGCTTTGTACTTGGGCTGATCCACCGACTCAATCCCACTCAATGCAGTAAGCACAGGAGTGGTGCTCACCAGCTCCAGGCTATCCAGCTTAGCACCGTCGTCTCCCTGGGCCCACAGGCTCAATGCAAGCCAGTTGGTACCCTGGTAATTCAAAATGCCCTCAGGAACTGGGTAGCTCATTTGAGGGCCAATGTTGTTCACATACTTGCCATACTGGTATCCATTAACGTACAGTTGGACACGATACGTAGAGGGAGGAGAGGTTGAGTTCGCGAAGTTGAAGTACAACGGGACGTCCCAGCCTTTCGGCAGATCTAAATCAAAACTGGTGCTATAGAAGCGGATACCAGCGTTGGATAGACCGTCGAGTGGGCTGCTGGATTTCCATTTCTGGGTTGGGGGTTGCGGCTGGTGGAACCCTTGACGTTCGGCGTAGAGACCACCTTCATTGAGAGGTCCACGAACTTTGTCCCGGTAGTCCTCTCCACCCAAGTTGCCGGTCAGCTTCCAGGTGATGGCGTTGGCGGAGTGTCCAGAGAGCTCATAGTTGAGGATACCGCGGGGGTCCTTCATCTCATCTGAGCCGACGGTCCAATCTTCGTCCAGACCCATGTTATCGACAACCACAGTGATGACATAGGACTTTCCAGACTTCAGACTTGGTAGTGTGTAGGTCGCGTTATAGCTGCTGTCCACGCTGGTACCGGCCCACGAGCCCACGTGGGTCTCATTGATCCACACCGAGCTGCCGAAGGCTGTGCCGCCTTGGGTTTCCAGGAAGAAAGTCTTCTCATCGCCATTGGCGACGAAGTACCCCCGGTAAATGAGAATTCCGGTGTGGAATCCATAGTCGGACGAATACAACGACGTTGGGGTTTTCAGTGGGCTTCCGATATTGTTGTTTGTAGATTCATGGCTGGCCACGGTCCAAAGAGAGTCGTCATACGAGTTCTGGATCTCGGGGAGAGTGTCCAAAGACTTCCACTTCAGATTCTTCAAGGAAGGAAGGTCAATCTTCGGTGCGGTGTATTTGACGCTAGTTGACCAGATGCCGTTCTTGTCAACCTTGACAGAGGCCTTGTTACCGTTGATGACCAAATTCTTGGCCTTGGAAGGAGCACCGATAACCTCGATTGAGGTCGTGGCGTTGAAGTCGGCTGTGAGGTGAAGGTCGCTTCCCTGCAGGTATGCAGTACGCACAAGATACCCGGCCTTAACGATGATCGACGAGGAAGTGTTCTCATCAGATGCAAACCCGGGGGTTGCGCCCGAGGCTGGCACTTGAGGCACCCAGTAGTTGTAGGCAGAATTACGATCTGGGTATCATCAGTGACATGGGTTCAAATTAGGCTGGTTAAATCTTTTGAGACTTACCGAGCAAGAAGATCTTCAGGTCGCCAACCTTGACAATGCGGCGAGTGGATGAAACATCCCAGCTGATGACAACAGCATTGCCCTTCTGCTTGGAGATTATGCCGGAGGACGAACCCTCGACAACAGAGACACTTGACTTGGAGGAGACAGCAAGCTCATGGTGCTCATTAGGGCCACCATAGACAACGAGAACTTTCTCATTTCCGAAGTCCTTCCAGGTGAAGACCTCGGCGGTCGAGTAAAGGATATTAGTACCAGCCACGTCATAATCAACGACATGGATCTTCGAATCACGACCACTGAGGGTCAGGCTTCCGCCAAGCTGAGGAATGGTCAGGCTACCAGCACTGGTGGGAAGTCTAAGCTTGTAGCCGACAGAGTCCTGGCTGGAGTAATCAGTGTGTCTGATCACAAAGAACGAGGAGGCCGAGCTATTGCTACCCAACAAGGGCGTCACGGTCAAGTCGGCAGTGCTGGTATAGGTCGAGGTAGTCGCGTTCCCGGGAGTTGCCACCAAATAAGAAGGCGAGACCTTGGCGAAGTTTCCAAGCAGTTTGAGTTCGCTGTACTTCTCGCGAGTAATGTTACGAGATTCAGTGATTACCGAACCATAATCGTAAGATGTGTACCCACCCGGGTGACCCAGGTTGCCCCAGTTAGTACCACCGAAGATCTAGGCATTTTATTAGCTTCGTTTGATTCAGATCAAAAAAGATTCGACTCACCATATACAAGTTCATGAAAGCAACTCCGAAGCTAAAGTCATTCTTGTAGAAGACCCGTTCAAACTCGTTATTCAGAAGCTCGGCGCAAGAGGCAAAACTGCTTCCGCCCCAAGGATCAAAGGCTCCGCCTTGGAACTGCGATTCGTTAGAAGATATCACCATTCTGTTGATCATAACGTACCTCAACAAGAGAATACGGGGTAGTTGGGCTCTGTTCCAAATGAAGCTGATGAAAATTGGTGGGAAGGTCACCGCTGGGCCACGTCGAGGGATTGGCACAATCAAAACCCAGAGGGTAACTATCATGGCCGTAGATATCGACGGCTCCTTTTCCAGAGCCGGGGACATTGTGGCCAGAGGGAGAGGCATCATTGCTGATCAAAGGCACAACGATACCAGCATTGCGGGCTTGGTCTTCGACGTACTGCATATAGGCGGCATCGGGGAAGTCTTCGTATCCACAGCAAGCACCACTGTACTCATTCTCTGGCTGGAAAAGAATGACAGGTCCACCGTCGGTAATCTGGGCCTTGGCAATGGTCGAAGAAACATGGGACATGTAGCTATAAAGGGTGTCAAATTTGATAAACTCCAAGATTCCTCTGTGCTCGAAAGCTCATACTTATCGGTTGCTTTCAAGTATTCTGGGTCACTGGTTCGCAGTGTGGCATTGATACGCTGCAACCATCCTGGGAAGCCACCTCCAGAGACCTCAGCATTGATATAAGGCCCAGGACGAGCCAGAAGGTAAATTCCAGCTTCCTTGGCAGCGTCAAAGAATGGGTCGAGGTCGAAAATGCCATCAGCGCGGTACTCGCCTGGCTTTCCCTCCACAAGCGCCCAATCGACATAAAATGAGACACAGTTGAATCCGAGGGCCTTGACCTTCTGGAAGATATCGATATAGAGCGTTGAAACGGGCAATCTGCCATAAATCTCATTAGACGCGATCTTGATTGTTCTATTGAGAAGCCTAAGTACCTGAACGGATGGAACTCTCCGCTAAACAGCATTATTCTCTCGCCCTTAATAAACAACGAGTGCTCATCCCAGGTCACCTAATTCGTTCGCGTCAATACCGGTGGGAACTAACCGATGGGTGGACCGCTTACATATTTCTGTAGGAGAGCCCGCTTCGCAGCATTTGGATGCTCACGGATAGTCAATCCGTCCAGCTTGTGGCTCAAAGCAGCACCCGCCGCCTGAGCAGCCAAACAGGCCACAGCCCAGGTAGACAAGAGCTTCATGATGAGCTTAGTTTCGGGGAGTAAAAAAGCTGCAGCTTGAAAAAGCACATTCCAGGGATCGGCGCCCTTTCATATACTGTACAGTCTCTTTGGAGAAGATCGACAAGCGAATCAAACAAGGACCGGCTGGCATGCCATATACTCCGAGGCGCAATTCCGGAGGCGCGCCATTTTCCCCTGGGTTTGCAGCCTTGGCCTGCACTATATTTCGTCATCTCGTCACGAGTAGAGGAAACGGAGCGGGGAGCTCCAGTTTAGATGTCGCCGATACTCCGCTCGTGCATGGATGTCGCATAGCAGAGCAAGGTCATTGTAGGGTTAGTGGAGGGTATACTGGCTCCATCAGGGAAAGCGGAGTGACGATCCAGGGCTATGCGGGGGTTCCACCGCAATTTTTCCGCTTATCGTATGGTCGCTCTTTGGGTTTCTCCAAGGATATTTTGGAACGGTGCAATTAACGAGCTGGTGCCCCTGAGGCAATTGCCGATCGGCCTTTTGCTTCTTTTTTTTTTTTGGCGAATTTGCTTAGATACTGTACTTTCAAATGCAGGGTCCCTTGCGCAAACATCAACCGGAATATTTATGCCCATGATTAATCATGAAACGAATGCTTTGGCTGGCGTTCCAAGACAGAAGCGTCATTTGTAGTTGGTAGTTGGTAATTGAATCATCGAACAACTTAATATAAAGCAAGCTTACGCCTGCGGGGAAGGCGGTCCTGGAAATCAGCCGACACCAACGACCGATGATTCTCCGAAGAGAACTTAGGAGACAGATCGTGCAGGACTCGGCTAATTTCTGGTGCAACCCCGAGGTCCTACGCCGGAGCCCTCTGGATCTGTTATACTTCGGTATACAGCCAGACCAGGAGTACAATACAAGTGGTTCTAAATAGGCGGCCGTGACTGATTACACCAGAAATATGCTAAGCCAATCAGAGGATGCCCTGGAAAAGGAACAAAAGAGATCTCAAAAGTGGTAAAGAGCGGTCCAGCAAGATGTTGAGAAAGAGCTGAAAAACTAAGTGTAGAGGCCCTTTTAGAGTATCTTCTCGGGAGGGCTGTAGTGCAGCCCGTATGCTCAAAGCGGTAATTTTCCATTGCTTTTAGTACATTCCTTGAGCGCATGCTCCCGGTTATTGAAATCATGAATGTAAAATATCGATCATTGCTATATTTCCAAGTTTTAGACCGTTGTGTTGAAGCGGTCCTCCTCGTCCCCGTCTTTCGTATAGGTCTCGCGTGTTTCCATCTGCTCCTGCTCATCTTGGCCTACTTGGGCGTTCTCGTGCTTCATCGCAACATCCTCAGCATCGGCAGTGCTTTCGACAACAGGAGCGGGACGCTGGTTCTTGTCTGTCTTGTTGATGAGCGGGGTATCGTCGTTGAAAATGCGCAGCAACATGGCACGGCGCTCCTCCTTGGGAAGCATGAGGTTCAGTGAGTGCATCGAGCGCCAGAGAGGCAGCACCATCCGCTCGCTGTAAAGTGGGTTAGAAATTGTATCATTGGTTAGAGAACTGGAATAAGAAACATACGTGAGACCACCCTCCTTTCCATTGGGTTCAATGTGCAAGATGCTGCAGCCCATTGGGATATCTTTGACACGCTCGCCAATCTCGCCCAGCTTCTTCCAGCCGTCGTTATCAATTCTGGGGAACATCTCCACAAGGAGTGTGCGCAGAGTCTCCCGCTCGGTGAGAACCACGGCGCGGGCAGGGCCCAGGAAGGGCGAGATGATCTTCAGACCATCGGTCTGAATACGCCAGCGGCAGACATTCTCCCGCTGCGCATCCTGCTTCACAAACATCTTCACACCACAGTGAACGAACTTCATGCCACCTCCCTCGTTCATGGTAAGAATATCGCGGGCAAGAGCACTGGTGTAGTAGACAGTTCTTGTCGGGGTGCCCTCGGCGTTGCGCACCATGAAACGGTCCTTAGGGAAACGCTCCGACACCTCGTAGAATTTGTAGATAGGCTCGAGCTCTGGGTGGTTCCCATCAAGGTACTTGAACGGCTCCTCCTGGACAATCTTATTTTTCTTCTTGGGGAACTCAGAGCCCGGGGCGGTCTGCGAAGGAGTCGCAGTTGTGGCAGGGGTGCTATCACCGGGAGTGTCAACGTGCTCCGTTGCCACTGATGGCGCAGGTTGGTGGACGGGTCGGTCACCAATCAGGACCTCACTGCCATTGTCAAGCTTGGTCCGCTTGGCGGGAAGCTCGTCCTCCAAGTCATCAGCATCGCGCTTGATAGCCTCCGTAGAATCAAGAGTAGCAGAGTAAGGAAGTTGGTGAGCGGCCTGAGCGACAGAGGCGTTCTTCGCAATCTCGGCGTCGGCCTCGGCGTCGGGAACAACAAGATCGTCCAAGGCCTCCAGCTTCTGGTAAGGCTCACCATTGCTGTTCTTACGAGCATCCAGCTCTGAGGCAAGAGCGGCAACTGAGGCCTTGGGGACAGTGTTGGTGGTATCCTCTGGCTTGGCGCGGATCTCGGAAGTCTTCTCAATGACAGTGATGAAGAAACCGCCAGTATCCTGCATGTGGGGGTAGACACGCATGCAGCGCTCGAGTGGGAGGTCGGCATGTTCTCCGGTCTGCGGGAACATACCCTCGGAGAATCTGGCCAAGCCGGTGGTTCCCTCCTTCTCAATGTGCTCTTGAACCTCCTTCCAGCTGTCCCACATACGACCCTCACGGTCCATCACCTTCCAGTTGCGAAGTCCAGGGGCCCGCTTGAGGCCGGTCAGCTCTTGGCTGCAGTCAATGATCTTGACATTGGCAGAGCCACCACAGCGAGCGATAGCAGCAGCGACAACAGCCTCATTCTCAACGGGGTTAATACTGCAAGTAGAGTAGACTACACGTCCACCGACCTTCAGCATCTGGAGCGCGCGGACCAAGATACGGGCCTGGGTAACGTGGAGACCAATAGCATTGGCAGGGTTCCAGTCCTTCCAGACACCGTAATTCTTGCGAGCAGTCCCATCACCTGAGCAAGGAACATCGGCAAGAATACGGTCAAATTTCAAGTACCGGTTCTTCTTGCCATCGAGAGAAGGAAGCTTGATAGACGGGTACATGGTAGCATCGTGATTGGTAACAATCAGGTTGGGCGAGGCAAGACGCTTCATCTGGTGAATCAACATGTGCGCACGCTTGTAGTCGCTGTCATTAGCGATCAAAAGACCAGTGGTGCGGCCATCGTCGTTGAGACCCTCAGGGCCCAAGGGCTCGGGTCCGGCAGTGCCTTCCTTGATCTTCTTAGCAGCATCCACAATGGAGACTTCCTCGCCAGCATGGATTAATTCCATCAGCTGAGCAGACTTGCTTCCAGGTGCGGCGCACATATCCAGAACCGTCATTCCGGGGCGAACATCGATAACGAGAGGAGGAATCATGCTGACGACCTCCTGGCGACTGATGTTTCCGACATCGGTCTCGGCAACGAGGAACTTCTGGAAGTTGGCGAAGGGAGCGAAGCGGCGAATGACTTGCTTGGGAGTGGACATCGACCAAGCAAGCTGGTCGGGGTACCAAGAGACCGGACGAGGCGGCTCGACGAATTCGTCCTCATACTTGATAGCGGTGATTTCGGGGATGTAGAACTCCTTGAGGCGCTCTTGGACAGCGAGCGCGTGTCTATGCAGCGATGCGATAATTAGAATTGTGTAATATTTCCCAAAAAGAAGTCGCAATCCGACTGCGAAAATACAAAGACTTACCCACGCGAACCAGTGAAGCGGAAGCTGTTGGGGAGATCCCGACGCATATAGTCCCAGAAAGGCTCCAGGTCCTCCTCGGGGATAATGCCCGACTCAGTGTAGTAGCGCTCCATCTTCGCATTATTCCGGCTGATGTCCTGCCAGTTGTTGCTGCGACGGCCACCGCCGCCGCCGCCGCCTCCACGACCTCCACGAGTAAACTGTGAGGAGAGAAGTCAAGTTAGCATGGCAGGCACTTCAATTGAATTAGAGAAGAGCTCTGAATTACCTTTCTGCCACCTCTTTTGCCCATTGTGAATGTAGCTTTGCTGAGAGATGCAGTCAAAATCGTCTCTCCAAAAAAATGTCCGTCTCGGATCACTTAGTCAGCACGATCGTGGGGCTGATACTGCATCTTATCACCGCCTTTGATATCAGGTTGACAGTATTACGATGACTGCTCAGAGTGATTTCTATTTGGACTAGACAGGTGATTTGCATCATGTGCAACTAAAGAAGTTCTACAAGTCTATACGACTGCGGGAGATCTATGCGGAACAGTACTATTGAAACACAGTAAAAGGTTTTGGCTGGAGACAAAAGAAACAAAGGAGATAAGTTTGGTCTGCCACACCCGGGGTGGCAGACTATATAGTCTACTATGGCAAACCATTAATTGCTATTTCACACACAAATCAGGGTTTAACAGAAACCCAAGGCAATGATTGATAGTACATTCAAACACGCCCATCCAAGCCCGGAAAGCCCCGAGCACCAGATGGTCGTCTATAACCAGCAGAATTTTTACGACAGGTTGCGAGACATGTCGTTGCGGATGCGCTGGTAGTCGAGGATACCCTCAATGCTGCCGACGGCGCTCATGGCGACGTCCTGGTCCCAGAGCTTGCGGGTGGCGAAGTCCATGACATCCTTCTCGGTGATCTGGCTGACGGTACGCTCGATGTCCTCGGCGCTGAGGCGGCGGCCGGTGGTGATAATCTGGCGGCCAATGTCCTCGGCAACGGCAGTGGTGCCGTCGAGAGACAGGAGAATGGAAGCCTTGAGCTGGGCCTTGGCGCGCTCGACCTCGGCGGCGGAGACACTGCTGCAGAGACGAGACCACTCACGGAGAGTGAAGTGGATCAAGTCATCAAGCTGGGTCAGGTTCTCGGAGACAAGGTAGATACCCCAGAGACTGTAGAGAAAACAAGTTAGTTATCTGTGTAAATATTCTACTGTACGGTCGCAAAACTTACCCAGTGTCGCTGTAGCTGGTGGAGAAGGACATGAAGCTGTTGGCGAGGTGGTGGTGGCTGACGTGGGAGCTGAGCTTGCTGCCGAGGAAGGGAGACTGGCCCATGGCACGGTCCCAGTTACCGACGATAGCCTGAGCAACGAGGGCAGTGAAGTAGTCATCATCCTTCCAGCTGACACCCTCGACGGCAAGGGCGATGTGAGCGGAGGGGATGGTGTCATCACGGAGACGGACCTCAGAGCCGATGAATTCGGGGGTGCGCTTCTGCTCGGCGGTCAGGGCCAGGGCAGCGGAGGTCGGGGGCTTGTTGGGGAGACCGCCGAAGTGCTCCTCAGCGAGGCGAACGAGCTGCTCGTGGGGGATACCACCAGCACCAACAAGGACCATGCGGTCAGCAGTGTAGTTGGTCTTGATGTAGTCGGTCAGGTTCTCGCGGGAGATGGTCTGGATGTTCTCCTTGGGGCCGAGGATGGTGCGACCGAGGGGCTGGCCCTGGTAAGCGGTGGCGTGAAGGTGGTCGAAGACAACCTCCTCGAGCTGCTTATCAACCTCCTCCTGCTCGCGCAGGATAACGTCGCGCTCGCGCTCGATGGCGGCGGGCTCGAGCTTGGAGTTCTGGAGGATATCGGAGAGAATGTCGACAGCCTTAGGGACATCGTTGTTGAAGGCCTTGGCGTAGTAGACGGTGTTCTCGCGCTGCACGATTCATTAGTGTTGTTCCGATAGAGGCATGGGTTGGGTTTTCCGGTCATACCGAGGTGTAGGCGTTAAGGTGAGCGCCCATGTTCTCAATCTCGAGTTCCAATTGGTGCTGCGTGCGCTTGTTGGTGCCCTGCAGAATGTTGTTAGAGTGTTATCGCATCGACTGGGAATGATCGGAACGGACCTTAAAGGCAAGGTGCTCAAGGAAGTGAGCGGTACCGTTCGTCTTGTCAGTCTCTGACCGGGAACCGGCATCGATCCAGACACCGACAGTGGAGGTCTGGGCCCATGGGGAGTGGTCGGTAGCAATCTAAGATGTGTCAGTGAGGGTGCGACGCAATTGATCGGATTTGCAGGGCGTACGGTGAATCCGTTGGTGAGGGTGGTCGACTGCATGGTGGACGGCAGAACCGGGGAGGCAAAGCCTCGCTTCACGGGCTGGATGGACTTGAGGGCCGCACGGCTCCGAAGAGCCTGGTGCAGGTTGAAAGCCAGTCGGCGGGAGGCCATTGCGGACAACTGGAGTGGGTGGGAGGGGTGATGGGGGATGGAGAGAAGAGCTGGACTCGCCCTGAGGTTGAAGTTCGGAAGTCAAATTGTTCGCCCAGCTCGCCAGCCAATCACATGACCCGCTTTTCCAACTGACCCATTTCGTCCCGATTACTTCCATGCGTCCTCTCGATTGACGACATGGCCCTTGTATTATTCCCCATGGAGGGCTTGTTCTTGTTACCATACACTTTGAACTTGAGATCTTTGATCGTGCCATGCATTTATTGACTACTATAGTATGAACGGTCCCTTCCGTCCTCTACACACAACCTCCGAAGTCGCTCCTATCATACAAATCGACTAGCAAATTGTCTGATGTTCTCCGTCATGGAAATATCGGCAGAGAAGCCAAGCTTGAACGCACGATCGGTTGAGAACTGAGGAGTCCACGACTGCACGATCTTGTCCGTAGCCGCATCATACTTCTCCTCCACCAACGCCCGTCGCTCCTTGCCACCAATCTCCTCCAAGGCATCCAGCATCTCCTGGACACTCACCTTTAACCCAGGAAGGTTGACCGACCGTGACTCGCCGAACGCTTCCTTGGGAATATCGCGCGCGTGGATGAGGTTCTTGATTATGGTGTGCGGCGAGCATATCCACATCTCGGTGTCCTTGCCGACGGGCAGAATGGCCTTCTTGCCATGGAATGGCTCACGGATTATATCACTGGCAAAGCTGCTTGCAGCCTGAGTGGGCGCTCCGGCTCGAACAGTCACTGTTGGTAGTCGCACGCAGCGGCCGTCCAGGAATCCGCGTCGGGAGTAGTCGTTCAAGAGCGTCTCGACAATAAGCTTCTGTGATCCGTAAGACGACGAGGGAACGGGCGGGAAGTTTGTCTCGTCTATGAGGAGTCCCGGTGGTGCCAGGCCGTAGACTGCCAGTGAAGATGTGAAGACAACTTTCACCCCAGGCATAGTAGCACGTAGTCTGTCAATGATGTATCGTGTAGAGTCGAGGTTGACTCGAATGCCCAACTCGAAGTTGGCCTCGGAGCCACTAGACATGATGCCATGTAGCAAGTAAACAGTCTCATATTGGCGAGAAGGGCTGATCAACTCGTCCACCTCTTTGGGAGACGTCAAGTCGGCGCGAACACAGGTCAAGCGATTTGCATGCTCTTTCGCCGCCTCAGGAACGCCGGGTTCGACAACGTCGGTAATTGTCACGGTTGTTGAAGATGGCGTGTTTGCAAGGAACGAAGATGCCAGCTCCTGTCCGACATAGCCACCGGCGCCAGTGATGAGAATAGACATGTCGTACGTGTGTCCGATAGTCAACAATAACAGCAATGATATATAAGGGTATCAAATAAGTATTAATTCAGCTGTAGTCAAAGTCCACTCGGGGATCTTTCCATTCCAAAGCCGGTTCCTGTCCACCATTTATAGTCGTCTTCTAGAAAGAACCCCGCGGGACTGCAGCGGAATACAATCCCCTCCCCCCACGCTCCGTCATTTGGGCTCGTTATTCTGCGCCAATGATAAACGTTGATCTAGAAGAGCCAAGAACGGTACACTTTTATCACGCACCAATTCCGAGCCTTTCGCTGAGACCAGCATCGCCGATGCTGAATCTCGGTGAGAAACCCGATTGCCGAACGGCCCACGGCGTTGGTCGAGGAACACGGGGAAAGTCCGAGACGTATGGTATGACCATGGATAAACACGTGAAGGCCGGGAAAAATCTCTACACCAGATATTCATAAACTTGAGTGTGTAATAAACTTCCAGTTGTCAAGTGCTAGTCCTTGAAGCCAGTAGAAGCACAGGTGTCAAAGGCATAGTCTTCCTGGGCATCCTCATCTCTATCCTTGTCTTTCTTGTCATCAAAGCTGTTGCCATGTCCTGTGCCATATGCTATTCGAGTGACCTGGAACATTAGAATAGATCTATGGGGTGCCCCAAAGCATACCTTAGGTACGTACTTGAAAGGTGCTACACGCGTGAACAGCATAGCTCACTCCAATTACTAGGCTGCAGTGCACCAAACCTGCTTCAGGCCTCGGGAGCTACTCAGGCTTATATCAGAGAACATCTACAACTACAGGCAATTAAGTGACATTCCAGTGTGTGCATTTTATTCCATAAGATGGAACCTAGATTTTGTGACGCAAGCAATCGTACATGGGCAGAGAAAACCAGTCACAGTGGGAAGAACAGTGGATACATCGCAGAACACGAGACGCCTGAGAAAAAAAAAAACGGAGCATCAAGAAGAAAAGACATGACCAAGAATTAGGCAACCGCTTATGAGCGGGTGTAAATACCACCGACGATACAGTGATCACGCTCGAAGGGCTCGAGGGTCAGCTGCTCCTTGGGCTTGATCTTCTCGTCACGCATCTTCTGGACCTCGCGGGAGAAGACAACGTCGGGGGCGGCTGTGCTATCAATACAGTTGGCCTTGATTGAGATAATGGCACCACCGCCATCCTTAAGGAACATGTGGGCGTTAAGACCAACGATACGGGCCTGGTCGGGCTGGGCAACATCGGCAAAGATGACATCGACCATGGGCACGAGCATACGGTAACGGAGAGGGTGACGGGCATCCTCAACGATGGGGATAACGTTGGTGCGGTGAGTGGCCATGCCAATCAGGTCACGACCAGAGCGGTGAGAGAACTCAACGGCGTAGACGTTACCGGTAGGGCCGACAATATCAGCGACGTGGGAAACGGAGGTACCGCTGGCAGCACCGATGTAGAGAACCTTGGCACCAGGCTTCATGTAGATGTTGTCCATACCACCAAGGATACCGGCAGCCAGCTTGGAACGGAAGGGGTTCCACACACGGTACTCGACCTTGGTAACGGTGCCATCCTCAACGGCGGGAGCCTCAACGGAAATACGCTTCTCACCGTAGACGGCCTCACCGGGGGTCAAGTTCTTGGTGACAAGCAGATCCTCCTTACCACCACGGGCAACGAAGACACCGGCGTGACGGTGAGGCTCCTGTGTAAAAGTGCTGGTCAGTGATTGAGATTCTCTCATGCTTTCGACTTTGAAAACTTACGATGATAACCTTAGCACCACCACGGGCACCGGCAGCACCGCCGCGACCACCGCGGGGGGCACCGCGTCCGCCACGGGGAGCACCACGGCCACCACCACGGCCACCGCGGCCGCGATCACCACCGCCACGGCCACCGAAGCCACCACGACCACCGAAGCCACCTTCAGGAAAAAAACCGATCAGCAACTGGACAACGCTAAATTTTTACAGAAAAGACTCATGGTCGGAGCAAGCATTCCCGCAGGCTCTGACCATCGGACTAGACTTCTGCAGTTTTGAAAAGATTGGAGTACAAACCTCGACCACCTCCGCGGCCACCGCGGTCACCACCACCGAATCCACCACGTCCACCACGTCCAGGGGGACCGCCACGGCCACGAGGAGTGAAGCCCATTTTGTTTGAAGGGTTGGTTGGTTTGTGTTGGGGAGAGATCGAAAAGGACGGGAATTGAGCTTTGAAGTGCTCAAGCCGAGTGCTGTCGAAAAATGGAGGGACGAACTCGAAAAGAGATCGACTCGAATTTAAGAGAGAAGAACTCAGTAATATGAATCACTGAGGCAAGCAGCTGGTGTAAGATTGACCAGAGATGCTTTGTCGCGTGCGGGTTGGAACCGGTACTGCTCGTTGATGCGGTCGAGATTTTTTTGCGCCTGCTGGATCTTTCAGAAAATCAGAAAAGCGCTAGCCCTACTCAGGCTTAGCTCCTACCGCCGAAGTTAACTGCTTATGTCACCCGTATAGCGAGATCACGTGCTTGTATCACGTGGGATAGTTAGCCCTGCATTTTATTGAGGAGACTTGAGGACTGCTACTAGGGAAGAATCACGCAGTACTCCTTTTATTAACGCCCTGGATATCCAGAAGAGATGGGTTATCAAGAATAAAATACTAAATGGACCAGCCTGACAATACCTCCCGTCACATCCGCCCGTGAATAGTGTTCGTCTATGTACAGAACAGTGAAACCCTCCTAGTTCCCAAAGAAATAGTAGTTCGCGGCATATTGGACCTCGAATGCAGATGGCATGCCCTTACAGGTGTCTGGTGGAGACCCAGAGGCAGTGTTGACTCGGTAGACCTTCTTGTACTCGCCAACGGTACCAGTGGTCGTGGTAAGGTACAGCCAGGCAACGGCCCCATTCTCGCCCTTGGCTGCACTCGAAGGAGCATTGAGCTGACTCTGCTTCTTCGTCATGGCAACACCATATTGCTTGATGGCGGTAGTGTCCAGATTGAACTCTGGAGTGGTGGAGTCATAGAAGAAGTGGTGGCCCATCAGCTGAATATTGGCTGGAGGCATTGAAGCATACTCGTTTGCCGGGAGAGCGATCTTGTAGGCAATGTTGGGTAGCATCTCCATGAGATCTGGGTAGTTGGCGGCAATGCACGTGGCATTATAGAGGCTGGCGACAGCCCCGATGGCCACCGGGGTAGAGCTAGACGTGGAATCCGCACAAGTGTAGTTCTGTGAGTGATTAGTGACAGGGCAACAAATAATGAATGATCCATACGTACTTGTGTGCCTCTTCCGAGTGCAACATACATGGGCGTCGCTCCATCCGGGCTGGGAAGACCCGAGGCAAAAGACGGCAGCGAGATCTTGGATGTGTCGCAGGTAGCAGATGGTGTCACATTGTGTCTCACATCGTCGATGTATTTGCTGACTTTGCCATAGAACTCTGCTAGCTCGTCTGAGAAGTCGTAGATGTTGTTGAAGATGTTTGACGGGGCAGCAGATGATACTGCCACCATCGAGAGTAGGATCGGAGCCAGACGCATGGCTGACGCTCTTCTGTCGTGATGGATGTAGGAGTGGAGCGTTGGTTTTGTCGGTAAGAATTGAAGAGAATAGGAATAAGTAAACCTCGAGCAGCACCAGGCTGTTCGTAAGGCTGAGGGAGAATAAGGGAATTAGAAGAAAGGAACGACGGTGGGAAGGATTGGCATGAAGATGATGAAGACGTCGGGTTAGGGAGTACTGGTACATATAGAGTCGGTGCTAATTGCAATCTTGCACACTTCCAAGCATACCTCAAAGATAGTAACACTGGGCTAACTTGAAACAATCTCGATTCTATAAAAATAAGTCATCGATGCACGCTGCAGGTACTAGCAGGGATCGATCGCTGACTGGGCACGTTCATTGGTGCAGAGAGCGCCCAGTGCTGCCGCCCCCAGCCTCTTCAGGGCCTAATTCGCTCTGCCCACAAAACAACTTTCGCCGGATCGAGATAGCTATGGCGCTAAGCAAAACAGCGGGCTTTTCGTTGGGCGGCACCGTGGAGGTGCTCGGTTCACTTGGGAAGTCTATGCGGAGACCCTTCCTATTTCTCCGGGCTATTAATAAATCGGACCCTAGCTCACCATGTGCTCGGGTGTGATGAGCGTCTAGATATGCATTGTGACTTGCCCTTGTGGGTTAGTGTGCAGAATGGGTGTTCAAGGAGTCTCCCTGAAGGAGCTGGGCGGCTGGGTGAGATTAGGACGAGTTGACAATCGACGTGTTCGATATTTAATTGGATGCACCGAAGCATGACTTGTTGCAAGTAGAGCTGTCTTTCTTCCGGGCAGCCACCCGAACAATCACCGCGGGGAGGCTGGGTGGGAGCTCCCTCTCCACATTTGTGGCATTTCCCACTTCTGGCTCACCCCGACCAGGTTACAATCACTGGGCGCGTAGCCAACGCCATCAACGCCATCTTACTCAAAGCGAATTTTTGAAGTCAGCCACTTAATTATCTTTAAACGATGACCCGCATCACTTGTGTTTATGGTATCTTTACCCGAATCAAAGCGGAATAAATGACTGAATTCCCATTGTGAGATCCATATATATCTCGTGAGGGGTAAGTGGCACTGGTCATCAAGCTAACTCCAAGGACATTAGCCTGAGAATTGAGGGTCATGTATACTCGGCAGGTGATGCGTCTAAGTTAATACTCCGAACTTCCAGGGTTATCATTAGGACTCGGGACTCGAGACTCTGCATCCCATCAGACTACCCAGATGCAAGTGATCTGATGTGCATTTCAGTGTACCAGAAATATTTGACCATATAGCTTTATTTTCTCCAGTTTCCAACAAGAAGCCCGGGTGGTCTAGTGGTATGATTCGCGCTTAGGGTTCGACCTAAGCACTCCTGCGCGAGGTCCCGCGTTCGATCCGCGGCTCGGGCCTTCTTTCTCTTTTTGCTCTCGTCTTTTTGGTTTCCCGACAAAGAGCTTTTTTCTATTTTTATTTTTTATTAAAATAAGAAGAAACCGCATGGTCGGGATAATAACAGAAGGCACAGAAAGCTCACCACACGTAGGATGTCATCAAGATGGATCGCCCTCTTTGATTGATGCATCAAAGGGTGTAGAGCAGCTATGATGCGCTCTCCCATGCTACCCCGAACCACTCTTCCCGGACATGTAAATTGCCTACCCCTCTTGTCTTTTCATTTATAGAGGACCGGGCTGTTCAAGCGCTGAACCTACGTCAGGAACCCTGTAAGATGCCAGATGACCCTGCGAGAGGTGACGATCCTGTCTTCGCTCTAGAAACCCATTGGGATCGGTGCACCCTCCTATTATGTGCCATTGGCAAATACTCAAAACCCCAGACATGAAGTAATGAACAAGTCCGATGCAAAGCTCGTTATTTTCCAGGTTCTAACAGACTGTACAATCTGGCTAACCAGGAACCCCCGAACAAGAAATGAAGAGCAAGACTAGGCCCGTCTGCCAGAGCGGCCCACTCCTTCCCAACGCCAAAAATCGATGACCAGACATAATACAAAGGAAAGATATGAAAACTCCTATCCATATGAAAACTCCTATCCATAGCGTTCGCTGTTAAAAAACTCAACAATCAACAAAACAGGTTCTTGTCCCGCAACTTCAGATACCAAGAGTTTCACCCTGCATGGTTGAAACCCTCCTGCTGCCAATCATCACCATGCAGCTGGCTGCCACTGTCCGTACCAGACCCACTGCCACTACTGCCATATGCAGCAGCAGCAGCGCTACCTACAGCACTCATAGCACTATGCTTCTCAATTTCCATCGTGCTCATCATGTAAAGTACGACGAAGAGAAGGATGTGCAGAGCAAAGCAGTAGCCTGCGAACAGGTTTCGACTGGTTCGATTGGCCATGATGATGCGCGTAAGCGAGAAGACAATTCGCTCGGGGAGACTCATGCGCTTGTACGCACGGGCCGATTCACGGCCCTTGAAGGCAGCGAACGGTGAGATCCGTGCCTCGTAGGCATTCTGATACCGATCAAGGGAAAGTCCGGAGGGGGTATCTGATGAGTTGTAGACAGATGTCGAGCTAGGTGCATTCGCATATGATGATGCAGATGTGGATGCTCCCTGGCCACGACTGTATGTGGAAACATACCGAGTCTTCTCGTAAAGGCCCAGGTTGTCCTTTTGAAGAGATGCAACCTCTGAACGAAGGGACTTGACTGTGGCATACGTCTTCGATAGCTCTTCTTCCAGCTCTGCATTCTTTTTCTTGAAACGATCACGCTGCGCTTGGATCATCGGAAGAAGACCGGAACCACCTCCCACGGCCTCTCCGGCACGGATAGCATCCATCGTGTTGGCGGATGCAGCACTCTGATCGAAGCCAGATATGATTGACGAGGTGGGAGATGATGCACCCCGACGGGCTGAGTGTGGGTATCTCGAGGTGAAAGTACCCGCGGTGGACATAGCCGACGATGGGAATGCGTTGGCTGCCTCTTGCTGCACCTGAAGGAGATCGTTTTCCAGGGTTGTCGACAGCCCTCGAGACTTATCAAGTTCGCTTTTAGTCGTCGCAAGCTCGCCACGCATCGTCTCAAGCTGCTCTTGAATCTCGCGTGTCGACACCCGTAGGACTGCTAGCTCATCGTTCAACTTTTTGTTGCGGGCAAGCAGAAGTTGCTCAAGCGAGTTCTTCTCTTGAGTTTTTGTGGCATCTCCATTAGCACCAACTGCACCACTTTGCGCGGTCTCTGCATCATCCTCATCGTCACCTGCCGTCAACTCAATTGACTTGATCATCTCCAACTCCCGACGAATGTCCTCGTAGTCAGCACACTTATCGAGACGCGAGCGCAGCTCATCCCTCTCGACTGTGATTTTAGTGGCAGTTCGTTCCGCTTGGAGGAGCTTCCCTTCCCAGGAATGTCGGTTTGAGTCCTTGTCAAATCGTGCGGCATCAAGTTTCCGTAGCAAGGAGGAGTTTTCGGCCTGAAGGCGTTGATATTCGGCATCATCTTCAACAGAGATCGGCTGATCAGGGTGCGAATGTGAAACCGCCTGGGCCAATTCCAGCCGCAGCTGCTCGTTGCGTGTTTCCACGTCAGCCAACCTCAAGCTGGTCTTCTCCAGATCAGCAGAAACGAGTTCCAGCTCGGCGGCAGTAGCACCATTGCGAGCTTCCTCATTATTATCATCCCCGTCCAGCCGCTGAGAGACCTCGTAGCTTGCTTTGAGCTCCTTTATCAAACGATCCTGGTTTTCGACCTTCTCCTCCAAGCTCTTCTCTTTGGCCTCCCAGTTGTTCGTCTTCTCCGTAAGGACTGCCTCCCAAGACGCTTCGATCTCCTTGGATCTGGACTCTTGGTTTTCTTCGAGTTTCTTCCTCGCAGCACGCTCCTCTTGAAGGCGCTTCTCGCTTTCCTCCTGTTGCTTTGTGAGCCGGTCAACAGATTGTCGCAATTGGTCGCGCTCCGAGGTGAGCTTTGGAACTGTATCTTCGGATAGAGCAAGAGAATCGACGGAAGCCTCCAGGAGAGGGTAGGGATCGGGTGCCTCGGACAGAGAAGAATATAGTTGCAGGAACGAGGACGAGGACGTTTTGCCCTGGTTGGTCAAGACATCGATAAAGGATTGATAAGCTTTCAACAATCCTTTGAACTCCGACAGTTTGGCCTGCTCCTCCAACTTCTTGAATTCCTTGGTTTTCTGGGCAAGGTCCTTTCTCTGCACCAGAGAGTCCCGCTGCTGCTCAACAATATCGGAAGCGGTTGTATCGAGTTTAGCGATGGTGCTGGCAAGGTCGATTCCTGTTTATACAATGTCAATCGCGCCGTGCTGGAGGATTCTATGCTTAGATTGAACCCGGTGACATACCTCGCCAGGCTGCAATTGCACGCTGGAACTTGTTTGTCTCTTCGGACAGCTTGTTATCAACGGGCGCAGATTGGCTCTCTTGCCGCTCCTGGGCGGCAAGGCCCTCACTAATGGCGAAGGAATCCATATTCAGCGTCAACCGAAAAATTCAGCACGGTCACCCCACACCAAATCGCAATCCGCCAAGTTAAGATGGGGAAATGCGCGGAGTTGGAGATCAGGACACGCGGCGTGCGACGGGCCGAAGTTGTTCCGCAATGTATGCGCCTTGTCGCAAGTGACAAGTAGATAGTGATTTCATGAATTAAACAAGTTGAACAGAGACTTGGACTCAAAGAAAGAACTAAAGGCTTTGCAAAATTCCAATGTCCCAGCCGTTGAGAAGCATCCCGTTCCTGACTTAGCGGCCCCTGATGGGAAGCTTTGGCCCCAAACATCTGACCGCCTTCCAGCCATCCTCCTAAGCTGGCGGGGAGATACCACCTTCAAGCTAGCCATGGCTTCGGATGACGGAGTCGGTCCTCGGAAAAGGCGGAGGATTGGTCCCCTTGGGACCGATCCCTATGTCTTGCGGTCCCTTTTCGATAATGTACCGCTGGCAACCGAAGACACTGCCGGCGTCTACATCACCTGTGTCGAATACTGGGGTAAGCTATGCCAGCGCGGTTGGCAGCCTTCGATAAGCATTCTTTTACTAACTCAGACTCCATAGAGGAAAACTTGTACGTTGGCACTTCTGCAGCCGAAATCCTGCACTTTGTCTGCCTTCCTGCTGCTTCCGACGAACCCAACGAGCCTACGTTTATACTGGCTTCGCGACTGCCTATTCCATTTCTGAGTGCTCCTTCGGACAGCGACCAAAAAGGTGTTCAGCAGATTCTTATACTTGCGTCCGTGAACAAAGCTTGCGTTCTCTGCAATGGCACGGTCACTTTTTACATGCTCCCGGAGCTCAGCCCGGCCTGGAACACCAAGGTTAACCACTGCCGCTGGATCGGTGGCCTGGATCTCAACCGAGACTCTGGGTCTGGAGACGACCCAGTGGTGATGATCGCCGTACAGAATAGAATCCTGCTGGTCCAGATCGGAGATGAGGCGAAAAGCATCAAGAAGATTGGATTCCCCGGTTGCCTAGTCGCGGCGCGCAGAGGTACAATTGCCTGTGCCGCTGATGGGCACTCATACTCGCTCCTAGAGGTGGAACACCAACAAAAGATTCCTCTTTTCCCGATATCTTCCTCGAATGAAGTATTCGAGTCCGGGCAGGTTGAAGATATGACGCCTGGACCCCAAACGCCGTTGAAACGGTCGCCTTCTTCATCATACCCAAGCTCCCCTCCGAATGAATCCCATGCACACGGAAGAAGCACCAGCCTGAATACCTTTGTCGGAATGTTGCAGCCAAATGCGCAAACACCCCAGCGGGAGAGATCACCGGGAACACCAGATCCCTTTGCACCTTCGGGAAGCTCTCGACGATCAAGCTCCGAAGAAAGAGAAGACAATGATGATGAGCAGAAGAAGACATTGGATGTTCCAGAAGTGCAAGCGTCCCCTCCCGATAGCTTGAAGCCATTACCGCCCATACCAGCGAAGCCAGTCACGAAGCAGCTTCTGCCTCATGTTGTCTCTCCGACCCCCTCTGAATTCCTTCTGGTGACTGGAACGGAGGAGAAAGAACCAGGTGTGGGCATGTTTGTAGACTTGGATGGTGAAGTCGTCCGAGGCACTATCAATTTTCATCGATACCCCAAGTCAGTAGCGATCGATGATGGCGAAGACGACCAATCTCTCCAACCAAGCGAAGATGCCAAGGAGGAGTTTGTTATTGCTGTCATTGAATTCGACGATGATGAACAACGAACCCGACTGGAAATTCAGCGGTGGGATGATGATCCCGCGGAGATTGAACGACAAAGGAGATGGCTCGACATACCGTCGCCTGGCGAAGCCAAGTCAGCTAGAGTCGGTCTTCGACACACTATAAGCCCTAGCCATCTCGAGCTCGACGACGTAGGCAAGCTTCTAAGAATGGTCCGCCTCAAGTCTCCACTGCTAGCTCCTCATGCACCAACAGCAGACCCGAGAACACAAGCATCTATCGAACATTTGCAAAAGGAGAAAGAACTCTTTGAATCCCAAGAGTTGACCGATTCTGAGGGTTCTAAGAAAGGAGAGAAGAATTGGGAGACCCAGCGGAATGCCGAAGAGGAGAAATTCGCACATAGACTCGGCAAACTCCAAAGCAGTCTCATCGTTTGGTCGGGCTCCCAAATATGGCGCCTAGTCAAAAACCCTCTTGTTGTTCAACTCGAGGATACTCTACAGAAGGCCCAACAGACAAACGAGGGCGGCCAAATAGCTCTGCATAGGAATTCTGTCATGGAGTTGATGCTGTCTATTCAGGACCTTGAGCCTCGGACTGAGTCCGAATTCATCGGCGTGGGCTACGTGAAGCAAAAGGCCTGTTTGCTCCTGTATGGAGATCTGCTCTCCATCCAGCCAAACCACCGTGGAGACCCCATGGTTAACAATACCGAGCAAGCGCTGCTGGCAGGTAATCTGGATCCCCGAATAGCTCTATTATTCATTCCTTTGCTCCGATGTGAGATCCTACAAGGGCCTCAGGGTATATGGATTCCTGCTGGACTCGCAAGCGTCGCCGAGAAGTACATCCAGCAAATTGAAAAGACGACCCAAGAGGCATCTGGGCCAGCCGTTGCCCATAGCTCTTTGTTTAATATGTTGAAGCGTTTCCTTTCTTCGTGGCAACAGAAGAGGGGATACGGTAGCATTCCAGATGAGAACTATGTTCTGGACAGCACTGATGCTGCGCTGATTCATCTGCTACTGGAGCAAGATGCCCATATGAACGCTCAGCAGCGGAAGTCGTCGCCTATCCGCGCCGAACTGAACAAGCTCGTCGACAACTGGAAGGGCAACTTTGAACGGGCAGTACAACTGCTGGAGCAGTACAAGCGACTCTACATCCTGAGCCGCCTGTATCAAAGCCGAAAGATGTCCCGCAATGTACTCAAGACATGGCGGAGAATCGTCGACGGAGAAGCTGATGCCGGTGGAGAAGTGAACGCCCAGGGTGTCGAGTCACAAATGCGAAAGTATTTGGTGAAAATCAAGGATTCTCAACTGGTGGAAGAATATGGCGCCTGGCTCGCTGGACGAAACCCGGCTCTAGGCATTCAGGTATTTGCAGACAATTCTAGCCGAGTACGACTGGATCCTGCAGATGTGGTTACCCTGCTTAAGGAGCGAGCGCCGAATGCAGTCCAGTTCTATCTAGAGCATCTCGTCTTTGCAAAAAACTACACCCAGTACGCCGACGATCTCATTTCCTATTACCTGGACGAGGTGCTCTCGGTGCTTGAGTCTTCTTCAGACGCACGGACGTCTCTCTCTGAGTCCTACTCCACATATCGGGCCCTGCGTCCTCCCAAGCCCACATATCTGAACTTCATCACTGAAAACACACCAAGTGAGCCCTGGTGGCAGTCTCGACTTCGTCTGCTTCAGCTGCTGAGTGGCACCTCTGGAACCCAGTTCTCATCCACTGCTCTTCCCTCCGGAATCACATATTCCATCCCCAATGTGCTTTCCCGCATTGAACCATTCCAGGATGAGCTCGTCTCCGAAAGCATCATCCTCGATGGCCTACAGGGCCACCATCGCGCTGCACTGCGGCTGCTAACCCACGGCCTGGGAGACTATGACTCTGCAATCCGCTACTGCCTCTTTGGCGGTCCGCGCAGCTCAATTTCGTCTGCTGGTGCGCAGCCTGAGCTCGCTAACCACGATCTACAGTCCACTCTCTTCCGGCATCTGCTAGACGAGTTCCTTCAAATTCACGATTTGTCAGACCGGATCGAGCGCACAAGCGACTTGCTGGCCCGATTTTCGGCCTGGTTTGATGTGCGCGAGGTGCTCGATCTCGTCCCAGAAGACTGGAGTGTCGATATCCTGGGTGGATTTTTCGTTCACGTCTTCCGTACTCTCGTTTCGCAGACTCGAGAGGCCCGTATCGAGCGGGCTCTCAACGCTGGTCTCAACCTGCGCATCAGCGTGGATTATATTGATAGCACGGAGAAAGCTGGTGTCTTCGTGGAGGATGGAGACGGCGTGCGGCGATTGAAGGATGGGAACATCCAATCTGAAGCCCCCCCACCAGATGATATTGCAGGAGACGACGATGACTTTGGCGACGTGGTCACTGCGTCTGGGGAAGTGGGCCAGTAGATCGCTTTTAGTTTGTTTTGTACAGAGCCTCTTGCGGGCGTTTCATCTATGATACCTAACTAAGTACGAGTACTATTCGATATTGCCTTTTGTTCATCTTTGAATGTTTTGAATATCGTATTTCTGAGAGAGTAGGTCTTCACACCGTGGTGGTTCATCCGGATCCATGGTGCATGGCCATTATCATACATCATAAGTCAGGCCAAAGGTGAAAAAAAAATTTATCATGTTGCATTCGTTCCCTTCGTAGCTCTGGAAGAGCGTTGGCTCCAGCAACTAGAGAATGAGGGCGTATCGAATTTTGCACCAGACACCGAATGGTCCTCTATCAGCCAAGCCCATGGGACAAGCCGCTTGAATTGCTTAAAACAGATAGAATGGCAATTATTCCTCAGGCTGCACGAACGGGTTGGGGATCTCCTCGCTACCATCAGCGGGCGAGATCAGCACGATAAGGGTGCCACGAGCCACGATCAAGCCCAACGAGCGGGTGGTCTGGTTGCCTTCGTCATCTGGAGAAAGGTCAATATGCAGGAAGTCCCAGCAGAAATCAACGAGACTTACCGCGCATAGACTCCTTGACGTCGTCGAGGACGAGGTTCATGAGCTGGTCATAACCCTTCAGGGTACCAGTGACTTGTGGGGGTCAGCATCTAGAACATGTACATAGGTAATTGAAAAAAAAAAAAATCAAAGATTCCGACTCACCTTCGCGGCCGCCATTGAACTTGACCATAACCTCCTTGTCCATATACTTGTTCAAGTCGAGGATGTTTTCCTTCTTGGGCTTCTCCTGTGCACCGCCACCACCGCCACTTTTCTGCTGAGGCTGGCGACCACCACGGCCACCACGGCCCCCTCGGAACGAACCACGCTCGGACATTGGGGATTGATTGAGAGCGGTGAAGGGGGGAGAAGGAGTTAAACCCAGATAGGAGAAATGGAGGAAAAGGAATACAGTGTATGGCCCGAGGTCGCAGATTGTGGTGAAGGGGGCATGTATGAGGGATTTTCGGCGGGGGGTTCACAGGCTCAGAGTGGACGAGTGGACGAGTGGACTCGTGAAGTGTCCGCCTGGATCCCGCTGGTAAATTACGCCGTTTAATTACCGGGGCGGTGGGCGGAGGAGTTATCTAGTACGCGCGGACACCAGGCATCAACGAAATGCACCTCCACTAGGCAAAAGGCTTGTCTGGTGGGGACTATAGCCTTACAGGTTTGAATTTATTCCGAGAGTCCACAGGGTCCAGAATACCAACATGGGTGTTCCAACCAGGGTGCACCATCCTCATTAAACCAAGACTAAAGGTGCAGGCGGAGGGTGCCAGCGCATTCCAGCGGAAAGGGCCGGCGGGACTCCGCCGTGTACAGGTACCGTAACTAGCTGCGTGGGCGTGTGAAAGCCCCGAGATCAGGTAGAGGTACTTCTCTGTAGGCCCCGTTCGTTCCGGGGGCCACTTTTAGCACCTCCCCAAATCCCGACTCTTTTCCCCCTTCTATTTTCTCTCAAGAACTTCGTCTATGTTCACTCCCATACGGCTCCTTGATCCTTAGTCCCGCGCATCCTGTGCTCCCGCCCTCTTCCTTCCAGCCGCACTGGCTCACGGCCCCCGGTGCCAATTTCTTTTTGATCTGACTCCCTCGACTCCTATCTGAAGTACTTCCCTTTGACGAATTCCGCCATGGAGTCCCACGCCGGGACTGAGCCGTCTAATAAACGGCCTCGGTCTCCGACGGGTGAGCATCAGCAGCTACACCAGTCCAAGGTGCCCAAGACACACTCGAACCACCTGCAGATCAACTACCTCGCGCGCCAGTACCCCGATAACCTGCCTCTGGTCTCCGCCGAAGATACCATGCCCGCCATCGTCCACCTGATCGGCGAGTATGACGGCGTACTCCACCGCCACGAGAGCATCGCCGGAAACCTGGGCGCATGCCCGCTGGGTCCGATTCTGATTAAGCGCTTCGAGCGCCTATTTGATGGGCCCCCGCGCGTGCTCAAGTCACACGGCAAGGATGGTCCTACGGTTACCTGGCTGGATGTGGTCGAGTTCGCCAAGAGTAAACCCGAGCAGTTCAATCTGGAGAAGCAGCGCAACGGCATCCGGGTCTGCCAGTTCTATACCAAGCAATGTCGTGTGGAGATCAGCGAGGAGGACTTTGTTCTTATTGCTTCCGGCATGCCGCAGAAAATGATTCCGCCACAGCCTATCATCGAGGATGAGGAGAAGGAGCTGGGCGCACTGGAAATCCTAGAGAAGAACCTCCAACACATCATTCAAATGGCCGACCAAGGTAAGCGCTTTCTATGCCAATTCATCTTTTGTGATATAGTCTAATTGGTTTCGCGCATAGTGTCTGCCAGAGCCCGTCAGCTTAGTTACCGCCTGAAGAACCGCCGTACCGCAATCGTGAGCCGAAGAGAGAATGACGCTTCTTTGCAATCGCGCAGTGCGGCTGACGTCTGGCGCGATACTAATGGCCATGCATTGACGAATGGACGTTCATCCAATGCATCACCCTCCGGTTTCGTGGCCGTCAACTCACACCGGCCGGAGGCCGAGTCTGAAGAGAATCCGATATCGTCGCAATTCATGTTCTCCCATTCCAACACCGAAAACGTGACCATTATCAATGGGACCTCAATTAAAGGAGCCTCGCCGACCACTCGCACCGAACTTATGAAGAAGTTCTTCACCACCGCTGATCGCCACGCGCGCGGCTACGAAGATGCTGCGGGCGCAGTCAACCCCCAGTCTCAGCCTCAGCCTTTGTCCCTGCCACGAGGCTCGGATGCGGCAGATTACAGCATCATACCTGCTTCCACAACCCCGGTTGCCATTCCTAGTACACCGTCTTCGTTACTCCCACCGCCAAAGACGACACCCAGCGAGAAGGATGACGGCGGGCCATTCAAACTAGAGATGGTCGCCCGTATGGAAGAGCTGGGCCGCGGAGAACGAGTGGTCCCGCCCTGTGACCGGTGTCGCCGTCTCCACATGGACTGTCTCAAGAATTTGACTGCCTGCATGGGCTGCACTAAGAAGCACGCCAAATGCTCTTGGCGCGACATCAAGGAAGACGAGATACGCGCGGCCTATGGTCCATCCGCGCTCATTCCACGCGAGCCACGGGAGCACCGGGATGAAGAGTGCAACACCCTCCCTCCTATCCAAAGTCTTACCTCTCCGGGCGCGACCGAACCAACACAGGGAGAGCGTGCGCTGGAGGGAGCAGCATCCATGGACCCACACCACTACTACCATACCCGCCGCGAATCAGCACCTGGGGCTCCACACATCGGCCCAGGCTCTGGAGCTTCTAATAATCTTCCCCCATCCTCTGATAACTCCCCGCGGAGAGCCATGAGTGATGAAGGCAGTGGTCGGATTCATTACGAACAATCGCACCACGAGCATCCACAGCATGGACACCCACAGCATCGGTCTACTCAAGACGACGACCCTGACGCGAATCAGCGACTGATGCAGGCTATCTTGGACACTGTGGATCACCACGCCCGCGTAGCGGCTGCCGTGCAGGAGAAAGAGCGCGACGCTGAGCGGTCCGGGGATGGTGGGAATGATCGAGACGCGGACCGTGAGCGAGAACGCGATCGTGAACGAGAACGGGAACGTGAGCGAGAAAGAGAGCGAGAAAGAGAGCGAGAAAGAGAGCGAGAAAGAGAAAGGGAACGTGAACGTGAACGGGATCGAGACCGGGATCGACGCCTGGTCCAGGCCTAATTGAATCCCGCGAAGTGTATATTTTGCTATTTTGTTGTACAGTTGTGAGCGTTGGCGAACAGGAAGGGATTGAGGGATTTGTCTTTTAGTTTACACATGTGCATATTATATCCACGAAAGTTTATGTCCTATCCTATGTCTTACAGGCGCAATTCTAAGAGACCTCCCACCACTCCGATCGCGAAAGAGGAGGTTTGATATCCCTTCCCAGCTGGAGATCCAGGGCATTAACATACTCCTGCGCATCCTTCCCTTTGATGGCCAGTCTCTCAAAGGAGTTGATGTCCTCGGACAGCTTCCACTCAGGCAGGACTGCGTGCTCCGAGGACCCGGGGTACCTGAACAGATACTCGCAACCTCCCTCGGTCTTCTTCCGGTCGTAGTTGTCCCCCGTCAACCAGATAGGGCGATACCTCTTGCTTTTCTCATGATCTTTGGTCTTTTCCTCTCGGTATCCCACAATCGGATGAATCCGCTCAAATGTCTCGCCCAGCTTCTGACCCTTATCAAGGGCATAGCGACCCGGTGTACGCAGTCTGGATCCATTGACAACATACACCAGACCAAAGCTGTCCGGTAGATCGCCGAGTCCCCAGGTATAGCTGCGGTCTTCCATATAGGCCGGCTTGTCACCCATGGTAAGAGGATGTCTAATCGACGACACAGCCCACTGACCACTTCGCTGAAGCCACTTGCCCCACGACTCTGATTTTTGTCTTTCGAGTCTCTCATTATACCAGTGAAGGGCCGTATTGATCTTAGTGAGTCTGGCCTGTCGCGCCAATTGTTCTTTCCGCAAAGTCTCTTCATTGAGAGAGACAAAGCCCTTGATCTGGTCCAGCATCCAGGCGAAGGTGATGTTCGACATCTCTTCCATGTTTCCCTTGTTCTCCAGGGTCAGCGTGGAGCCACCGCCGATGTTGACGTGCACGCCAGGAAACCAGACTTGGAGTAGCTTTGAGCGCTCTTTGTGACTTTCCTCCAAGTCGAGCAGCTTTCGCGCGGCTTCGTTCTTGTCTTTGATCACGCGTTTTAGATCTTCGAGGGATGGACGCTCGGTTAATAGGAGATCGATCCAGGCTTGAGATGCGGCTTCACATGCCTTTCGTGCCTTCTCAGTCTCCTCAGTCGTGGCTTTCATGACAGTCGGCACGTAAAACAGAATCGGGGTGAATGCAGCACGGTGTTCATCCAGAGCCAGTGCTTGGAAGGCGTTCTTAATATCTGCGAAGTTGTTAGCCATTTGTGAGAATTTCGGGAGAGAAATCATACTGGGAGAAAGTCCGACATTATGCCATTCGGGCTTGTCGGTTCGCGAGATCCATTGAGGCACTTCATACCCGAATAGTTCAGGGAATCCCAGCGCACCAACAGTCTCAAAGACACCCACCACTTCAACATGTCTCGATTCCGGAGTCTGAGCCCATTCGCCCCGACCCGTAGCCTCCCAAACCACATGATCACTCTGCCTTTCCGCCGGCTGAGGATCCGCCGGCGTCCCATCATGCCAACCATAGTAAGCATCACTACCATAAAACCTATCCCCCGTGATAGCAGGATGACTCTGCTTATAAAGTGTCCACACCTCCGGGAAATCCTGAATATCAGTCTTCGAACAAATGCCCAGATCCGAAATCAACCCCGCAATAGCGCGCGCGGTATACGCACCACGCGAGAAACCGAAACACAAAACCTGGTCGCCGGGGTTCCAGTTCAAAACGCAGAAATTGTATGCTTCGATGACGTTCCCTTCGAGGTCTTTTCCGGCGGATACATGGCCGTCTGAGTTCGTGCCGACTCCGGAATCATACCAGACTACTTGTTGCCAGGGGAGGTGGTCGTTATTGTCGATGCCGACGCTGTTGATTGCGCGACAGAGGCGGGTTACGTTGGATGGGATGCTCTCTTCGCCGGAGACGGCCGATTGACCGCTTCCATCGCAGCAGATGATGATACGCTTGCGAGACGGGGAGAAGTTGGACTTGGAATTGTCGCCCATTTCAACGAGGCCGTGGCTCATTGGGGGTGGAGTAAGGAATCAGTATACAAGGATACAAACGCTGATCTTGTGAAGGGATACATGGATTATTTATGCCGAGAGCCTTTCAGCTGAACTCACATGGCTCAGCTGAGTGCCGTCCTGATTGCCACTGGCCTCTCTACTTCTTGTCGTCAGACTCGCTAAAAATGACCGATTTTCTACCGCGGCCCATCAGGCGATCGGGAATCATAGCCTCTTTTGGTCCCAAGTTTGGAATACCCACAGACACTCAGCTTGTCTAAAGTGATCCAGATGCCAGGTGCTGTTTTTATCTGTAGAATGGCGCTTTCATGAAGTCGTCTGAAGGGGAATGAGAATGACTGTGAAGCTACCTAGACAGAGACCGAGACCTGGCGATCATCAACAACTTGGGTGGGGCTTTTGTGCCACACCTACTTCAGACCGCGACGACCGCGAAGACCCGTGGCGCTCCTCAACTAACACTAATGACCTGGGCCGAAGATAAAATATGAATAGTTCGGGGATATTCACGTGGTGCCGCGTTGTTCACGTGGTGCCGCGTTGAAAGCGTACAGGCCAAACTAGGACGTGCATGAACATGAACACCACAAGAGTACTGCGGTGATTAGCGCCGCGGCCATTGCTAATAGAAGTGGCTGTTTGGCCACCGCTTTCTCCTGCGCCCTACTAAACCTAAGACTTCCGATCAATGTCTTAGCATGAATGCCGAATTCATGCTTTCTATTCTCAGCTGGTAGGTCGTACAAACTTCTTTCTTCTTAGGCTCACTAAAGCGCTCATCACTATCGAAGACTGGTATAGCTTTGACTGCTTAGCGCTAGTAACCTGGTCGCGAAAGATCATTAGAGAGAGTTGAGTATTCTAATCGATTTGTCTCGACTTGTCCAGCATCTGAGGTATCTACTCTTAAAACTAATTCATGTGCCAGGAGAGCCCTCAGGGTCATCTCCATCTGTCTCATTGATAATAACAATATCGTACGGTGAACACGGGCACCGATCGGGTTGAGGTAGATACTATTTACCCCGGATCCCCCACAAACGGATATAGAATCTCAAGTCCTAGAATCGGCAAAAGTCAAGATCGCCTGCCGAAAGCCCCGACGGATATACATCCATCGTTGCCCCACCAGACCGCTTAGAACATGATGACCAATGTTACTAAGGCAGGAATTGGCTCCGCGCGGAACGTGGAGAAACCCGGCTATATTCTCTTCCACTGCTTGAATGCTGGGGTTGACGCATGCTAGGAGCTGATTGAATACTGGTTCAGTTCCAGTGACTCCCATATCGGATATAGGGAACAAAAAGGAGGCATGTGAGGGCGTGAAGGAGTAGGGGGGAATCCCGGTGGTAGTAATTCCGCTACGCTGAGTGGGCGGGGAGGTTCATTGCGGGGTGAAGCTCGAGCTCATAATTCCGACCTTTCAAGTCAAGATACATGGGATGATGCATCCCCCACTCCCGCCGGAACTGCCGACGGACAGTAAATTCAGTCCATTGAATATAAACGCATACCCCGGATCCCTCTTAATTCTTCTCTCACCCCTCAAGACCCCATAAACCAGCTCCGTCACAATGGATCCCTCCAAGGTCAAGATCCCCCCCATGAAAAACCTCACGGTTGACAACATCACCGAGAATGTGATCACGATCAATTCCCTTTGCGAAGACCAGCGCATGAAATACGTCCTCGAGCGCCTCGTCACACACCTCCACGACTTCGCCCGTGAAACCCGCCTCAGCAGCGACGAATGGATGACCGGCCTCCGCTTCCTGACCGAAGTCGGCCAAATCTGCACAGACGTGCGTCAGGAATTCATCCTTCTCTCCGATGTCCTGGGTCTCTCTATCCTCGTCGACTCAATCGACCACCCCAAGCCCCCAGGCTCCACCGAGGGTACCGTGCTGGGCCCCTTCCACACCCATGACGCCGAGGAGATGCCTGCGGGCGACTCCATGTCGCACGACCCTAAGGGCGAGCCCCTGCTGGTCGTTTGCAACCTTCATGATACCAACGGTAAGCCCATCGAGGGCGTCAAGATCGATATCTGGGAGACCGACTCGACGGGCCACTACGATGTGCAATACGCCGGACGCGAGGGACCCGATGGGCGCTGCATTATGCGCTCGAATAAGGATGGTATATTCTGGTTCCAAGCCATTACGCCTGTGCCGTACCCCATTCCTCACGACGGACCTGTGGGCAGGCTGCTGAAGAAGTTGCATCGTCACCCCTACCGCCCGTCGCATATGCACTTCATGTTCCAGAAGGAGGGTTACGACCACTTGATCACGTATGTGCTAGTTTGCCCCAGATGATGTTCATTTGACGTGTTTGTACTGACAAAGCTATAGTGCCCTTTACCTCCGCAATGATCCCTACGAAACCTCTGATGCCGTCTTTGGCGTCAAGGATTCCCTCACCGTCGACATTGGCAAGGCTGGACCTGAGATCGCCAAGAAGTATAATGTCCCCGAGGGCCATGCTCTGCTCACCTATGACTTCATACTCGTTTCCGATGCCGAGACGAGCGCCTTGCGCGAGAAGAACTCCAAGGTTGCGCTTGATGCTCTTGGTCGGAAGGTGAAGATCGTGAATGGTTTGCCTGTGCCGGATCTGGATTAAGCATGGACTAGAATATTAAAAAAAAAAAAAAAACTAGGCTAGGCTAGGTACACGGGATGGCTGTACGAACGTGGCTATGAAACTATGACATGACTTGAATATCTTTTGCGTTTCAGATCTCAATGAATGTAAACTTGATGAGTTGCATGAATGGCCTGGCTCAAGTTCCACGTTCCGGTGCATGTGAAGTAGAAAATCTCATACATCACATGTTGCATATCATACTCTCGGATCTGTTGAGTTCCTCCCTGGCTGTGTTGTCACAGATGCAAGATGAGATTGTAGCACGCTTCAAATGCCCCGGGGGAAATGATTGGCTTCTGGTCTGATTGCCTTCTTGTGCGAGGCTGCAGATGAATCTAGTTCCGAATGTACAGACAGTTAGAGTTGTGCACTGTCTCATCCTTACCGTTGAACAAGGATGCAGTGCGACCCTGTCACTAAGTCGGAAGTTGGAGAACTTGTTTGAAGATGATAAAATCTCTCTATGGTTCTTTTAGAAGCCAGCAATCCTAGGCCTTCTAGCACAATGCGTTTTTATCTGTTTCTGTCTGTGGTAGCTTCTTTGTGCTCTGCTCTGGTCATTCCAGATCAAGAAACTCTTGCGGCCATTTCAAAGGCTTATCTACGTCTTCATGGGCATGGTTACTCTCAACCAGTCTCCACTGGTGCAGATAGCCATGATGATGAACCAGACACTGTCTCATGGTGGAGAGTGGTCTCGGCCATAACGAGGGACAGGCGTGGCTCTGCCACCAATCTTGTGTTGAGTCTTCTAGGGCTTGATTCTCGCTTGGATGGGGCTGTCGAGGTTTCACAGTATAGAGATCCCGCTGCCGACGGCGCCAACGACGACCGAGGTGGTGGAGGAGACGACGGGGGGGATGATGATGGGGATGGTGGGGATGACGAGAGACCAGACTATTGCTATCGAACAGGTCCAGGCGAAAGGCCAGGATATGGACAGCCCTTCACCGAGTGTGACCATCGAGCATGTCCGCCAGAGGTATTCTGTCCAGAAGACCACACCATCTGGGAGCTGATCAATGAGAGCGCGAAAACCTCACGACTCGCGAACCTCATGAAGAACACTGATTACCTGGTCAACGTGCTCAACAGTACCACAGCAAACTATACTCTATTCGCGCCAACAAACAGTGCCCTCGAGCGGCTGCTGGATGAAGAACCTCCGACCGAACTGCTGAAACAAATTGAGCACTACCATGTCATCCCTGGTCTTTTCAACACGAATAAGTGTCGACGCCATCAGACACTGCGAACAGCATTGAACGAGTCCTCCCTAGGCAAACACATGCCACAGCGAGTGGTAGTGAGGAAACGCCAAAATGCCCTGCTGCTAAATGGCATGAGCCGCATCGTAGTAGGCGATATCGTGAGTCAAGCCCCAACTCTGTAGAGAATCAAATATTAACAAGTACAGTCCGCTAAAAACGGTATAATGCACCAAATCAACATCCCTCTCTTACCACCTCCAAACACAAGTGCAATTATCGACCTTCTCCCAGCCCACCTCAGCACTTTCGCCCACGGCTTAGAACGCACGAAACTAACCACGCACTTCTGGAAAGGTAATCGCGTCGGCGGAACAACATTCGCCCCTACAAACGCAGCATTTGAGCGCCTCGGACCCCTGGCTACTGCATTCCTGTTATTGCCACAGGGTGAGCAATGCCTGCGGTCTTTGCTGCAGTATCATATCGTGTTGAATCAGACTTTGTACTCGGATGCGCTGTACTCGAAGGGAGACGTGTTTGAGTTTGGCGGAATTGAGTCGAGTGCTTCGGTCCATGTGGGATTGCTGACGGTGTTGAAGGGTCATGCTTTGGATATTGATGTGGCGAGGAGAGGGCCTGGGGTCGAAATTAGGGTGAATGGGTTTGTTCGGGTTGTTGGGCTGGATCTGTTGGCGAGTGATGGGGTACTGCATGTTCTGAATGAAGTGTTGGTTCCGCCGAGGAAGATTGGAGGGAAAGTTAAGCGGGATAATGGAGTGGACAGGATTGGGGTGGAATTGTTGAAGCAGCGGCTGGGAGGGTGCGTGGAAGATACGTCGGCTCGGATGGAACGAGTGTGAGATGCTACCCCTGGTCTACTTGTGTACGGGTTGAGATTGAGTTTCTTCATTCTTTAACTTCTGTATTTCCATGAGATATTGCTGGTAGTTGGCGTGTTTGGCAAAAACAAAATGTAACGGGACCAGACACACTGAAGAACCTTGCCGATGAAAGCAAAGGGGAAGACCGGATCCATTGCACGCCTGTTTATATATGAATCCTGGAGGTGTAGCAATAGAAGCTACCTAAAAACCATCGTAATAATAGCCATATCCCAACATTATCGAACTAGTGCATCCTTCTCGTCGGCTTCATCAGTGCCTGGAAGGAGGACTCGAGGGCCTTCTTGACTTCTTTGAAGCTGACGATGAAGCAGCTCTGCTCGTCACGGCTAACCAGGGTGACCTTCTCGTCAGAACCGGCATCGAGCTTGTTCAAACATGCGAGGATGTGTCCGAGATCAACCACTGGCTCACCCTGGGGGTCCACCTGGTGGAAGACATAGTCCCGGAAGATCTTCAAGAAATATCGCTCCCCGCTCTCGGACCACTGTCGGTCATGCTCGTATTCAGGTCGCTCGTTGACAAGGTTCAATTTTGTCATGAGACGCACGAGGCGGCCGTTCTCAAGCTCACGGCTGAGATCAGATGTGAGTTGATCGTCAAGATGGAGTGCTGAATCAAAGGTTGACATCAACTGCGACGAGATACCCGTAATGAAGATGTCGATTGTCCGCTCCGCATCTTTCTGAAGACCGTTGAGCAGCCAGAAGACCGAGTTCTTCAATTGAGGGCTATAGGCGCGAGTAAAATGTTCCATGGCTTTAGTAGGGTTGTGCATCACGGTAGGAGAGTTGGCCCCCAAAGCGACGATCAATTGCCCGAAGTTGACAAGATCCTGCCGTTGGAGGTCCACAACAGTCCGCTGAGAGTCAAACTGAACGACGTCTAATATCGAACAAGCATTGAGACGGATCCGATTCTTGCCGGTCAACAACACTTTACTGGGCTCTAGCACTCTTGCCGCGAGGCCATTGGTGTGAATTGCCTTCAACGCATTTGCAATCTGAGTCATGTAGCCCCAGATAACCTGCTCAGGAATGTGGGTGTTGTGCCGGGTTCCCTGGAAGCGGTTCCCGGCACCCAGATGCTGCTCAGCCAGCGTTTTGGAGAGAGGATGGTAGTCGGTAACGAAAATGAGCGAACTGTCCTGGAAGCTTCGGCTTGTAAATGCGTCATGGACGGTGACTACACTTCCACTGCACACGCGCTTCCAAGCTTGGACGGATCGAATGGCCTTCTCGTTGGTCAAACGGAACCCTGCGCGAGTTAGCTGATATTGCCTGGTAGGAACCGTAGGGTTTCATACCTTCAAGCCTTCGGAGGACGTAAAAGTTACCGTCCTTGCTCGATTGTGCTTTATAAACCCAGCTCGGATAGCCGAATGTCGCGGCATTCTTCTGATGGCTGAGGTCCAGTGGGACTAGAGAGTGGAAGTAGTCGACTTGGGCGGGAAGTGTTGTGTCTGAAAGAAGTCAGATCAATCTCAGATGATAATTGGTATCCGATCAACATACTAGGTAGGGTTTGCAACGTAGCCGCAGCCTTCTTTTGTAGTTCCTCGCGAAAGTCATTAGGGAGAAAGAGGTCGTGCACGTTGCGCTGGTAACCCAGGGTGTTCTGATTGTGAGGGCCGATTGGCGCATAAAGATGATACTGGACCTGCGCAGGTTGTTAGACAGTCCATGTCACTTCCAAATAGGAACCATACCGGTTGCTGAAAGCCTGTCTGGCTTGCAAAAAAGGCTCCACCCATTGCGGCAGCTCCATCGTGGGCGTACGGATTGCCCGCAACGGGTCCAGCTGCAGACATTGGGGCAGAGGCGACAAAAGGATCAAACCCAGCAGCAGCAGCAATGGCACCATTTCCATTTCCCTGCAGAGGTCCCTGGCAGTAGGAGTTAGCGGTGATCAAGTCAAGGCTGGAGCTGCGGGTTTTCGATGTGCTTGGTTCGGGGACGGGATCGAAAGCATCTGCCAGCGCACTCAGGCTCCGACTGGAGCGCCTGCAAAAAGATACCGGCATTGTGTAACTGAGCAAGCAGAGCACCAAACTTGCACCTTGGAAACAACCCGATCGCAACTAAGTAGAGGTATAACGGAAGGAGCAGCTTACCACGTGAGCACCTTCAAACCCGCCAGGCACAAACTCCTGCACCTCAGCCAACGTCCAGTCGGGGGTTCCTGGTTCCTGCCTCATTGTTGGGGTGCTTGTGTTGGAGCCTTGACTTGTCAGCATAGATACTCTGAGCTCGGGTCGATGGACGTACGCGATGTCGCAGGTCGGGGTTGGAAGGGAGCTGCATTTGCAGCCTTCGGGGAAATAGGATTGGATTTCTTGGGGCCGGTGCCGTTGCCAGAGAGGAGGGATGGGGTAAAGCTGGGCGAGTCCACATTGAATCGTTTCTTGTTACTGAAACTGATCATTAGCGTGTTCTTTTGAAGATACACGGTATGCCTTACCTATCGGACTGATTCGCAGGGTTAAGCTTATGGGGGTCATGGTTAAAAGCGCAACCTAGATAGATGACTTCCAGTCAGACTGAACTATAAAGTGCCACGGCTTTATTATCATTACCTTTATCTTCGTAGCGGCATCGGCCATAGATGGTTACATTGCGACATAATGTATCTTTCGCGTTCTCTGTTCCAATATCTCCGGTAAGCGACGTTCGCGGTTCGGTACCCATCTCCGACAGTTCCATCTAATCGATCTATCGAGGGTGATTCCGGGCGCGAGCTCGTCACGACACACTCACCTCGAGTCTTCATTTTTGGCGATCCCGTCGTGCGACGGGAATCGTCGAGTGGAGGTTTGGCGGACGAGGCCATAATGGATGGCTAATACCGGGACGAAATGGATCAGCGCAGAGGGATCTCCATTGAAACGGGTTTGAAGACGATGCGATTGAGGTGATCGAAAGGATGCCGCATTCCCTGCGAGACACCTATACACTCGGCGCGTTGATGGAAGGGCGAGTCAATGGATGAAACGACGGGGATCGGAGCGATATCAATATCTCGGGCAAGCACCATGCATGTAAGAATAGGAGGCCCAATGCCGGCACCAGATGTCCACCAAAAGCAGATCGGGGGAAGAGCCGATGAGAAAGAGGACGCGGGGCGAACTCGACCCAAGGGGCCGCGCACGGGCCAGGCGGTCAAGCGATAGCCTGGCACCGTTATCATTTGAGAATATGGGACATGGCCATTCCATGGTTACTTAGGTCGCTGATGGTGTTTCAAAAAGAACACGAGACATAAGATATGAGTCCCCAAAACTAAATGCTTAGATATTTCAGATCAAATTACATATCTTCATCGGTGGATGTTGTCTGAGATATATTTAGGCAGTGTATTGTCCATCTACTGCAACAGAATCATATTCTCTCTCCAACCTTGGAAGGTTACTATCTAGCGCACCTGGACATAGTCTTTCACCTGGGAATATTACATCACGATGGTAACCGCATAGTGAGGCCTATAAATATTCACATATCCCTCACTTCATTGATAGCAGGTCCCGGAAGTACCTTGCCTTATCGTGACAATCACCCCGGATGATGTAATTTGCCGATGGCGCCTCCAGGGCCGAACGGGCCATCGGGTCATCTACTTGTAGATAGAGCTGAAAAAGTGTAAATCAAAGTTGTTTAGTCATTCTAGACGCAGAAACAAAATAAGCTTCTGTATATATGTACAAATTTATTGCTAGCCCTGGACAATGAGCGTGGTCCGGCTGTATGCAGGGAAGGCGGTGACCCGGCAGTATACATGTCCTTTCAAGTGCTCCGACAGCGTTGACTTGTCACCTACCCACCATGTCCGCTGCTGAGCTCGATCTCGATCAGCTCTCTCCTAGCGAGAGAACGGCATTGGATACATATACCTCTGTCACAGGTCAGGATCTACCAGAGGCCATCCCGCTGCTGCGCCGATCACAATGGAACGTCCAGGTTGGTGCTCTTCTCGAGCTCCGAGGTAGCTTGCTCATCCCCGCATAGATAGCTATCGCCAAATTCTTTGATGGTGAGGGACCCGACCCGGTTGAGGAGGCTCGAGAGGCAATGCAATCCCCTCCACCTCGACCGGCTCGTCGAACTCAGAACTTGATGTCCGATGACTTTGTCGCGCAATTATCGCCTGTTGCACGCTCCGCAGACCCGGCCCCGCGAGTCGATACTCAACCGGAAGACCAACCCGTCTATCGCCCTCCCTTAATTCTCGCCCTTCTCTTCACCCCCTTTAACCTCGTCTACCGACTACTCTGCAGCTCATTCCGTCTTTTCGGGACGCTGTTTCCCTTCCTCCCGCGGCTGTTCAATGCAACGGCGAATCCCGCTCTACAAGGCGCACGGCGGAATACCACGGGTCGTCGATCACTCGGCCCGAAAGACACAGCGGCTCGTTTCATCCGCGAGTTCGAGGAGGAGTATGGATCGCCCTCGGTGCCATTTTTGGAAAATGGATACAACATGGCCTTGGAGAAGGCTCACCGGGACTTGAAGTTCTTGCTGGTGGTTCTCATATCACCTGAGCACGATGAAACGAGTGGCTGGGTGCAGGATACTCTGTTGGCACCAGAGGTCGTCGAGTTCATTAATGACCCGCAAAACAACCTTCTAGTGTGGGGCGGCAATGTCCGAGACTCCGAGGCATATCAAGTGGCCAACTCACTACGATGCACGAAATTTCCCTTTGTCGCACTGACCGTTCATACACCGAATGTCTCATCGACCGCCATGTCGGTTGTGAGCCGCATTGCAGGCACTACTGCGCCATCTGAGTTTGTGAACCGACTTCGCACAGCCATCTCGACGAATCAAGAGCCATTGGAGCGCATCCGCGCCACCCGTGCCGAGCAACAGGCGTCTCGCAGCTTGCGTGAAGAACAGGACTCGGCGTACGAGCGGTCGCTGGCGATCGACCGGGAGCGGGCTCGCCAACGCCGGGAAGCAGAA